GATCCAATCATCTCTCTGTATTTCCTGCCCGTGATTCGTATCTGAATGCACCATAGAGGGTATTTAGGCCAAATCAGGATGCTGACCATGCAGCTTAGAATTTCCCTAAATTATTAAAATATAGTAAATGGTGAAATAGTCCCTAAAATAGTAAAATATAGCGCTAAGGTATGTATATAACGGAAAATCTTGTTGAGAGCGCCAAGTTAAACATCGTGAACCCTAGGAAAAACAAGAAATTGGATACGTCTGTTTTCTTTTTCAAAATTCTTTCGCATGGATACTGGGGGCAACACCTGGGCACATGCAGCAAGGGTGTCATGTAAGCCGACAATATATACTTGCACACTGCATGGCGTCAGATCCATCACATATATATATATTGACTTCTGTGACATGCAGGATCTCTTCAGGAGTACGGAGTACAGAGGACTTTGGACACCCCCCCTAATAGCACTCGATATAGGGATGCTTCGCCTACGAGAAACCCTGTAGGGACAAGAAAGTAAAACTATCCGAGATTGTGATGTCAAAGATATCCGGTAGAGATTGAGTGGGGAAAACAAAGAATAAATAATTCTCGACTCTTTTTTTTTAATTTACATTCACATTCACAGAACGAGAACAATAGTAAGCCAAGTTCAATTTACATTTCTTTGAGCTTCAGATCTACAAAATACCTCATGCCGCTCATCGGGAAACCTCGAAAAGTTCGATTCCCGAACGCGCAAAAACCCAAGAACCGCACATCAACCTCAACATTATTAGTTCCGACCAAAACAACAGCGTCAACAGCCATGACTACAGCCACTGACTCCAACCAACCGCACCCGGGGATCCCGGCCTTGTTCACGCAACCGCCACCCATCCGCGACCCGCTCATCACCGAGACAATCGATCTGCAAAACGCGACGCTGGAAAAATGCCTACCATTCTTGAAAGGCATCCACAGCACCCAAAAGGATTTGAACGACTATGGTGTACCTGCCCTGCAACGTGATATCCACACTAGCTACCTCTATGATGCCCTCGAGGATTATCCCGAGGGGTTTGTCGCCATGGACGCCAGCCGCCCGTGGATTGTGTATTGGGCGTTGGCGGGGCTTGCCATGCTTGGAGAAGACACGACTCGATATCGTGAACGGTGCGTGCATGCTTTACATCCTTGCTTTTTTTTTTTGGAAATCGATTTTATTTTATTTCTTTCCCCTTTCCCCGCCTCGTTCTCCAATTTGCTTTTTCCTATCTGTCATATGTCCACAGAGGGGAGACAGAGCCTCTGGAGATATACCATGATTGGAAATGATCATCTTATCTGTACAACGTGAAACATGGGAGAGGGAAAAAAGCCATTCTAAACCTTTCTCTTCGTTTTTTTTTTTAGTGTGATTACTACACTTCGGCCAATGCAAAACCCCACAGGTGGCTTTGGCGGCGGCCATGGTCAGACATCTCATGTGGCGGGCAGTTATGCAGCCGTCCTGTCGTTGGCTATGGTTGGAGGCGAGGAAGCCTTTGGATTGGTGGATCGAAACGCGATGTGAGTTGTCACCGGCAGGTTTCTGCATGTGCGTTTTGTGTGATACTGTGCGTCTGACCCTGTTTTTTCTTTCCCCAGGTGGCAATGGATTGGCCGATTGAAGCAAACAGATGGGGGATTCCGTGTTTGTGAGGGCGGGGAGGAAGATGTGCGGTAAGTGAAACTCTAGGACTGGAGCAGGCGCTTGCTCGTCTCGTTCCCCTTTCCCATATGCAAGATCATACCTCTGTTCTGACATGTCATTAATATAGTGGCGCATACTGCGCTATGACTATTATCTCGTTACTTGACCTGCCGCTGACGCTTGCTCCGGGTTCTCAAGCGCGGGAAGCTGGATTGGAGAGTCTGACGAGTGGACTTCCTGAATATCTCTCACGATGTATGAGTTTGGTGGTTTGGTTTATAGCTCGACATGTGCTGACATTCGCCCTTAGGCCAAACGTTTGAAGGTGGTATCTCTGGTAGCCCTGGGTCGGAGGCCCATGGGGCATATGCATTTTGCGCTCTGGCATGTCTGTCTATCTTGGGACCCCCCGAGGAGATCTTTAACAGGTGCGAGATTACTCGAGCCTAGAATGTTCACTCTGATTCTCTTATGCTAATGATTCCTGGCAGACACATGGATATTCCCATGTTAGTGTCGTGGTTGTCTGCACGTCAGTCCGCCCCAGAGGGTGGTCTTTCCGGACGAACAAATAAGTTGGTGGATGGATGCTACAGCCATTGGGTTGGTGGATGCTGGCCGTTGCTTGAATCTTCTCTAGAGGGAAAGCCAGATAATACCAAGCCCCCAACCAACAGTCTTTTCAGCCGCGAAGGTTTAATCCGATACATCCTTGGATGTTGTCAAGGGACCGACGGTGGTCTTCGTGACAAACCGGGAAAGTATGTGCACTCCTATCTGTGACAGTTCTTTTTGCACATGTAGCTGATCAAGACCAAGGCACGTCGATTCATACCACACCTGCTATGTTATGGCAGGATTGAGTGCGACACAAAACCATCATTATCGGACAGCCTCGAGTGTCACAAGCAACAACTTTTCATCCTCATTTTCCTGGAAGTCTTCACCAAACCGTGATCCGGGCAATGTGTTTTCAAGAGGTGATAGGCTAGAGCCAATGCACCCTTTGTATATGATCCCACACAAAGCCGCGGAGCAAATGCGGCTCTGGTCCGAGGCCCAACCCCTCACTGTCTAACCGGGAGGAGCGGGAGCCGACGCCATATCAAAAAGAAGACACGGTACAAAGCGCCACGACGGATGAGGTTGGCTTCGGAAAGTCGAAACAGGATGTCATTGGTAACCAGTGACTCCGAGCGAGTGCATATGCATGACTAGCCTTGGATGCTTGAGACTGCAAGCCCCACGGTCATAACAGCGGTCATAACATGGGAGCCACGAGGATGATTTCAACCAAGCCAAGGAAGATGCTGTGAACGAGACCTAGACGCAAGGGGTTGGGTCTATGCGGTTAGAGGAACATCGGGGGCCCAAGTATGACTCTACAGCATAGGTCATAGCACATAGCACCAATTCCTTCTGTTTTCTTTTTTTTTTTTGTGTTGGCCGATGTTTCACCGATTTTCTGAAGTTTACAGAAAAAGGTCTTTCAGCGCTAAGGATATTTAGTTTTCCCGCCATTCTCGCCGATCAATATGGAAATCCTCCTACGATGTACATCATAATGTGTTTGCCACAAAAGACACAAGCTGCACGAGGCCCAAGAGGGTAAAAGTAATCGTCAGTACCAGAGTATGCAGATAAATCCAACGCCTTTCCCCACTGCAATGCCAGCTCATCACTGCGTCTGATGCCTGCCGAATCAAGAAGGTCTTCGGAGGGGGGGATACTTTTTCCCATTCTCCGATATTGGATATTCTAATTCACTTTACCCACTGAATCCAGTCTACTTTGATTATTCCATTAACTCATATTCCACAAGCAATCGACCCCTCTTCAGGCGCGTTCTGCACAACATGAACGGCCCCTCCTTGGCGCCAATCACCATTCGCATCCCTGCGCGTCTCGATATCCAGGCGGCAAATTTAATTGTACTTTCTCTGATGGGTCTGCGGGGCCAAAAAATGAAACGAAAAGACCATTCCGAGAAAACAACACCAAAAAATTAAAATTTTCACCCATGTACGGAGTATAGCACAGTATAGCACTGCTATTCTGTTCTAATCAATCCGTAATACTCTGGGATCCATATTCTTCAGATATTACCTATTCTGCAAGTTACAAGCTCTTAGTCTCCGAGAATGTTTATGTTTCGATCGGCGAATTGCAGGGGCATAGCCAGATAGCTTACGGTGACCCCCGGTGCCTCAATCTCGGTTTAATTCTACTGGCAACGAGATATGCCAGCGCATCAGTTAAACCCGCCGAGAAAACGGCACACGAAACATGTCGAACACCCATTTGAGTTACTGTTACCCTTTTTTTTGGAGCCTTTTTCCCAAGGTCCAAGGTCCAATGCGAGTCTGGGGTTTGCGTGCATCTATCGTCTTCTCTTCTCTTCTCTTGTACTTTGTTTACTTGAACAAGGTAGTCTATACTCGGATCCCAGATCCTTAGGGTCTCTTTCGAGGTTTGGTTGTTTCAATGTTATTATTTTTCTGTTTATTCATTACTCGTACTGTTTATTATTACTGTTTACTGTATACTTGTCTTTTCTTTTTTTTACTCCTTCAATCTTTCAACGGTGGGTATTAAAATCCTTGTAGTTTGACCTTTTGCTTTAATGCCCTTTTCTTCTTCAGGTCATCTGCATTGACACCAAGTGTCTTCTTTTTTTCTATTTCTTTGTGCGCTGTCGCAATTGCAACTGTTTCCCTCTATTGGTACTGTGTACACCGGCCAGCTCACGGTATGACCTGGGAAGGGTATCAATGCAAAAGCCCCACCTGTTTTTCCAGAAGTAATCAAGTATATGGCAAGCAGCAGCTCTTTCCCCCTCATTAATTTGTTTTTTTATTTTTTTTTCTTGTTGCACGGAGGGGGGAGGGGGGACTCGGTTCTAGGAATTTGTATATCTGTATATGGGTGTGGCATCTTTCCAACATTTCCTTTGAAATTTTGATTTAGTTCTCCCTCTCTATTGTGCTCACTCTCGTGCTTTTCATTCCTCTCTTCCTTAAATTAGACCCCTGGCCTTTACTAGTATTATAATTGTGCTTTTGTTTGGAACGCCAGCACATCCCCCCGCTGCGAGCAAAGCAAACGCGGTCCACCAGCCGTTGGGCATCACAATCCGCATATCCTCTGACTGCACAACAACTGGCAGCACAGCCTCAGCCCTAAACCAGTCTTCCTGCAAGCCAGACCCGTCCAATGTGTTCTGAGTAATCGTCCCAATTCGTTGCAGTCAGACAAGTGGCAACACCGTCGCCCGTCGCCTGTATCCAGCTTTCCCGTCTTTCTCGCTTTCGGCTTCCGTCTGGTCAGAATCCCAAGATGTACTATATTCTCTACCTGACCAGTATGTTATCACTCTCGCCACCATCTCCACCTCCCTCTTCCCCGGGCTATGTGTGTCATGCATCAGTGCCAACACAAACCAATCCCCCAACCCCGTCCCTAGATATCCTACCGTCAAAAAAGACATCCAATGCACAAAAGCAAACCCAAACCCTAACACCATCCCACCCCACCCCATTTCAACCAATCTCACTCACCCAAAACTAAACTAACAAATTCAAACTCAGGCCTCTGCCGGCGCCGCAACTGGCCCGAACCAATCTACAACGCCTACACAAGTAGCAGCGGATACACCTGCACTGTGCGCGTCAACAACCGCGAGTACCAGACAGACGGTATCTGCAGCAACGAGACACTCGCACGCGAGAGCGCTGCCATGCGCGCCTACCTCATCTGCCGCAACTTCTCTGTCAACGACGGCATGTACCCTGCTGGCCATGAGCAAGGCGGCGCTGTGCAGGGGATGCGTGTTGCAATTGGCACGGGACGGAAGGTTACTCGTGAGGATGATGCGCTTTCAATGGGGTCTATGAGTGTGAATGGGAGTGGGAGCGATAGTTCGCACGGTGGGAGTTGGAGTGGGGGAAGTAGTCCGGCTAGGGCTGGGATGGAGGGGGATGGTAGGGGTGGGTTTGGGGGAAGGAGTTAACTTGAACTTTCTCGGGGATGGGGGTTACGATTTATGATATTATGGATGATCATGACTACGGCCTTTTGTATGATTGTGGACTTTCTAGATGGAAAAGCTGCGGGATTTCGGATGATTTCTGATTTGTGGTTCTGCTAGTTATGATATGGTTGGACTAATGATGCTTCTATCTAGATGGTGGATTGATTTGTTTTGTTTGCGAGAGGTGGTCAGCGATGAATTTATGTTATGAGGTTGTTTGATTTTCATAGTCCTTGAATTTATACCCTATCGGACTCGCCAACTTGTGGGCAACTGATGTACATTGGTAGTGTACTTAGGCTTAGTCGTCAGTAATACGTATCAAACCTTTATTTTAGAGTCACTGTAGGAACTAATTCTCTTGTTGAGTTCATACCATCAATTACATTCCCCTCTAATTATGTCAGCCCACAGTGCCTGGGCTGCTTTCGAAAGTGGCAGCTAAGATAGGAAACCCCTTGGCAGAGAAAGTCTGATATTTAGATCTGAGACACTGGATGGGAAGGGAAGTGTAATGTCTGCATGTGGGACTCTCGAAAAACCTGTAAATCAAGCCGGAATAGTTATACCTCTATACCGCTTGCATCGTGTTACAAGCCCTCAATTAGTCCCATTCTCAAACCTGTCACTCTATTCATTGAGTCGGAGCAATAGATAGTGTATTGTCACCTGTGTCTATACCACTTCGCTTCCGTCCAATTGCTGGTTTCTACTAAAAGGCCTATCGCCACCCAAGGAGTCAAGACCCTATAGTTTGATGTATATCTCTTCCCTTCTCTCTGATCCTCTTTCTCTACCCGGGGGCTTTCACATGTCATACACTGTGCCAGTCACGTGGGTGGTTAGAGGCTAATGAGGCTGGCCCTTTGAGGCTCAGCGGGAGGTGCGTGCCCCTGGATTCGCTTCCACTTGTGGTCAACTCGCGTAGTTTCCAAATCATAAATATCTTTTTCATCTCAACTGATAAACATATCGCAACACCAAAGCACCCTAGGAATCTGCAGTGAGCTCTCCACTACTACACTGTGCTACCGGAAATGGAGTTGCAGACATTACAGTTCCATGGTCTCACGTGGGTGGAAGAGACATTCGGTTCTGAGCCCCGATGGACCGTAGAACCTGACATTGAGGCTATCAAGCAAGATTGAAGTGGCTTTCCTCGCACAGGGTGCATTCAACAAGATATACAACGTCAGCATCGATGATGAACCATTCATCATGCGAGTCTCGTTGCCTGCTGATCCAAGTTATAAAGTCATGAGTGAAGTAGCAACAATGGATTGGGTGCGCCGTATCACAAGCCTCCCAATCCCTAGGATTATCACCTACCAATCTTCCCGAGACAATCTGATTGGATTTGAATGGATGCTCATGACGAAAATGCCTGGAAAGCCCTTTGGTGAAATTTTACAGTCTCTTTCCTTCGATGTGAAAGCACACCTGATTAGGAAGCTTGCGGCAAGCTCGGCTTGCCTTTTTCGAAATCAACTATGCGGAATTGGAAATATCTATGGGGAATCATCTGCTGTTGAAAATTCAACATCGAGCGAGAAGATATCGCTCCCTAGAGAGTTGGTCAATACCAAAACATCAGTTCCGGGAAAGGATTTTGACTCGGGTTATGGTAGCGTATCCATGAAAAAGAACTCGGAAACTCCTCTATCCCATCCGTCCAACAGAGGATCTTCAGAGGAGGTTTTACCTGATGTGGGCCGGATTGTTTCTATGCAGTTTTTCTGGGATTCACATATCCATCAAGATGTCTACCGAGGCCGATTCCAGTCAAGTAAGGACTGGATCACAGCTCGCCTTCTATTTAACGAAAATGACTGTCATTCGGTTCTGAAAAAACATTCAGCTAGCGACCTTGATAGCGACGCTGAAGACGAAGTGGAGGAGGCGGCAAGAACGCTGGAAATCATTGACAACCTCAAATCCCTTCTCCCTCTGGTCTTTCCAATAGATGATGATAATCCAGAACCGTCAATGATATTTCACGACGACCTCTCACGGCACAATATCCTCGTTGACGACAACGGGGAGGTGACTGCCATCCTGGACTGGGAGTGTGTTTCAGCGCTACCTTTATGGAAGGCCTGCAACTATCCTGAGTTTTTAAATGAGAGACCACGACACTCGAAGCCTCTTCCTGAAAGCTATAAACCTGAGGATAATAGAGAACCAAATGAACTCTACTATGAGCACCTATGGCACTATGAGGACACACTCTTACGTGATATATTCATTGATGAGATGAGGAAACTGGACGCAGGATGGATGGAAGTTTTTGATAAGAGTCAGATCAGGAGAGACTTTGACTATGCAGTGCAGTATTGTGACAGTTCGGTCTCTGCCTGGAATATTGAAGCATGGATCCGAGACATGACCGCCGGTATAAGCAATCCGCGCAGCATGAACGATAGGATCTGGTCATGAAAAACAATGTCAGTGCAACAATGACTGTACTTTGAAGTGTGATAGCTGCTCTCTGTCAAGAATCTATGTACCGTGTCAATACCCATTATCAAACACAGTCCAGGCCGGATGAATTTGTTGAATAAAAGGGACTTGAAACTGTCAATGATCACTAACCGTGAATTCTTTGGGAAAGTTGCAACGCGGCTTCTTATCTGGTCAATTTAGGACGATGATCTTTGTGAATTGTTCCGGCAATACATGTGCTCTGTATGTACTCATAATCATTTACTGACAAAACAGCCTAGACCGATATTCTGGTTTGAGATAATGTCACTCCGTTTAGAACCCGAAATCTAGCCATCGTATCCATACGGAAGACAGAAAGCTTTTACTCTTGACCTCATGATCCAAATGACCTTACTTAAACGACCGAGTTATACCAGGGGTTCTTATGATCTGAAAATACTCTGTTGATTCACTGGTTATCTCCTTTCCCTGTCTCCTAGAGAGTAATGAGACCTATAGGACGTCCTGGGCCGAGTTTCCTCTCCAATTAATTCATTCCTACGTATGTATCTGTTCTGGATTCCTCTATAATTCCATTCAAAATCCGAGTTAGGATAGTTGTCTGTAAACGCGGCCAGCAAAAAGGGATATATAACAAACTACCCAAGCAAGCAAATCAAGCAATCAATGCCTCGGTACAACACATTTAGATTGGAATTCAGAGTAGCTGAATAGAGGAAGATTTTGATGGTACCCTTTGTGAAATTTGGGGAGGTCTATGGAGTAGTTTTCGGAATGTTCCATTGCAAATGAAGAGGTAATGATCGTCACATGCTTTTGAGGGAAATTATCACAAGAATTGAGTTGATGTTATACATCGGGGTATTCCCTCCTCCCCCCCCAAAAAAGGACGATAGAATCAATTTCGTCCATGCTCGCGTATTGTAGCCCATTTAGTTTTCATATTGCTGGAGAACACATCTCGATCATCGGAGTATATTAGACCACCATCATACTAGTGTGTTCTGCATTTTTCAGAACTTGACAGAGGTGCATAGGCGCTTCGGGGGCACCACTTAAAAGATGCGTGGAGGGGTTGTTTCAAATTGCCAAGATAATATATATTCAAAAGATCTAGAAGGGCCTCTGCAAGTATGGCGCAGTGGGTTCCCAAACAGGGATTATCTGCATCTCTATCACATCTTATGGTCGGGTAGTTGTTGAGCCCGATTGGTTCCCAACCTGCGGGGTCTAGTGCGTGTGACAGTTTTCCGCATTGGTGCGGAATATTAGTTCAGGAATGATATCTTGCCAACGAAAAAATGCCGATAAAATGCCGATACATTATATTATTATTATTCATGAATGTAACTAGGCTTGTTTGAGCCTCTTTTTGAAACTCATGTTTGATTCGTGGCCTGAAACCCCGGTGACATCGCCACAGTCACTGGCGGCTGTAGACCTCCTCAAAGATGAGAACCATAAGTGAGTGGTTTACTATGCAAAAGGTAGATAGCCAATGTTAGTAACATTTCAGGGTTACTATCTCTTACCGTGAAATGAAGCTTACAAAATATGTTTGCATCTGGTTACATATATATATATATATATACTCCTATTCATGGTAGGAATTACTCTATATAATAATCTGCCTTACACTGAAACTCGTAGAAATGTTCAAGGTCATATTAATCAATCAATACCAGAGGTTTTACAGATTTTATGCGTATTCCTGAATGGTGGCTTGAGCTAGCACTCTTACTCTCTCCGTTGGACTGCTATAGCCGAGGTTCGAACACAGAAATTAACCAATTACAACATAGTAGTAGTGAGATTGATAACTAGGTTGTGCAAATTGTAGAATACTTGTTTTTGATGGCAAATTACCCAAGTTCCTGTCTTAAATATGCATCATAGGAGTGTAATACTACTAATATTTCCCCCACAGTTCCAAGGAAATGGTCTACAATGTACGGAGTACCCCGACCTAAATTACATTGCTGTTGTACAATATAGAACAAATTAACATGTGGATATGTTTCTATCATCATACAAGTAATAACAAGGAATCCCTCCTTTCGTTACATCACCAAAGCTGATTAGTCGTTGGTTTGGTCTTGTTTGTTTGATGACATCATAGTCTAAGCCCTCCTGCCAAACAGCCTTCCATCACTATAAGAAGCCCCTTCTGCTTCTGCTATTAACTTCATTCATCATACAATCCTCAAACCCTCAAATCAACAAATATCCAAACTTTCAAACCTACTTCAAACAATCTACCAACAATATCATAATGGAGACCGCCAAGGTTCGCATAATCATGTCTCTAGATCACATATTTGTCAAGTACTAATATTTGACCTTAGAACGCCGTTAACTACGTTTCTGAGACTATTCAGGGCGGTGGTGCTGAGGCATCAAAGGAGGCCAACAAGCACGTCGCCAAGGACTCTGATGCCAGCCTGGGCAGCCGAGCCAGCGCCGCAAAGGACGCCGTTGTCGACAAGAAGGACGAGGCATCCCACAATACCAAGGCAGATGTCCACAAGGGTAAGATTATTGAAATCAATCAAGGCGTGGCAAAGAATCAAAGCTAATGATATGCAGAGGCCACTAAGCACTAAACAGGTGCTCAAGGAAACTGGACTATTGGGATAATGAGATACCCTTTTTGCTAGCACTTAGGTGATAGACAGAGCCGGCTCTCTACCTGTACAATATTTGCAGATGAATTTACGCCAATGAATTACTTTGTAACATGCAATATATCTTGAATCATACATGCAATGTGCACATGAAACTCTCGCTTTGTTTTATAATCCCTATTATTTTTGTAATTATAGCTTTGATTGACTTGCAACAATCACTTCAAGACATCAAAGACTATGTCTAAAAAAGGAGTAGCAATGAGATAGATGTGCAATCAAAACTTCCAAGCTTGCTTGAACCTGAAATATCTGAAACCTTAATTGGAAATCTGGGGATCTGATCAGACCCACATATGACGTCACTTTCAAGATCATCTCCAACATAGGAGAAAGTTTTGGATTGTTCGTCTCCTACTGAGAATATAGACAAGTCTGCTGATCTGAATTGAATAAATCCATTTTTTTGGTCGATCAATCACTTCCTCCTTCGCACGCACATGGTACATAGATCACTAATGGTTAACATGGTTCTCATCCAGCCTTGGACAGTTACTTATTCTTTGCCTAGTCCTAGGAGTTAAGGTGTTAAAATATCTTTTGTTTTGCTAGCCTGTTGTATCGTAATGTAGCCAGGTAGTAAGGCAGCATTCAGTCCTTACAAGGTTACTTTCTTGCTCGCACTTAGTCAGACTTCCCTTTGTCCCCATGGAGCATATAAGGAGCTCCATGGCTGTAGTAGATTCATAATCTGCATCTATCATGAACTCCGAAATACTGGGAATGATGATCCAGGGCTCCAGGAATGAAATGAGAAACCATCTCGATGTATTTCATGTGACTGGGACTTTTCCCTGGAATGTTAGACCTCCGTAATGGGAGGTTGCATTGGCCACTGATTACAACGGAAACCGATTTCTCCGAAATAAAGTGCTTGACAGCGTTCTTCCAAATTGGAGAAATATACATACTCACTGGAAATACGGTTCCCAATCGGAAATATGACTCTGTAAAAGTGAGACTCGCTTCATGACTATTTGAGCAAAAGTTGAAGGCCGAAAGTCTTAGAAATCCTTGGCCTAATTTTGACGGGTACTTTGCCTCTGTCTACCAACCTAGAGTCTCGCCCTGCTCTTGCTGGTGAGACTGAGCACCTGTCCTCAATTAGGCACTATTCGTGAGCGGACCGAATCCGAAATACATTGGGAGATTATGGCTCTCCAAAACCGACAAGCAGCCTTGCTCGAAGGATCTCCTTGCTCGAAGGAATGACCCCGCACTACAAGGAACAAGCAATGAGCAGCATCCAGCGTTCCCAGAAGAGACAAGACCGAAAATTTAGCGAACATGGCATGACCGAGTTTCTTAAGGACTTGATACAAATTAGTTTATGTTTGAAGAAACTCCACCTGGCTTTCAAGGTCGTTCTACTCTACCGAATACAGATACCCAACATTTGCCTAACTCGCGCTCCCGGTAGAGCTTGTTGAAGCCACGAACTGTGTCATTTGTTGTTCTCTGCATTCTGAAGGGAAACCCTACGACATAGACGTAGCTCGATTCCACCCCTGTTCAGTATTGATCGTATTAACGTGCTTGGTCAAATCTAGCGTGGAAGGAATGGATACCACGTCATTTCGATAGAGATAAAGGGAAATACAAATACTCGAGTCAAAAAGTGATTTTGTTGAAAATTGTTAAAATTAGCTATACCCGTCCTGGGCCAGAAGTTGACTCTAGTCAATATTAAACACAGAAGCAAAGCCATTCCCCATCCGTAGGGGTCCCCGGGTCCTAAATATGATGGACCATTGCATTCGTGCACCATTTTTGAACATCAAACTGGCTATAAATCCAGGTCGTCTTTTCATTTCCACACAGTTTAATTAGATCTATCATGCCGTGCGTGGCTGAGCTGCCTAATCAGCTCTTTTCTTACCGCGCATGACCTTGCGTCTTTGGGCAATCATGTGCGTATACAGGACATAAGATCCTGGTGGGTAGTCAGCAACCAATACTATGAACACCGTAAAAGAAGAACAACATACCAGGCACGTAGATCACGAGGATCGCAATCAAAATGTAACGGAAAAGTGGGTTCAGCTCGCCAGCAGGACCAAGGGCCTGGAAGATAAGCGTGCACTCGCTGGAGATGCCAATTGGGTAGAAAACGTAGAAAGTGTTGTATCTAGTCAACGCGAAACTCATCAGCCCATTGAACACGATAACCACGCAGATAAAAAAAAGAGAAAATCTAAGACTTACCGCAACCAAGTCCACCAGCTCGGGACCGAGTTCCCAGACAAGGTAATAGCAAAGAATCCATAACGGATAACTTCCGTAATTCCCCACGCAAAGACACATCCCAGATACGCATAATCACCCAACTGGGTATCCCGCCCACCAACAATCTCCCCACCAAACTGGGCCATAATCCCCCACACCAGCAGCAGACGGCTAGAAACCTGCATGGCGGTTGTCATGAACGGCGCGCGCACAAGGCCCACTACGCTGTGCACGACTTCCAACAGGGCGAGGGACTGCGTGGCCAGCAGGAGCGGGGAGAAAGTCTGACCAAAGACCTTCGGGAGAGTTTTGGTCGAAACATGGGCTGGGAGGAGAGAGGCCGTGTAGACGGCACAGGTGCCCCAGGCCAGGAGGTTGAGAGTGTTGTATGCGAAGAGGTAGGTTTTTGTGAGGCCCGAAGAACCGGAGCGCGGGGCGCTTGATGTTTTGATTGACGCCATTTTTGCCCCAGAATTGTTTCTCGTCGGTCTCGTGGAGGCAATTGGCGATGATGTTGCCCTGGGTGGTCGAACTGGAAATGTTGATTTGGTTGGGAAGCTCGCGATCAACAAAAAAAAAGGGACCGAGGCCCATTACATAAGCATTCTAGAAGACCTCGCTGGCGAGAAGCTGTGGAGAAAAAGTGTGCTTGGGATCTGGGGTATACTATGTAGGTACATCCATCTTTAATTTTGTTCTGTTGAGTTTGGACGGCTTATGCATAATTTTATTGAAACTATATGAGTATCACTATAACTTCAATATTGCCCGCACTCGGGAAATACATGCTACATATCCTATTTAGCCAATTACCCTGTCAAGAAATCAGCCATGCAGTTCTCTTTGCTCCTTACCCGACTATAAGCCGTCGCTAGGTTAGCGAGCCCGCAGACAGCTTCTCTGCAAGCCTGGACCATGTGAACTGTATTCAGAGGCTCTCTGCCGAGGAATAGGCTTGATGTGATTCGCTGAAGGTAACCGAGTGCATGAACAGGCAGCCAAGCGGATGGCTTCCCATAGGAGGCGCTCTTAGCCAGGGATACAAAGAATACAAAGACTACGTAGTAGCTGACCCCGTGCTTGTAAAATCGCATGATCTAGTCGCAGACTACTGCAGGCTGCTTACCATCTCGTATTGCCGGCAGCAAACATACGTTGGTTTGGCCTATTTTGGGACATGACTGGTTGGTATGTCGGAAAGTATATGGGCAGATGGGTAGATGGGCAGATATCGGAAGGATTGATGTGATGACTCGGATTTAAGATATGTAGTAACTAGTTAGTGTGGTTTACATAGTTCAATGAATCTGTGGACTTAGCGTGAGAATCACCCCACATTAACCAAAGTACTCCAATATATATATAGTCCTGTTGATTTTCCGTATTTAAAGACCGCACATTTAATTACGATGAACTCGGTTTGCATGTCTTGCATTTGTACTCTGTACCCCGTACAACCATTCTCAGGTTGTAAGCGGTTCAAGGGTATGCGAACTGACATCATTAAAGAAAGGAGCTTGGCACTTTGAGAGAGTTCAATGTTACTAGGGTTAGGACTTGGGAGTATATAGTAATGACCAAACAACTACAATGTGAAATTTATAGTAAACAGTGTGTAATTTAATATGATTTGTTTTAACTTGGCGTATTTGGTGTAATTGACGTAATTTCTGTAAATTTGCAGTTACAGTGAAATGACATCAGAGGCTGAATGGGCTGCACTCCCGCCCCATGCCCATGATGTCATGGCTATTAACACAACATCTCATTGGTTGAAAATAGTGGAGAGTGTTATAGGAGCCAACCACTTCGCGCAAAAAAACCAGAGCAAAACGAGAGATGTGATGCCCCCATTTCTTCTATATAAACAAAGATGGCTAGGGGTTCGCGAATGAGAACATACTCGACCTCAATTGACATATAACCTATACGCCAGTCCTTTGTTTATAAGGAATTTGAATCCTGAAGCCAGATCAAGAAAAAAAAAGCAACGAAGGAACAGCATTATCGTCACCAGTGACAGCATAATCGCTCGTGTCTTAGCCCAGCAATATAACCCCCCCCCCCCTTTCCCCTCTCAGAGAAAAGGGTAAAAAAAGGCCGTGGAACCATAGGCTCATCGTTCAACTCACTCCAAGTACGTCAGATGGGAAATCCATGCAACACACAGAACGAGTCCCGAGTCATTGGACACGGTCCTTGACGGTCCAGACCAACTGGAACAGGTTCTACTGCGCACTTGGCCCAAGTCGATCGTGTTTTCCTGTTGTGTGAGCCGGGATTATTATGTCTTACCTGGTTTTCTTTTTCCTACTAAAATTCTACTAGGATACTTAGGATACTAGGTGTTTTATTTATGTTTTTTATTTACGTTTTCAAATACTGACTGAGTCATGAAATCTGTCTTTCAAAGAACGGACTCATCAAAAAGAAAAAAGACTGCGATTCACAGAGTCTCCCCAAATGGTTCCGCGTGTGACCGTCCAAAAGTGTGCTTGGAATCAAATGACGTTCCCAGGGATCGGCGGCCCGATGATGTCTTGCTGGCCCCTACTCTGTACTGCCAGATGGGGTACTCCGTAGAGGAGTTGTCTTTCGCGGTCAGAAACATGTTGCTTTTTCTTTTTCTTTTTGTTTCGTCCTATCAGTCCCCCCTAATTCTGTACTTGTCCAGTATACTTACAGATCACCGAGGGGGTTTCCCGTTCACTACTTTTTCTTTCCTGGTGGACCCATCAGTTGAGGTGATGCCATGGTTGTACTCCACTGTCATAAATGGAGCTCGGAGGAATTCGATCCAGAAATAACAGTTCTTAAGATCGTGGCTGGGAAAAGCCAAGATGATGTACGATTTAACCGAGAAAAAAAGCAATGAAGTCCAAAAAAGCAAGAAATTGTATGGAATACAAGATTGTACTAATCATGTGTTTAGGATTGCTTTACTTTTGGAGTTGACCGAAAGGAAAAAAGAATAAAAACCACTCCAGAATCCAATTAGAAGCCATATACACAGCAGATTATAGCTAATGATATGATATATGAGATATAGCTACTCCGTACTAGTAATGTGTACATGTTTTCTCCCCAAGTATGCCAAGGCGATGTTGAGGAATGTCAAATAATATGACTGATTGACTTATATATCTACTTATATAGACAATGTATTATGTAGTGAATATGAAATGAATATCTATTAATTTTTTCTAATTTGTCTCTCTTTTTTTTTTTTGATATCTTTTCCCATCTATAATCATTCCAACTGAAAAATCCCCAAGATCCTCTAGTTGGTTCCTTTGGAATTGACCTTACCCACCTCCCACCTCTGCCACCTTCTCTTTCTCCGCCCCTCCGATTTCCTCTCTTCCCCCTCTCTCGTCTCTTTGACATTCCCATTTTTCTCTTGTCCTTTTTTCCCCTATTTCTTCTACTTTTTTTTTCCGTTTACTCTTTGGGATATTCCGATTGTGTCCCTTCGCCCTTTTTCGGAACTTGATCTCCAAAAACCGAGGCAAAAATTATTATAGGTAGGAAGAACTTTCCTATTTTGCCCCTCTCTTTTTTTGAATGTCTTCCTATATCTTCCTTTTTCCCTTTCAATTCCCTGTCAAGTGGAGACCCTGCCTTTGAAGGCTGCAGCTCTTGCAACTGCGCTAGTCCTTCCAAGGCTGTTTACAAGGCTGTGACTGGATCACTGTTCGAGTATATGCGCTGAGTGGCCCTGTTTGTTCCCTCTACACATATACCACCTCCACACCTTTCCTTTAATTCTTTTTTTTTCCCTCAAACCCTGATTGCTGTGTATTGCAACCCCTCTATACCCCCCTCTCTACTCCGTCTTGGTTTTCCCACCTCTCATTACCCAGCACTGGTCACCCTGATCACTTAATTTGGTGGCTTTACTTCGCCTCGGTTCCAGCCTCTTCCCCTTAGCCAAAGACCCTCCAGAGCCACTCACAGTTGTCCTGTTAACAGATTCTTGGTCTGGATCCGTAACACTTTGCTGGCTTTGTAAGACGACATATGCGTTGTGTGCAGATCTTGCGATTCTGACGTCCTTGTTGTATCATTGATTTTTGTATTCGGGACTTCTTTTTCATTGATTTGCCACATTGTTCTATCCAAGATCTGGATCCGTTGGATGAATCTGAGCTGACTGGGATTTGAAAGCAGAGCCCCTCCTCGTATTCCATCCGGATTGGCTAGGCATCAGACCGGATAAATCAACCGCATTTCCATCCAACGATTGTGACGATCTGCGCAGTGCACTAAGTTGCATCAACCTACTCCTTTGAGCATCTCCACACATACACAAATACAAAGCCATGGCACCGACCGATAACAAAAAGGCCGAGCCGGTAAGTACTTCCTTGCCTCGTCAAAGGTTTCTCGGCCTGACATTCGAATCTAGGCCAAGCAGGGCCCGCCCAAGCTCTCTGACTATAAGGAAATCCTCGACGAGAGCACATTTGAACAGATCCTGGAGATGGACGACGACGAGGAAGATCGCGATTTCAGTAGGAGCATTGTGTACGGTTTCTTTGATCAGGCCGAGAACACCTTCAAGAAGATACAGAAGGAAATGTGAGTGTTATTTCCTGGAATTCCGGTGATTATCCTTTGCTAACTATCCCGCAGAGATGACAAGAACCTCGATGAACTTTCTGCTCTCGGGCACTTCCTCAAGGGCTCATCGGCCACACTTGGTCTTATCAAGGTCAAGGATGGCTGCGAGAAGATCCAACACTTTGGCGCCAACAAGGATGAGACAGGTCTTATTGACGAACCTGACAGCGAGGTCTGCCTTAAGGCCATCAAAAAGACCCTGGATGAAGTCAAAGTTGCATACCGCAAGGTCGAGAAGCTCCTCCGCCGGTACTATGGTGAGGAGGTGAAGGACGAAGAAGAGAAGCCAGAAGAGAAGGAGGTCAAAGCGGAGAAGGAAGAAAAGCCCAAGGAAGAGCCCAAGGAGGCCACGGAGACCAAGGAGCCTACCAAGGAGTCCAAGGAAGCCTCAAAATAAGTGGTTATGCGGCGCGGTTGATATCCCTCCCTCTCCTTTTTCTTTTTAGCGACGGATGGAGCATGGCAAACGGCTTCCTCTTTTTTGATTTCCCCCTTTGCCCTTTTTTTTACTCCCTTTCTCTTTTATCTCCCATCCCTTCAGGTAGTGGATTTTCTGGCTTTCTTGAAACGTACATAACAAACCTCCCCCACCATATCTCTCCTTCTTGTCCGGACACTGGTGTGGAAACGGATATTCCTGATCTGTCACGTAAGTGCAGGCGCGAGAATCGTGACGATTCAGAGGAGTCTTGAACAATAGCGACATACGGAAATCCGAGTGCCTCTGTCAGGCCCCGTTTTCTTGCTTTATATCCTGCGCTTTTTCTTTCGTGGATCATTGCATAGTAGCCATTGCGTCACTGAGGTACGTGTAACGCAAGAAGTAGCCTATAATGTCTCTAAACGTCAAGGTCTACCCAAAGTATTCAACCAAAGTACCTGAAAATTGGCTCTGGGCAAGCCTAATGTTGCCACAAATAGCCACTAAAGAGAACTTTCCCTGTTAAAGCAGATCATCGGATCAACCTCCCAAGCGTCCAAGCCGAAAAGTGGCGCTCTAAAAAGCTTTTTACCTTCAGCCACCTGCGTGGGCCTCGGGGACCCCCTGGGGCCAAATAAGCTTGACTTAACCTTAGAACTTTATACTTTGCCCCATGCGGGATCGTCGAGCTAATTTTGGGTGTATATTTTGTCTTCGCTCGACAAATTGGTTGTGTTGATCTGCTAGAGTCGATATTCAATGGGGATTCTGTTCACTCTTAGCCTTCCTCGCGCGTGTTCTATACTTGAATGTCTATCTATCAAAAGCTCGGATAGCAACTGTTCAAGATGGAAATAATCAACTGGTGAGATTCGATCTAATCGAAAGTTCTGGCCAAATGCTCCCCTTTACGAGAGTAGTTTGTCAAAATCAACAGATCCCATCCTCCACTATCTACTCCAACTGACAACAAATCCTGCCGGATATGCGTCTTCACCCGCTCTTGCATGGCTAATAGCGAATGGTAAACGAGTACCGGGGACCTGCAGTATGGAGATGGTGCAACGCCGGCGACATTTAACGGTATACTCACATATCACTGAAGCTGCATGGTGAGCTTTAGGCTCTACAAAACGCCTTTAGAGAACGCTCTTTGTATCCCAGGTCACAATTCATTTTGGAAGATGCAGATGCAGACACTCCTCATATCTAGAATCTATCTCATTAATCTGACCGTCCCAACAAACCTAGAGCTCTCAACAATCCGTGCTAGTATGCAATGCAGCGGCGGGATTATGCAGTGCCATTCAAATCGGGATGCGCAGATGATCCGCCTTGACTAGCCCTCGTCTTGTGCACAATGTGACATCCGTTCTTTAATCGCAGCGCCAACGAGGAAAAGCTCTGTCAAGACGGAGATTGGACGGTAAGACCTTCTGTCAAGAATTACGTGTCGCTTTTTTATTTATGATATATCTATTTGCTTTAGTCGCCATCTTATTTGCCAAACTAGCTTTCGGAACATATAGCAGCTGCAACGGTATTTCCGATCCTATCAAGTTATAAAGATACAATGTCGCTCGGAATCCGCTGAAAACGATAGATCCAAAACCAAACCTCAATCCACCATATTCCGTACTTGTTGCCACGTTGCTCGTCCTATTCAACCAGCCCTTATCCCATTGCATATGCACACATCGCAAACGAGAAAATTCAAATCGAGTCAAGCCATCTCGCAACCGGATTCCCCTTTCCCCGCAACGGGACGCAAGTACGCGCTCACCATCGGAAATGCAAAAACCGATGCAGATGCAAGCACCAGCACAGATTTGGGTTCCGGTCTGTCGAATTTCTGTTCAATTGCATCCTGGCCTGGATTCCGGCCGGGCAGGTCACACGAATTAGCCAACGAGCTATTTTTCTCTTTCTTTCTGCAGGATACCCGTAAGCCGTCGGATAGGCACAGATGCCTTATTTGGCTTTATTTCCTGCTAGCAAGGGTGACTGTGAATGTTTCGCTTTCTTCTAGGTTAGGTTTCAGTGGGCCTCGATGCCGAGTTCGGGATGCACGGTCTGGTTCTCTCAGCTCTCTCCACAAAGTGGACGCCCTCGGTTGGGAATGTGGTTTTTTAGGATTTGTTCTGTTCAGCTGGACTAGAGCTGTGTCGCTCTCTTTTATTGCGGACGCGTATAGCTGCGTAGCAACTAGATTTTGATCTAGAGATACTGAATTTCCCTGCCGAGTACCTATCTGTTGCTCGAGTGGGGATAAACGTGGATCCGATAATGTGTAGTCTGGGAATATACAATATTCAAATTGACCTCGAACACACACCCCTTTCTCATGCATGCAAGCATACATATATCTCTTACCCGTCTGTCTCGGATAGTAGGCCTGAGCTCAGCAAGTTGCCCTCGATATGCTAGAACGCACTTAGCCTGCCATCTTAGCGCTCAGTCCTCGACCCCGAGTTCTGGGTCCACGATGACTCTGTTTGCGATTGTCTCGCTTTATTTGACTCCCCTGGTTCGCAAATACGCCTTTTGGAGGAGGCAAGTGAGAGGTAGAGAATAGGAATAGGAGGCTTTGTACCACCTCCCTGTCCTTTTCTCCCTTTCTCGCCCTGGATCTAAACTACACGTTCTCCTTTGTCGTATCGGACTTCATGCCCCCAGCCTACATCACACCCAGAAAGACTGTACCACATCATCGTAGCCCTATTACCTAGATTCCGCCAGCCCCCAACGGTTTACTTACCCTACCCACGCTAAACCACCGATAGCGAACATACTGCAGCCCAGATCACAGTTTGACGTAGTCCGGGGTTGTATATCAACGGGTGTGCAGTGATCGTCCACACATTGTACATGTACCACCCCTCTACTCCACGAATCCTGCAAGAAGTACAGTAGCGTCTAACCCCGGAGAGAGAACCGTAAGCGCTAGGACGAAAAGATAAATCCCAAACTAGCAAAAGAAAATATCTCAACTGCAACACTGGACTCGTGCCCTCCATCTTTATCTTTCCCTTTGTTGGTCATGAATAATAATCATTATCTGCAGGAGAGGGATTGTCTTGGTCTCGAGCACTTTCCATAGATCCCTGTCCTCTGCTCTGGATCCTTGTGCTTGTGCTATATCGATCTGATTGCGGGTTTGCTCTTTGCCCCATTTCCCCATTTCCCCGCTTGGTCTGATTGCGTCTGTTTCTGTCTCTTGTCTCGCGCTGTCCGTTCGCTCTGCTCCATTCCGGCATAGACGTGCTCTGATTGTATCGGCACGGCTTCGGCGCCGTGCAATTTGCAGCCAACGGCCATTAGATGGGTTTCCACGCCGTTGAGATCTGTTTGAATGGGAGGGGGAGGGATATAAAGTCTGGCTTTGATGTAGGCTCTTTAGTTTTGTATTCACGTTCACATTCATATTCAGTTGTCTTGTTTCTTTGTTCGGTCTTGATCTCACGGTTATACAGCCTCGGTTCTATACTCTTCGATCACCGCAAATAAAACAACACCTCTACCCAATACACTCCTCGATCTAGTCGAGGAATCCAACAAAAATGCCTGTCGGACCTCGAGTATCCAAAGATGAATTCATGCACGCACTTGGTCTAAATCCACTAGACCCGCATCATGAGCAATACTACCGCGCCATGCGAGTAAGTACCACCCGAACCTTCAACACCTCCATTTTTCTCTCTTCTTCCCTTTTTTTCCCTCCACATCTACTATATATATCCCAGGAACACCCTAATAATCCCACTAGGACGAAGCAATCGTTGTCTACAGCCGCCTGAACTTAGACACCTCCTACCTCATCGACAGCATCCGCGCCGACCCAGCAGTCCGCCCTCCCTTCTTCTGGCACCACATCCGCCCAGAATGGCAGCGCTGGGGGATTCTAGAAATCTGCCACAATGCGCCACCACTCGTTCGCGGCTTGTTCGAGCGCGGGGCGACGAATGGCGAATACGGCCCGAACTGGGTCGCCGGGTGGTTGTTGTATAGTGTTTTTCGGTCGCGGGATGTGAGGAATAATCGGAATAGGAGGAAGGGGGAGGGTGCAGGTTCTGCGGGATCAGAGTCTGGTATGTATTATGTGTTTTTGCCTTTGGAATGGTGGCGGGGTTGCTTTCTTGAGGGCGATGCTGATGGATGTTTATAGATAAACGTACGAGGCAGGAGGAGACGACACAGCCGAAGAAGTACTATGATCCTGTGCGGAATGGGACGGTGTAATTTTTTAGGGTTGAGTGTGTCTCTTGGGATTTTCTTTTCTCTTCATCTCCAGGCTGTTTAATATCTATCTTGTATAATTGAAGTATCAAACTTGAAGACCATCAATGTAATGAAAAGTACGTACATACAGGGACTTGGGAGAATGGAAAGTAGATCAAATTAATCATCATCCCGATCATTCTTATCATCTGAATCCCTCTTCTTCTCATGTTTCTGCCGACGATCAGACTTCAAAACCTCCGTCACACGTTCATCTTGCTCATCAGCCCGCTCATTCCACTCAGCATCATATTCAGCCGCGATATTCTTGATCTCTCCACGAAGCGAGTTTCCCTCGTCAATCAAAGACTCCCAAAGCTGCAAATCAATCTTATGCAACTGATAGAGCTTCTTCTGCCTCGCACTGATCGTGAAGTCCAGCGCAGACTTGTAAGAAATCTCCCGATTGTGATACAAGAACCACAAGTAGCCTCCCATCAACGCAGACAAACTGACCAAGTAAGTCACAGGTTCCATAGTATCCCACCCGAGATCAGTCTCGAAGGTCAACCTGTAAACCGTAAACCACCAGATAGAAAGTATACCAAACCCACCAATCGCAACCCGCTGCGCACCCCGATGCGCCAGTGCATCACACTCGTCCTTCACATCCGCCATAGTTTGGATGCGTCGCGAGAGCTTGCGTAGCCGCATGCGGAGGTAATACGTGCGCTCGTTGAATGACGGTACAGTGACGCGGATCTGGCTTAGCCCTGAAGGCGCTCCTTCGATCGTCACGATGAACTCGCCCGCACGCGCAGCATCCCGGATAAAGTCGCCTATCTCTGTAGCTTGTGACCAGCGCACAAAGCGCTCGGGTTCGCCGTTGGGCGGCGGGGTGCCGTTCGTTGTACGTGGATAGCTGTATGTTTCGACGTCTTCTTCTCGGGACCGGCGATGCTGGGTGGGCGGGCGGCGCCCGTTAAGGGGCTTGCTACCACCAATACCGTCGTTGCCAGGGATGAAATCTTTTTCTTTAGATTGATTTGCGTCTAGGTCGATCTCGTCTTCGATTCGCTTTTTAGGCTTGATTGCGTTGTCATCATGCTGGAGTGCGATGAAGGATATGGCTGGTGGTCGCAGCTTGTCGGTATTGCCTTTGATTGGGGGTAGCTCTGATTGGATTAAGCGCTCTAGGTATGATAGTGGTTGTTGGGGATGGACTAGGATAGCTATGGGTTCAATTTCTGATTGGGCTGTTAGCGTGATGGCTAAGTAATGCCCTGAAAATATGTGGTAAGATCGACATACCTTTATCATGGCCTTCATTGCCGATGGTTGTTAAAGGAATGATCAATTTGAAAAGCCGCGATGGCGTCGTCAACATTTTACCTATCCTCCAAAGTCAGCATTGATACCCAAAGCAGTCATAGCAGCATGTTCGTACCTTTAGTCATCCTTTCAGGCCACTTCACTTCGTCCTTCGGAGACCTTTCCTTGTCGCCATCCTCATGAAGAACTGTCCCATGAGGCCGAGCTTCTTGATTGCCTTCTTGAACTTCGAACTTCTCCAATAGCTCTTCTGTCTTTTGCTTATCGCTTGAGACATGTGTATGATCTGTTTGGCTGAATTTCCGGATCTGAATCCATGCAAGATGATCCCGTGGAATTGCAGGCGGTCCAGTACATCCCAGCTTGGTTACCAGTGATGCACCAGGAGTCCCAAGACCAAAACCCTTTCCAAGAGACTTCCCTGAGAATAAACGTATATTTCTAGATGAAACGGCGGGGGCATTCCTAGCCCAGCCATTTAACCCTGCCGAGCTAATCTCCCCTAACGAGGCGTACTGAGCTCCACGTTGTAATATCCTCCCCGTCGCCGCCGACACGATAGGGGCGCAATTCCGTGCCGGAAAATACATTCTGAAAGGTGATCTTTTTGTGACTTCAATTGGTTGTTGTGTGTGTTCACATATGAGAAATAAGAGAGTATGGAAGATAACAATTGAATTAATGTTGTGTCACTTAGGAGACTCAAGGCATGACGAAGCGGCGTTTCGAGACACGCGTGAGGAAAAGGTATAAGAAGCTAAGAGAAGTTCAAGCAATAAGCTAGCCAGGATGATCCATGCACAAAACACCGCTCATTGTCAAGTTGGCGTCTACTGCCTTGGAATATACTGACGTCAGAGAAGCGCACGGGATCCATCGAAAATGGGCGGTGTGGCTTTTGTGGCAGTGCATCTATGTACATCCCATTGTGGATTTGGCGTGATTTATTTGGCTGATATAAGGGGTATTATAGGTAACTATATATGGATACTCTAGTTCACTAATAAGTTTTTGAATGTCTTTTTAAATGTATACGAATGTGGTAAAGTATAAACCGCACGAAGGACTTTTCTATGCATAACCAGTGATTTGTCTACATAGTGCATTAATAAAACATGATTATTCAATATACAGATGATAAACCATGTAGAATAACCAATAATCTCAGAGCTCGCGCATAATATCGCGCACAGCCTTGGCAGCAAACCGTTTCCGTTCGCCTTCCGGCAGCTCGGAACTCATATCTAATAGCCATGTTAGTACGGAGTAAACCAGTCAACTATACCGAGCTCGAGAAATCAACGCAGAGTCATACCTTTGATTGCCTGCATGCGCATCATCAATGCCTCCATACTCTCGACATCAATTTCATCATCGCCATCATCATGATCAGAGTCATCTCTCTCATCACCATCACCACCTCCACGCTCAATTGCCATACGTAAACCGAACATTTCACGCTCTAATTCATGAACCTCATCACCAAACCCACGAGTGCCATTCAGACCTAGTAGGTGATCTTCAAGATCATCATCGGAATCCATGTCAGGATCATTATCCCCGTCAAAGCCAGAGTCACCTCCAACCATAGACCAGTCATGAGTCTCAAGGACCTCTTTGACACGAGGCATACCCTCACGTTCTAGCATGAAGTTAGCCAAAATCCAAAAGTTCACCACAACAACACTCTCAATAAAAAAAAGCTTGCTTCAACAACTCACCTCCATAATGATTCCTTGTTTCAACCTCTAGACCCTCCTTAGGATCCCACTCAACAACCTCCCACCCCAACAACCCCATATCAAAAAACAGATCTTCCCACCACCCAACAGAAAACGGTACTGTCTCCGCACCACCTAAATCCGCATCATCAACACCAAGCCCCAGCTCCGCATCGGGATCCTTGGATCCCTGCTGACCCGTACCCTTACCCGCAGCGCTCTTCCTCCCCCCAATCAACACAAACACACCAGGAACATCACCAAGCCCGCCACGCTCCTCATCAATGCGCTCCTTGACATCGGCAATACCGCGCATGAGGTCGCGTAGTGCGCGGACGTCAGGCCGCTCAGCAGGGTCTGAGTCTGCATTGGAACCTGGTAGAGGTGTCGCATCGCTAGGAGTATGCGCGCATACAACCAGAGCTCCGACAGCCTCACGCACGATCTCCGCTTCTGGACTTAAGAAGTCGGTTTTCCATTGCTCGGCTGTTGGTGCTGGTGTGGCGGTAGTTTGTGCATCTGTGTCGTGGGGCGCGAGCGGGATCTCGTCGACCCAGACAGGGACTTCGGTTGTATAGTATTTTGTTTCGAGGCGGAGAGGGCTGTGGGTTGTGTAGCCGGCGAAGGTGGTTGTTGGTGGTGAGGGTGTTAAGCTTGAAATCTGTGGTTGGGTTTCGGTTGGTGAAGTGACTGGCTGTTGTGGCGGGTTGAGGACAGGCACACCGGTTAGGGAGTGTAGGAGTGGGGGGATTATTGTGAGAGATTGGGAGGTTGGTGTGAGGATCAGGAGGCGGCGCGGGTTGGGGATGTTCTTCACTTTGGACTTCGCGGAGGTTGCGGGGTTGGATGCGGGCGCTGAATAGGTCATAATGGCGGTTCTTTTTGGGGTAATGATGGGTTTGAGATGTGACTTAGGAAATTTGAGTCAGACAGTGCCCGATTCAGTTCATTGGTATTGTTCGGTGGGAGAAGGTGTTGTGTTGAGAAGGGTAGCTGTCCCCCGCATCAATAAAAAACATGACGGAGTGGATAATATGACCGGATAATGTCTGGCTTCAAACTCCCCTTTCCATTTTAGTGTTCTCCTCTTGCCGCTTTTAATCTCGGAGTAAAATTGAGCACGACTTACTTGAGCACGGGATATTATATATCCAACGTCTTACAATTCTTGCCAGCATAGACAATGACAGTATAGGCTAAGAACTCTGTTATTGGCACGTTTTTAGTCTAGGAATCTATATTTTCGATGATTCCTGGCTTTTATGTAATTTTTTTTTTCAGGGGCTTTTAGGGGTAGGCTTGTCGACTATGGTGGATGGAAGACTACGTGATTCGAACGCCGGGGCCTATTATAATGAGCGGTTAAATCCATGATAGAGGGGGGAATGAAGAATGATGAGGACTTGCTATGAAATTTACAGAGGCGAGTTATTTGTTCAAATGTCTATCTATGTAGAAATCTTCAATGTAAAAGTATTGAATTATCTCCCAGTTGATCACTCCTCTAAAAGAGACGCCCAGCGAAACCACCATCTCCGAATATCAAAAACTAGTTGCTCTCGATCCGATTTAGCTATACATGCTCGTTCTTGAATGCCGGGTGTTACTACAAGTCTCATTCCGGTATAATATGCAGCCACCCAGGATCGGTGGCTCGCCCGTACAGGACAATATCATACAGACGTAAACAAAGCTCATGTTCATATGGCACATGGTCCCTTACAGCCACTGGGACGTTGGGAATCTCATGGTGGAACATTAGTAGCATTTCTGACTTTTTAGTACTCAAGAAGTTCTCGGGGGTGTATCCATCAAAAACGTAATTGTTATGAATAGGAGCGTAGACTCGCAGGATAATCTCTAACATAATATCCTGATCTTCAGGTCGTTCGAAGATGCCAAGTGCTTCCCATGCCTGTCTATCATTTTCGATAACCTTCCGTGGGGGTATCGGTCTCGGCATGCTGGAGGGAGAGTGAATAATGCAAACAAAGATGATCCGTTGAAGTATTGAATTGTTGGAATCTTGAATTCTTAGCTTGTTGAAATTTTGATTGATGCTGAGTACCGGAAGTTGACGTGGAACTTGTCAACTATTTAAACACCCGTTGTTCGATAGGCTCTTTGTAAATAAAATAAAATAATAGCTTCTTTTATAAGGGGAGAATACAAAGAACAAAGAGAGAAAGAAAGAGACTTGAGAAGAGCCAATGAAGTTAACCGCGATTATTAACAAAATAATGCGTCGACAATTAAAGCCCTAGAAGCTCTTTGATACTGATATAATTACGGCTAATAAAAATATGATACAGTATCTAGAAGAAACAACAAAGGCTGCTCCATTTTAATACAAAGAGGTGAGCCAATGAAGAGTAAAACTAATATTGTAGACAAACTCGAGCCTTGTTCTCCTGGTAAGCTCTGTACACACAAGGAACGGCTAGTTTTGAGTTTGGGGCCGGGATAGAAGTAGAATCGATAAATATCAGTGTTAAAAAAATAGAAAAATGGAATCATGATGAGCAATTCCTCAAGGTGAATAGAGGTCAGATGATGGCTAAGCTGATGACAAGAACACTGCTTACATTCGTATGTGCCTTGCGGGCAGAACCAGCAGATAAGAATGAATGATCTAGGCAAGATAGAGTATTTATTCCGCCCTAAATTCAAGATTTTCCTTATCAGATGTCGCCAATTGGTGTAATTACATAGGTATATCTCCCATTGTAGCTCATTTCTAGTCGATCTTTGCCGAATATCTCCCAATTCATGCCATATAAATAGATCCACAGCTATGCTGTACTACTACAGTACGTGTGGGCTTTGAAGCCTTCCAGGCTACGTGTTGAAACATATGTACATAGAGCAAACCTACAGATACGATATTTACTAGCGTTCATATTGTAAAGATCTGTCCGCATTATCCGTGGATATATGTGCAGTTTCACAGCCCACGAGCTGTTTGAAGCTGCTTCAGAAAAGCTAGAGCAAACTAAATACTCAGAAAAGGTGGAAATGCCGAGACTCATAATTTATTAGTGGCATCTGGCGCGCATCAACCGCCTAGATAGATTTGTGGAAAATTATGAGCGCATTACATGGAATTTAAAAATGCACGATGGCACAATAGTACATTTTTCTCTACATAGTACATGCATGTGTACGGAGCACGTAGTTTCATGACAAAAAGGGACCAACTGAATTTGGCTAAGGGAGTATGTATATATAGTTGACCAGACTGTAACGGCAAACACCTCAACCTTCTTTTGTGTCGTTGATTATTATATCTGCAGAATGATCTTTGATTCAGTATTACCTCTCCCACCGTTGCCTCGAGCCGACGTCTTTTCATACATCTTCCGTCATGGACGGCAAGATTACCCCAAAGACCGCGTTCTTTATCGAGTAGATGGGACCGAGAAGACGTTGACTTTAGGTCAATTGGAGCAGCAAAGTCTGCATTTGGCTCGCAGCTTGAAAGCCGAATATCAAATCCAACCTCAGTGTGTGGTGGCCATTTTTTCCCATGATCTAGTAAGGCCTATCTGATACGGAAACAATTGCATACTTCTCACAACATGTCAAGATTCAATATCCCATCGCGTATTTTGGCTGTCTTGCAGCGGGAGCGACAGTAGCCTTAATTCCAGTTCAGAAACAGCAAAATGAAACAGACATTGTCTCGCATCTCAAATTAGTCAATGCGAAGCTGATTCTGACCGATCAAAAGCTGCTTTCCCTAACAGAGAAGGCATTGGCCCAGTATCGTGAAATCCCGGTGCTCACTTTGGATCGCGGATCCGCATCACACCCGAATCTGGAAGACATCCTGACTGAAACGAGATGCTACGATGATAGTCACTTCGTCCCGGTTTTTGAATTGACTACTAATGACCAGGCGGAAGAATACACGGGATTCATCAATCGCACCAGCGGTTCTACCGGTAGTATGAAGTCCGTTCTGGTCAGCCACGCCCATTTCATCGCAACGATGGAGGCCACTCGTCTCACGGTTCCATCTACCACCAACCCAGACGAGGATGTCTGGATTTCTCCCCTGTCCCTGGGCTTCTTTATCAACGCCAAATTGAATATGGGTCTCAACATCCTACTGGGAATTCCTGTGGTGTTGATGGGCGAATCTCTCGAATCGTCCAATATCGATGTTATCCCTCGTCATAGGATCACGTTCATTTTTGTTGCACCCCCATTGGCTGCAAAGCTTGCATATGACCGTAGCGATATAGACCTTAGCAGCGTGAAATGGATCCTAAGTGCGGGCAGTCCTATCAGCAAGGGTGTCCGCGATGCCTTGTCCTGTCGGTTTGGCGGACTGCCATTGACTATGGAGTGGGCCTCGGCAGAGACAATGCTCCTCACCATCCAGACTGAAGACGAATCTTCCCGTCAGCCGGGATCTAGTGGAACACTGGTCAATGGTGTGCAGGCAAAGGTCATTGACACGGAAACCGGTTCTCCCTGTGGGGTGGGAGAGCCCGGAGAACTTTACGTGCGCAATCGATTGGCTCGATTCAAAGGATATAAAGATAATGAGGTAGCCAATCGTGCGTTCACCTCAGATGGATGGTTCCAGACCGGAGATTACGGGTATCTAGATGAAAAATGCAATGTGTACATTGTCGACCGCATCAAGGAGCTGATAAAGGTCGGTGAGGGCTACGGATCGCATGTTTCGGCCGCCGATCTAGAGGGGGTTGTCTTTGGCCACCCTGCTGTGGGCAGTGTTGTCGTGGTGGGATGCCGGGATGAAGCCAAGCAACTGGATCGACCGACTGCATTTGTTGTTTTGAAGCCAGAATTCCGTGAAAGAACAGAACAGGTAAAGAAGGATATTGAGCGATTTGCGGCTGAAGGGCTGACTGGCCTGCAAAGTCTGTCTGGAGGGATCCGCTGTATTGATCAAATTCCGGTGACGGGATTCAAGATCAACCGGAGAGCCTTGAGGAACATGGCCTAGACTGATATTCGGTGGCGTTGACGTCTGTGGCTGACTGAGATCTGCATCCTCAATCTTTTGTGACCTATCACTTCACTGTAGATCTATCTCTCGTCGATTCGATCGATCATTATCAAAGGTCTTTTTTTCCGCCATGAGCTTTGCCATTACTAGGTTCACCTTGAATTCTGTATAAATATAGACTATGAAGGTTGTATTATCTCTGGACTTCTCTAATCACTAATGAGTCTAGCTCCCTGGGCAACTGAGTATATGACCGTAAGATATTTCCGGTGAAGGACCTTAGGCCTAAACGAAAACACCAGAATTTATTCATACCGTGCTGCCCACTGATCTGCGGTTCCACTATCCATCTCTAAGGCTGAATGAAATGTGGGTCAATGTGCATATATACATTGATGTGGTGGAAATCCTCCTAATCCAAGACCCTAAACTATAACATACATGCATGTATGTATGCTGCCACGCCAGATCGGACGAGAAGACTCCTATCTACGGAGTACAATGAAATAAACAAACGTATACTTGCCCCACTTATGATCGTCTAATATAAATCTAGATCATGTTTCCATGTGGCAAATCATCCTCCATAGCGTGTGATCGATCAACACAGTTTATCTCATTGTGTGGCACTCCCTAGACCACTTCTCAGATGCCTCCATGTTGTTCAAATGCAAGCGCTCAGCTTAATAGTATGTCCTTATCTCTACCGTCTTCATCTAACCCCAATACCGTGGCTAATATGTCTCGCAGTGAATACCGCCGAAATCAAAAAATCAGCCATTGAATGGCTTCAACAATACCATGCAGCTGGTGATGCCCTAAATCCCGATGTTTCCGTTCCCAAATTCTACACTCCAGACTGCGTGATGCGGTTTCCAGGACAGCCTCCTTTGGAGGGTCACGATGCGATCAAGGGTTTCTTCAAGAAGCAATTCTCCCTTCTTGATAGCATGACACATACAATTGGTCATGTGGATGTGGTGTCAGATCGGATTTACCAGGAGGCCAAGATTGAATATGTAGTCAAGGGGGATCCGGAGCAGAAGGTGATCAAGATTGATGGCCTTGCAGTTTTTGGTAGACGGGTGGGGGAAGACCAGATGAGTTTTTTTACTGTGTTCTTAGATCCACGTCCGTTGCTAGAAAGGAAACAGATGGTTGCTGCGATGGGCAATTAGATTTGTAAATATGTGCTCTGTCTTTGTTCTTGATCTGTAACAGTCAATGGTGCTGTATAGACCTATACTGGTTGAAGGAATAATACATCACTTGAGAGGTACTACATACCCAATCAAATAATCCGATTGCCTGGTTCAAAATGAATATGGTAGCCTCATTCGTGGATGGTCAGTTCTCGTAGTTCAGATATCCTTACGCCGATCTGAGACGAAGGCGAACTACCGCTTGAAGGGTGTCTAAGTAAAGGGTATAATATTGGAGGAGGACATGATCGACTATCATCCTTAATACTTATGAATCGCAGTGCTCTCTTGATGCATTGCAACTTCATCTTTTCTGTCAAGCTCTTATTGACATGTGATCAATATAGTGCACCGAGAGGCTCTTAAATAGGTAGGCATAGATGTCAAGCCAGTATCCTAAGCTATATGCTTCGTTTTGAGATGTCTGACATGCAAAAAAAAAAGAAAAAGGACGCAGAGGGTATGATTCCCAGTTATGCCTCAAGCTATCGACCGCAAAATTTGGTTTTGAGGGAAATCGACCAGGACTTATGTCTCATTAAGAGGCAAGTTTGATGTTGCTCTTAACTACCACACTATACCCAGGAAATTCACCATTTATAGGGGACCGATAGTCACGTGATAATTATAATCGTGCTCAGATTTACTCAGCCTGACCCTGAGCGCCTTTATAAAAGCGGCGGCAGCTCAGATGTATACATATTAGTCTGTCCAAATTGCCTAACTAATTGAATATGTAGATATTGTATTTTTTTGGTTTATCGGCATTAATTGGCTAGATCACATCCGTGGATGTGAATTTCTTGCTATGCATGATATGCTCCTCGGATATGAGCCGCCATCCAAGGCATCGAATCAATATCAATACTAGATGGGGCTCTGCGAGCTGAACATACACAAACACGTCTTGAAGCTATGATACCAAGATATTCATGTCGGGTGTTGATTCATAAATTGAATGGTGATCCGACAAAGCATCTACAAGAAGAAATGCCAGCCGGTATTTTAAGACTTCGCAAGATCAAAGCCCGAAAAAGAAATCCCCTAAGAACCAAGAAAACAAAGAAAAACGCCAACCACTCTGAATTTGTGAGGCCTTGAAACTGCGATTTCATCTCTTCCACATCACATCACTTTTAACCCCGGCCGCGCTGCTGGCCACGCGCACGTTGCACCGTAGCCTTACCACGCGCCAAACCGACACCGCGCCCGCGCTGGCCTCGTGTACGGAACATGGGAGCATTACTGCAAGAGAGAATGTAATTAGTAAAGGCAAAATTGGAGGTGCGCGTTCGCGAAATTGCGACCCAAAAGCTGGATATTAGGGTTCAACGTACCGGAGCATGTCGGGCACAATGAAGAATCGCACGTGGCTGCCGCGAATGTAGACCTGGTCGAGATGGGAGACACGACCATCGCGAGCGGTGACAGTGATGTCCTTGAGCTGAACGTTCATGTTGTCCTCGGCTGTAGAGAAGAGCAGTCAGTACGAAACTGCGCAAAAGAAACACTCCCCGAGGCTTGTTTATAGACTGTCTCTCTAAATAGAGAACAGACACTAAAAGCTCGAGCGGAAATTGGCCACGCACCTTCCAAAAGCTTCCCCCGGTAGACGACTCCGGATGTGATCTCAATCGTCACGACATGGCCCTATTAGAAAACGATATTAGCCCCTCTATCTCGCGCTATTCACGGCGGTCTCCATTTTCGCGATATCATGTATTTATCCTTCTATCCCATCCAATATTTGGAATAGCTGTATCAGGGAATATGACGCACCTGCGCTTCGTTGAGGAGCTTGATCGGGATGCCGATTGTGGAGGTGAGCTTGCCCATTTTGACTGTGTGACGGCGAACGAGGATGGAAAACGGTTAAATGGAGTCGAAAATAAACACTGACAGGTTCCCTCGCGCGAAGAAAGGAACAAATAGAGGCAATGGGTGGTCGTGGGGAGATGGTGGGACAGTGATGAGGTTGGAGTCGGTGGAGGTTAAGAGAAAGGCGAGTTTTGCGGCTAAGCTCATCCTCTCCGCTTTGGGTTCTCTCAATCCCGGCCAAACAACAACTTCCACCTCAAAGAACCAAAAAATCCCCAATAATGCGCCTCCGATAGCCCCTTCTACACCTTCCAGAATTCTACATCAAAATCCAAATCCTATCGCAATGGCCGGCTCACCCAATTCCAATCTACGCGGCTTCAACCACGCCGTCCAAACCCTCCTCAAACAACCAACCCAATTCCTCCCACACCTCACAATCCCAACCTTCACCCACCTCCCCGAGAACCTAGGACCACACTTGATCAATATAAAGAAGGGACTACAAACACCACCCGAAAAACCCCCGCACACACCTACAATTCGCGCCCTAGTCCTCGACAAAGATAACACGCTCTGCGCAGCGAAAACAACATCCTTCCCCCCACAGATCCTGGCCAAACTCTCCGCCCTGCGCACCTCGCCAACATCCCCCTTCAACCAAACCGCAAACCCGCACTCGATCTTGATCGTATCAAACCGCGCCGGCAGCCATCCGAACTTCGACCGCGAGGTCTCCGAGCTAGAAGCGCAGCTTGCGCATCTGCGCATTCCTGTTTTCCGACTTCCAGCGGGCGCAGAAAAGAAGCCTTTTTGTGGTGATGAGGTTGTGCAGTGGTTCCGGGAGAGGGGTGTTGTAGATTCTCCGCATGAGATTGCTGTTGTTGGGGATCGGCTTGGGACCGATGTCCTTATGGCGGGGATGATGGGGTCGTGGAGTGTTTGGTGTAAGGAGGGGGTGTTCGATGTTGGGATGGAGGGGAAGCCGGAGCGGAATGTTTTGGAGAAGATGGAGGTTTGGATTGAATGGTTCCTTAGGGAGAAGGGAGGGTATCAGGCGCCCTTGCCGATGGGATGGGAGAAGCAGAAGCAGACGTGAGGTATGCGATGATGGGTGAATATGAGATGCCTAAGATACCCTTGTATAATAGCATGTAGGATGTGTTTACCATTGTACAGTATAATAAGACTTGGCTACGGCTACAATCTATACAGATGTGTATGCGCTACAAAATGAATTGATTCAGAGCCTAGCGTCAATCCCTCACACTCGTATACCGCGAGCGTAGCTTTGTTCTGCTTATATGGCGTAGGGCAGAAGATATCACAACTCTGCCCGGCCTAGAAGATCAACGTTTATTGGATGTCAGACCAGGTGCCGACAGAACAAGCTCATGTGCAAAATTCGACTCCAGACCCATGATAATGAAACGGAACATTGTAACCACGAGAGTACAGGGTAGACAGAAGTCTAGCACCACCCTCGAAGAAAAACCAAAGAGAAGGAAAAAAAAAGAAAATGGAGGGGAATGGAGTCGCAGTCCAAGTCGGTCTGTTTGGCATAACCACGTAAAAGATAAATGGTAAATGGTAAATGAGAAGAAAAATAAGAAAGAGAACCAGGTCGTAAAAAGAAGAAGAGGAAGAGGAAGAAGAAGAAGAAGAAAAAAAATGAAAAAGATGAAGATGAAGATGATGAAAAATGGTAAATTGACCGGGAGAAAAGAAGAAGAGGAAAAAACGTCCTGAATTCAACCGGGACAGCCGGGAAAACAGAACAAAAAAGAACAAAAATCGCTTCAGGACCGGCCCCAGAATGGAAAGGGTATTTTAATACAACAAGACAGGGTATGTCACGCAAGAAAGACATCAAAAGGTAAAATCGCTTCCCTAGCCATCGCCAGCGAGACGAGAATCATCCAAAGAGAACAGGGGGGTTCGTAAAACAAAAACCCAACAAAGTTCTCGGGATTGGAGAATGAAGAAATTCCCCTCAAGGTGAAAACCCCAAATAACCCGTCGACAAGCATAAGCGCCGCATGCACAGAAAAAGGCCGTGAAACATCAAGAGACAAAGGAGAAACACAAACTCAACCGCGAGACCCACTCATGACCCAGTTGGCATACCCTGTGAGTTGATCTCATCCAGGTTAGCCATACTATGAGAGTAATCACCCAGGCCGGGAGAAGGGTGGGCAGAGAGGCCGTGCATGGGCAGTTCAAAGCTGGGGCTTTCCTGCGAAACCCCATAGCTAACGTGGTGCTTCGAGTACATATCGTTCATCGAGAGACCGTCATCGAAGGCAGTCTGCGGATCATGTGAGAAGCCATACATATCGGACGAGCCGTGCGACATGTTAGACAATGGCGGCGAGTGGTTTGCAATCAGTGGGTCTGCAGGACTCATGCTAGAGTAAGGAGATGGTGCATGTGAGCCCATTGCCGAGGCATCGGCTGATCCCGCTGAGACGAAGGGCACGTTGAATTGAGGCGCCATGTTGGCGACTGGCGTGGAATCGCCCTGCCCGGCAGTGCTGTACATGGGACTGGCGAAGTCGGGAGGCGATCCAGTAGTCGTCGCGGACATGGGGTTGGTGCGGAAATCCAGTCCATATCCTTGGGTGTCGATGCGGAGGTCGGTGGGGAGATGATGCACTGACTGTGGAATAGGCGCGTAGATACCTGCCTCGGTGTGGTTGAATGGGGGTGGAGGGGGTGGCACGTGGAAGGAAGACATGGGACCCTGGAGTGACGAGATGTCGATTGCAACAGGTACTGAACGGCTTCGTTGGCGCTTGTGGCCACGAGCAGCTGGCATGTTGAAGCCCAAGTGGTTGGGATCCTGGTACATGTTCATGTAAGTGGGAGCAGCAAACTGGTTAGGCTGAGATGCGGGACGCTGGATGAATGGCGGAGACATCGGAGCTGGCACGGCAAAGGTGCTGTTATTATAAGCCAGACGATTCTGGAAAGACTCCAAGGATACAAGCTTGGCAAGCTGAACGCTCAAGACCTTGGGATGGCCTCCCAGGTGATGAACCATAATCTGACTAGCTTGCTGCTCCTCGGTGAAATCACCGCACTGGTAGAATCCTCCGGAGTTGGATGAGTCCATGTAGAAGTGAGGCGGGCGGTTCAGTTCCACGACGAGACCACCTGGTCGAGGTGGCTCCCCATTCGGCCCGGGGTTGGGATCGCCGGTTTCCAAGGTGATGTTCTTGATATAGGCAAACGGATACTCAATCTTATAGCCGGCAGCATCATTGTTGATATAGTAAGTCATGCATGCCTTATCAGGAGAATAGAAAACGACCAAGTCCATGGCGTTTTGTCCAATGCGCCGCCAGCTGCCGACAGTCAAGGAGCGACATGTGAAGTGAGAGATGACTAGAAATATCAATTAGTTTAATAGACGGTGGAATGGACAGAGCTATCAACGTACCAACTTTGCCAGACGGGCTGGTTTCGTTTGCGTACATGCTAGGTGGGCCATATGCGCCAGCACGTCCAAAGGGGTCTCTTGAGCCAGGCTTGCTCGGGTCAAACTGCATCGCGAGATAGTGTCGCATGGATTCTGGGATAGAATCGCATCCTTCACCAGTCTCAATGCTCTTTTTCGCCAGCATCTTGATTTTAGCGCGACTATCTTGGGGTCAGTAAAGATATAAAAAAAATTAGAAACACAATCCCGAATAGAACCTACCGGTTTTGGAACCAGATTTGAACAGATCGCTCCGTCATGTTAATGTCCGAAGCAATACGTTCTCTGGTAGCCGCAGTGGGTGTTGGGTTCTTGTTGAATTCAATCTCCAGAAGGACGAGCTGATCCTGAGTTGCGCGTTGGCGCTTGTTGTTTTTCTGCTGTTGAGTCAGAGTGCTTTTGCGAGGAGGTCGGCGCGCAGAAGAATGGGCGGTGGTAGCACTCGAGGTCGACGGAGAGGGTGTGGAAGCTGGAGGCGAGGAAGACGATGGCGTGGGCGCCATTGCGCCAATTGCCGGGTAATGCATATCTGTCAACGAAGACATAATGTAACGTGGTACGGTAGAAAAAAATATATCGCACAAAATCGGAATTGTGTTTTAAGGTATTCAATATGCTGTTTTTTTGGGGGTTGCGAATATGGGTTTTTTTTCGGAAAGAAAAGGTACGAAGTGTGACGATCCGGCCGACAAATAATGGGATGGGTGTGATCGGAAACGGAGTAGAAATCTTAATTCTCTCGAAGCAGCCACAGGCGCGAGGGTGTCAAGTTGAAGATGTGAAATGAATGGAAGTCTAGCGTAAGGATCGAATCGCGTTCGAGCCCACGTCAGAGACTGGGTGGTTGGGTTGAAAGGGCGCGTCGCAGAGGCGTCCCAAAACGAGTGGATAAATAAAATGGCTGGCCTAAGCAGCTGGAAACGAATGGCAGGGGAATAATTTCACCCTATATCGACAAGAATCAATGAAGAATCAATGAAGATGGCAAATACCCGGGTTGAATCGATCAACGGGGCGGGAACGGGAGGGGAGGGGGATAAACCGTTCTTGAGGAAACGAATGTAGAAAGAGTGATATAAGGTCGCCGTGAAAGAATGAAACGGACGCAAAAGAAAAGAAAAAGAATGGAAGAAGGAATAAGAAACACAAAAAGCGTAGGAAGAAAGCGGATCAGGAGATGGGATGCTGACTACACGGGGAACCGGTTGACTTCCTGGAATATGGACACACCGGGGCTTTCTGAACTATTGGCACCTCGTGGGGCCCCCATTGTTTTTCTCGTCAGGGCCTCGATTTCTCATTCTTTTTTTAGTTTTCTTACGTTTTTCCTGTTTTTTGTTAATTATTTTTCTTTTCTATGGGTTTTAACCTAAAGAGCTACGGTTTTTCCATCTGATAGATCTAGGAGGTGTATGGAGTGTTGTGATGTACTCCGTACAGAGGGGAAAGATGGGTTTCGCCCCTGCGTTGACCTGCATGAGAGTCCAAGCATCACAGAGAGCTAGAGCAATAAGGGGATTGAACCTCCTATTGTTTTGAAGAGGGGGCGTGCCACTCCCCTTACTCGGCGTTTATGTGTTGTCCAACTGCAGTGTGACTCTCTCAGGGGCAAGTTTCTACTCCGTAGTTCAATGCCTATAGAAAATGGTGGCGTCAAATGAACCACACAAACCACATCGCTTGGATGCGAACGGCATCCACGTGTGATCGGGGTATCTGAAACATATATTCTCAACCTTGTCAATGCGTTTTTAACAATCCTGAGTATGGGAGATATGAAGGGTTTTCCCCTAGACACATCACCCCCTGATTAATAAGTCACAGACCAGGGACTATTGAACAGGTTCCAGGGGCTGATCTAGTTGGACTCGGCCAATAAGCATACAGTTACACGTGCAGTTCCGTGGACCGTCAGAGGAAAAACATTCAGGTACCCGCCCCGGCATTGATTATGATTGGTGGAGAAGACCATTGACAGGTCATTCCAGACTTGAATTCAGGGACTCCCCTTAAGCCCTACCTCCCGTCGTATCCGGTCTGATATTCCACTTGGAGGAGTTTACAGCATATCATATGATCTATACAATGTGCTATATAATAGATATAAAGAATTTATATAGATCGAATTTTATCTACAATGATTCATCTCCAAATTGGAAGTACAACAACATACAAAGTACTCCGGAGTACATATTTCCCTCAATGACCATCTCGGTCTAGCGTTTGTTTACGATGTACTTTATTTTGCTTCGACTACTGCATGCAGTAACCTTTTAATGACCCGACATATGTACCTAGGTAGCGCCTTGTCTTCCATTGCTGGTATGCGAGATCCCGGTACTTCCCATCTAGGCAAATACCCCTAGGATCATTCATTGTTTCAATCTGACTCCACGAACCGGTTCATCCATAATTACCCGGAAAAGAGAAAACCCCCTTAATAAAATAAAATACAAAAAATTAACTTCGTTAGAAGATGAAGAAACAAGCCCCTCTATCCAGCGCTTGCACATAACTATCCACAATTGACAATTCAAGTCCACTTGGCCAACCGGAGCCACTACCAAATTCGCGTAGCTTATCCGTGGTTTCCCAGATCTGCTCAATAAGCTCCATTGCCGAGTTCCGCTGTTGTTCCCTATAATAAGCCGTCATAGACTCGTGCTTCTGTCGAACCCACGCACGGTCCTCAGACGATACAGCCTCCCTCGCAGCTATGTAAAATGGCTGAGGCAGCGACGAATCAGGCCCACAACCCGTCGATAGATGATCCATCAACCCAAAGCATACATGCATTAAATGCTGCACGCGTGGTGAATACGTCTGGTCGCGGAAAACCCGACGGGCAAGTAGCAAATGCGCGGTCCAGTAAAAGCACTCGGTCAGAATATCCAGCGGCGTGCGCTCATCTCGCGCCGGTGGGATTCCAGTGTATCCGGAACCCCAGCTGCGAAGCTCGCTGTCAAGTTGGAATGCTTCGTTGAGAATGGTGCTTTCGTCTGTATTTGTTTCGAGTCCCTCGTTCACGTCGCACGCTAGATGTGCTATTCGTACTAGGAAGCACATCAGGGGCTGTGGGCAGCCTGTCATTTTGTGGAACGAGGGCTCGGTGGTATCCCATCGATTATGGTCGGGTTGGTTGAGTATGAAACTCTGCGGTGCGTACGGCCTTCGCTGTCGTGAGATGGCTAACATTACGTCAACCATGCCAAAGCGCTGTACTGTCATGCGTGCGATGGGATTTTGTGGTATTTTATCAAAGTAGCCTATTGCTTGCATGAGCCAAGAGGCACATTTGACGTGGGGCTCCAGTACGCCATCTGCTGTTTGTGCGACGACGATTCCCTGGAGGACGACGGCTGTGAGGACTGCTTCTCGCTCTTGCTTGTTGCTGACTACGAGTGTACCTGCATCGCAGGCCGCCGGGGCGTCGATACTGAGTAGGTTTTGTCCGAGCGTTCTGAGCATTCTTTGCTGGCGCTTGGCCGCAATATCAATGCTGGTTAATCCGAAATTAAGCATATGTTCTGTTGATATGCAGACAATAGTCTCGAGAAGTATTGGTGATGATAGAGCGGGGATAGAAAGTTGCCGGTAAGGGTTGTCCGGGCCATCTACGGCTGGGACATTGGATGTAACAAGGCTTATATCTGTGCAAGTATTCTCAATTAGATATTCCACCTTCCAATTACATACCATTTGACCACATACAATATTCCCAGGCAGATTTGTCTTCTGCAGATTCAAAACATGTCTGTGCGAAAATTGCCGAAGGCTGACCCAACAGGTTGTATTCAATCGCTCGACGGGGATTTTTGGAACGAGGCTTGTGTCTTGTCGGTATTGGCTCTTTTGGTCGAACCCATTTCACACCCGATGCATATTTGCAGTCAAAATCTCGCAAAGCACAATATGAGCAGATTGGCTGTCGCTCATCACATTTATTGTGCTTCTTTCGACATTGCAGACATCCTTTTCGATGTTTATGTCAGCATCTGCACTCCCAAGATTTACCCGGGGACAAGCTATCATACCAGTACGTGACCGTGAGAACTTGTCGTCTCGAGCCATCTCGATCAAATAAATGATTGCAGACTAGTGAAAGATCGACAAATTATAAGAGTAGGAGCACGGATTATATGTCCACCGCTAGTTATCTTGTTGCCCCGCATCGTTATCTTCCACAATGACGGTCACCTGACACATAACCAATTATATTGCTTTAACACTCGGGACCAAAGTACCTATTGCAATGACAAGGATCAGACTAAATTTTTATGATAAGCTAAGGTTTTATCCATACATTATGTATCTTGACATATGTATCAGAAACCTGCAGCGATAATGAGAGAAAGAATCTGGAGAAGCTATGGAGCTCTAAGAACAAGCGGGACCCGCATCCACCTAAAATATATATCTACAGCCCGTGCATATGATCCAATAGATGCACCTGGGCATAACAATAATAGTAATTTTGAATGCCGAATCGCTCAATGAATCTAATCCTAACTACTATTTACAGATTTTTAATACTTAGTATATAATCCCTACACCGCAATATCCGTCTCCGCTCGGGTTTATAGTGTCAACCAACCACCAACCGGGCAAAGCATTCCTATCCTAACACCTCCCACATTTGTTCAATTAAACCCGAAACATATTCAAATAATTGACTACTATTTCTAGAAAAAACCTTCAAAGTTGGGATAGATCCGATCGATCACTCTCTTCAGTTTTCACACGGTATATTTAATTGGGTTTGAATCTAGCGACTATGATACCGCGCGAGTACTGCTCAGTCAACTATTTTTTAACCATTAGTTTTGACTCTGTAAATAGGCATATTATCCTGCATAAATTTTCACCTAGAATATCGGTGTATATGAGGAATAACAGCCTCTAAATCTTCAATATATAAACTAGCAAAACGCGCCCTTCAACACCGATGTGGGTCAAAATCCTCAAATACTTCCAAGGTTGATTCATTGATTAAAAATCGAGTGATATTTTAAATAAGCTAATCGCGAGAAAATGCAACAATAGAGTCTAATTTATAGAGAGCCCCCTATCCCAGAACCTCCTTAATAACCTGGACAGTCTTCTCGACGATCAAATCGATCTCCTCACGGGTAGTGTTATAAGGAGGCGCGAGAATAATGTGATCACCATTAGCACCATCGACAGCACCGTTTCCAGGCATCAATGAAATCGCATGTCGAGGCTTGAGGCCTGTAGCGTGCAAAATGCGAGAAATTCCCTTGGAGCCCGGGAATGGCTCCTTAGTTTCCTTATCCTGAACAATTTCCATCTATAATCATGTCAGTAAGGGCCAAAAAAAAAATAAAGAATGAAGAAAACTCACAGCCCAGAACAAGCCCCGGCCTCGAACCTCACCAACGTGAGGGTGGCTATCCAAACGCTCGTGGAGACGCTGGCCCAAGTATTCTCCCATTGCCCGTACATTGGGCAGAAGGTTATCATCTTGAATAATTTGCTGAACCTTATAAGCAGCCGCGCAGGCAACCGGGTGGCCCTGGTATGTCTGACTGTGGACGAAAGCGCCAGTGCCCTTGTTAAGAGTATCGACAACGTGCTTGTTAATGAGCAGACCAGCGATGGGGGCATAGCCGGCGCCAAGGCCCTTAGCAATAGTCTGGAGATCAGGGACAACGTCTTCTTGCTCCCAGGCGTGGAGGGTTCCGGTGCGGCCCATGCCGGACATGACTTCGTCGAGGATGAGGAGAGCTCCGTGGCGCTCGCAAACGGCCTTCAGTGCCTTGAGGTAGCCGGGCAGAGGGGGAACACAGCCAAGGGTCTATTGAAACAGTTAGTTTGTTTAAAGTATAGCAGGATTGGGTTGTACTCACGGCACCTGGCATTGTCTCGGCGACGAATGCACAGACAGTGTCGGGGCCAAGTCTTTGGAACTCGTCCTCTAGTTCTTGAGCGAGTCTCTCAACATAGGCGTCGTTGGTCTCATTGGGGTTCATTCTGCGGTAGGGATAGCATTGGGGGACGTGGGAAACGTTCTTTGTAAGAAGGCTCTCATAGATTCTGCGGCGGGCGGCGTGGTGTCCAACAGCAAGTGATCCGAGAGTGTTTCCGTGGTAGGAGGTATTGCGAGCAATAATGTTAACACGCTTGGGCTGAGGAACGGGCAACTCGGTGTAATACTGAATGGCCATCTTCACAGCAGCCTCAACAGCTTCGGTACCTATTGTGATGTTAGTAACTGAATCTTGATTCAACGTGGACAGTGATTCTTACCCGAGCTGACAATGTAGGCGCGAGACATCTTGCCTCCAGTGGAGTCTACCAAAAACTTGGCCAAGCTCTCCGCAGCACTGTTGGTGAAGAACATGGAATAGCAGTAGGGGATCTTCTTCAGCTGGTCCACGATGGCCTCGTGGACACGCTCATCGCTGTGACCTAGGCAGGACACAGCTGCACCACAAGTAGCATCCAGAATTTCCAGACCATCCTCAGTGATCAGGTAGCTGCCGCGACCACCGACAATGTTCAAAGGCGCATTGCGCAGCTGGTGGTAAAGGACTCCGCTGGATGATCTGACAGAGACATCGACCTGCTTCTCGGTTGAGGTAGGCACTGAGGCAGTGGCCACTTCTGGTGTGTAGTCACCCATTGTATGTATTGTTGTGAAAGGTTGTGTAAAAATAGAAAGGAGGAATCAAGTGCTGAAGATGTGTTTGGAACTGGGATTGCATAGATGTGCTGGGGGCAATGGGAGACATATATAGACTCACCCCGCCATGGCCAAGAATTCAAATGCAGAAATCCGAGACTGATAGTTGAAAATAGGCTATCCATGATGGCGTGATTGGTTATCCTCGCCTTGTCGCACAACTTGAGGTTCCAGAAGTCATATCTGGCTGTGATAAGCTATTCCTAAAGAGGAAATCTTTGTCGGACCCACGTTGATTGACTACTATGTGCATATGATAGGTTGGATAACTGATGAAATACATGAGATACGTGAGATTAGCGTCTATTGATAAGAAATAAGCTCTTGGGATCGGTACTTTGATTTCAATTGATCTCCTACCGGTTACACAGATGCATTAGAGATAGGGGTCATAGAGGGGTATCGGGATGACTTTCTACTCTGAAGGAAGACGTTGCAGAGCTATCAACCAATAGACAGTCAGTTAGAATGCCCCTCCTTCATATTCCACTCGATAATTCTCCACAATTCATTTTCCAGCCGAATAACCGGGACCCACTCTAGCACTTCTCTCGCCAACGTGATGTCTGGCCTGTGCACTATAGGACCATCTATCAAAGGCAGCAAATACGCAATAGAAACACTTAACCGGTTATCCGCAAAACAAGTCCAATAACAAGTTTAGTTGCGGGAATTCCCTATCATTACCAATATTCACTGGGCCTTTGCTATAATCGCTCTGCATAAGCATACAGCGCTTGCGTACAGTCGGTGACATATTGAAACGACAAAGATGCCACATCGTTGCCGGCTATCTTCAGATCTTTGCCGGCTAATGCAGATGCAATAAAGCTGGACACAACGTGGTCGTCGCTCGCGTCCATGTGTGATCTGTATGTGTTGAAAACCCTCGTGATGCGAATGTCGACGCTGTGTTACTCTCAGTAGGTGTAGCAAGGGGTTTTGGCGGCAATTTTTCCTTCGTCATAACAGGCTCATTTGCCGAATGAGTTCACATTGCCCTAGTAGTGCCTGGCTGGGGGTGGACGGAGGCGTAGGCTTTTATTTTCATGAGCATACCCTGGATCAGGTACTTACTGGGCAATCTAGATTGTAGATCTGGTTGACTCTTTCAAGCCGTAGAAGAAGATCTTGGATATTGTGTTCATTACTGACAGGTTTCTTTTCACTAGGGTGCAGGATTCTTTTCTCAATAGTATACTAGTAAGTTTTGTGATGAGCCACTCTAAAAATTGTCAAGTCCAGCCACGGAATGGTCATTCCGAAGGAGGAAATCAACTAGATTTGATCCCAAAATCTCGCTGACCACTCATCAAAGAAAAGGTTATATGTTGGAGATATGGTGTAAATGTGCATTGAATATTGCTCACTCCTGTCAGAAGCCCTTTGAGTGTATTCTTTTTGTTATCCATAGAGCTTGCTGTTCTGACATCAGTGAGATTGACAGCAAGAGAAGAAATGAGAAATGATAGATGGAAAATGTTAAAATACTAGTATTAGAGTGAAACAATTTCTTCCAGGGCTAGAAATCATTGAAGTGAAAGTCACGCGATCTACTCGTGATATTCTGCACGAATAGTCAAGTATTGGGAATGTGACTGGCTGTACTCCATATGTAGCCAATAAATATGAAGTTATACCTTGCTTGAATTTGGAATCTTGTGCAACTAAGATTTTTTGATGCACCCGTGCAGATGTGATATAACGCAAATGGTACGCACCATCTGAAGATCTCAAAGGAACAGTAGGCAAAATGTCTGCGCATTGACCTTTTATTACAGCCAGCCACCTTCATTTGCCGTGGCGTGCGCTATCCACAGCCACACCTTATTTGGCCGATGTGACGAAATTACTGAAGCATTGTGCCGGACTATGGATTTGGTTCGATAAAATGGCCACACAGATACAATATGCAACACCTCTCATCTTCATTAATCTAAAGTTTCCTGATTGATATCCCAATAGATCACATAATTTCTCATAGTAATGTACAGGCAGACAAAAATGCAACGTATGAACGTCCAGCGTTCAGTGGTAGGCGACAGATATTCTAGATTGTGATCGTGGAATATGCAATGGCATTGAACAGATGTATGAGAGTTTTTTGGGGTATCCATCTCTTATGGCAGTGCCACATATGTTCTAAACAATGTTAGTATAAATGATGAATAGGTCAGATAGGAGGAGCATTGCATACCTCTCGTCTTATCCTAAAGTCCTCGTAAACTCCCAACCAAAGGTTTTTGACGCGGCAGTCATTTTTATAACCAGTTGCCGGGTTCAACTCGCATGGAGGCTGCAAATCGTCGATCATACTAGGGAGAGCTTTAATCCATGGCTACCCAAAGGAGTTAGCATTTCTAGAAACCATCGACGACCGATGCCCACTTCAAAGTCTGACATACCTTAGGAACAGGCCAGTCGGAAAAATGCAAATATTTGGCCTCTTTGAAAGCCCTTTCGGCATCCCAAGTTTCGCCTTTCCCTAGGTAAGCCTCGTGCTTTTTGGAGCGGAATTCCCCAGTCAGAAGAATGTACGGCCGATGGAGTATGGTAAGCGTAGTATGTTTGGGCATGCTGTTCATAATATCTGTGTCCAAAGTGCTAGAGTTGGCACTCGAAATTGCATCCATAGTACGATTGAAGGTAGCTGTAGATGGTTGAATGAGAATGAGGGCAGAGGTGAGAGGTCCCTTGTCCAGATTTGTCCAGTAGGCCAAGGGCATAGCAACAGGGCTGGATGGCGCTAGAAATAACTCGTCCATAGTCTAAAACAGGTCAATTTGCATTTGTAATAGGCGAGTCCATGACTGATCTACACACCTGCAGAATGGTTGCATCTGAATCCAAGTTAAGTACCCGGTCATACTCTGTTTGGTTGAACGCGAGTAGTTTTGTGTAGCTCTTTGACCCCGTCACTAACAGAAACATTGTAAGGTTAGTTTCTATTTGGATTATAATAGGGTGTTGACAAAGTGCTCTGCAATACCGCATGAGCTGAGAGCACTCACTGCCACTCCCAGACTTTATCTGTACCTCGATTGGCCTGAGCTTCACTCCATAATGATCCTGTGCATATCGAAGCATGCGGCTTTCTTTTGCATTACTATCCTCAGATACAGACCACTCAAAGGGGTACATCAACACGCGATCAGCTTTGCTTCCAAGTCGGTGCAGGGACTCGAAAATCATGACTGAGTTGCATAAATAATCCCTATCGGTGGCATATTGGGTGTATGCAAATCGCGACCAGTCGACATGCTTGGCTTCAACAGTTAAGTCATACTCAGAATCGCTAAAACGACTCATGGTTCGAAGTCCTAGTAATATCACAACCCCTAAACAAGTAGCGACAATCACGAACATGGCGCGAAGCAATTTCGGATATGTGGTTATGCTTAAAATGATTGCGATTGATAGCATTCTACTCAAGAGAACATCCGACTATTTGCCACTTTTTGGCGCAGCGAAGCTATTTAACGGTGTTCTCTCCCCCTGCCAGTCCGTCTCAATATGATTTTAGGATAATAAAGGGATGTTGGAAGGCGCTTGGTAAAGCGGCCCATGCTAAGAATCCAGCTCAGCTGGCCCCCAGGGGGTTCTTTCAAATTAAGTGCCGGGCATGATCTGACAGACGCTAGTCTTTCTTTCATTGAAATGGACTGCTGATTGGTGGTGAGAAGCATAACAACAGATTTTCGAGGGTCTGTTTGGACGCAAGAACTGTGGGGTTTCTTTGTCTGTGCCTATCACCAACTCTGAAACTGACTTGGCGCTGTGACTTTGTATACAAAAGCTCCTTGTTAAATTTCACGACTAGAGCTTCTGCAGCTAAAAAGATATTACACATAGTATGGGCACTTATTTGTTCAGATGATAGCTTTTTTTAGATTCTAGGATTGCTTGGCAGGATGAGGCTATATTGGCTGAAATTGGTTTCGGGATCTTGGGCCTTCGCTATTGCCCGGACCTTGTGTTGACATTGATTTGAGGCCAGCTAACCTTTCACCAACTACAAAATATTTAGATTAGCTCTTCGGGTTCACTATTGGACAGCACGGCCGAGTGCCAAAACAGAAGCGTCGGTTATTTTAGATGTGAACTTTGGCCAAGATTTTGGAACATTCTTCGTTTATCAAGCCTTGACCCAAGCAGCTTCTTACTTCTGATTTTTGATGATAGGGACATCAGATACAGCGGACACCAATGAAGCCAAATGTAAGGTAGGGAATTTCCTTTACGGTTCGCTAAAAGTGCGAAACATTACTTTATATTTGAGAAGATGAAATGGTCCTCAGTAGACTAAGCAAGCTTATCCTACGCTTGTCAATAAACCTGAGCTAGTGTCGCTATCATGTGCGTAAGCGAAAATAAACCCCCAAGGATGCCTACCTAACAGAAGCATACTGGTAGATATATGGAAGAGAAAGATAAGATCGACGCGGCTGCGATATGTCTTCTTGCAATTTCAACTGCTCAGCTCCCACCCCTGCCTTATCTCCAAACAGCGATATTACCGGGATTGGGGTATGAGTTTCCCACTCTTTCTCTCGTTCACCACGGGCGCATCTCACATTCTTAGATCATTACCAACAATATCGTGACTGCTGGCCTTGCGATAGTGATCATTTCACTCCACTACGTCACCGTCTACGATGAAACCCGCGACCCGTTTCAAAAGGCTGGTCAATCGTTTCGACCCAACCCGATAGATGAATCTTCTTTGAAATTGCCCAAATTAATCATACGTCCTTTATTTGAAAATGGCAAGAAGGGAAAATTTTCGAACTTTCTAATCAAGGTGAGTTAACTCTTATAAGATCGGATTGGTGAATCAGGAATGATTACAAACTATTTCGAAAAAAACAGTGCACCCGAGCAATGAGCGATATACAAATTCTGACAGGCTGCTCTATTCTGATCAGCGGGTTTTCCCAGCTCAAATGTGGCCTGGCAACCTATTATTGGCTAGTTATCATCCACCTGGCCTGGATTTCCTGCCTGACTCAATTATCCTGCTTAACAGTCCTACGTAACTATCTCTATGACCACTCTATCGAGCGGGCATTAAGATTACTAGTAGTGGGTATATTGGTGATACTGTTGATTGTGGGCCTTAGTTTCACCGGAAACTATCAATGGGCCTTTGACGCAGATAATGGCGACCACCCGACTTTAAGTGATCCTGCAGTCTGTTATATGCGCTCTCGTCTAGAGATGAGTTCGGCGTTTTTGTCGATGCCTCTCTCAATGATCTTGATAATCTTTGGATTTGGTTCGAGGGTGATTGGCCTCTACGATACACTTTTATCTGGTGTTGTTAGAGTTAGAACCCTCCTTGCAGCACCTATACGAAGGTTGTTACGCATTGTGTATAACTGGAGCCACGCGTCCGGCTCGCCACAGAGTCTGAAATTGACACTTTGCTACCTTCCACTCTTGTCTATCTACCTCACGTGGTTAGTGCTCGTGGATGTGTGGGATTCTGTCATTATAGAGGTTAGATATTGTACACATGGGACCTTGTTGATGATATCCCATGTTTTCTGACTCGAAATTAGGTCGCCTGGTTAATTACCGCCTTTGCATTTGGTATTTCGCGACTGATAGGAACAATATATCGACCGGAAAGCATGGGCCTCGAGGCTTCGTTGACTGGTTTCAATGACTGGTCGTTTGGTCAAGTTACTGCTATGGTGTTACTGGTCGCACCGCTTATCACAATCCTCGAGTATTTCCAGGATGGTGAGTCAGATCAGGTGATTATCATCTAGAATCAACTAAGAGGTCTAATACTCGCGCACAAGATAAGCAAGACGAGCCTCGCATACAAGATGAATCTCGCGCCGAAGATGAGGAACAACCTCTCTCCGATGACCAACCCATACCCCCGCCAGAACTCCCTGCTATATCAAGCCTAGCTGCCATGGATTCCAATGACCCCGACAATGATTGGATCTTCCACCCCAATATCTCCGATCTGATCATGACACATTTAAGCACATTGATTTCAGGTGTTATCATCTGGACCGCACACCGTGATCCTTTGGGCAAGATGAACGAGACTTTACTTGACGGCTATCTCATGTTTGCGGGTATTGGGATGGTCGTACTCATTCTTTGTTCTCTGATGGTGGAAACTATCTTTACGGAAAGTGGCCCCTCTTTACAGCTCGCGGTAAGGCTATACAGTATAGCGTTTCTGGCTTGCCCTGTCCCCATTTATGCGAAGATCACTTATTGTCTTCTCGCGCTCCTTGTTATTGTTGCTTTAGCGCATCGATTTTGGGTTTGATAATTTCACATCCTCGATCTTGGCTTTGCCACATAATCTTTTACCGATGATCAAGAAAATTTCACTATGGACTTTTTGAAATCATATAACAGTACGATGTCTTTTTAGAATCTCCTTTTAAATTTCTCTCCTTCTTATTGGTGTCATAGCTAGAAACGACACATTTTATGGCTGTGAAATCTCGCAATTGGCGAGAACCTTAATTCATATCAACCGCCTCTTCCCTATATAAAATGTAACGGACACCAATCGCGGTTAGGTAAAAAAATGTGCAAACTAAACCTCTGATATACCCTTGGACTTATCTATCAAGAATCTAGGCTTACTTTTCATATATGAAGTCATACAAAGGATGTGATAACTGTATGACTGCATGTTTGCATGTGCGCTTGCTGTATACAGCCTTTTTTGCTGGTTCTTCCTTGACATCTCAGTTGAAATATACCAAGATAGATCGTGAAAGCTTCTGCTCTTAGCCATCTGTTATTTTTAGACTTAATATATGGGTCAAGTACAGTTCTATATTTCAAAATATGTATACCCTTCCTCGTTTCCCTCATTCAGTCCTTTCTGTCGTATTATTTACCCGCGTGCCCTATTGTTTTCCTATTCGATCTTAAATCCTCTTTGACTACGCAAGTTTCCTACGTATAGGCGTTCTAGGTCCCCGGATTCCTCCAAGTCATTGCCTAATAGTCATAGCGCAATGAGAATATTCATCCGAGAATGAGCTAGGCTGGTTAGATAATATTCATCGCCTGATACGTAGATGCCTACCTAGCTATATAGTACCTCGGAAGGGACTCTTATCTCTCCGCTTCTTTATAGGTATCACTACCTACCTAGATTCCAAGTTTCTGCTATATGCCTATATACTCGTCTGATATGCCATATCACAATCAAGCTAAATATGCGTACGTATTATATCAGATCCCGAGGCCATCTATATGGCTCGAAAGCACGCCACATGTCAAAGTTGTTTGCTTGTTCTCAAATTCCCTACCATATATATTTCTCACTTCCCCCCTTCGACCCATTTTCCCTACATACTTCTTTAACTATGTATGTTTTAACAAGATGTCACTTCCCTTGCCATTAACCACGATTCTCCCTATTTTCTTCTAAACAATACATAGCATGTGTGGCATCTATATGAGTCGAAAGCAGGCCTACACGTTCGAGTTGTTTAGTTGCTTTTAAATTCCCTACCCTGTATATTCCTCACTTTCTCCGATCCTCCCACCCGTTCTCTTTCCTTCCAAACTACCTATTCTCTCATTACATATGTTCTGACAAAATGTTATCCTTGCCACTAACTACAATTCTCCCTATGTTCTATGTTCTTCCAAACAATAGATGGCGTGCGTGGTATCTACATGACTCGAAAGCAGACCTACACGAGAATTGTTTGCTTGCTCTTAATTCTCCACCTTATATATTCCGTTCTTCTCATCTTCTCCCATCCTTTCCCTTTCCTTCCCACATATTTCATCTCTAACTACATACCTTCCAGCAAAATGTCACGTCTATTGCCACCAACAGCGGTTTTCCCTCCGTTCTTACAGATGGACGGCGTGCCAACTTATCTTTTCCGCGTCTATGTCCCGCCTGGCGTTTTCCCACATGCGGCACCTTTGCCTGACCAAAAAGGCAACCCTCGAGACCCCTTCAGCACGGCCTATTGAAACTCCACGGAGACACGTGCAGCCCCGCAGTATCAGGTGTTTCTCTACTCGTTCTTGACACACGAAAATTCCCCAGTGGCACATTCATCAAGGGCGCGGAGCTCGTGAATGAAATCAAACAACATATATCAGAACCAGAAGGGAAAAATCTCGATGACTTCCTGGACATGCATAAGTTCAGCATGGCGCCTTACTCTGCTGAGTATCTTTCGCTTGAAGAATTATGCATCGAGGGGAACTTTGTCCGCATCTCATTCCACGAGCTTATTGCAAACGGTCTATTGACATACATATCAATCTCGAGCAGGAGGGTGACTCAAAAGGCTGGATAACGCGAGTATCCGAGCTGCGTCGTCCATTTAGGTTATTGCAAGAGCCACCAAAGGCAAAGAAATCTGAGATCTTTGCTGCGATAAGAATCGGTTGCTATTTCCCGCAGGATGGAGGGGCCATCCCCGTAGCCATTATGCTTCTTACTCTGAAGCCACGCAAGAAGGACGAGGGTGCGATCATGCGGGCCTTTGCCAAATGGTTTTCGAATTTTGATGTTCTTCTTTTACGTGACTACTAATTTAATCTCAATGGGGCCGATATCGAACAGCTTCCAGAGGTTGAACAATGCGCAGACTTGCTCTATAGTCTTGTCTGTCACTTCACTAATCATGGTGAAACTCACGACCATGGATGGACTGAGGTTAGTCACCCTTCTCATTTCTTACATAAATGTCAACTGACTCTCAGATTTCAACATTGAATAGGTTCCGAGATTGGGCATGAGTGAGGTATCGGGTTCTACAACAAAGGGGAAAAAAGTCGAAAAGGGTGAAATCCATGAGGCTTACGTGGGATAAAGTTTTATTTTCAGAGAAGCCAATATAAATAGGGGTGCCCTCTTGTAGCAACTCTCATCAAATTTAAACTTGAAACGGAAGTGAGGGTGAGATTTTGTTTTGTATCTTACGTTCACCTTAAGTCGTCGAGGATCGAGGCCACATGAGCGGCCGACTATTCTAGTCTCTTATGTATGCTTTATGAAGTAGCATCTATGGGAGTTTGCACCTGTGTGGAAAGATTACAAATACATATATCAAGGAGTCCGTGTCCTCCATAAATTCCCTCAGCAAGAAGATGACTCACTCACAGCTTTACCTACCTATAAGACAACCTCTTCAAGACCAAGTTGTTTGTGCGGCTTTACCCATATCACAGAACCGGTTAGAACCTCTGCTCACTATTATATCAACTCATTTAGCTACCTAATCTTCTTTCTGACTCCATTATTTCTACAACCGAAATGGCGTTACACACCGTCTTCCCTTTCCATGTGGGAGAGGCTTCAAATGAACGAGTCAAGATCATCCCCTTCAACCCAGACCAACACTGTGAAACCTTCTTCCGTCTATCCTCGCCCCATCCCGAGATATACGAACACATGCCCATGCTTCCCCCGGCTTCAGAAACCGAACTCAAATCACGATTCTACAGTAATTCAACAAGCCACATTCTTTCTTTCTCCAACCCAGAGTCCTTCGCCTTTGCGATCATAGACAAGACAAGGCCCCCATCTCCAGAAGATCCCGAGGGTGAACTAGCTGGCACTGTGAGCTTTATCCGTACATCGCCGATAAACCTGTGCACTGAAATTGGTTTCATTGTCATCCTGCCTCCGTATCAGCGAACCCATGTGGCAACTAATGCCACTGGACTCGCTCTACAGCTTGCTTTTGACTCTGCGGAGAAAGGAGGCCTTGGATTACGCAGAGTACATTGGATGGCTAGCACGATGAACCCTGCCAGTTCTCGACTTGCGCAAAGGATGGGATTTGAGAAGGTTGGAGTCATTCCTTGGCATATGCGGTTTGTGAAAGGGAAGATAAGTGGCAAAGTTGGAAATGGTAGGGAGTTGCCGCCTGGAAGTGATCCTGAGGATGTGTGGAGAGACACGGTAAATCTTACTCTCGCTTGGGATCAGTGGGAAAATGGCACGCGAGCAAGGGCGGCAAAGGCTATGGAGCGATGAGCAGAGTTCTCCACGGACTGCACGGAGAACGGACGCTTGAAATCACCGATGTGAAAATTTCTTCAATTTCGAGTATAAGATATTAGTTTGGCTAGGTTATTTAGCCTTTCAAAATTAAGTATTGATGATATATAGTAGTGTGGGGGATTAATATAACCTCTTTAGCTGCTTCGTTTGCCATACGGCTCAAAGGGCAAGGCTGCGGCAACAACCGCCATGACGATGTAAAGGGCCGCGCAGATGTAAATAGGCACAGGCGTATTGGTCTGTTAAAAATATAAGCATTTCCCTCGGGAGAGCAAAGAATAAACCCTTACATTTGCGGCCTGGCCAACAACGGCACTAACGATTCCCATAATCCGATTGAGTCCAATAGCAACACCATTTCCTGTGCCCCGATGGGCGGAAGGGAAGACCTGTCGAGTAATTAGATCACAGGACCACAGCGCAAATCAAAGGGAGGAAGTGCATACCTCAGGTGTGTAGGCATATAGGGTACCATAGTAAACATTCAAGCAGAAAGAAATAGCACACGTAAAGCCCACATTCTGACTTGCAGTACGCACTTGCGTATAGCAGAAAAAGAAAATCATCGTGACCATAGCTCCGATGATCATGGTTCCTCGACGACCCCAGAACCAGGGCGAGCGACACATGAATCCCGCCAAAATAGGACCGAGGATGCCGCAGGTGTTGTTGATCGCGTAGTTCCGCCAGGTGATATACGCGCTATTCTCCCCAAAGGTTGCGCCCCGCGAAGCAAGATAGGTGGGGAGGAATACGTTATAAAGCGGATAGGCAAGGCCGATGAGCAGCCATGAGAACCAGACGAGGGACGTCGATAGACCCATTTTGCGAGTTGCGAAGAGTCCACGGAGGTGGAAGAACACTTCGCTCGGGGAGATGAGCCGTACAACCCAGCTAGATTCTGGAGCCACGCGAAGGGTGGTTTCTCCGCATGCCTGGAGGCGCTCGAGGGTGAGGCTGCATGGGCGGTTGTGTTGATCGGCGATGTTGCGTAGAACGCGTACTGCTTGCTCGTCTTTGCCCTCGGAAATGAGGAACTTGGGGGTTTCTTCGAGGCGGATGATGGTCACACGGAGGATGGAGAGAACGAACACCAAAGCACCGGATGTGTACCACACGTAACGCCATCCCTGGTTATCGGCGCGAGTACATGTCGCTGTATCACTGCAGGAGAAGTTAGGAAGAAAGGCCCAAGCAAAGAGACCTGCGATGAGCTGGCCCACGCCTAGATACTGTGAGTTAGTTGAGATATTCGACAGAAGTCTTACTGGGAAGTGTAAACCTACCCCACCATGCCGCCATAAGTGTCAATAGCCACTGTTCTTTACTGGGAAGATATTCGAGAAAGACCGTGGTATCCAGAACCAGGTTTCCGCCAGCACCAAAGGCACTCAAGCATACAAACAAACCCAAAGTGATCCAAGAGGGAGAAGCCCCCGCAACGACGGTGAATACCGACGAAACAAACAGTGAGCAGTTGAAGGCGAACCGCCGGCCGATAATGTCTGCCGAAAAACCCCAAAAAATGGCGCCCACCAACATGCCGACATAAACCGCAATGGTCAGCCCAGTGGAGTATGATGGCTGGAACTCCATCCCGGCCGGGGTCGCAATAATGGACTGGATCAAGAGGATGAGCGAGTCAACTGCATATCCGAATCCGTTCAGACAAAATAGTTTCCAGTGGTGAGGTGTAAATCCAATCTCATCAATGGTCTGTAGAAGACAAAGCACCTGGGGTTAATTGCGTGTTTCATAGTTCGAGGATATTGATTTCCCACATCATTGATAAGTGTCATCTTTGCAGCAAGAACCTCGTCCACCTTCTCTCCCTGCAAAATATCTCGAACTCCTCCAGTTTGAATGGATCTTTCCTCCAGCAACGAGTCGGTCCGGTGTTTGTCCTTGCCCACTGTGCCCACTGTGCCCACTGTGCCCGTAGGGACAACTGAGCTGGGGGAATGTTGAGTATCCATAGCTAGGAGTGGTGTTTCTGATTTTCTCCAATTTCCGGCAGAGAAGATATGCAGCTTATCCAGAGATAATAAAGGAAAGCAAAAGATAAATTTCGACGCCACGAGGGGCAGGCAGGGAATATTAGCGTTGACAAGCACTGAATTCCGCTAATAGGTTTCTTCATTGGCCTACACGTGGCTCTTATCGAGGATCGCCACGAGATTCAACCCTGGAACGTACACAGCCATATGAAGCTGAACGTAGTAGTTCACCGTGATTGTTTAGACTAATTAGGTACATGCATGGGACTTTTGATCCCAAATATGTCAGATCTTAGCCTTTTTGGCCCTTTTAACCCTTTTTCTGAAAAAAAGTGAGAAAACGTTGCAAAGCTAAGCCTTGGCGCACGAGCCGTCAGCCGTAGCTGTGACTCGCAGAGGAGGGGGGGAAATCGACGCTATTCCCTATTCGCACACATTTTATCACATGTGCACTTTTGAGATGCCAGGATTCGGCGGATATCTGGACATATACTTATTTCCTAGGTAATAGTTAGGTGATATGTGTCCTGGCGGTAGATATTCGACAAAGTTAGTCTAATGTTGTTTAGTTAAGCGCAGGAAAAGATGTTCGAAACTATTCCAATATATGTGGCCTTCTTCCTAAGGCATAAATATAAGTCAGAGGCCTCAGGCATCAGGACAAATATTCAATCGCAAGTACAAAGTATAGAACGAACTTTCCAAGTGACAATTCCGAGGATAAAATATGTCCCAAAACCATAAAATAAGTGCCTCTATGCAGCTGTATGCTAAGGGCTTTTATATACAACATATTTGAGAGTACCGCACAGGCATGCGTTCCACACAAGTGTGCTCGAAAGAGTTGAGACCGATTGGGGCATTTAATATATTAATATCATAACGGTGATAAATGGTCCTGGGTAGTGCAATTAAGGTGAATATTTCATTCCCCCACCCTGGCAAAGTGACTTGTTTATCTAGACATAGATATACTTCTAGTCTATGAATCATTTGTCTTTCGACGTGGTCCACGAGACACAAGGGCAGGAAAGTGGAGAATGTTCGTGTACATGTTACGTATCTGCTAAAACATTGAGATCTAGTCATGTACTGGAGTCACTAAGATGGCCGTTGGATAATTAGGACCAATCCCCGCGATGAGCGTCACGTTCATCTCTCGTGTTTGTTACGGGCCATGATACGATTTTCGACAATTAGATGATATTATGTTGCCAAGGGGCTCTCAATAGAGAAATAAAAAGGTAGTGGCAGTGCCCTTATTAGTTGCATGCACTTTTTGGAGTCTACGTTGTTGTAGTAGCACGTAAGATACTAGGGGATTGCGTCTTAGCACGTAACCTTGAGAAACACCCATTTCTCTCCGCAAAGTAACCCAAGTCTTTTCTTGGCCTTAAAGATAGGCTGAGCGCTAGGGCCAGCACATCATTTTATGTGGGAGCTTGCAAGATTTGAAGCAAATTGCGTGAGTATTGTACAAATTACTCCGAAGAATCGCCCTTTTTATACGCTAGGGACTAGATAAGCCTATAGGGCGGAATCAAGATTAGCATCGGGCTTAATTCCTAGCTTTCCCCTCAACCGCTAGATATCAGGGCGGGCTAATGGTAAGATCTCCCACTGACGCGATTTCTAGGTCCACTGAGGACATATTTCACTAGTTGTATAAAACCAGTAGAGTCGCCGGGATTAATTTCCCCTGAAAGATCCTATACATTTATTAATCTGTGCACTGGGGATTCCAGTGTCACATAACTCCTAAAGCAGGATGGGAACCGCAGGTGATTATCGGCAAGCGACGACCGCCTCGGTGTACAGCATAGATGCGGAGAACCAGATCAACAACACCCAGAGAGATAATGTTGTAAAGCCTACCAGGTCATGGAAGAGTTATGTGTGGGATACATGGGAGCTCCCACCAGATCAACGCTGGATGTTGTTTAAAGTAGATGCTTTCGTCCTTACCTTCGCATCTCTTGGTTATTTTTTGAAAAATATCGACCAATCAAATGTCAACAATGCCTTTCTTAGTGGCATGGAGGAAGATCTCGAGATGTTCGGCAATCAACTAGTGACTAGTATGTGCTTTTGCTCTCATGCGACATGAATTTTTCTCACCTTCCTTTTGGAAAGGGTCTAAAATACTTGCATCATTTGCTAACGAATATTACAGGCACATCTATCTGGACCGTGGGATATGTTATTGGCCAAATTCCGTCCAACTTGTTGTTAACCAGAGTCTCGCCTCGATGGGTCATCCCCTCACTAGAGGTAGGATGGGGACTCGCGACTATCTGTACATCAAGTGTCAAATCGTACCAAGCTCTGTATGCTTTGCGCTTTCTTGTCGGGTTCTTTGAGTATGTCAACATCTTAAGATTCTATTTCCTGTTAGTAGCCAGTTACTGACATCGTTACAGATCAGGATTTTACCCCGGCATCCATTACTTACTAGGATCATGGTACACGCCACGGGAAATTGGAAAGCGGGCTATGATATTCTGGCTCGCTGGTTCAGTGGGCACTTTGTTCAGCGGTTTTCTCCAAGCTGCAGCATATACAAATTTGAATGGGACACATGGTTATGCTGGATGTATGTGATCCCAATCCCTTTCCATTTTCTCTCTACCGGCTTTTAGATGCTTCATCTGAAATCAAAGGAAAACAATATTGAAGAGGAAACAACTGCTGATTGATGAGAATAGGGCGCTGGCTTTTTATTATTGATGGTATCATTACACTACCACTTGCGCTCGCTGGATATATATTTTTCCCCAACCTACCACAAAGCGGGAAGAAGACATGGTGGACAACAGAAGAGGAGCATCTTATGTCAATAAAGAGAATGGAGAACATTGGACTTGCTGGCAAGCAGCCTTGGACTAAGGCAAAGGTGAAAGCAATTCTGTTTAGCTGGCATACATATCTTCTTCGTGAGTCGTACTATACGCCTTTCTTGATCTGGGACGATACTGACATCCCACAGCTTTGCTATACATCCTTTGGAACAATGGCCTGCCACAGGCTGGTATGGGCTATTGGTTGAAAAGTTTCAATGCTGACCCTCCTCCTGTCCCTGGGACGTCTTACACTGTCGGACAGATAAATAACTGTGAGTTCGACTTCATGTTCTTCATCCTATCAAAAATAACTAACTTTATACACAAGTACCTCTCCCTACAACTGGTATACTCATCGCTATGTCATTAATTTGGGCTTGGCTGTCCGATGGGCCATGTCGTGGTGCTCGCTGGCCATTTATTTATGCCGGCGCTGTTTCTGCTGTAAGTCAAGAGAAGTTTTATCTGTCAAGCGACTTTTACACTGCGGTAGCTAATAATTACATTCATTTCACAGCTTATTTTCTGCTCCCTCATGATGAAGCTGCCATTTTACACAAACATTAAGGGCCGTATGGTTGTCTATTGGCTGAGTAATATTGGTGTAAGTATATCATTCTATGAAGCCTTCAATCGTCACATATTAACTGCCTTTTTAGGGTGGTGCCGGTCCTTTAATCTTGAGTTGGATCAACGAGATCTGCTCGGATGATACAGAAAAGCGAGCGCTGCTTGTTGCGATGGCTAACGATCTTGCCTATGTTGTACAAGCTGTCGTGAGTCTCCTCTCCTCCCTTGAATCAAGGTACATATTAACGAGCTTGTACGAAGGCTCCCAACTTTATGTGGAAAACTACAGCATTCCCCCGCGCTCCCAAAGGATATACTTGGTCGATCGTACTCCAAGTATTGCTCAGTACGAAGCCCTTTCTCTATTCGAGTCTCCTTTCCCACTGACCATAATCTTCTAGTCTTGAGCACCGCAACCGTGCAATTCCTTTTGTGGCGCGATAAGAAAAAAGCAGCCAAGGCAGAGGCGGGTATCTCAGTTGTTGACCCTCTCGAGTCATCGTCTATAGAGGGAGATACATCAGTTGGATCTAGTGAGGACGTTGGAAAAGTGGCTAGCACTTCTCGAGTGAAGCAAGTTGGCTTGGATTAATTCTAATATGCACCTCGGCCTTTGATACATAGTTGGTCAATTAAAACCGAGTACAACATTTGATACTATCCATGGATATTCTAGTCGAAAAATACAGAAGCTTAGCCGTTTTCTTCCGAGACTTCAGACTCATTGATCGAATTCTGGTCGTTAGCTTGCTATAATGACAGCTGAAAGAATTCATTTACTAGAATTTCGCGTCCATAATCATCTCACGCGGATTGAAAGGAATGATGTACCAAATATGTACTGCGGGGTTCTCTCTATGTACTTTGTACACACCGCTTGATGAGTTGAACGGTCGAGTTGAGCTCTAAAGATAGCTCATCAACTCAAATACAAGATCTCCTTCATTGAGGAATCTAATTTAGGTTGATCACATTTTATCCCGACACTAAACATGGCATTCCCATACAAGCACGTCTTGCTCGTTGGAGCTACATCAGGAATTGGTAGAGCGGTTGCCGATCGTCTGGTACAGGCAGGCATCAAAGTGACTGTCGTAGGACGGCGAAAACAGCGTCTCGACGAGTTTGTTGCAAAGCATGGCGAGGAGAAAGCTTCTGCCATAAGTTATGATGTCAGCAATATTGACGGAGCTCCCCAATTCGCCGCAGAGTTAGTTGGCGAAAATTTTGACATAAAATCAGGGAAATGTATGGGTCTAATTCGAAGTTGAAAACAGCGCAACCGCTCAACATCCAGATATCGACTGTATCTTTCTCAATCCGGGCACTCAACGGAAATACAAGTTGACTGATCCTAAGGATGGGGACTTGAGCGATTTCAGAGCAGAGATGGACGTCGATTTTATCAGCTACGTTGCTCTGACTCAGGCATTCACGCCATTCTTGATGTCTAAATCGACCCCAACAAGCTTTATATTGTTAGTACATGGTCTGCAGAATGAGGCTTATTTATAGACATCCTAATCTGTTCTGGAAAGTACAACGTCACTTCTGGCTTTGATGCCTGCGCCAAGAATCCCCGCCTATTCAGCCGCCAAAGCTGCGTTGAACGCTTTTGTATACTGTCTGCGAGACCAGCTGAGGGAATCAACTGTTGAAGTGATCGAGTTGGCTCCGCCTCTTGTGTCAAGTGAGTGAATATCTCGGTTCAATCAGATCCCCCCAATAGTGGAGTGGAGGACGAAGAGTATTGTACTGATCATCATGTTGCGCATAGCCGAACTGCATGATTACATGGGCATTGAGAAAGGACGAGGGATGGGGATGCCGGTTGAACAGTATGCTGAAGATGCCTATCAAGCATTGGAGATGGGGAGCGATGAGATTCTCGGTGGAAGCGTTGGACCTACAGAGATCTTTCAGGATCTGGCTGACAAGCGTCGCAAAATTTTCAATGACTTCGCCCCAATGCTTCGTGACGTTGATTGAAAAATGAAGATCTGAGCGGCTGTTGCCAACTGGCGGCTATTAAAACGTCGAATAGCCAAGCCAAGTCAATAATTTGAAGGTCGCTGAAAGAAATCACGATATTAAATGCACAAAGTATTGGATGAATTTATATAATAAGATAGTCATGTTGCCGCTCCGATCCCGAGTTGCGAGTCTGAAAAAGTCAGCCAAGGTGAAATCAACATCTCAAAGAAAAGGCAACCCACAAACCACACCCATGGAATATTGCTGTTGTCATCTTCCGGCTGTCTATCTCGACTATCCCAAACAGATTTGAGCAGAGAAATTGACATGTGGTTACCCACCCCACCATGAGCCCGGACATGGTCGAACCGCAGAAGGACATAATGTCGAGCGTACGGGGACAAAGCATCAGCCCCAGCCATGAAAAGTGGCATGACCACCAACTCAATCAGATGACAGTCTGCAGGGATTTGGGCCAGTGAATCCAAGATTGCTGTCACTGAACTTTGTATTATCTGCGCTTCAGCCGGCTGGGTTGCATCTAACAAACGAGATGTATGCAGTATGCATGCATGACGGAATGCCTCGGCAACTACTGACCAGCGCAGATCATCGTTTGGATACCTGTCAGCCTTCAAACGCCATGAGTAGAACTGATATCGGCAAGCATTGAGGAGTCGCTCGTATTCTGGTGTTTCTATCTTGCCCGTCGCATGGGCCTTGGCATGCTCCATAACGTTGCCTATTATCAGGAACATCTCGCGTGGGCAGCCATTGACCCGCTCAAATTTCAAGTCGCTTAAAGTGGCTACAGCTTCACGAACCTCGGGGGAGAAGCATAGTCGTTGTGGATCTGCGAGTGAACGAATGATGTCTAGCCTGGTAGGATACGTCAGAACTGGGTCTGACCCAACAACGATCTGAGGTCACTTGCCATGCTAGATTCCCCAAGAAAAATATTGTCCTTTCATTCTCTCTGGATAGAGTATCAAACAAACGAAACTGGTTGCAAATCGACAGGGCACCTGTAATATGAACTCCGTGGGTGGAAATGCCCGATTCGAAAATCTTCATTCAAAATCAGCTTAATTTCTTTTGTCGATCGGACACCAAAAAACAATGTTTTCAACTCACATCCTGGAGCAACAGTATCTGTATAGTAATGAAAATACCATCGCGTTCATTTTCATCCAGTTCGCTAGATACCCCGTTTCGAAGAGTTTCTCCAAGACAACGTATAGCTCTGACTCGATATTCGACAGCGAGTGTTTCTCGCAGATATAAATCTTCTTTTTTTATTCCCAAGTGACATGCGCTAAGACCTAGAACTGCATATAGCAGGCCTATCTGCTCGTATGCTAGCGGCAAAACATAAACTTGATATGGATTGTCCACGCCGGCAGCTGGAAGTGCGATTTGATGTGGACATATGATCTGGTCATCTAAAATTTTTTGGGGTCAGTCAAGGGTTATTTAACACGGAAAATAAAGTAAACACACAATGTGTCAATAACAGCTCTGTCCGTTTTAGCATTAATAACTCGTCCAACTCTGAGGTTCGCCTTTCTGGCGGTGGACAAGGAGTGTCGACAATCGGCAGTAGTTCAATATTCCGATCCTCGTCTGATGTTGAAGCATGTTGCTCCTGTGGATTAACCTCTCCATGAGTGGTATCGAGATGATCGGTTACGTTGACCAGTTGACTCGGGACAGCGTGGTCACGGCTCACAGTAGGGACTACCCGGTTCTTCCATTTGCCCCGGGTTGCTAGTCCTGCAAAGCGGAATTTTTCCGGGTACCCTTTGCACTTAAGGCCCTTGGTGATACATCTTTGACAAACAGGTTTTGCACGGTCGCATTTACGACACTTTTCACGGCATGTTATACAAGCCGGCCCTGGTGATCATTAGAGCCGCATCTTCTTAGTGGACGCTTCACGAACCTCCCGGGAGCATATCCTCTCTCACTGAGGGACAAGGATATCGAAACAATATATTTCCCGAAAAAGTCGAGCTATAAGAAGGGAGGGGAAAGACCCGAATGGGTCAACGGCAAAAAGAAGTCCGAGGATAACGCCACGTGACGGTTTCCATCGTGACTTGGTCAAGTATGTATTGTCAATTTCCTTTTCCCTACATGGTTTGAAATGGCATTTAGTGAACTAAGATCGTGTTTTAGAATCTGGTTCTCCAATGTGATGAAACCGAAGGCTTGTTGTGGCCGTGTTTATCAGGCTTCAGCAATTTTATCCCCAACGTCAGCCTACACGGTCGCCACAACTAATATTATTATATTTCCTCCCAATTCATAGAGATCGGATATCATCACCCCATTCTTAGAATTTCCTGGTTCCACTGTGCATATGTTTCCCCTACGCGCTGGGATTGACTAGCGTGGCGGCAAGCGAAACACTGGGCTCATTAGATCTTGGAAAAGTGCGCCACCAATGGCGACGCCCCTTGCATTAACCGCCATACTTCGAACAGTGCCAGCATATAGGAATGCTAGTGTCGTTTCACTCTATGCACCTAGCGACAACGGAATCTATCTTTAGGATTCTCTACTCTCAATAAGTGAGGCTCTATCGTTCTCAGCTCCCAGATTCTTATTTAGGAATGGAACTCCTGCTACTTAATTTGAGGTCCCAAGAGGCCCCGGTGCTCGAAAATCAGCCACACAATTTGAGCTTGCTATGATTCGGTAGATTGAGATGTTAGAAAACTCCTGGCGCGTTACCTAGCACGCTGGTTTCCAGTTTAACTGACTCTAAATACCAATGCATCTCTGTCCTGGAATCTGAACGCGGCTCTTTCTTTTATTATTATAATGCAACTGTGATATACCTCTATCTGACCTTATGATCATGCGACGAATTCGATTGAACGATGAGCCCAAACACTTATTTGACTCACCGAAAACCATCGAAGACCACGACGAGCAGCCCCCACCATCTAACTCTTGGATCGAGCATCTTTTATTTGTTCTTCTAATTATTCCCTTAACGCTGAGCATTCTTTTGGTATACAGCGATGCCTCAAGCTGGCATCTCCCAGACAATTTATATGTTTTTGTGAACAAAAATCGAGCATCAGTCCAGACAGCAGTCCAGATTTTCGGTGCTATCCTTGCAGCCATTGAAGTCTTCGCACTCTGTCGTCTGATCAACCTGACAACTCGCATTCGATTTACACAATCTCCAGTCTCCCTGAATGTACTTGGATTCTGGTCAGCACTGTCTACTCCCACGAACAATTTCGGTCTACCTTTCTGGATGATTGCCATCACGGTGCTTTTCGGAAATCTGTCTGCTGTCATATCAGCATTATGGACTGGTGCTTTAACCCCCGCAGATGCTGTTGGCATCCAGCACGCTTCCCTTCTCATTCCAGATTGGTCCAATCTAAGTTTAATCAAAGAATATCCTGGTCAGATCGACAAGACAGGGTTGACAGTTCGTGAGACAAAAGGTTACTTCACCTACTCAGTGGGCTTAGGCCTACTGGGCTCACTACTATCCTCTGTCAATTCCGCGTCCCCAATTAACGGCGAAGTTCGCGATCACCCCAAGCTCGACAACACCCGATACAACTATCACGGCCGGTCTTACGGAGTTGGCGCAAGCGTCGGCCTCTCCGATGAAAATCTCCTCGCCATACCCCATGCAAACAACTATACCTTCAATGAGATTGGCCTCGACGCCTCCGTTGACTGCATATATAATACTAGCTCGTTGTTTGTGATTCAACTTCTTCCACAAACCACTCTCCATGCAGCTGAGGGTTTACTTCCTGATAGCAATCTCAGCGCGCCCGAATACTCGGTCTACATTGGCCGAGGCGACGATGCGATAGTTGCATTGGGGGTATCGGCGGATCCAACTGCGTACACTGCCAAGCGTTATATGGCTATCGCCGCGGGTAATTACTATAAGAATTTGAATAAGGTGCAATGTGCCGTCACATTCAACCCGGCACTATTTAATGTCTCAGTTGACATCCAAGCACGGAACATCAGTGTTAGCAGAACGAATGGGTCCGAATTATCAGTGGAACCCGTCCATAATATCGATCCCCATAACAACATAACCCACGTTGTCATGCGACAACTTGAACTTATGGCGAATGATCTGACGAGTTATTATCGCTCCACCCTTGGCGACGCCTTCAATGCTAGTATTAGCGATTACCGCACCTCCGTCGCTGGTGGGAATCTGTCAGAGACGCAGATCGTGATGAAGGGAATGGAGAACGCGGTTACATCCTTGGTCGACGATATCCTGGTTGCATATGCATCGGCTCAATTGGTGGTCAGTGAATTTACGAAGTCCACACCCGTAGTAGTCAAGGTCTCTGCTATGCGCGTTGGATCGCAGGGTTATGTTATTACTAGTGCGGTGATCACAGGGATGATTGCGATTCTGGTTATCGGGGAGGGCTGCCGAATGCGATGGTGGAAGGATCTTCCATCTTTTGATTATCAGGATAATCGAGCGTTGATTGTGGGTGCGTCTAGGGGTGGAAAAAGCGTTGCGGAGTATGCTGAGAAACTGAAATGTAAGGATCTCGGGAGGGTTCCGGTGATTTGGAGGAAGGGCCAGGAATTATGGAATCATGGAGAAATTGTTTTTCAACCTATGCTGGATGTCTCAAAAGATGACGTTGAGGATATAGGGTCCGATGGGAATTCGGTCACTTGGATATGAGGCCAAAATGGAAAACACAATATTTGATGATAATATAATAGCATGGCAGTGGTAGTGATATACAAAGCAGACATAACATGCAAGCATGTCTCAAATTCGATATGATAGATCAATGAATGTGTTCGAGGGGTGATATTGAAGAACGCCGAATCCAAAAAGGGGTTTATATATCTTGCTGGAGGTTCTTTCTTTTCTACAACATACAGTTTCTAAGAGATAGAATAGCCGCATGTCACATACAGTACTTTCTCCTCCACTTACATTTACAACTTCCGATATGCATTTTGATGCATCTACTGCCATTGCGATAGAGGCCTTCAGGTCTGGCCCCGATGAGGATGACTGTTCTAAGATGATAATTGGGTACTTTCGTGGTCAAACTGGGCTGCTGCCTTGAAGTCTGGCACCGAGGAGGCGAATGAAAACACACAGCGGATGTCTTGGGGGTCGAGCTGTCAGACTGCTGGGAGACAACGGGCTGTACAATGGGTTTTGGTTATGCTGGTTGAATGGTATGTCTACACAAGCTTCAGTGCTGCCAGTACTGTTGCTTAGAGTACCCGGGCCAGAAGTGCATTCATTTGTAACTCGGATACACCTCCAGGGCCCTCAGGTATTTCGGTGTGTTACCCGGGTGAAAATCGACTTGGCTTGATCGGCGCACAGATCCCTATCCATACCTGGTTTTCGCTAATCCAACCTATGCGACTCTTGGAGCTCTGTTAAGGGATATTTTGTATTATTTTCATTCGATAACATTGCCCATATGTTTTTGCATAAACCCCATCGCGCCACTAATGACCCAATATCATACTGACACGAAGCTTCCCAATTCTTACATTCTTACGGAGTACTTTGGACACATCAAGGGGGCTGTGAAGCACTAGCAGATCCAACCTTGCACACTGTAGCTCGTAAATCCTATAAGAGAACGGGCTTTCTGACCCTTTATTGCGGGCGAATGAGTGAATATTAGAAAAAGTTCTTTTACCATGGATATGAATAATTATTATGAAGATGAGCGGCCACATTCGGAGACAGACTATTCTTGGGCAGGATCTAACTCCGAGCTGAACCTCGACCCATTTTCTATACGTGACAACCAAGAAGCCCAATTCCAACCGTTTATTCGTCAAAATGTCTTTCCAGAGAGCAAGCCATCATCATATGTCGATGAAGATTTGCTGTTATATCCTTCAACACCGTCCTCTGGAAATGTAAGTTATTCTCAACATGAATCCAAAAAGAAAATGATGAACGGCCGTCTCAACTTTCTATTTTTCTGCAGACAAATGAACTTGAAAGACTCTCGTCCTTAGATTCGACGGTCGGCTCAGCCACCAATTCTCGGTTTCGCTGCGAAGGGGGGGGTTGTGCATACGGGGGCACTTTCCTAACCCGCGGTAGCTTGTCACGGCATATTATGGGACAACATACTACTTCCCGTGCTGCCTTTACTTGTCCTTATGCAGGATGCAATAAACTCTTTAGTAGGATACTTAATTTGAACGAGCACATGCGCAGGGTGCACCGCGAAGAAAATAATCGTGAATCTCATCGGGGAGAAAACAACAGATCCAATACACATGAGAACGGGGTACACTTCTCAAGGCCATTGGAAAATCCTCTTTCTTCAGCCGAGGGGAAACAAAAACATCATGAACACCAACCAGAAAGATATACCGAGAATCTGGGTGACCTCGATAGGTCCATCCAAGATAGGCATGAGGGGGTCATTACGACTGGTGGCGAAGCAAGCCAAGACAGACCATTTATCCCGGCCTTAGAATATCATGACACACAGCGATTGCTCGAATCAATATCGGAGACTGGTAATCTATCTTCAAATGAACAGTGCTTGAGTATGCACTTGCAGGATCATTCTCTCGGATGCTCGATGAAGACCGATATTACTTTGCCACCAAAAAGCAGCCCTTACACCACTGGTGCAAAACAAACGAGAAATCTTGACCATATATTAAACCCTACTGCCTATTACGAGAAGCTGGACACACTGGAGCTTGATACTGCGCAGATATGTGGTTTGAATGGTGGACCCCCAGATGCAAATAGCCAGAGAGATTTTCGAGATGGCTTCAGAAAAGTCAATTCAGCTTTAAAGAACCTACAAACTGAAGGATTCTGTGGACGTATGATGTCCATTCTCATCGAAGACCCAGTTCAGCCAGATATTGCAAGGGCAGTTCACATATGTCCAGAGGATCTCGATGGCTCTGGCATTTCTCATTCTACTCGGGCGGATGAAATACTGCAAGAAATCTGCGGCGACGAAGTATTGCTTCGTGATTTCCAACCAGGCCCAGATGATTCACGTTATTGCTTCTTAGCCACAGCTCTTCTTGTCGGTCTTGTCTCTTTCTCTGGCTCACACGTTTGTTCTTTTGATGTCAATCTCTGGCGTAGGTCTGTGATTGAGATCCCCGTCGGCTTCGAGTTCTCTTTCCGCCGCCGAGATCTAGCCTGCTTGAGAGATTTTGTCGGTGGACCAGCCTGGGTTCTGGGGAGACAAAGTGTGAAAAGTAATGGCACAGGCGTGAAAGTATCTCTGACTGTTCAAGATCTTCAAGAACTTTGGGGCCCAGTATGGCTTGTTGGTGGAACACGCGAGAATGGTCCTATTATTCGCACAGAGCGTGGCTTTGTCGTTCCCCTTCCCCCTGATCAGCAATCAGACATGACTGGTAGAGAAGTTGAGTGCCATTGGACCACGGCATACCCACAATATGCGGACGTGCCGAACCCGATAATGTTGAACAACACATCACGCGTGTTAATCGGGACTACTTTTGGACTTAATATCAACTCGGAATGTCAAAATCAGATCAGCGACATTCAGAATCATTTTGCCAATCAGCTTCAGCTTCCCGGTGCCTGCAATCACTATTATATCACAGAGGGCTATGACGTTCAGTTGATTGGAGGTCAATATGTGACTGGTGGCATTGTGGGAAAACGCAAACGAATTCCGGCAACGACTTTGAAGGCTGCTCTCATATCAGAAATCCTGGACCCAGAGCTGGATGTTACGCCTCTTTTGAAAATGAATATAGGGCTGGAGATTAGTGCATGTACTGGGAATGCGCGGCGCCTGAGCCTTTGGCACACTCTGTATCTTTCCCAGAAACGACAGGGACCTCACAAACCAGCAGATTGCAAACACGATATCGGTAGCATCGATTGTATACAGCAATGCTGGAAACAGAGCCGCTTAAACCGCTCTACAGTCGGCGTTCGCTGCTTTGACTGCGGAGTTTCCAATACAACAGCAGCACTGCCTACGGCTCCAAATTTCAAAAATGACATATCCAGCAATGATATCGCCAGATCAAGAATTGTGAGCGCAATAATGGCACTCCAACACACTGGCCTTGACCCCGAGGGAAACCTTCAAGCATACTGGCCTTTCGTCGAAACCCGAATGACCAGGCGTGTTCAGCCCAACCGGTCCAACAAGTGGTTCAATATCATTGCCGACACCCGAGACAGTGCTACATTTGCAGTGGCCAGTTATAATTGCCTGGAGTTCCAAGAAGAACTTTCATTGTCATGTTGCCTAAATGGCTATCGAGATCCCTCCCAGAAAACCTGCCTATCTATCCGTGTTGCGCAGCAGCCTGTCGTCGTGACAGAAAGAAGATTTAGGCAGAACCTCGGCCTTTTAACTCCTCCCCCCGAATCCGATCTTGCTGGCTTGTTGCCTGGTGCCTCATTCTACGTGGCGGGGACGCAGTGTTATGTGAAGAAGATACGGTATGGCCAGCAAAGTTCCATCATTGCCTGCATAAACTCGACGATTTCTCAGATTATGAAAAGGCCAGGGCTCCCCACATTTCTCGAGCATTTGAATCCTGAAGTAGGTAAACCAGTTGAAGTTGTGATTTACAAGAAATAATATCTATTCCACATGCAGCTGGAAACAAATATGTCTTGGGAAAGTTTTTGAAATTACGGAATTGCTACAGGCACAATAAAATGAACCTTTTTGGCGGTTCATTTCATCGGTCTGGTTTGTTGTATTAATCTTATATTGTATATTGGATATAGTAAGTATGTATTGAATAGGTATAGGATACTCTTAAAGGGCTTTATAGTAAGTGGTCTTACTACTGGTGTACTAAATTCTTTTCACTATACGTCTCGGCAGCAGTCTATCAGCAGTAAAAAGGAATCATTCAGTGGCTATCTCTAGTTTGTAGCAAGAAAGTCTATGCTGATTTTCAGAAAATACACCCTCCGGATCCAGTTTCAATCTACTTTGCCTTTCCTAGGCTGGGATCTCCTTTCGGCCTATGCCTAGTATTGAAGAGCCATTACCAAGTGAGAGAGACTCATACATTGCGAAGGATTGATTTGATCTCATCTACCGAGTTACGACTCAATTCTGTTAACTTTGCAAGGGAAAAGGCAAAGAGACGGAATATATTTGTATTGGACCTCGAAATAAGCTTCCAGAACTACTACTAGCCACTCATCCCAGCAAATTTATTGGACTGAGAGCCTTGGAATACCATAGATCGACTAAAAGCTAAGGTGGTGTCCGCACAATTCACCTACTTCTCACCTGAAACATAGTTTACCTTCAATTTTATCTCAGGTGGCACTTTGAGGCCGACTTATTTTGACTGTAACAGTTGAGAGATCCATAGCTATATGGGTTAATACGCCGTAGGGGCTTGTCAGGGGATAAATAATAGCACGGTGTATATAGAGAAGGCAACAAAAAGCATAACCCTTATAGGAGGATTCGGTAGCAGTGAGATACCTACGTACTTCTTCTAGATATGACAGCCACTTTCCTAATCAACCAATACTATACAATAAAACCTGCAAGACCAAGGAAAAACACTGTCAAATATCTGAGTTAAAAATAACTCGGCGAGGTAAAAAAATATGTACTGAACCTCAACCGCAAGAAAAACGGGGGAATCAACAATCACTGCCAACAATACGAGTCGGGGTATCTTGGAGCTGACGGCCGACTGTGCAACAGACCGAGCAGCGAATAAAAGGAAAGACCACTCAAGTGGACAGGAACCCAAAATCAAACATCAAACGCCTTTCGATGCCCGAGGGAATCGTATGATAAGTGAATGGACAGGAATCGCAGATGCAATCGCTATAAGAGAAAGACGGTGGGAATGAAAATAACAACAGAAGAAAAGGAAAGAAGCGAAGGGAAAAGGAGGTCACGTCATACATATACAAATCGAATCTTCAATCTTGAATCTTGAGTCTTGAATCATTTGAGCTGGCCCTTGCGCACAGCACCATAGCCTTTACTAAAGAGTTCCTGGATCTCAGCGGAGCGTCGACGCCCGGTAGTATCTTCAGGACAGAGGAACCCAGACTGACGGCCACAGTCTGCCTCAGCCTCGACATCATTCCCAAGATTACGACTCGGCACGCTGCTGTTGTGACTAGCCGTCGCGCTGGCGCTGGTAAATCCATCGACCTCGACCACCTGGGTAGAAGGCTTGGAGTCCATGACGCGGGGGCGGGCGAGCAGCTCGCGGACCTGGCGTTCGCGGGCATCCATCTCAGCGATCTCGGCGTTTTCACGGGCGATCTCGAAGCTTGATCTCTTGGTACCGTGGTCCCAGCCCTGCTGGAGTTCCGAGGCAGCTGCTTCTTCGAAGCGCTTGCGAATTTCGAGATCTTGTTCATACTCCTGGAAGAGATCGACGTCTGTTGGGAAGAAGAGAGCGCGGAGAGTTGAGACTGCGAATTCGAACAGAAGGACTGCTGAGACGCAGAGGAGGAGGACGGTCCAGAAGAGAAGGTTGTGGCCGGAGTGGTGGATGAAGTTGGAGGGGAGGAAATATATGCCTTTGCCGGCGGACATTGTGTATTCGCGGTCGAGGATTAGATCCCACATGAACCAGCCGCCGACGGAGATTATTATTACGATTAGCGACATGTAGGTTTTGTTGTGGACCTCCAGTACTTGGAGTTTGAAGTTGATGACGATAATGCACGCGGAGTACGTGAGCAGACCCAATGAGAAGATGTCGTTGTCGCTGGGGTTAACTCTTGCAAGACCGTAGAGACTCCACATAGTGAAGAAAATTATCACTGCCTCGCAAGTCCCCATGAATGACCAGCCCAGATACAGCTTGATATTGAAGCCGTCATGCTTTTGACCCTTGGTGTAGAGCTCTGGCACGGCTAGCAGTGTCGATGCCGAGAGATCTTTGGTGAAGATACCTAGGAAGATGACAGCGAGCGAGGTGAACAGCGTGTTGAACATACTCAGACTCCAAGGCTCGTACAAACTGGTGCCAGTGTAGCCGTTGAAGCGCTGGTACAACGCTTGAGTCAGGTAGAACAACATTTCCTTCCAGAATGTGCCGAGTGTATACTTGCAAGCACGCATGTAGTTCCACCGGCCGTGCACCAGAAGCAGCTTGAGAAGGAAGCGGAACTGTCCGATCGAGTAGTCCGAGATACGGGCTGCTTGCAATCCCTCCTTTCCAGTGATTCCGATACCCACATGGGCCTCCTGGATCATAGCAATATCATTGGCGCCGTCTCCAATAGCAAGCGTTATTGCGTCGTTGAGCTGTTTGCGGATTGATCTCACCAAGAACGCTTTTTGCTTCGGGCTTGCTCGGCAACAGATGACCGAGTCTGCCTTGACAGCCAGTTGGAAGAACTGTTCACGTACTATCTCGTTCGCTTCAATAGACGACAGCGTCTGGCCATCAACCACGACCACAGAATGTGCCACACGGCCACCGGTAATCTCGCCAATAAGGTCCGTGATCACTTGCTCAACGTCGCCATTCTCTTGATCCAAAATAGTCAGTGTCGAGTACTCCTTGACAAGACGACACGAGTGGCCAACATTGATAGCGGTCTCCCGCTTATCACCAGTCAACATCCACATCTTGATATTGGCTCGTCGAAGTTTTTCAATAGCCTCAGGTACGCCCTTTTGCAGCTTATCCTCAATAGCAGTAGCGCCAGTAAGCTCCAGCTGCTGCTCAATCTGCTCGCCGACATCTTCAATTTTCTGCTGGCGATCCACAAGGCTAGTGCAAGCCTCATGGTAGGCAGTTTTCCAGTTCGTGTAGGTCGCTTCATCCAAGAACCGGTGGCCATACAGCAAAGTCCGCAGGCCGTCGGTGGCAAAGTCATTGAGATGCTGGAAGCAGCGCTCGAAAATGGCCGCCTCGTTGACAACCAGTGCCTCCTCCACAAGATCCTCCTCGTTATCTTCGCCATTCGTAGAGCTCCCAGAGTCTGAGATCGCAACCGACGGTCTTCCCATCTGTGCCGACGGACGAGGGCTATAATACTCACTATCAGCCTCTCTGTTCCGCATACCGCCATCCGTCTCCCGATCGCGCAGCCAAACATCGATACTGGCTCGAAGAGCCGAACCTTGTTGACCAGTAATCGACGAGCGCCGACGACTGAAGCTAGGCCGGGTCATACTGCTACGAGCAACACTGTTCTTCCGACTTTGGTGCTCGCTGTTACGTCGGATGGCCTGGTTCACCTCAGCATTCTTGCGCCTGCTTGCACGGCGCTCGATCTCAGTTGCCTTCTCACGTGCCAGATCGGCTTGCTTCAAGAGACGCATCAGCGTGGTATCGGCGCCCTTGCAGAATAGGCAAATACGCTGGTCGGGCATGCGAACAACAACTGACATGCGCTTTCGCGCGCTTGAGAACTCGATTACGTCCATGATCTCGTAGACTTCCTCGCTGGTGGCTTCGTCCGGTCCGTTCGGTTGTGTGCGGATGGTCATTGTATTTGATTGGCGATCCACGACGAGATATCCAAGTTCCTGGGCTGCAAGAACAAGAGCTAACTCGTCTGGGGAGGCGGCCTGGAAGGTGATGTTCCTGTTCTTGTCTTCTTCGGGAATACAAGTGTGACACAGGGCCATGGACAAAATGAACAGTTTCGCCTTTCGGGCAAAGATGGTGTATGGCTTGCGCTGGATATATTCGAGCATCTCTTCTGTGCGGTATGTGGTAGCGGAGCGACCAGACTGACGGAGAGCATCAACGGGCCCAGAAACATTTGACGGACGGGGCATCTGAGCCTCGGAAACATTCGACTTGCGGCCCATTGCCTTTTTCCCTTTTGTACTTCGCTTTTTGTGGATCAACTTGGTGTGATCGCCTTGACGAGCAGCCTCTTCCTGAAGATCCGCGTCGTGCAACCATGCGGTTCCAGCCACACTCATTTTGCGGAAACGCATGGAGTTATTTGTCAGAGTACCGGTCTTGTCGGAGAAGATGTAGCTGACTTGACCGAGTTCCTCGTTGATGGTAGACGTGCGCGCCTCGAGCGGGGTGTCGGTTTCAGGATCGTACATGTCGATATCGTTCAAGAGCAGCATCTGGGCAACTTTGACGATTTCCATACTCACGTATAGGGAGATGGGAATCATGGTGTTGAACATAATCAGGAACGATGTGAAGATTGGGCCATAGGAGACACTAGCATTGTCAAGATACCAAGAACGTTGCTCCACGTCCTGAGACCAGTACTTGTAGGCCACAGTGCAAACGACAGCTAGAATAACGACCAACACCACTATCAGCATGACCACACGATTGACCTTGTCCTGGAGAGCGGGCCTCTTGATTCGCGGGTTCTTGTTGGCGTTCATGCGAATCTTGCACTCCTCGCCAGTATAGATCACCATACCCAGAGCGCGGTCAGTGTTGCGAAGGATGCTGCCACGATAAACGATCTCGTTGTTAGTCAAGGGCAGTTTCTCCTGGCCATTGACGGTGACGTGACCGTCAAACTTATACAGATCCAAGTTGGGGTCCTCAACGACGAAGTGCACGGAGTTGCTGTTGATATCCTCCACAGTGGAACACACCTTGGACACAGGCTGGCAAGGCTGCTTATTTTTCAAATTCGTCTCACCGTCAAGAGCCATGGTCTCAATGTAAGCGACACCGTTGGGTCCGTTGGCGTGGAGGAGAGCAATATCGGCGGGGATCGGCTGGTCGCGCTCAAGTTTAATAACATCCCCAACACGAATTTCCTCACACTTGATCCGCTCCCAATCTTGAGCGTTGCTTATCATCGAGGCGCCATCTTGGATCGTCCCGTGACCTGGGCGAAGAACCCAGGCATCCCGGTTGTTCTCTTCCTTGTCCAAGCGATACCGGCGCCAATCATCGAATCCTTCCTTGCCCATTGAGATACCAACGAAGATCAAGAGCGGAACAATGGTTGTATATGTTCCAGTTGTACTCAAGCCAGGGATCATCTGCAGGATGGCGACAATCAAGAAGTAGAAGTTGGCAACTTTAGTGAATTGGGCGAAGAATTGACGGGGAAAGAAACTCCAGAGACTGTAACGACTAGAACGGATGTAGTTACCGATATAAGGCTTCTGGGTGCGTTCATCAATCATGGAACCTACCATAGACGGATTCAAGTCAATGTGGCGCCCATCCTGGGTAGGTGGAATATCCTTGATGCGCAGAACAAATTTCTGAATAGAGGTCATAACAGCCTGAAGACGCGCGATAGCCACTGCGGTAGTCGCCTTTTTCTGGAGCCACTTATCGTGGGCCACAGACACGGAGAACTGTTCCTTGAGGGGTCTCTCCGAAGGATCAGAGGAGACGTAAGGGGAAGCACCGTCGTTATTGGTCGAGTCAAGCGTCGTCGTCGGCGCGACACTCAGAGCATGCTTCTCATCGGCGGCAGTGAGCGTCTCAGCAGTCGGGGCGGGATTCACATCAGACGAGAGTTCCTTGAGCTCACCCAGCTCAGTCAGGGCGAGATCATTCTTATCCGTCGAGTTGATGGTCTTATTAAATATGGTGCGACGGAGCGAATATCCACGGTTTCGCGACCGAGACCGACCTGCGGGCTCGGGACTCGGCGAGGGAATAGGAGAGAGGGTCGCGTTTTGGGAGGCATTGGGAGGCGACAGTGGGGAGGTAGGTGAGGGAGCGAGTCGAACAGATGGAGGCGCCAGCGCCGTGTCGATGGTCAGGCCGCGGGAATTAGGACGTTGGTCCCAATTTGTTGGTCGTTGTTCCTCGGTCGACTCGCGATCGAGATCAGTTGAGAAGCGCACATGTTGGGAGGAGATGCGCCGCCCGGAATCGGAGACTGTTCTCGACGATACAAACGATGGGCGCTGGGGGACATCGTTCTGCTCACGTTGGGGACCCTCTGTAGGTTCTGTCGGTATGTCGTTGGGGGGTTCGTTGGGGGACATGACGAGTGTCGATTTCCTGGCACGAGTGCACCCCGACGATCTCGGGATTTTTTTTTTTTTTTTTTTTTATCTCCGAGATTGTTGGATCTTTCCTTTGCTAGTTTTCCCCCTCGGGATAAATTAAAGTATTCGATTGAACTGAGCGATCAGGCAGTCATTCTTCTGCTGTTCTTTCGGCGGGGGAGACGAGTTCCCTATCGTAAAACGAAGGTGTTGCGAGGGTTGAAGAAATGAAAGTACTCCCCGTTGGACGCAAGGATAGAAATGAAGGGCGCAATGATTCCTATCGAGAAAAATGAATAAGAACGGCCAAGAGACTAGAGAGATTAAAGAAACTAAAAAACTAGAGAGGGCTAAGAACCAACCTTGGAAGTTTGGAGGGAAATGACACCTAAAGCGGCCTAGTGTTCAGGCGATATCGTACAATTAGAGGTAGATCTCTACAAGCATATATATGATAGGTGGATATATAGGGAAACTTCGAGTCGAATGCAAAGAAAATGCCAATCATCTAAAACATCCAAGAGTTCTAAGACTTCTATTCCCAAAGGCCGAGTGTTAGGCAACGCGTAAGATGCAACCATACCATGTCCACGCTTACGCCTCCAGGCACAGCCCCATCCAACAGGGTTAATTTAAGAATTATCGAATCAGATCACATCTTCGTCGCTGCATTGAGGCGACACTTGATGGGCCCGCTGGTATCTACTCTTCTATTGGCCAACCTAGCATTCCCAAAGACCGACCCTCCAGCCCTATTGCAGATGCTGGAAGTACAACATACATGTAGTCCCTCTACTTGCTTTTTTCTTCTCTTTATTCCTCTTGTTAACACATGCTAGGTCTGACCCCTTCGTGTATCCAAGTATGTATACACGGGTTTCACAACCTCCTAGCAAACTCATGGGCTGATTCGTTTTAGTGTGGCCTTGGCGGGATCTCAATCTGCCAAGGCCCGAAAACCCCTAAAAATCAAAATGGAAAAAGAATTAAGAATCGAGTTACAAGGTCCATTCAAGGCGTGATTCATGGAAAATACGTGGAGTAAATAAAATAAAGAACATCCCAATCACAACCCTCGCTCAGAAGCATGGCGAAAGACATTGTGAGCTATGGAGTCTGGTGACGTCATGGTCCATCAATAGCGTGGCGGCTGTCCACCATATTGCTGGTAGCCACCCTGTGGCGGATACCCTTGTTGCTGTTGCTGTTGCTGTTGGCCATAGCCACCCTGCGATCCCTGGTAGGGAGGTTGCTGGGGAGGTCGTTGATATTGGCCCTGGGGTGGATAGCCAGACTGGGAACCATAAGAACTCGGGGGGGGCACCAGGGGGCGGACCATATGAGCCCTGGCCTTGGCCCTGGGGTGGGGGAGGTTGGCTATATCCTCCTCCGTACTGGCTCATTGATCCAGGTGGAGGTCCACCACGACGTGCGTTCTCTCGCTCATCCTTGGTGTCATAGGAAGAATCGATAGCGCCGAGCATCAGTTTGGCACACTACAATGACAGTCAGAAACGATATGTTCAATGTTTCCAAAATTACTTACCCAAAGTTCACGAGTGAGATGCACTGGTGGGTTGGCACGCGACATTTCATCCTGCTCAACTTCGAAGTCTAGAACACCACGTTAGCAAAATCCACCATGAACCCCCCGTGGAACTTACTGGAGGTACAGTCAATCAAGTGGCCGATTTTAGGGTCCTCATCCAGAGAAGACAAGAAGTCACGAGCCCGCTGATCAGTTCCCACCTGCGAGAACTGGAAGGATACAGTGCCGGGGCCATAACGGGTCTTGGAGGTCTCCTGCACTGCGTAGTTGATGACATCACTCACAGTACCGTGATTCTCGCCAGCAGGCTGTCCGTCAGTGATCGTGATCACCAGCACAGGCTTCTCGAGACGGTTGGCTAGGGCGGGTTGAACGACCATCGGATCGATAACCTTACTCTTCAGGTTGGTACCCAGAGGGGTCAGGCCCGAGAAACGGACTCGGGAGACTAGACGGTCGACATCTTCTGCGTTGCGAATGCCATCTCCCTTCTCATTGGAGTTCATGAACCGGACAGAGATACCGTCCTGGTCGAAGGTCGATGCAGCAGTAGCTACAATACCGAGGATCTGTCTGAGTTGTTCCTTTCGGAGTCCCTTCTCTTCGAATTCGATAGATCCACTGTCATCAACGTAGAGAATCACGTCGAACAGCGAGAGCTTCATGACATCGGTCGCAACCTCCATGGGCACGGCCCATTCATGAATTAGCTTGTTGAGCTTGCCCGGTGCTTCGGCGGCAAGCGTCTGAACGAGCCGGTCCAGTTGCTCTTTAGTGTAGAAGCTTTGGAGATTCTTCTCTTGAATTGCGGACATCAAAAGCGATCGGTACGCTTCGACCTGTTGCGGGGTGGCCTGAGGGGCTCCAGATTGAGGGGCACCACCGGGTGCGCCATACTGGCCTGGCGGTGGTCCACTTGGTGCACCATACTGACCTGGCGGTGGTCCGCTCGGTGCGCTATACTGGCCTGGTGGTGGTCCACTTGGTGCGCCATACTGACCTGGCGGTGGTCCGCTTGGTGGATTATACTGGCCGGACGGTGCCCCACTTGATGGTCCAGGTGAAGGTCCAGTACGGCCCTGGCCGCCAGGGTATGGAGCTCCCTGAGAAGGATAGGGCGGTGCCTGATTCTATTTTCCGTTAGCGTTCTTCTTTAATCATCAAGCATTTGACGAAGATCCGAGGAGATCAGACACGAAACATAGAAATAGGCAATGACGTAGGGCAAGGGGTATTTTGTACATATGAAGGCTGCTGTCCAGGGTAGGATTGTTGCCCGGGGTATTGCTGTTGTCCAGGGTATTGCTGCTGTCCAGGATAGGGCGAGCTAGGAGAAGCGTAGGCCTGTCCCTGTTGTTGGCCTGGGTATGGCGAACTGGGAGAAGCATAGGGCTGTCCTGGTTGCTGACCCGGGTAGGGCGAGCTAGCGGAAGTATAGGGCTGGCCTTGTGGTGGGGGCGGAGGCGGGCGGCCATAGCCCTGCGATTGTTGAGGCTGAGATGCGGGGTAGGGTGTAGACGGCGGAGGTCTGGAGTAGGAAGAGGGAGATGGGGATGGATTGTTCTGATAAGATGAGCCGCCGTATGGTGGATAGCCGTAAGGTCCCGACATAGTTGCAAATGATTTCCAAGGTTGTTCCAGAAAAATGATCGTGGAGGGGTAAAACGTGGAAGTGGGGGAAAACACGAAAAGCAAAAAGTTAAGGGAAAATATGGCTTACCGATCCCTGAGGGGCCGGGGATCCTGAATAAGCCTGGTATTGCGGCTGTTGACCCTGTTGAGAATGTTAGCACTTTTCTTTTTTTTTCCCTTTTTTTCTATGACGTCGAACTGCGAGTCATAGCAAAAACAGGCGCAGAATAGACATATGACTTACCGATCCACCGGCCTGCAAGGCTGCAGGAGGACCCCCAGTGTACCCCGATGGAGGTGCACCTCCATATGAACCACTGTTAGCCATCGTCTGGCTATTTTGAGCTGCGGCGATTTTCTGAGCAAACTAAAGGTGATAGGTCAGGTTGAAAGATTCTCTAGGGAGTTGTGGGAAGCTGGAGGACGTACACCCATGATAAACTGGTGTGGAAAAAAAGAGGTAAAGAGAAAGTAAGACACAGGCAGAAGTCCCAAGGTTGGAGTATCACGAGAACATTCGATGACGTTGCCTGATGTGGATATTTGGCCCCTCTTTAAGACCGGAGCCCTGGAGTGAGGCTGAGCTGGAAACGTAAGGTACCTCGGTATACTTGGCACCCCGCTTGTATTTACTTGCAGACAATCGCAAATAAAGTACCTTGAAGTATTGGAAGGAAGTCACAGGCTATGTATGTATGCAGCCCTATACATATTACATTTGAATTTTAGGCTGCCGTTAGAATTTTCCCATCCACTTTATGAGGGCGCCTAGGTATCCTGGTGCCTCTAGCTGGGAGGCAAATTGATAGCGCACATTTAATAGGTTTACTATTGTGCGGCTATGCCACTATTCAACTCGCCGAGCCTTATATCCACTGACAGAAACCTGGCAGTAAGGTATGACAGATATTGAAGACTAACCTTCTATCTAAACTAACAACAATCACTTATGGCACATTGAATATAAAACTAGTTAAACTTATCATTCCACGTGCTAGGTACCAGCCCTGGAGCTATTCACGCTTAGCTTAGCGTTTGTGGCGACTCTCTGGATGGTCCCTGACGGCAGTTTTCTGCCTTGATTTATGCCTTCCAACTTATTTTCCCTCTCGTACACTTAGTCCTAAGAATTAAAGCTATCTTCACGTATGATTGACTCCCCGTAAAAGCCCGTGCTTGTTACTCGTTCAGTTCTTCGTCCTCGACCAAGCGGAACGCCTTACTCTTGAACTCTTTTCTCAATGTGTCTGCATTCTAAGGTTGTATGTTGACAGAAAATATGCAGTAAAACAAGGTACATTAAGGTAATCAAATATATGTAAATCTCACTATTAAAACATGATAAAAAATCCGCTTTTTGACAATCAGTGAGCATTCAATCACAATCACTGAGTCTGAGCCCGGACTAAAATTTACTCACCCTGACTCTAAGCGCCCTCGTAAAAGCGGAAAGATAGAAAGATGTTACAGTGACCTAGGTACTCAATGAAATATGGATCCATGGACTTGGAAAAGAATATGTGTTTCCTCCTAAAACTGAACATGTAAAATGCATCCAAGGATGAACTTCACAAATAAACCATGGCTCCCTCAGTTTTCACGAAGCAAATGTGCGATGATCATATCCAGATATACCCCAGCTCGGGGTGTGATAGCCTCAACTCCCTCCAATTTTGCAGCATCATCCCACAGTCGAAGTGAAACCATCTCATCTCGAAGCGGATCTTCCTCAAAGTCTTTAAGGTCCGCATCTCGGAAGGGGCCGCCTTGGAATGCTAGTGATTTTTGCGAGGCAGATGATAGAGAATCGTAATATCCTTGGTTAACAGCAGTAAGGTACCTAAAAGATGAGTCTGGGCTCACAAAAGACAGGCAAGATCACATACCGCTTCGCAGCGACATGACTATTTACTAAGCGACACACTGTGTCGCTGAATCCAAGAGACTGAAGATATGATGCCCCGATGGCTTCGTGACCGATCCGGCCGACATTTTCGTTGCTTTCGCGAAGATTCATGCGAGCCTCCTTCGTGGATTCCAGCGGAATGATTTGACCAATGTCATGCAATAAAGCTGCAATTACTAACTCATCACGAGCATCTGGACGAATGTTAGTGAGTATGAGAAATCATAAGAACAATACATACCTGCTTTATGGGCCTGGTGAGCTGCCTGTAGACAGTGTTCTAACTGACTAATAGACTCCCCGATGTAGTCGCCTTGGCCGTACTTTTCTAGAGCGCCGATCAAGGCCTCGGCTCTTTCTTGGGGTGACTGCTGATTCATAATGTAATTTAATCAGATAGGAGAAACGTTGGAGAGAAAAAAAAAATCTTGATGGACAAGAGAGGAGAAAGAGACTTATTTATATACTCCAGTTGTTCCGTTATATCTCCGGCGTAGAGGGTAGTTCGCACGTGCCCTATACTAAATGTTCGGTCATCATGCCGGTGGCCCACACGACGTTGCAACCTGGACCAGACCAATTTATTTCAATAGATACATTCTAATTATTTTGTTTTGACTAATCGATCTAATTGTTACATCTTTTTTTTCTTATCCCATGGGATTGACTTTTCACTTGCCACGGTGCGACTTGCCTGTACAGATCAGACCGGGATGGCCGTAGAGTCCACAGTTAACATAGGGGATCCAAAGGCATAGCGCATACGGCCTTCTTCATATGACTGTCCGCTCTCCCGTATGTGGGTTGCAGGCCAGAGCTTTTGACGATCGGAATAGTACTGGTCGTGCAGATCACCTTCGGCGGCACAGTTATATGTAGCATAGATCGCACGGCGGTCCTTAGAGCTAACATTGGCGCCGCTGCGATGGGCCAGGTACGAGCCGAAGATCAAGATATCACCTACTCTTATTAATACCACCGCGATGAAAATCCTGAGGGTGATTTTAATTTGCATACCTGACTCAAGATCAACTGGTGTCCATTCATTGTTTTTGACCCAATCGGACGCAATGCAGCGATCGCTGCCGAGGGGAATATCCACGCGGTGGCTGCCGTGGACAACTTCCAGACCTCCATTGACTGCATTCATTTCATCGACTGCCGCAAGAATGGTCAAGTGCTTGATGTTTTTAACATGGGTGTAGGCATTGGCATCGATATGAGGTTCGAAACCACCTACCAGACGGATGAGCGATCAAGTCAGTACTATAACGTGGACATTACTTACCACTTCCTGCCAACTTGTAGTTAATCTTTTCTTTGAAGAGAAGCATCTCCTCTCCTGCGAGCTGCTGGAGAATACTCGTTGCACGCTGCCCTCGGAGGAAACTATCGAATCCGGTATGCGAGTTGGCAAAGTTTTCCGTGCGGCACAGCACGCGCTTGCCTTCTGAGTTCACCTCTTGGTAGGGCATCCAGGGCACGTCAGGGGCGCATGGAAGATCGTGGACCTCCTGCGCCCATTCGCGCAACTGCTCCGATTCCTTCGAAGTGAAAAAGCCACGAACAAGCAGGTATCCACCTTCCTGGAAACTCTGCAGCTGCTCAGCAGAGAGCGAGTAATGGAAATTATTCATTTTTTTTTAGATCGGTAGATTCAGATAGAAACACAGAGATGAAGGCGATTGTGAAACTGAAACATTGGGGGGGGGGGGGGGGGGGGGGGGGGGGGCTCAAGTGCTCGCATTTTGTAGATCGACTGAGAAGTAGGTCGCCGCAACGCAAGTCCGAATATATCGCACTTCGCACCGAGATGGCTGCTTTTTGCACGAGACAAAAATATGGACCCTCCATTTAAAAATTCTTAAGCACATGAGTAAAGGATAAATGCCAATAGGCTTGATTTTCACATAATGCCCAATGTGAGAGTACCAACGACGTTGGGAGACGATGGTTCACGCACATGGCGGAAGGATAAACTCCGATAGGTTTGACGATCAAGTATGTCGTACTGAACTTCAGGAAACTAAGGAAACTAAGGAAACTAAAGGAAACTAGGGATGACTAAGGAGGACTATGTGGGGTTTGCCAAGAAATATCTGTGAGGAAGTTATCAAATGGAACCATGGAACTGCCGAAACTATGGAGCTCTATTTCTTCCATGTATAACATAATCAAAAACAATGCATTGGCAGGCATTGGCAGGCATTGGCACACATTGGCAGGCGGCCCCGGGGAGCTTGGACCCCTCCTTAGTATGTATGTAGCCACAAGTTATACAACACGATTCTGTCGCACTTCCCACCGAGTATATCGTGTCTCTATCCAAAGCTTTCATTGGTCTCTTTTTGGAGTATCAGATTGTTAGAGCCATAGAGATGACTTGTATAGATATGAATTGATGCCCATTGGTAAATTTCTCATTGACATTTCAGTATTCTCAAGATGGCTGCATCTCCCAGTGACTCTGCCATGAAGATGGAAGATCCCAAAGAGCAGGTTGCGCAACCTGAATGGGATATTGAGCAACGGGAACCCGAGAAGAAACGCTCCGGCGTGCTCAATGTAGTGGTTTCTGGGTTGGCCTTGTTCAGTGATGGATACAACGCTCAAATCAGTACGTGTGATCTGTATTTCTAAAGGTCTTTTCTTTTTGTCTCTCCCATATACTAACCAAATGATAGTTGGCTATATGGAGCCTCTGTTTTCTGTCCTGTGAGTAGCCCTGTTTCCGAAAAATTCCGGCCAAGTTTATTGATCGGACCAGTTACAAGGATGGAATGTCTTCAACCATAAAGGGACGCCTGTCAAACTCATATCTCATCGGTGAGATCTTTGGCATGATTTTCTTTGGTGTCTTGATTGATCGCATGGGTCGTCGGACTGGTATCATTGCCGCGACGGCATTCCTTATTCTCGGAGTGGTGTTGGCGACTGCCTCTCATGGAAAATCGCAACTAGGGTATTACTCAAGCACCACAAAAGAGATTAATCAAACCCGTCACTAACACCGCAATCAGAATGTTTTGGATGATGATTGTCGCGCGAGGTATTGCAGGAGTTGGCGCTGGAGGAGAATATCCCGTTTGCGCTACCAGTGCCACTGAGGCTGCCGATGAGACAGCCAAACTCCGGAAGCGACGTGGTTTCTTGGTCGCACTCACCACCGATTTTGCTATCGATCTGGTGAGTAACAGCACGTAATCGACGGAGATCTTGCTAATTCCATGATAGGGATTCGTTGCAGCTGGCTTGGTTGCTCTTATTGTTCTCGCGTGTTACGGCCAACGAAACTCTGAAGGAGTCTGGCGGGTTACATTCGGCCTGGGCATTGTGGTATGTCTCTTACCCAATGAAGCTAAGAATTGTTCGATTCTAACTCTAGGACCAGTTGCCACTAGCAATTTGTTTCTTCCGCGTTCGAATGGTCAACTCTACTCAATACAAAAAGCATGCTATCAAGTCGCAGTATCCCTACGGATTGGTACTACGTCGCTACTGGAAACCCATGCTTGGAACTTGTGAGTTTCCGATTTGGTTAAATTATGCAGTGGCTTTGGCTAACGTTGACATTTATAGCCCTGGCTTGGTTCTGCTACGACTTTGTCACATATCCATTTGGCCTGTTCTCATCTACCATCATTGAGCAGCTGAATCCCAACAACACCACAGTTCAGAATATTGGATACGGAGTATGTCACCATTCTATCATGTTTTAGCTGGTTAAAAACTGACAACAAATTTTCCAGACCGTTATCAACTGTTTCTATCTTCCGGGTTGCTTGCTTGGCGGTATCCTGATGGATAAGATCGGCCGCAAACAGACCATGACCCTAGGTTTCATGATTTGGGCTATCTGGGGATTCATTCTGGGTGCTGCGCTCCACCCTATTCAGAGTGTTTTCCCCCTTTTTGTTGTCATGTACGGCATTTTCCAAGCTCTCGGAGAGATGGGCCCTGGAGTCTCGACATTCCTCTGTGCGTCGGAGTCATTCCCAACTCCTCTGCGTGGTCATTTCCTCGGATTTGCAGCCGCAGTTGGCAAAGCCGGAGCATCTATCGGAACAGAAGTCTTCACCCCAATCCAGAACTCCTTCGAGACCACCGCCAAAGGCCAGCAAGCGATTTTCCTGATTGGTGCGGGCTTCACCGTGGTAGGTGGTCTGGTTTCCTGGTTCCTCATTCCGGATATGTCTCGTGAGCTGGAGACGGAGGATGCCAAGTTCAAGGCATACTTGGAAGAAAATGGCTATGATGTGGGTTTGTATGGCGAGGCATTGGTCGTGAACGCACGCACTTCGACTTAGCCTGGCAGACAAGCAATGTATAGAGAGTTTGGAAATTTGTTTTTTATTTATGCCTTTCAAAAGGCATATTAAAAAAAAAAGTGGATCACAGGGCTCTGAATAGCTTCATAATTACCTTATTGGGTTAGGATTCAGCCAATCAGATCACTAGAAATAGTAAAAAAAAGATCAGTTATAATGACCACCTCAAAAGAGATATTAATCTTCAAGCCCTGTTGGCTCAACAGTGATGGTCCTGGTAGTACTACATTAGTGAGTACCCGACTGGTTGCAAAGAAAAGCGAGCTTGCGTGTTCGAGCCCGGGCAATGTCTCTAAGAAAATAGGCCCTTATAGGTGTTTCGACCCACCTAGACAGCCCCGCCAGAAAATGGCAGCTGGGGTTGGGCCGCGTGAGGCATTCGCTAACAACACGTTCAGAAGTTATCCCACTGCAACAGGCGACGCGGGGGCGGCGTGTGACACCACTGAAGATAGGTCGAAGCGTTTTTTTTTAGAAAACAGAAGAAGTTCGTATTGCTTTAAACATTAGGCTTTCATTTTGGCTTGAATATAAATATAGTCCAATGGGAATTCAGCTGTCTTTCACTCTAATAAGCCAGAACTGAACTGGTTACTGCGGCCCACATCTCCGCCTTTCTAGAAGCTTGGAAGCCGGAGATTTCTTATTCTTGTTAGATCTATGAAACATTCGCAAAAAGATCCAAGCAGTTTTACAGTCCTGATAACTCAGAAGTCTGTTCTAAGCAGATGAGTCTACAGTTTCTTTTTTCACTATTTGCTATGCCTTTCATTTACAACCAATAACTGTTGTACACATGGTCCATATATATTTATATATGACAGGTAATATGTATGCGACTATCTATAATTAAGTCAGATCTGGATCGAATCCGGGGTAAACCTCAGAACCATGAAATGTGACTCTACCTAGATGATGTCACCAAGTTGGCATCGATTGAAATGGCACACAGCTCCCAGAGACGCTGCCTTATTTCTTCTGTTTTATCAGTCCAAGTTCGGCGTCAACGAGGCATCGCTCTTACTCTAATTTTCGTACCTTATTCATTTTCATTTTAACAATCAAATACCCCATATTCCCTGAGCTACCTGAGATATCCTTCATCTTCTCAGTCGTTCGGCTCCGAGGATCTACAGAAACCCACCATAATCTCTGAACTTCCCTCCATCTGTACCCATCTGATCTGCTGCTTCCCACTCCTCCGGCAACATGCCCACCCCTGTCCTCCGCCTAGGGATCCTAGGTGCCACGGACGCCGTGCAAGCCACCTACCTCCCGGTCCTCCGTTCCCTCAAAACACACTACACCCTCACATCCATCTACGACACCAACGCTGAAATCGCAAAAAAATGCCAAGTCAGCTTCAACATAACACAAAGCACAACCGTCGTCGAAGATGTCCTGCTCCATAAAGAAGTGGACGTCATCCTCAACCTCCTCCCAATGGAGTACCACGAGCAATACACCGTGGCAGCCCTCGAAGCCGGCAAAGATGTAATGGTTGAAGTCCCCCTCACAATGAGCATCTCAAGTTTGCGCCGCATCCGCGAGGCAATCAGAAAAGGCAAAGCCTCCCGCTCTCTCGGCGGTATCAACGAAACAGACGGCCCAAAGGTATTCGTCGGATGTGCGCGGCGCTACGCGCCTTGTTTCACAGAGGTCTTCAAGAAAGAGCTCGCCACCCTAGGCCGCGTGTACTACGCGCGCTGCCGACACATCGCCGGCCCAATGAACAACATTGTTTCAAAGGATACCATGCCGCAATTGAAAAACAGCAATAACCCAGAGCAGTTCCGCGCGCTGCTGGAAGAGGTCTTTGGGTCTCGAGACGACCTCACTCCGGACAGAATCGCTTTCTGTCGCTACCTCGGTATGCTGGGTTGTCATGATCTGTCGATGATGCGTGAGTCGTTGGGGTTCCCGGATGCTGTTTCTAACGTCGCTATCACGGATCCGTTCTACTCTGCCATTTTCCACTATACGAATTCCTCTGAGAACGGCGGTAATCCGTTCACGGTTTTGTATGAAGCTGGTGTTGATGCTCTACCTCGCTGCGATGCTCATTTGACCGTCTACGGCGCGCACAAAACTCTCAGCGTCGAGTATGACTTCCCGCGTCCTGGTGAGAAGATCAGTACTGGTACCTATGTGCGGGTTGTTGTTGAGGAAGCGGATGAGTCGACGGCGACGGAGCATGTCAATGGAAACCGCACCCACGAGACTAAGAATGCTGTTCCTCGTTCTCGTGTGAAGCGGACGGAGACTTTTAGTGCCTGTGACGAGGCGTATGAGCGTGAATTCATGGCTCTGCATTCTTATCTAGTTGGTGAGGGGTCCGCGGCAAAGACGACTGCTGAGGACGCTGTCATGGATCTGCGGTTGCTACTTATGATCTTTGATCACTACAACCGCCAGTGTGGTACTATTCGGACCCCGTTGGGTTGAGGGTTGATTTCTCAACAGCGGTAAGAAAGTATGCAGGAGGAAGAGAGGTAGTTGTCTGGGGTTTTCGGAATGAAGTTGCTTTGAGCTAGTTCTATGGGAGTTATCTACATCCATATCCAGTCACAGGAATGATCGGAGTCTTCGGGGTTACAAACAGCTTCCGCGCATTTGTTTTACTGCCTGTCTCAAGGTTTGAGAGGCCCTTTAGTATGAAATATCTGATGCATACCTGAGTTCAATGTATCGTAGGTAGCATTCAAGCTATGATCTATCTGTCTGAAATTACACTATCGCTTGCCCTTCTTCTTATTTTTCTTAGCATTAGAGCCACCACCGCCACCGCCAGGCTTTTGCTGCTGTTGAGTGGGAGACTCTTCCGCCTTCTCATTGACAGGACCACCCTGTGTGAGTGCCGCAGCACGCTGCTTGCCCTTCCTGCCCTTGGGCCTGTAAGAAGAGCGATCACGCACAGGCAGCCAGCGCTCGGGATCCGGCTTCTTGGCAGGATCGAAGTCCTTGGGCAGACGGGACTTGCGCACACGCTTGTTGGCACGGTCTTCGGCGCTAGCAGCCGTGCGCTTGCGGGCACTAGCGAAGGCTGCAGCGGCTGCAGCAACCGAGGATGCGGAGGGAGCGATGCCAGCGGATTCCAGGGCTGAGACATCGATGTCGGCGATCAGGTCGCTGACTGCTGGCAGGCGGTCTAGTTCGGACTCGATCTGCGCATAGTCCAGGGTTGCTTGTGAGGCAACATAGCCAGCGATGGCCACAAGGTCTTCGGGGTCTTGTTTGTGCAGAGCACGGAATAGATCACCTGCTGTGGCAAGATCGGTGCGTTCTTCGGAGTGCAGGAGGGAGGCGGCGGCTGCGCGGAGGAGGGACGCGGGGGGCTCGGATTGAGTGCGCCAGTAGGCGGCGGCTTGTGCGAGGGTGGTACGGATCTGGACTGTACGGCCTTCGAGCTGGTACAGGGAAACGAGGACGCTGAGGAGGCCTGGGTTGAAGCGGACGGACTCGTTTGATCCCTCGAGGCTGTGGAGAGTTCGCTCCATGGCTGCGATAGCAGAGGCGGTATTGCCGCTACTGACATAGAGCTGTACCACTGTCAGAAGAAGGCCGAGGTCTGTAAGTCGTCGCTCCAGCAATGGGGCGATCTTGTGAATGGCTTTAGTGCCGGTTTCGCCTTGAGCGTGTGCTGCGGCGTTGTATACAGAGAGAAGGTTGGGGATAGCGTCGGTGGATGGGCTTGGACATTTTAACTGTGCCTTAGCTGTGGACCGGATTATGCCATCATACTTTTGGACAAGAAGGTCTGCAGCGTGCGAGTTGCCGATCAGATCACGATCCTGGAATTCGAATAGCCGATCGTTATTGATAGCATCTGGAGTGGAGTGAAGGGCCTTGTATAGGATGTAGGGGTTGACAGCAGTTGGACGTGCGAGAACGATGTTGTTGCGGGCAATCTTTTTAGTCGATAACTCGGTGATGCTAGGAAAATATGTAAGTAATAGGCTTTGAACTGGTATGATTGCAACGTACTTTTCCACAGAGATATCTTTGAGGACTGCCTCGGCCTCTTCTAACTTGCCAAGTTGAATCAAGACATAGAGTTGTTGCACTGCAATTGGCAACAGCTCTGCTGTCTTGTCTTCGGGTGAGAGGTCCTCTGATGTCCGGCAGATATCTATGCAAACTGTCAGTCTGGGTCCGAATCTCGAGCAGGACGGCATGCTGACTTTGAGCTCGGTTGAGCAAGATTTCGCTCTGCTTAAATGCTCCCTTTGCAATGTTCAAGCAAGCTGCGTTGTAAGTTGTTTCGAATGATTCCAAATCCTCCCTCGACAACCGGTCGTGGCGCACGAATTCCGTCTCCCCTTTCCATTGAAGCTGGGCATCGGTAGCCCACGAATTAATGTTCAGGTCGTTGATCTCGTGACCTGAAGATTCCGTATCTTTCGAGAGTTGTTCATAAAGCTCGGCTGCGCGTCGGAAGTTCTCAGCACGATAGCGCTGTTGTGACAAGACAAAATCAACATTGGTCCTCAATCAGTACAAGGACAGATGGGACACCATACCACTTGGGCCTCAAGGTGATTAGCACCGCGCCCAGAAGCTACCCGAGTCAAAGCTTCCGTAGCTTCTTCAAGCTTCCCGCACTTGTATGATGCATAGGCGTATTCCAGGCCTGCACTCTGCTTCAGCGCATCGCCCGCGGCCTGGAATGTCTTGAGAGCTTCTTCGTAACGGTCGAGTTTCAATAGAGCAACGACTTTCATGTGTTGCGCTTGCAAATCGGATTTGGATTTGGTGAGGACTGCATTGCATGACTGGAGGACTTCCTCGTGGTCATCGATCGACGCCCGCTGCAATAGCGAGGCCAGCGATTGCGCAACCATAGTGGGGGGGTTGGTCGCTCGAGAATTCGGGAGGAGTATTAGGGGTGAAGAAGACGGGTAACTTCAATTTCAGATAAAGGATAAAATTGTAAGATTTATACAAAGAACACAGTGGCCGATTTCCCCAGATCAACTGATATCAAACTCCAATGTGCGGAACTGGTCTTTCCCCCATCGGGGGTTTCTGCACTCAACGCCGTGTGCCCCGCCGTAGCTCACGTGTCATATTTGATCCTCCATCTTGGCATCGGCAAATTCACTACTGACGGTGACAATTCTCAAATTTCTGCCTTTTGCAGGGTGTGTGCTGATGGGAAATTGCATTTAAGCCAATTTTTATACTGTAACACCCATATATACAACATTTGAATGAATTTACAGGTATGTCAAATTCACGAGGGTTCAGACCGGGGGGAGACTCCGTCGCGGGACCGCCTACAAAGCATCTGGGCATACCGGTGCCTTTGTTCATCCAGCCCAGTGCCATGGGTAATCAGAAGACCAACGTTATTGCCCGCTCTGTTTCTCTGTTTTGAACGATGAATGATCAGACACATTTCTAAGGTTGACTTTAGTTAAAATTGGAAGGATACGAAAAAAATTTCTATAATGTCCATGGATCGTTGCGTTCAATGTTGGCTCCCACAGCCCTCTCATTAGTCTATCCTGGAGTGCTCTATACTTTACATATCAGCAACCTTAGTACTGGAATTCTGACTCATTTCCTTTAGCATTAGTCGGCAAAAACTGCGATACTCATACTCAAAAAGGCGATCTGAAGGGCAAGGCCCCTTTAAAAGAGAACAATTTTTTTTTCATATTTGAGCGTAAGAGATGGGCTAACTGTTTTTCCCCCAGTAGACATATGCTGGTTTTACTTGAGGCGAGGCTAATTGTAGGACGGAGACGAATGATTGAAGGAGTGGGAACAAATTGAGGCTTTATTATTGACGAAACGACTATCAGCTAACTTGAACTTAGTTACCAGGCTAAGGTCGAAGCCAAAGAACGCCCATAATTTAATTTCATGTTTGCTTCCCATTAGAGGTGTCTGAAACGTACTAAGAGAGGATTTTCCCACCTAGGCAATTGCCATGATACCTTCATGTACCTTTGTAGGTAAATATATATGCCTATAGCTAATACTATTAGACCTCCACGGCTTACTCCAAGTCTGAAAAAGGTAAGCCCATTTTTGCATCTAGTAGTTTATCATGTCGACCCTCTTCCCCCCCCCCCCCCCCCATGTTCCCTCATAGGACATTTGTATGGATATTGTATGAATATTGTATGGAAGTAGGTACTTCCTATTTCGTCAATTGGACCATGACCCACTCTGTCGCACATGGACCCGTTACTCCACAGAGTATACCTACTTTGTACATATGTATATACCTACGCACTATACATAGATAGAAGTCTCCTAGATCCTAGAGAATTAGAAGCTAATAATATATTCAGCAGGGAATACGTCACGTAGTCCCCACCATATTCCCCTTAATGCTTTGATGCAAAAGTTGTATACATGTGCAGCAAAGTAGCCTGTCTCATTTTATATTTATTCTCTTTGAAAATTTCTTTCAATGCATTTAATGACCCAATCTCGAGTTTCACCACGTCTAAAGTCCTCTCGCCGTTACACTCGGGGATGTTATTTGGCACTTTTTGTTATAATATCATTCTTTGTCCTCAACAGCGCTCTAAATAAAAGGCAAGACTATCTGCTGTCTCTTCCAGTTCCAAGGCTAATAATACAGAGCTCTTTAGGTCGATCGTTATCCGCCCAGGAGATGTAGTCAGTAAGATATCGCGGGAAGTGAGGCCACAAGATGATAAAGCGCCATTTGCCCATGAACAGAATGGACCTGGAACCTTACGTGATGTTCGGTATGTCGTTGACTAGTTTTATATCTCTTTTTTCATATTTTCATCCATATAGTCTATTGTCGTTTGTGAATATCCTTTTTATGTTCTTTGCTAATCCACAATCCTAGGGAGGACCGATTTTACCGTGGCGGGACATTGACAGTAACACATCAAAGTGATAATAATTACCCCCCGAACCCTATCATTTATGACCCCTATCCGGAATACAACGGCGGCGAGTGGCGCAAAGAATTTGTAGGAAGCTTTCGCGCGTGCGAAGGTCCGCGAGGAAAGACTCTCAGCCGCACGAGTGCCCAAGATATGATATCTGTTTATCCAGGTATCCAAAAAGGTAATTTCTAGCTCACCGGGAACCTCAGACGTCTTTAACAAGTCATAGATTTCCCTTCAGCCTTGCTCGGGTCGTATCTGGCAACGGGGGTCGACGGATATGTCTGTACCGATCGCTCTTCTCGATTGGGTGCGTACGGGTACGGGAATAATGCCAGAGTCGATTGGAATAAGACCAACTGGGGGTCACTTCAGTCACAGTGCTTTGAAAAGAACGTCGGAAGATATGCGCCAAGCGAGATCGATTCGCGCCCAGCCAAGCTCACCCTGCCAGTGCGCTCTCGTTTTTCTGCACGCAACCCCTATCGCGATCGACCAGCCTCTTCGCCAGATAGCTTGAGATACAAAACAAGATCCGCCATTCTCCTTCGTGCGTGGCATGACATGGAATGGACTGAGGATCTTAAACAAAATGTTCGGTCTCTTGTCATGGAGCTATCGTTACACTCTGGTGCCGAGTATGAGGTCTTCATCTTGTGTTATGTCCAGGATGAGAGCATCCCCATATATACACACGATGCCAAGGTCATGGAGAAGGTCAAATCTCGATGTGTCCCACGCAAATTTCTGGACATGGTCGTTCTTTTCAATGACGCGACGTTGGACTCGTGGTATCCTAAGATCGAGGAACATCGGTATAGTACCTTTTCAATTTCGCGGCCATGAAATTTTGCAGGTTTCCTGACAATCTCGCAGGCCGAAGTATCAGTACTGGCAACCGGTTCAAGTCTTTTCCCAGGTGTTTCAGGATTTTGACTATTACTGGCAACTGGAAATGGATTCTAGATTCACTGGTCATTCCTACCATTTTCTCGAAAAGTCCGCCGAGTTTGCAAAAGCACAGCCACGGAAGTATCTTTGGGAGCGCAACGCCTACTTTTATATTCCAGGGACACATGGAATTTGGAAGAATTTCATCAAGAAGGTTGAGTCCGCAATGGAGGGCCGGAAGAGTATTTGGGGGCCCAAAAGCTTCCCTCGGATAACCCCAGTAGGCCCTAAGCCTCCTGTTGCTTTCCCAGAAGATGATAAGTATGAATGGGGTGTTGGCGAAGAGGCCGATCTTATCACCTTTCTACCGATATTCGACCCTGTTGATACGAAGTGGCTATTCAAAGATATGCTTTGGGAAATTCCTAGAGCTGCTCCACGGCGAGCATCACCTTTGGCCATGGGGCGCATATCAAGGAGGTTACTACATCAGATGCATGTTGTGCAAATCCAACGCGGAATGGGCCTTGTTTCTGAGATGACAGCTCCCTCGCTTGCTCTCTGGCATGGGCTCAAAGCAGTCCACGTGCCCCATCCTCTCTATGTCGACGGTAAATGGACATCGAAGGAGCTTGGACGAATTTTGAATACAGGTGAACCTGATAATATCAATGGCGGAACTGATAGTATCTGGAACTGGGATCACCGATTGGATCACATACTGTATCGTATATCGTACATGTTTACAACACAAACTGCGGGAGATCTGTATCGGAGATGGCTGGGCTACCCCATCAATCCGAATCAGTATACCGATGGCAACTTCGTGAGTCCAGAATTGCTGATCAAATCTTGTTGCTGTTCTAACTTCTTATCCTACACTTAGCACCAAGATGATCAGGGCCGAAATTGGTTTGAAATTGGTGACTTGGTAAGTTCAGAAATTCCCCTAAACGTGAAAAGCTGAGCTCATTTGCTGACTGCCATCTTTTTACTAGCGAGAGGACTTATACGGACCACTCTGCTTTCCATCTATGTTACTTCTGTTCAAAGAGTACAAATAAAACTATACTGAGCCATAGCGCCATATGTATCCATACAATAGAGTGGCAGAGCGAGAATATCTTGCTATAGAACAAGATAATGTCTCTACTAATTTTGTTCGCAACGCTTTCGGAGGGAACTAAGACGACCTGTTTTACAGAAAGATGAACTTCCTGTCACGAGACTCAATGAGACCTTATGGTTCTTTGCAAAATTAGGTCTCACGCTACAGGGAGTTGATCGACAGGGCTGCTGGTGGGGGCGATGAAATAAATATAAATTGTAACTCCTTCATAGTTAATTCTATAATTCAATTATGTACATTCTTCATTATAGTGCGAGCTTTCTAGAGAATGGCACTATACAAAAGATCTCTAGGAGAAATAATCTATGTGCATCCACTATCAAAACAGCAGATGCACCAAGAGAAAGAGAAAGCAGAAGAGAGGGACATCTAGGTCCTGCCTTATAAGTGGCCTTAGGCCACCCAACGGCATTGTATCCCAAATCATTACGGAAGTTCGTGATGTCTTGCAGTAGACCCCGGTACCTCCTGGATTTTCTTGTCTGACCGCAGCTCACTTAGATAATGACCATATAGCTCAGTCATTTGAGGTGGCTTATCCTGTTCGGCAGAGCTTGGTGTAGCGATATATTCATCTATAGTCTTTGGATGCGAATTCGTTGTTCGCTTTCGATGAGAGATGATTACCCAAAGGATCACAATCAATACCAAGCCACCAGCAGCACATCCAATGCCAATGCCAACCTTTGCCCCGGTTGAGAGACCTGGGCTGGAGTTGCTAGTGTCAGCCTTTGCCTCAGTTGAGAGGCTTGAGTTGGAGTTCCCAGTGCCGTCCTTTGCCCCGGTTGAGAGACCTGGGTTGGAGCTCTTCGATGAAAGAGGTACCCAATACCCATTCCAGCTGTCTTCCCATGAATTGGCTGAAGCCGTGATTGAGGTGTCACTAATCTCAATGCTCTGTTGAGCACTTGATCCGATTGCCGGCCCAGGTGCTTGTGCCAAAAACCAGTATCCACTCCCAATACCTTCTTGCCAGTTTGTGCCAATGAAGGCTGCTTGGAGGAAAGCTCTGCCGAGGACGAAGGAGTCGGAGGGGTAGCATGGGAAGTATGTTGTGTTTTGTTCCACTAACGGCTTTTGGAGCGTGAGCTTCAAAAGTTGAAAAGGAACTTTTATCGTTATATTCTGAGTGTTTCCCGCATTCTTCTCAAATGTGAAGGACATATATGCCGGGGAGGATGTTATTTTCTCGTAACTTTCGTCATCTGTGTTCCAGAAATATAGACCCAGATCTTCGTTAAAAGTGACCGGGAGGTCGGCTGTCATTGTATCACACGCATCCTTAGGAAGGTAGAGGTATGGAAGTGTAGGATCGATTTCGACTTGTTTGCCCCTGATGATGGTGCTGTTTTCCCACGTGAACAGCCCAGATTTATTCTCAAAGCCAAATGGTGAGTCCCCAGTCGCAACTCCTATCCCGATGTCTTTGAGATAAATCCTAAGATTTCCGAGGTGTCTCGTATTATCAACCTGTTGAGAGCTTACTTGATCCAGCACTCGGTTTTGATCATACCCTCCAAGCATCAGCGAGCCTGGAATTTCCGGTTCCACAGACCCAATGTGCATCCCCCATGAGTATGAGGGAATGCGATCAGACGAAGAATCATTCCAGTGCTCCCAGGCAGATAGCAAATTGAATTTGTTCCCATCCACTACGTGGCTAGCCTTCGGGGCTCCCAGCGACAAGACCCCCACAGAGACAGGGTATCGTTTTCCATTCGGATATTCTTGGTAGGCATCGTAAATAGACGCCATAGAGACGTTTGGCACCTTATGCCCATTTTGTAGCGTGAGCGTGTCGGCGAGAACCCCTTCTTTGACATATCCAGTACCACCCCATTTATTCACACCTGCACTGCTCTGATCGGAAAGCCAGTTCATCTGGGTCGGGTCGGTCTGTGTGTTCAAAGTAACGGCGGAGGTTGATGCGTCGATGTTGAAGAGACCAGCTCGTCTTGCATAACAAGTAGTTGTGTCGTCTGAGCAGACGGTGTCGATAAGAATGGTACTAGCCCATCGGTCGCCGGGGTAGAGGTTAATCGGCTGCTTGTTCGACCCCAATTCAACTGACACGGCGTGCCACGGACCATCTGGACCATAACTTTGATCAGACCATGGCATTGTCCAAGGAATACCATCTGCATGCACTATGACTGCGATGACAAGCAGCCAACAAAATATAAATTTCATAGTATAGAAAGCCATCCCGAAGAACGGCTCTACAGTATAGTGGGAAGATTTGGGAGGTATTATTCACAAATTATTGCGAGGAAGTGGCAGGCGGTTCTACAGAGTACGAAATGCGATCGCTATTTAGCCCCCAGCCAGAGCGCCTTTGCATAATTTAATGGGCGCGTAACTGAAACTTATTGCCAAAAATGTGCATAGAATCTGCGGTGCGTTATCACGGGCGCGTACAGAGTAATTTGAAGGGTTTAGAAGATTACTGGTTTGCGAGTTCATAGTGGGTACTGTCTTTAGTGTGATAGGCCGGAGGCTGTGGTTTTTCGCGTTGGCGTGCAGCGATGTTTCAAGCTATACGGAGTACGGAGTAAACATGCTTAGTATAGCGCTTATATGCAGATTATACTGCATTTATTCTTCTTAATAATGTGTAGGTAGAACCTGAAGTTAACTAATCGCCAGCTTTAACATATAGGCGTGCCAAAGTCCCTCTCTGCAGTACCGGCGCATAGCGTTAAAACCAGCTCAATTCCATAGTTAATCACTAAGAATAAACTAGGATTTTCAACAACTTCATACTGTCAAAACTCCAGATGAGAGGAGTCGTGCAGTGCCTGTTTAACATTCGTTCTCAATACGTGCATTTGTACGGAGTATTTAATCTTGGTTACATCATTTTGCTGTACATTGAACTTGACGTTCATACTGCTTATGAGTTAACGGAAAGAAAAGTCCTTGGATACCTAAAAGGATACTGTCTGACTGACTCGTAAAGCCTCGAGTCGATGGACTCAAGTGTCTAGTGTCTCTACGCTGGCCACCAGCTACGTATCTTGAGGAGCATAGTGCGGAGGACGAGGAAATCTGGAGAGGAACAAGAAATATCCACATGACAAACAATGCCCATGGCAGATCTAGGCTGTTTTCTGAAAGTGGAAATCCAATAGCGGTGCCAAGCGCTCAACAACCATACCAGAATTATTAAAGTTAAATAGAAGTTGGTGCGCCGCAGTAAACACCAGATCTCGAACCTAAGTATCTTTTGTATTACTTGCCCATACCAAGGGTACTTAGGTACCGTGCAATGTTGTATGAATTTTCTCAACACTCGAGATAGTTAGGGAAGATATACGCTGATGTAGATGGTGTAAAGGAGGTCTCTTTCATTTACTGCACTAGCAGGAAATATCAAGCAGACTGAAAAAATGAACTATCTGGCAATAGCAAGTTCCTACGGAGTACTTATAATTTTATTTTTTTTTTGAATATTATCTCTCCAGATCAGAGATTTAGAACTCATCTAAACATCGGGCTAAGTGAGTTAGATTTGTCTCATAATTTAGTACTCTTTCTTTTTCTTTAGCTGGTTCGAGGATTGGGAAAACCCATAGTATCCTAGGCGTGCCGAAGTATCTTTTGTATGAGCAAGTCACACAAAGAATACATAATTTCTAGATCTGGCTTTTGCTGGGGCCAGCACCAAGTACATACCTATGGTTGGTGGGTGCTTGGCACGGTGACGGGGTAAGCCTCATTTGGCATTGGCGTTGGGGGCTGGCCAGCTCGGCCCCATATGATGTACTTTGTACGAAGTACTTACTATACATACGGAGTACACATTGACAATGTACTCTGTATCTCAAAAGGTTTTCACGAGGAAAGTACGGAGTAATAAGAGGCTTGAATATCAATGATCTTCAATCAAGGCAGCGAAAGAGTAGTGGGAACTGTGAGTAGATGAACCAAGCTGTGATGGCCCTAAACGGCCATGTCACAAATGCGAAATCTTATCGGATACGACAATGCCTTCTTATCCGGACATCACTCCATACTCCGTCGTGTCTTGGCTGTTAAAGCCGGAGAGTAGCACAGCAATTAGAGGACGCGCGGATGTGGGGACGGGAGGAATCATCAACGAGTAAAAGACGGGAGCATTGCTTAGGAAGTCTTGGCATTGACAGGGTTGTACTCTGTACTTTGTTCTTTGTACACTGTTTTGAGAGTTAGAAATCAGTATTTTAGATGGTATTAGAATAGATGGGTTTCGTAGAACTCATGTTGTCCCTTTGTATGTCAGCTCGTACCTGAATATAATGTTCAATGCAAGGTACAGTGGGGACTAAAACCGAAACTTACACTGTATACGAGTGGCACGTGACCTCCACCGAATGGACCCTTCACGTCATTGATCTTCTCTCAGACCCCTTAGGGAACTGGCCCTGCCCATTTTCATCCCATGGAACCCCGATCGTCTCTTAACCCTATATTCCCGTTCTTTTCTCTTTCTTTCTCCTCCTCTTCTACCATTTTCCATTCTCCAAACTACCTGAGCATCTATATACGATACTTTCATCCGCCTTGGGCCTTTGATTGTGCTCTAGACCAAATTTTTATCCCCGCAATGCGGTAGAGCCCGACACGATTTCACAACACAAAATATGCTATTCAGTGCCCGGGATGGGTCTCTTCCAGGGGCATCATGGGCTTGGAAAAAGGTGCTGCGGTTTGGGGTTGTCTTCTTGTTCGTGATAGGATTTGCTGCTGTACTATGGCCCTCAGTTGAGCCAGTGAAACTGCCAATGGAGACAGTTGCCAACATCACTTTGGCCCCCGATATCTCGTGCAATCTCGATTACGATAAATTGGCAACCCTGAACGTTGTCAAAGTCGCCCAATATACCCGTCGAGAAATCATAGTCGATATGACGGACGAGCCAGTGCCCTATACTCAGTGGCTTGATGAGCCGTTCTTGAAAGTGCCGAAGGGCAACGAGGGGGCGGCGGATGGGTGCTCAATTTCCACACCAGTGTCCTTGCGGGTCCCCCAACCGCCGAAATTGGCGGACGCGTCACACATCGATTTCGGAGTTGCGACCAGTATCGAGAGATTAAATGAGTCTCTGAATGCCTTCGCTCACTGGGCTGGATACTCACGCAGTCGTATTTTCGCACTGATTGAACCAGATGAATCAGGCAACGGATTCCAGGATGTCATGGCCAAGGCTGACTCTCTGGGGATCAACCTCCACATCACAGTGTCGGAGGATAACTATCTCAACCGATACTTCGCACTTATCCCTCTTTTAGAGAAAAACGCCCGGGAAACAACCCAATGGGGTTGTATCATCGATGATGACACATTCTTCCTGTCGATGCCCAGACTAGTGGATGCGCTCGCTGAATACGACCACACCACCCCCATGTATATTGGCGGATTGTCAGAGTCTATCCCGCAGATTGCGACATTCGGAATGATCGGATTTGGAGGCGCGGGCGTCTTCTTATCGAAACCTCTGTTGACCGAAATGACCAACGTGTACGACAAGTGTTCTGCGATGGATTTCACAGGCGATCGCCGCATCGCCATCTGCGTCTATCGTTACACCCACACCCGGCTAACGGTAGATCACCGTCTGCGGCAGTTGGACCTGATGCGCGACGCCTCAGGATTCTTCGAGTCCGGCCGCGAGCCCCCGCTCACAGTACACCACTGGAAGTCCTGGTTCCACGCCGACATGCCGAAGCTAGCGGTGATTTCCGAGTTATGCGGCGACAGCTGCCTCCTCCGCAAATGGCACTTTGGCGACGGCTGGATCTTGACGAACGGCTTCTCGGTCATCAAGTATCACGCCGACCCAGACAAGGACGACCCCACCATGGAGGTGACATGGGAGCCGCACAATGGCGCCAATGAGGAATCTTACCTGCACGAATTGGGTCCGCTCCGCCGCAAGGATGAAAACAAGAGGAGCTTCCAGCTGGTGGATGCCGTTCACGAGCCGAAGGACCATGTCACTCAGTGGTATGTCATGCGCGATGAGACTAATGGCGATCAAGTCTTGGAGCTGTCATGGCGAAAGAGGTAAATTTTTTTTTGCTTGCCTTGTACATGTACAGCTCGTGTACAGGGCTCCTTTACATTGTATCCGGGCCCCGGCGGATTGCTGGATCAATAAGCCCACATTCAGGCGCATGGGTAAAGGAATGCCACTTTGCATGGAGTTTTGGTTTTGTTTATAGATGAGGGGTATACGTTCTATCTAGTCTAATGAGTTGAATAATGTGACATGGATGGATTTTGGGATTACCTCTTTACGCTGCAGAATTGTAGCTGTTGAAGATTCTTCTCAAGTACTAGGCTGCTCGGTCTCGGCCGTTGTAACATAGACGGGTTGAGCCATTTGCGCTCTCTCTAATCTGCTTGAGTCTTTTTCAATAGGGATTTAGCGAGGATCTAGCAGTTTAAATATAAGAGATAAAGCTAGAGCCAGGGAAGGGGAACAGGTGGGTAGGACCCGCCCATCTACCATGGCAAAAGTAAGAAAGGGCCAAAGCTCACCGATATTATGCCGTACCATGGAACCGATATAGACTACCTGGACCCCTTGCATATGCCGGGGATATGGTCTCTTATATATGGGTGTCAAACATGTGGTTTGCGATTCTATGTACGGAGTAAATTGTGGCTTGTTCCCTTCTCTGCTCATATATATTTACAACCTCCTCAACCTTGGTCAAGCTTGTTGATACCTAAGGTTAAACACAACTATGATGTTAGATCTAGACTGAACACCCAAGATGCCATAAACATATTATACACCGAGAGCGACAAAGTTGAGAAACAACTGAAAAGTCTCCCACGGATGTACACCTCAACTCCGCGCACATACGGGGTACAGCCTAACCATCGTCTATCGGAGACAATAACCACTAGTAGCAACATCCTAGTACGGAGCGCGGAGTACGCTGTAAGGGTATACCGTTACCCAGCGAAGATCCTATGGAACCCCTGAAGATCGATCGGCATTGAATGTCGATCGAGATACTATGTACAATATAACGGACGTGAGACGAAGTGGAGTAAGCAGCCAGCAGTAATCCGTAAGCAGTAAGCAGGGTGATCCCGAGCAACTTGATATTTGGGGAGAGTGGAAGATGGAGACTGCATATTGACAGTGATCAACCTGGATCAAGTTCCATCAAAAAGAACCAGATGCGCAGTCTTGAGTCTTCAGAAAGCAGTCAAGACTAGAATAATATTGGGGATTGGGGATTTAAAGACGTGCGGTTTCAGTCTACATTGCTCGTATTACCGAGGGGAAGGGGGTGGGACAGACATGTGTACGGACATATTGATCGAAAGGTGGTCCATGTCTCCAGGCACCTTCCCTATCCAGACCACATGATGTATATAATCTAGGAAATGTTTCCTTTAGGTACTCCGTACATACCGAGTCGCCTCCCGGTGGAGCCCGGAGCATAGTGCAATGCAATGCTTGAGGGTCATCTGCATGGGCTTCTACGCCACCGGTTTGGTACGGAGCATAATTGAGTGCTAGGGATATTAGCAGATTTTCTGCAGTTAGTCTCAGGCAGCAGGCCGAGACGAGCTAGTGTTGATTTATCTGCACTATTTACCCTGGTGTGATGACTTAGGCACATCAGTGGGCCAATGCTCAATTTCCCCAGGAGAAATGTGACATCAGAGTGGAATGTGCGATACTAGAAGACACAGAAAAATGGGCCATTTGGCCATAGCTCTAGCGGCTGTTCCTGGATTTTGTGGATATATATATTTTTTCTCCCATAATATATATCTAGATTGTAGGTTGTACAACATAATAGGGCGTATCCGATGCTCCAAGGTAGAAATTCCCACTATGGAAACGGAGCATTCCACCTAATTTGTCAGAAACCAACCTTGCAACCCTAAAACACACCAAAATTGACACATGTCCAGGACATGCTCCATCCCAGGGGCCTACAGGATGAAGGAAGATTGTTCTACTAATAGAAATATGGAGACTAGCGTGGACATGATACACCAAGACACGTCTCAGCCACAACCATGTGGGAATCGCCCCGTGTTGAGCCATCCAATATGCGCCGGCCCACGTTAGTTCGATTTTCCGTTTCCCATCAAAATCAAGGAAAACAGCCAACGGTAAACTAAAATAAATCACCTTCCCATTCATTGGTTCAATCCCTGACATTATTTTCTCATTTTGTTTATTCGAATTTACACGGATCTACATGGTATTTTTTTTTCCAGAATATTGGAAATATTGTAGGAGGGAGATAATCTCCGCAACTCCCCGCAACATCCGGGTTGACCAAACCTGGCAAGTGCAGTATGCAGGATGATGGGTGTCGTCACTTTCGTCACAATTGTCAGGGGTGTGTTTTAGCTTGGTGAGGGGCTGAGAACGGTAGGTGTGTGTGCGAGTGAGCATGGGCGTGAGAGGATAGTATACCAATAATGAGAGAGGAATAGCCTTGAAAGGACATCTGGGCAGGATATGACCGGACCAGTCATCCTGGTGCCCAACCCCCCTTTTTTTTATGTTTTATGTTTTATGTTTTTGTTTTATTTCGCGCCTAGGCATTGTCGTAATAGATACAGTTTGCTGGTTTTTTTTTTTTTTTTTTTTTTTCTACATTAATCCCTCGATGTGAAGGGTATAGTGCACAGGCTCAGGGAGGATCTCCTGGTAAGGCTCCGAACCGTGCGCAGGATGGGGGGGGGGGGGGCACGCATGACTTTTTTTTTTCCCTTTTCTTCTACGGGTTCGACGGGTTCTACGGATGTTCCAAAATCCTTCTGGTGGCCTTCTGGAAGGTCAGGAGAAGGCTTGGCGGAGTCATCCGTGCCGTCTTCTGTGGCAGTGGAGTGGGTTCCCAGAGGCTGAAGCCAGCCGGTGCCTTTTAGTGCCCCCCCGGAAGGGAAAAGGGGCGAACGAGATGGGTGTGTAATTACCGATGCACACCGGATGGGATCCACTACCGGATCGTCAAAGTCCAGGTAAAGAAAGAGAAGAAAGGGAAGGGTGAGAATGGGAAAGTCGAAGTGAGTTCGTCCTACCAACAGTGTAACCCATATATGCCGAGGCAGGGAGTACAGGTTACCATTGTGCTAGCGGAATACTTCTAGAAGGTAAATCTCCATTTTACGAATGTATTCAGCTAACAATAGTCGGGATAGAACTATCGAGGTAATCTCCAAAAAATCGTATAAAAATAAGTATATCACCCAATGTGTGTCGCACCATGCGAAACCTGCATGTCATCGTTGATCACCGAGGTCTTTTTTGTTTTTCTTTTTGACTTTTTGTTTTTTTTTTTTCTGTGTTTTTATCGCAAAATCCGGCAGAAGGGAAATGCATGTATTTTCTTTTTTGGCTTCAGGGGTCGTAGTTCGGGCCCCCCTTTCATACTGTATGGGACTTTATTAACGCCTTCATACATTAGTTTCTTAGTCCGATCGTATCCTTAATTTGGGTCATGGTCTGGGGAATAACCTTGCGTCAAAGGGTATATAAGAGAAATTTCAGGAGGCTATATCGAGAACAATAAGGGAAATTCAGGTTCGGATCGGCCTTTTGTATCCATTTTCGGGGAAGTGCACGTTGTGGATCCTTCTGCCAGGTTTCCTTCTAGCGGGCTTCGCTGGGTCTAGGAGAACTAGCCCTTCTAGAAATGGAAAGGGGAGTTGAGTTTAGGGTGATATAGGAGTGGTATGTTAGGTTGAGATCATGAGAATGGCGGTATATTACATATTATAAGTGCAATATACAAAAAGTGAAAAAAAAAAAAGAAATCGAAATACTAACTAAATACTAAATACTGAATACTAAATACTAAAATAACAGAATAGAATAACAGAATACCATAAAAGAAGTAAAAAAAAAACAAATGATGTACAAAGATGCAGACAGTGGCACCTACCACACCTAAATCACCTAAATCACCTAAATCAACTAAATCACTTAAAATATATGTAATAACATAATATTCCCTATTTCTCCTCTCCCCCCCCCCCCTTTCTCATCTACTTTTTAACCCTTCGCTTTCCTTTCTTCTTTTTTTCATCTACAAATCTTTTCTGATCTCTTTGTCTACCTTTTACCCCCTTCCAGTTTGCGCGAATTCCTAATTCCCTCGAACATCTCGACTCTTCTCTATACTTATCTCTTGCAGATACCTAGAGCTTCCTTTGAAAGGTGTGTTTTCGCTTCACTCCTTACCTTCACCGCGATTTGCCAGTGATGACGCATCTCGCCTATTTCGCCTTGGCTGCCCAACCTTCCCCGGCGCTGTATCTTGGGTTTCTTGTACACGGACAATTTTGCCCGTGCTGGTCTTGCAGTGTTTTTCTTCTGTTTTCTTGGAACTTAGCGTTTAACTGGTCTCCTTCACCGAGGGCCGCGGTGCACAAGAGAAAGATCACGAGCTTATAGGCCAAGCAATGTGGAAATGAGTCGGAATTGCAACCATCCTGATATTTCGTTTCATGCTGATCGATTTTTTTTTGCTGTATAGGAACTTTTACAGGGATAGGAGACCTATCCGCCTTCACCGACAAACGATCACGCGTTCCGCCTTTAGCCGACCACAACATTATCCTCTGAACGGAGCTTGGGCTTTTTTTTTTGGCAGAAATCGAGCCATCGAAACTCTTACGCAACCTTGCATTCCACTGCAGAAAAGTGGAGAATTTACCCCGTTCCATTCTTCGCCGAGGGATTGTTCAAGGCAGAACAGTGTCATACAGGTTCACACAGGGTGAGTTTCTGGTTTTAAGGTCCAGCTGCGTCTTCGAGTTTTTGCTCTCGATTCATTGTGCCGAAAATTAGTCCTGACTATATTATGACTTGATAGAGCTTGCTATTTGCGAAATCTTTCAACAATCGCCACCCTTCATCTCAACCAGACCTTGCGCGTAAAGGACTTTGAATCCAACAGCCATCGGACTTCGTGGATATACTAGCCGTGAAAGGTCTGCCGAAGGACGTCTTCGAAAGCAGTCCTTGACCGCAGTCCCTTGGCTACTTGCTGGGTCGGGTCATGGACTTCACAACCATCCTGAATAGGAAAAACTCCGCTGCAGCCGCTGCCGCCGCCGAAGCGCAGTTACAACAACAGTACTTTCAGCAAAGTTCACAGTTACACACCGGAGCTTCGCCCACGATGAAAAGCGAATCAGGTGGCTCGGACAACCCTGTCAACGCATACCCTCCTCATGGTCCCCCGCCTATGCAGATGGATACCGGACTTGCCGATACCTTCTATTATGCACAGCCCACGGGTTCAACCCCTCGAAACATGGCCTATGCCCCCGCAGGATACGCTGGCGATCCCCAGATGCAGCAGGAACCTGTCTCACAAGGAAGAGCAGGAATTGAACCACCACCAAAGACCTTCCACTGCTCAACCTGCAACAAGGGGTTCGCACGGCGCAGCGACCTTGCTCGACATGGTATGTATTCTCCAGAAATCAGAAATTTAGGAAATGTAGTCACTGATAATCTATTAGAGCGTATTCATACCGGAGTTAGACCACACGCTTGCGAGTGGCCAGGGTGTGGAAAGCAGTTCATTCAACGCTCAGCTTTGACAGTACACTCCCGTGTACACACCGGAGAGAAGCCTCATATGTGTGAGAGATGTGGCAAGGTGTGTATCTCTCGTCCTTTTTTTTTTGTTCTGGCTAGATCTAACAGTTGAAATCTTCAGCCCTTTAGCGACTCGTCTTCTTTGGCCAGACATCGCCGCATTCACTCCGGCAAGCGACCCTACAAATGCCCGTACGCCAACTGTCAGAAGACATTCACGCGTCGTACGACATTGACACGGCACCAGAATCACCACACTGGGACTATTGAAGAAGCTGCTGCTGAAACCGAGGCACAGTTAAGGCAAAATAAGGATCGTGGACGCCCCGGTGAAGGAATGTTTTCTGAACACGGTTCCATTCATTCTACACCGTCACCCGCGCACCACCCGTCCATGTCACCTGGTGGTGAGCTCCCGCCGCTGAACATGCACCGATCTGCTGGCGACTACTACATGGGTACCGGTCCTATCCCGCCTCATGTGCGTGGGGATTTCCCTCAAGGTAGCCCCCGGGCTTCCCCGACTGCGACCTCTCCTTCGCTGTCCAGCTACGGCAGTGCGCCCCACACCCGGCCATCCATGACCTCGCATCCCTACGCCCCGCCTCAACCCCTTGAGCCCCCAGCCAACAGTGACCACCGCCCCAATAGCGTGAATGGCAGTCCACATATGACTAGTCTTGGATGGGCCTCGCCGTCTCACGGTAGTATGCCATCACCTGGATCGGCCAACGACTTCACCTACCCTGAACCCACTGGCCCCGCGTACCCGACATCGATGCCGCCGCACATGTACTTCCCCAATTCTACCATTCGTCGGCCTACCAGCACCGAGCCGGAGAACTACGAAATGAAGCCCCGAGGCGACCACTCATGGTCCACTGCTGTATGATTCACACAAGTGTTTCGCAGCAGCTTTGAATTCTTCCATTATTTCCTTTGTTTAATAACTTCATTGCATAAGCCCCTTGATTCCCACGAGAGAATACATCTATGCCTCTCGATTGATTTCTTATTTCCTTTGTTTTTCATGCATTTTTCTTATTTGTATTTATATTGATGGGAAACCAGCGCACTGGAAGGAGTCGGACGGTCTGATCGTGTTTCCAAATCCGCGATTTATTGTTTTGTTTCAACATGTCTCCCCCTTGCAACCCCATTTTCTTTTGTTAAATGCTTGCGGATGACATTACCGAGACACGATCAGATGAGGAACTACATCCATGGGAATAGATAGAGGGTTGGACTAGGGATTATCTTGGGTATGGATGGGTTCACGATAGGGTCTGGGTTTGTTTTAGGGAGACTCCTGATGCTGGTGTCTGGTTTAGGATTTAGTTTTAGTTATGCCTGTTCTTTTTAATGTTTCCTTCCTCATTGTCTCATAGATTTAATTATTGTATTGCTTCTTTTTTTGATCCTACCTTCCTGACTGTCGTTTATGGTGTCCTTTTGCTTTGCTGCTTGCTCTCTGACGAAATATCATCTTCCAATGAAGTCGTTCTTCGCCATCGTTTGGATTTTGATCAGAGAACAATAATAATAAACAGTCATTGAACTCGGTTTCTCCTCACCGAGTATTCCAAGTAATCAGATGATACTCAGCGCTATAGATCTACCGCTAACTAGATCGAGAAGCTCCTAGTTATTGCTAGCTCATCTTAGTCTTACTGTCGCGCTTAGCTCGTTTCTTATTGGCGTTGTAGCTCCATCGCAGAAAGAAAGACGCTGTGCCCCTCATCTGCCCGATCGTCACCTAAACTATTTCCACTCCCATTTTACATCAACAAACCGCCATGACAAGCTCGGTTTCAATAGAATCGACAAGCCCTCATGCATCGTACCATTCCTTCTCCGACGATGAAGGTTCTTCTGGAGACCAATCTGGTGTGCATGTCGCATCGGAAACAGGCATTGAAAACGAAGATTATGATCCTGCCTGGGCGGATGTGCAGTATCCAGATGAGTTAAAGCCCAGTCGCAGTACAACATCGGAAACAGGCATTGAATACGAAGACTATGAGGATCGCCGGGCGCGTGTGCAGTACCATACAGATGAGTTAAAGCCCAGTCGCAGTGCAACACGGGAGAGAGAATATACCCCAAGGCAGAGAAGACCTGTCCGAAGGCAGAGAGATCCTCCCATTACAATCGACGACCACGAGAATCCAGGTCCCGACAGCAGTGATGATGAAGTTGACTCGTCTGACGAGCTCTACACGCCCTCCGAAAGTACCGACCCAGAGTACAGCTTCTTGGATCCTCCAGACAGAAGAGCAAGAAATACAGCAAGTAGCAATCCAAGGATAAGGCGTCGAACATTCTCAAATAATTCGCCTGACTACTATCCAGACGTGCCTCTTCCTGGTCGGCCTTCATGGGCGGGTCAATCTCCAGAGCGTGTCAGAAATAGTTATGCTCCCCCTAAGAATGTGGAAGACCCCTTGAGAAGCCTGTCTGTAACGGTATCTCTTCGGTCTACCAACGGAGAACAGTGGACGGACGTGAACCATCCAATGGCCCGACCGTGGATGCAAGCCAGAAGCGCGCTAGCTCGTGGCTCGAAGACGGAGTATTTAGTGATCCGTGCAGCGGATCATTATGCCGAGGATGTTGACGATAGCATGATTACTCTGGTTTGTTATGATGGAGATGCACCTAAGAAGAATGAATTTGTGCAGATGCGGTGGCTGTAAGTGCAGTCTGGGGGGTTCTGTTCTATATTATATTATTTTGTGCTGAGGGGAAGTCATTCAGGCACTTGCAGCAAGCAGCCTCAGATTTACAGATTTTTGAAGTTGGTAGCCTCAGGGTATTTATCTATTATATTGGTGTAAATTGCTGATCATTTGGTGTAGGATCTGGTCCTTCACTGTCCACACGTTGACTCCAGCTTGAAATCAGTTGCGCTTGCGCTGCTCCGCGATCGTCGGCATCCCCCTGGTCTTTCTTCGGTGGAGGGAGCACCTCGGGAGTATATCAATCGTTATGATTACAGAGACAACCATGGAGTATGGAATGGACAGTCTGTCACGTTTATAAATGTGCCGTTCTTCACGATGAAGAAGAGGTCTCAGCTTGTTCCGGGTCAGACAACATCTAACGCTGCCGTGCCGATCCGATATCACACCTATAGGGACCATGGGATAATTGATTGGGACATCTCCACCAGTAGCACACGGTCTTCTTTTATTGGTGCTGATTCAGGAGACGAACTTTGCGTGACATACTTGTGGTGCCTGCTACTTGGATCGGGTCTGTGTATTTCTCAGTCCCTCTGATGGGGTAGGAAGATTGCTGACATAGGAATAGACACAATCGTAACATGTGGGGATATCTCTATCTCAGATCTACTTGCATCTAGTGTGACGATTGATAAGAAGTCCAATGCGAGACAGCCTTGCGCCATCAGAATTGTTGATCCCGATTCTAGATATTTCTATCTTGTCATCGAGTTACCGCTACCATACTTTGTGGGTACCTTTATTATTGTTATTATCAATTTGCGGCGCACCAGCAATATCAGTTGCGGGATGCTAATTGTGTCACAGGAATTCATGAAACACGCTTCAAACATAGCCAGGCTACCAAACGAGAAAACAACCAACGCCAACTTCAAACTTCTCACAGAAGATCACGATTTGCTCACCCCTGAGCGATGGGTAGATCTGATGGAGCGCGAAGACCTTGTAAGCCTTCAACTGCTATTGATTCGAAATGGGGCATACTCAGACGAGTCAGATGACTCCGATGATGAGATCAGAACGGTGAAAACGCATCGGAGCAACCAGAGACTATTCAAACGTGGAAACGATAGCACAGGCAAGGTCGTGAATGATGTGCAGAATGTTCTTCATTCTAAGCATTACATTATTGATTCTGCTTCGGAAACTGAAGGTTCTGGCGCCGAAGTGGCAGATCGGGCGCAACAAACAACGGCAGAGAAGCCTGTCGGAACAAACAGTTCATTTAGTTCAAAACCTTCAAAGCCTAAGGCACCTAGCTTTACAAAAGCCGGGAGCAACCGAGAACGAGGCGTTCATTTTGCTGATGATATCCGAGTTTGCGAAAGCGAGGACACCATTCCCGTCGAGAGCATAGGTTCCCTCGACCCTCCACCATCTGCTAGTGAGCCATTGGTAACCCATCCATTCTTCACATGGAATGTGGTTTCATACAGCACTACTCGTGCAAGTGATGGTCAATCGCATGTCAAGGTGTACCATCTCTTGAACCAAGTTGACAAAGCCATGGGAAGGAAGCGACAGAGAATCCATAAATACCTCTATCGGCGCGGATTCGAATGTACACTGCAAGAGCTCGAGCGTCGGCATCCTTATCTGATGAGTTCCCCAACCCAGCTACCCGAAACTGGGAAAGACAGACCTGACGGGACTGGGGGATGCCCTGATGGTGCTAAGGGTGAAATATTCCATACCATACTCGAGGGGAGCCACGATATGGAAGCCGCACGTCATCGGATTGCATGGGATGGCATCGTAAGGGATAATCTTCGTCCGCTTTTGAGCTTGTCCAAAGCTATTGCCCAAACCTTTGTTCCAGCCGACATGGAAGTTGTACATAGGTGTTGGAAGAAGCTTTGGGGTTCTCTGGATCGAATATTGAGGGTGAGCAATTTAGTCCTTACTTGGAGCGATGATGCACGCAACTACTAACATGAGAGATGCAGTGTATCGAGATTCATTATAAGTTATCCCATGAATCTGCGGAGTATATTGTCAATAGCAAAATGCTAAGCAGCTTTGCCGTCACTGATGTGCTGGGGAATACTGAGGAGGGAGCACTGAGTTGCGTCGATTGTGAAGGAGGTACCCGCTACAATAACCTTCAAAAGGCGCTAGATCACCTACACGAGAAACATAGTCAGTGTCGGAGCTGCGACAAGTCAAAACGTTTTTATGATGATCCATGTACCGTTTGGGTGAAAGTGACGATGTTTGGAAAAAGAAGGAAGGTTCTAGACTCGCTGTCTGATAGGTTGTCCAGACTGCGTGAGTTTGTTCAATACCTTGAAAGTCTCCAGCGATGTGTTATGGATCTTCAGTTCTCTGTCCAATATGCTGGCAATAATGGAATTGATCAGGACGTTACAAGCAGACTGCCTTTCCTACCGAGTATTCTGGTCCGGGGATTCGAGGAATTCCTTCTCTCCAGCATCTCATTGGCACACTACCTTTCGAGATCAGGCTTTTCTGGCCGTGTTTTGACCTTGAAACGTCACTTTCCTCGCCATGAAAGTTCACATAACCCTTCACAGTACTCATCATATTCTCGAGCCAATTCCAGCGCCCGCACAGGTTCTCGATATTCAAATACCTATGGTGATTCCAATGGTACACCTGGCTCTTTCAGCTATAGCCTAAGCGATGTCATCGACACTCAATCCTGTAGCATGAGAGAAGCAACCTCTCGTCTGAAACAAGCTCGGCGGGACCTTGTCCTCCTCAGCACAACTACCAGCCAAACCGGCAGTGTCAAATTGACATCCATTGGCCCTGAGTTCCTAATGACTATCATACTTTCCAATCTCAACACCCACGTTAACGGAAAAAAGACAAACCTCATTCAGATGTACAACCGCCGCATGATGAAGATCGCCAATAAAACAACCACAAACCCACAGCGCCGGCTATTTCTCGAGCTTTATGGCCTGGAAGACGACGTTTCTGCCATCAGGAATGTTATGTGGCAACAGCGCACCGCGCTGGCCAACTACGACCGTGTGTTAGATCCAAATTCATTCAGGGTCACGACCAAGGCACGTCGAACGCTGTATGAAGTTGAGCATGACTTTATCGAGAAGGAGCAAACTCGACTGGACGTCCAAATCATGCAGTCTGGAAATCTCCTCAGGGGTGTTGGGTACTATCGCGATCGTATCAAGCAGCATATCGAAATAATGGAGGAAGGACACGGAAAAGCCATTCGGGTTTTTACATTCGTTACCGCATTCTTCTTACCTCTGTGAGCTTTCTTTTGCCCCTTTCCTGACTAGCCTGGGCTTGTGGCTCTAAGTAGCAGTTACTGATGTCACTTTTGCAGGTCTTTCTGCACCAGTTTCATGGGGATGAACACGACGGATATTCGAGATACCAACTTCGACCAAACGATATTCTGGGAAATTGCTATTCCATTAACAATTGTGATTGTGACACTGGCGTTCTTGTACGGATACAAGTGGGATGATATCTACGAGTACGGCATTGAGTGGCGGGAGGAGAGAAGTCGTAAAAGAGCACAGAAACGAGCAAGAAAATTGGCAGAGAAATACAAGGAGGGTGATGAACAACCGAGGTGGCAGGTGCTAGGTGAAAAACTGAAAATGGGACGGCGGCGAATTCTAAGGCCGGGGAAGAATTGGAAACATGATAGTGGTGCATTTGCTTAGATATATTCCACAGCACATCCGAGCAGTTTTTGTCCGGAGCAGCCTATCTAAAGCATGAGTGCACACTATGAATAGGAGCGGATGGGAAGAGAGAGCAAGAGAGAAGGGGGTGGAGACCTGTCTGACTACAAGGTCCTCGCCTTATAGCCTTAGGCCACCCACTATTCACTGTAACTAAAGGAAAATACAGTATACTCAGACCTCATGCTAGACAGTGCGAGACTGCAGGCTACTGCCTGAGTACATACATGTGCACAGGTACCCCGCGTCAAGTCTATATACGTTGAAAAGAAATATAAATCATCTCATTCGATAAAGTGCAAGTTGCTAATGGCCATGGAAAAGACTCAAAAAGCTTCCACTTCTCTTAGAGTTACCTGTTGTTCTGAGGAAAGGAGATTACCAAGGAGGATCGAGACGTGAAGAGCTTGAGGATAGAACACTTTGACGAGATCGTTGCTTTTGGGCTCGCTGATGAGCCCATCTCTTCCTCTTCCTCTTTTTATATGTAAAATCATATTATAGGTGTTCTATAAGTGCCAATTGGAATCGGAACTGCCACATTGACATAAGTTAAGACCGCACATTGAGGCCGTACTTCTCATAATCAAATTCCTCCAAACTCGGTATACTTTCAGCCCAGCCATCATCAACCTCTCCTAGCTGCCAGTTGTCTCCGACCTGAAATCTCCCGGACCTCCCTGCTAGGATATCCTTGTACCTCGGTTGATACTCGGCTGCCACATCTGGATGCGGTACCCAAACAACTCTCATCCCAGCTCGTCTTCCAGCCTCTACCCCCGCAATGCTATCCTCAAAGACCAAACATTCGCTAGGGAGGATGGGACTCTCACCAGGTTCCAACCCGGAGTTCAGAACCTGCAACGCGACCAAGTAAATATCAGGCGCTGGCTTCCCTCGACCCTGTCGAACTCGGGGGTCATCAAGTAAGATTTTTCTATCGGGCGGGAAGAAACTAAGCAATCGTTTCGATTCTAGCCTAGAAGTTTTCAATTTGTAACTATGCGTCTTGGTACTGGATGCCAAAGCCAGCTGAATCACATCCCCAGAAGCAGCACTTCGTGCACAACTCAGATCCGTTAGAATCTTCTTCGCACCAGGTAGCGGCATGCAATTTGGAAAAAGCAGTCGCATTGCTTCGCTTGATTCAAGGGCGAACTGCTCGCGGGAGATTGGCAATTTGGCCCAGTTGTGGAATAACTCGCCTTTTGTTGAGTCTGCGACGCCCATGAGCTGTGCGCGGATTGACGGAGTCAAAAGAGGCCGGCCATACTTTTTTAAGAAGGTTCTTCGTGAATTGAGCGACTATGTCTTCCGAGTTGATGAGGAGACCGTCCATGTCAAAAATGCAGGCGCGGACTGCGGGGAAGCTGGCTTTTGTTAGCTTTACAGTATTTGCCTGTTGACGCTCGATAATGCCTGCATTGAATTTCGCATATAGATGCCTATGTTGGAGATCACTCACTCTGTCTTAGGGAGAGCCATGAAGGCCGAATGAAGGCAGGCTTTGGGACTGACACTGATTTGATGGTACTGGGAGTGATATGAGAAATGAGATATGGGTTGGGGTTTCGGTCGCAAAGCCCAACTGCCTTCGCGCCCCCAGTCCCTAAAGGGCTTGGGGCCGCAGCCCTGGAGGGGTTGCACATTCTCTACATCGTTTAGCGATCTTTTGTATATAATTCTCATAAAGAAGGTATATGATTGGTAGGATCTGGACATGAACTATATTATTATAAGATCAGGAGGTACTGACTTCTAAAAACGCCTGTCACTCAATAGGGCCCCATGCCAGGACTCTTTTCTGAATTTCTTGCATCTTCCTTTTGACAAGAACTTCCATATTCTGTTTCTCTGTTTCATCGAGAAGGTTGAGTATCTCTTCCCAGTCTCTCTTCCAGAAACGATCATCAATCTTTTGCCAGTAAACAGCGTCGAAGGCGAAACTCTTTCTTGCTGACCTCGAAATCTCTGCTTCACAAGCTATCCCTCATCGACCTAGAGAGCCCTTCTTTTTCTTCCACTCGGCTAGACTGTATGAGAACGTCCTCTCGCTCAATAAAGACGTTTAAAAAGATATTTACACGTTGATCATAAACATTTGGCCAGGGCTCAATACCACCTGGCCAGTTCTCTGGTTGTTCGAGTAGCAGCCATCATGGCGGCGCAGACGAGCACTTGGCCGGTGCTGCATAGGTGAACTCCCAATTTATGACCCCGAAAGTTTGCAAATCTGCATCCAGGAGTATATTCGAGGGCCGAAGGTCATCACATCAGAGCTTGAATGGACTAGAGTCCTGGTCCAAGGTAGATGTTTAGTTGACAATCTCTAATCAATTTGTAGAATAACTGCCGGCCTACGTGCTTAGCTTGGCAGTCGGTGACTGAGTCTACTTCATCACTGTGACTTCGTTGCAGCCCTTTTCTTCAGGAACATTGTCGCTTCAGGCCCAGGAAACAGGATGATTACAGAGCCGCCATATATTGAAGTACCCGGTATCTGGATCACACTGTTTCAGTGGAACTCCTCTTCGATGCTTCAGGATAAAATCACCGATGGCCCATAGGGTGCTTTCTTCGAAGATGCGTTCCAACCATTTATATGTGATACATCGTCACAGTCCATGCATTTTTGAATCTTCTGATTGTTTTATGCAAAAATGATATGGTTGTAATGTGTAAAGAATGAGGACAGGGGTAGTATTAGGAATCCAAAAGTGCAAAATCGTGTGAATTATGAGAGGTCCATAACTATATGCGTTAGTCTAATGCACATTAGCCGCCAGCTCTACTAATTTAAATTGCCCCTGAGGATATCAGATGGCTTGCTGAAAAGGGAAGGTTAACACCAAGCGTTGACTTGGATTTAATTGATTGGGGGCAACTGGATTCATTTGAAAAGTTTGTGTTAGAATCGAGAAGGATCGACACATTTCAACAAAGCTATGAATGATGTTCATGATAAAAAAGCTCACTGTCCTAGAATATCTCTTACGCCACATATATCCTGGGAATATGACCAGTCAGAATCCCCTGCTATATTGTGAGTGGCCAAGCTGAAAATCTGGGCTGGATTGACATTGGTAAGTGCACATAGAGTGAAAAATTCGCGCTGTCTATTTATTCTTTACATGGTCTATTTTCAAAATTGGTATCATCTAATATATACTGGCATGTGACTTGAGATTTATTCTCCTAGATCTGAGGCGAAGAAATCAATTGCAAGGGATCCTTCTACCAGTCGGCAATTTTATCCAGCAACATCATAGTTGATCACGTTGCTATACACCCCACAAAAAGCCAATAAAGCATAATTCTGAACATGAATAATTGTGTCACATAAAATCCAATTGAATTCGAGTTTATCAAACTGCTCGTGTTAGCCCTCGTATTCATGTGAAGCAGGAGAACATCGACGGCGAGTAGAGATGGCAAGTCTGTGGTAGCGCGAATGGTCTGGGTTTGAAACATTATTATCAAATATTGTAGATCGCTTCGTATTAAGTCATCTGGTCGTGTTTTTGCTCAAAATTTGATGCTTTAGGCATATGCGTATCTTGGTGTGCAGTATATATAAACAGTGATAGAAGTGCTTTACTCCCAATTTTATCAAGTAACCGATCACATTTTGTTCGCAACTAACTAGGACCTAAATATATAGGCCAAGAAAATGCATCTCTACAAGGCTTTTATTCTTGTGCTCGCTCATCTCGCCCTGAGCCGTATGTATTTCAACCAACATATATCCTAAACTACACAACTAACAAACATCCTTTCAAACAGAAGCAGCAGCTTGTCCAGCAGGAGGATGCGGCAGTGGCCCTGCCTGTGCCGTCACCGAAATATGCACAACAGCAACCTTTGCCTCGCCCTCCACGACTATCACAACTTGTGTCCCAACACCCACCTGCGCAGGAGTCTACTGTAAGAATTGAGAGACCCCATCTAACCACAACATTGAATGTTCCTCTAAATAATGCTAGCATCCTGTGAGTTCGGCACCCCGAACAACCAATGCTGCTCGGGCTACTGCGCCGCCACCAGATGTCGATCGACGGATCCTGACTGGCCATCTTGCATCGAAGATGGGGGGCCTTGCGTTGTCGATGCACACTGCTGTTATGGGAATTCATGCATAAATGGGATCTGTAGCCGGAATTAATGATACAGGGCCGTGATATATCAGAATTCCTATAGCACGTGCAGTCGGAATCGATTAATGAGTTTGTATCGAATTAAGGGCTGACAGTTTACTTCTGGGCTGCATGACTCTGTCAAGGGGTTTGAATGCCTAACGTATGAATCAAACATAATATATTCATGGGTTTATCTGAACAAGCATAGCTACATATGTACTCACAAAGCCAGCACCTGCTCAGCCTGTTCACTAAACGCTTTCATAGCAGCCCTCCACAACTCCGGCCCGACACTAACCCTCGCAACACCCAACGCCCGAATCTCCTTCACCCCCAGAAAGCCCTCTCTCAAATTCATTTTCACATTAACCATGCCCCCTAGGGCATCAACCAATCTTTGAACCTCTCCACTCGAAACACCCCTCCCACTAGGCCCACCCCAAACAAAAACCGTAGTAGCACCAGCCTCCAAAAACGCCTTCCCGCGCTCAATAGCCTCCTCAATAGTCCCATTCGCTGTCAGCAATACATCCGTCCTAGCATTGACCACAAAATCTGGAACCCCAGCTGCGGCGGCTGCCTGAACCACAACCCGAACCCGGGCCGCAGCCTCATCCACCGACCGCAGCACGCCAGTCGCGTCCATGTCTTCGAGATTACACCCCACAGCACCCAAGGTGATCACCTGGCTGATGGTATCTGCAAGCTCAGATACATCGCCGTACCCATCTTGCAGATCGACAGTCAGTGGTTTGGCAGGGTTAATAGCGCGGACGGAAGCGGCGATCGCGGCTATCGCGGTCAGATTTTGGGTTTTTGTTAGGGCGTTATCATCGACGCCGATCGTTGCGGCGATCGCGTAGGATGCTGTTGCGATGGCGGGTGCTTTTGGTAGTGAGGCGATTATTGAGGCTGTTGTGGGGTCGTAGACATTTGTTAGGATTAGGGGGTTGCCGGGTTGATGGAGGGTGCGGAGATATTTGGCAATGTCGTTTTGGGTTGGCATTTTGGGTAAAAGGGTATATGTACAGTACTATTTGGGGGGTATTTTGGGTGTTTTGGGTATAGATGTTTTGGATATTGTATTTGGGACTATTCTTTACAGATACACAATGGAACTTCTCATTAGAGGAAGATTTTCGGATCCGACTGATCTACGCAGATCAAGGCAGACAATGGGTAATATTTCCCCTTGTCTCAGACTGGAGAATAAGCCGAATGGCGCAAGGGGACGGTATTTTCCCCTCTCCGGCTGATGAAGAATTACACTTGTCCAGGTTGAGTATAACATGCAGGTCATTTGCAGGACACTGCTTACACTGCTGACGGACACTGTAACATTCTTATTTTATTTTTTTTGCCACAGTATGTGATTTGTGAAGTTGGGATCGAGATTGGAATTGATCTGTCTAGTAATATGGGGCGAAACTGTACAAAAAAAAAAAGAAAAGAAAGCCGAAAAAAAGAAAAAGAAAAGGGCGTAATACAATAATATACACCCCGGAGCCTGATGGCTTGCTCCCTATTGCTCCATTGGGATGCATAAATGGACCTTCCATGCATCTGTGAAACTGAAGATCCAATAAGAGGAACTACAAAGTACGTGAACTTGAACTGCGTGAACCAGGAATTTACCCTTATAACACCCTGTGCTATGTGTCCTCTCTCTAGTTATCTTCTATTGATTTATAAGACACTTCTCTAATAAATGCGAAAAAGGCTAAAAGTAAATATGCGATAACATGTATGAATTGGCCCCGTTTCTTGCCAATCGAAAGGAGTAAGAATCCCTTAGTCCACTAGTCTGATGTAGGGCGAAACATTAAACGGTAACACACTTGGAAACCTTCGGGTTGGATATCCGTATGAACGAGGGGCAAAAAAGTTGGCATTCCTTATTCTCACAGGTTGTTGCGATCATTGGGAATGGGAATGTCTTTTTTGTCCTTTTCGTTTCAGATGTTCTTTTTATAACCTATGAAACTATGAAACCATTAGACCATTAGACGACCACTAGGTCATTAGGCCATTAGGCCATTAGGCCATTTGGACGTTCAATATTTCCTTTCATAGTAAAGAAACCCATTTTAATATAATTCTCGAAGTCAAATAAACCCCCGACCACACCCGCTTCGGTAAACAGGACTGAACTCGGGAAGCCCCGTTGATGTTCTCCTCACGGGTATTTGTATTTGTATTGTATCTGTATATTGCGGTTGTCGGCTGCGCTTATATATCCAAGAATATATAGAAGTATATTGTATATGTATGTGTACGGTACTAGTGGGTTTGGAGACCAAAAAAAAAAGAAAAGTGACCTGAAGGGGAACAAGTAACTTTACAAATAGAAGGTTGGAACAAAGGCCCTGAGACAGAATGATTTTCAGTACGAAAACGATACTCTTGTATTGAAATCACCCCAGGGACAAGAAGTAAGAAAGTATACATATCGAATATATATACAACATATATTAAGGTCCATTTATATAATTTCTATTCAAAACATTATGTATCTCTTAAAAATATCATGTAACATATAACAATGAACTAGAAATATATAGTGTACTTCCACTTTATAAGGAGTCAATACATCGAAATTAATTAAATCAAAAAAAAAAAAAAGAAAGAAAAAAAACCTATCGGGAAATCCCCTGTAATTTTACAGGGAATCGCCGTCAGCTCTCCCCACTCTCCGACACTTCGCCTTGCTCTCTCTTTCTGCCTCTCTCATTCTTTTTCTCTTCTACCATTTGTATCTTACATTCTGCATTGCGTCTCGTCCATATTTCTAACGACTACCACGATCATATGGCGTATAGTTTTACCTCCCTCGTGCAGTTGGCCGCCTGACCTGCAGCTCTCACGCTGCCATCCGACTGTTACTCACCTCGAATCGCTCCCTCCGAACTTAAACCTCTCCTCAACTCCCATAATGTCGACCGGTTTGAATATCCCCCAGAACGGGCTGTCTCTCCACTTCGGAGACCAGTCCGGCGATCTTTCCGTTAAGCCAAATCAGATCATGCGGTTGAATTTGGTGCAAAGCACCCTCGATGATCTGATTCAAAGCCTACGGAAAGATCAACCGGCTCGAGTCCGGCTGGGAAAACACCCATCGCTTCACTACGGGGGTAAATCTCAAATGTTCCATGCGTACCCCGAAACACACCGATCCGAGATCTACCATAGCTCCTCCGATAAAGAGACACTGTATTTCACAGGGGTTTTAAGTCATAGTCTCGAAGTTGAAAAGGCTAAAAATGCTACGGCGGCCACCGATCAGGCACTGGCAGATTTAGAGGAAAAATTGAATGCTCATGAGAGAGGGAAGGAGTCAAAGAAAACTCACATAATCTCACATCCTGACGAGCTGAGGGGTCTGCGAGGCAGCAAGGCAGGCTACAAAGGTCTCACCACCAAAATTGAACTTGAGAAAGATCGTTTGCTCAAGACTGCTGCCAATCGCTCTCTCACTGCAAGTCCTATCTTGGGTACCCCCAAGTCTCCTTCTCTCGCAATGACCCCAACCTCGGCTCCAATGATGCAGAGCAAAGATCGTGCGAGGCTTGAGGCCCTCAAGACTCCCTTTATTCACCTTCTCGCCGTCCGTGCCGTATCAGCCAAGTTTCTTGCCCGCCAAACCCGCACCACCGTCGAAGACTGCACCGCTCTCGGTGAGAAATTCGGTGTCGTGAACCGAATCAACCCCGAGAAATACAACCTCAGGGACAAAGTCTACAAGGATCTTGATGTGTTTGGCTTCAATTACACGGAGGAGGACCGAAAGGAAGCCATTGAGAATTCTATTTCTGCCTTTGATCGCATGCGCATCTCTCGATCCGACAAATTGTGGCAGACACTTCTTCCAAAGGCCGAACGAGGCAAGGGGAAGTGCCTTTCGCGTTTGAATCTTCGTACTGGCCCGCCCCAGAAACCTGCCGCTCCACTCGCCAAAGCCAACGGGGAGGACTCGGGTAAGGACAATGAGACCGACCGCGCCACCAAGGGGTCCGCGCCGGCTACCAAGACTACCTCGACTTCGCAAAAGGCTCGTGACAAGGACCCGATCAAGCGACCCACCAAACCCAAGAATACCAACAGCACCCTCACCGGACGGATTACGAAGAAGACTGGTGGAAAGGCCCCAGTCAAAGTGGACAGCAAGATCAAGTCCGCAGAATTCGTTCACAGTTCGGATGAAGATGATGATAACGACATGCCTGAGATCCCCCCTGCCGCTCCCGCCCCGGCCCCGGCCCCGGCCCCCATGCCTGCGCCGAAGCAGCAACCGAAGGAACACGAGCGGACTCCATCTGCGTCGAAGCCACCAGCACCAAAAATCAAGGCGCCGGCCAAGCCTCGCATCACCGAGACTACTTCAGTTCCATCTGCTCCTCCTCCCAAGGCTAAACCCGAGACATCGAAGCCTAAGCTTGAACCATCCAAACCAGTCACCAAGGCTACAGCTTCCAAGCGTCCTCCCTCTCGACCCTCTAATTCCCCGCAGAAGCCGTCTCCACTCGGCTCCTCTCCTCCTTCCAATGTTTCCGATGCTACCAGCACCAGCCGCAACCGATCCGACAGCCAGAACCAATCCTCTGGTTCATCCTCGTCGTCGCCTCTCATCTCTCAGCTCGCCAAAACCACCAAGGTGGGCCGTGCAGCCCCTGTTGCTGGAAAAACCGTCAAATCTGCTGCCCAAACCAACGGTATTACGAAGGCTACATCCGCTACCACCAACCCCTTGAAGCGCAAGGCTGAGTCTGATCAATTGTCTGTACCCCAGGCAGGACGTCCTGCTGGAAACCTGGAAGCCAAGCGGCGCCGAGCAGTCAGTTCCTCTAGTGGTGGTAGCACTGGCAGTGCATCTCCACCAATGAGCTATGAGATTCTTCGACAGCAGCTGCGGGAGAAGTCTCAGAAATTCAAGAACTTTTACACCAAATACCGCAACTTGCATGACTCCCTTGCAGCGCTCCCCAACCCGCCCCAGGTGGACCTCGACAAGCTGCAAAAGCAGCACATTCATCTGCAGCGCATGAAGAAGGAAATCTGGGAGGAAGATCGACAGCTTCGTGACGGCCTTCATTCGTAATTTAATTTAGTCTTTTTTTTTTCTTTCTTTCCTCATTTGCATGGTGATGATGTTGCACTCCAAGGAGTGCCGAATGAACCAACAGCCCGGCGTTTGTATGTTTATCCATCATATTTTTATTCTCTTTTCATTATCACCATAGCAATTCATCTTCTTGTGACCCAATTTTCTTATCATATTCTTGAGTAACCCTTTTCGCTCGGAGAGCCAGGCCACCAACCAATTAGCCGAAAACCACCATGCACTCTTGAAACAAATGAACCCTCACGAACTACCGAGTCAGATACAACTCGGTCTAATTTCATTTTGTAGTCAATAAGCAATGGGACCAGTTTCCGGTCGATCATCTTCACTTTTACCCCAGATCGACCTAAACGCCATTTACCATCTGCTAGTCTCAATGAGGAATGTGGGTCATGTCTCAGTGGGCGGTGTACCACGTGGCAGTGTCACGGGATTGGTGGATCATTTTCACGTGACTGTAACAGTGGACGTCATCAGGTTGCTCAATGGGCTATTCCGAGTTAGGCTTAGCCTCGAGGCCATTCGAACTTGCTGGCTCAGAGCATCATACACAGCAATTGTTACATCCACGGCCAGGTATTTCATCTATGTTGTAAAATACCACCAAATAATCACCAAAAGGCATACTCAAGTACCTATTTTAAGCTCGTTTGACAATGACGCCCCCGGCCCGAGGACGGGGGACTAGTCAGCGCAGCCCAACCGTCTTGGTAGGATTGACTATTAAATCGATTGTACGAACCAAGATGAACTAACGCATAACCTTCAAATACAGGTCACAGATTCCCGAGATCAGCAACAGCCCCAAGCACCCCGCCGACGACGCTCGCCCGCAACCCGATTCATCACCGTCGACAACGTCCTCCAATACGCCTCCGACGTCCCTTCAATGCAGCAGCGCGGCCCACCCATCTCGCGGTCACGCCGTCTTGCGTCCGCAGCTGGAGGCTTAATAACCAGCGCAGGCAGTAGCAGTTCAAGCGCAGTAGCAGGATCCGGCGGCACGATGAGCCGAATTGCCGCGCAACCGCGACTCCCGCCTCGAACGACGAAAGTCAGTGAGAAGCTGGTCCTTCTCCCCGATACTGGCGAGCTGGAGGAGGGTGAAACGGAAGAAGATGACGATGATTCTGACGGTGTGGACCTCGTGGACGAGGAGCTTGTCGAACGTCTGGCCAAGGAGAAAAACATCGACCCTGAAAGGATCAGACATCAATTGCTTATGTCAAAGCGACGTGGAGGTGATTTCGATGTCGATAATGATATTGCCCCCTTTTGGCTCAGGAAGAACTCTTGAAGAAACGCCGTGTTGCGCCTGAGCGCGCGAAGAGTTATGCGGAGCGGTTGCCGAAGGCGCGGCGCACGGAGAAGCTTGCGCGTGTTACCGCGTACTGTACGGCCCAGGCGTATAAGATGGGGTCGCTTGCTGCTTTTGTTAAGGAGCAGCATGGTGGAAGGACGAAGCTCTACGATGATTGTCTTTACACCGCATATCATCTACCTCTTTTGCCGGGCCATGAGGGGTATCGTCTGCGGAGTAGCCCTGTGTTGAAATACCCTGGTGGCAAGTCGCTTTTGGATGAAGAGATTGAACGAAATGAGCTTCGTGATTATCATGATGAGTATATGCTTGAGACGGAGGAGCATTCCGTTGGTGGACACAATCGTCCGGAGGATGAGCACCATTATGAAGGATCGCCGCGACAGTCTGAGAGTCACGACCATGAGTCCCGGGAGGAGAACCGTGAGGAATTCTTGAATCGCATCACTGAGGAAGTTGGTGGCCATCTACCCAGTGAAAATGACCATGCTATCAGCTCCAGCGAAAGTGTCGATGAGTTGCGGCATATCTCGCCACCAAGCAGCAATGGAGAGGCCCAGCAATCTTCGCCTGAACCTGCAGTCCGTCGCCGAAGGCACAGCACGGACGACACCCACGCTTTGATTCGAGACCGTCCTTCCCTGCCAACCCCTACACCCTCCTCGTCCTCATCACCACCGGCCTCAACACCCCAAGCCCCAGCTCGGACGCTATACAATGTTGCTGAGATGTTCGTTTTCAGTTACGGCGTCGTCGTCTTCTGGAACTTCACCGAACGACAGGAGAAAGACCTGCTGGCCGATCTGGCCTTTGCGACATCATCGGCAACTGGCGTCCCTACTCCTCTGGCGACCATGCCTCTTGATGAGGAAGACTTTGAGACAGAAGAGTTCCATTTCGAGTATTCGACCGAGATCTCGCGCCCTCGAGTCTATAACGACATGATCACGCTTCGTAGTGGCGACCACATGATCAAGCTCGCTATTAGCCATGGTATTGCACAGAGCACTAAACTGTGCTTCTTTGAAGAAGTCATGGCCCGACAGATGGCAGACGCTAAAGATGTTCCCAGACGTCTCGCCGTTTCAGGCCAACTAGGCATGAAGCGCGAAGAGGTTTTCCGGATCTTGGGTCGGTTGTTCAAGAGTCGTGTTGAGGTCAACCTTTGTAAGTTCCCAATTCCCTTCATGGCTCATCTTGCACGCTATGGTGTAGATACGAGACTTTATTCAATACTAACATGTTCCACCAGCATCTAACATGCTCGATGTCCCCAACTTCTTCTGGGAAAGCGAGCCAACCCTGTACCCACTCTACATCGCCGTGCGCGAGTATTTGGAAATCAAACCACGTATCCAAGTCCTCAATGAGAGATGTCGCGTATTCCTCGATCTTGCAGAGATCCTGTCCGACTCAATTGCCGACAACCGCACTTCCCGTATGTTCTCATCTTCTCCTCGCTCTTGTACTCCCATCTAACCCCATTCCAGACCAAACCTGGATCATCATTGTCCTGATCATCATCTCAATCATCGTTACAACCTTCGAAGTCTTCCTCCGCTTCGGCATTCTCCAATCAGGCCAGGGCGCCGCTGGTACGCCTGCTAGTATTCTAGCCCGCGCGATGGGCAGATCTGTTGCCCCCTCTCCATCACCAGAATGGTACCCATACTCCGCCGGCAATGCGCCACCAGGCTGTATCTGCCCCTCTCTTGGCCCTGCGGGCGGTGCCGCAGATATGGGCGTCAGTGGGATGATGGGATACTAATTCATTTGAGTTTTTAAAAGGAGGTTCTTATGGCGCAATTGGTGTTATGGAGGGGGCCACTGGACAAATTTTTCTTCGGTTGCATATTAGTTTGAAGCTGACGGATTCATAATACTTGTGGACTTCAATGTTGTTAATTTTTTCCTCTTCGTGCTACGTTAGAAAATATTATCTTTCACGTTCCTAGTCTTAACACACCATCCCAAGTGCGTAGGCATGCAGTCAGCCCCCGGTATTGGCCCTCATACATCTCAGCTTCTAGTTGTGTTAGAGAACGTGTATTATAGAAACAACTATCAACTCTACCTAGTTTCGAGGTATTATCATATTTTCAACCATGTTGAATAGATTTGATTCGCCATACATATTCAGCTATGAAACCGAACGTCGTGTAGTTGTACCATTCCACCAGATCGACTGTGGATCCAGCGCTGGCCTTTCGTGCAGTCTCTTTATCAGAGTATCGACGGATCCTTGGAATAGACATTCTTGATGCTTCAATGCCGTGTCAGAGAATGCACTAGCTAGTACTCGGCGCTGACGACCATGCATCTCGTCTGTGGGAGAAAGTACGATATTTGAAGCGCCGTTTTTTCGCAATGTTGGAAACCCGCGGGTCCTTGAGGAAATTTGTTGAAACCCCGTAGATATTCTTGCACGTTTGCTCTGTTCGAACGCTCAGGTCATCGGGAGCTATACGAAAAACATCACCATATTGTTCGCGGGGGCTTTTGACATATGAGAGACAGAGGGTATTTACAAGGGTAATTAGCTGCAGCATCGGCATACTGCGTTATAATTGCCAATCTTGACGTGATAAATGATACTTGGTAGCATTTGGAAAGCGCGAAAAACAGCTGAGTGGTAGGTTATAGCTACAACATCAAGCATTAGCCGCGCAAGATGGAGACTTGTTGAAAGGTTGATCCTGGTATTAAAGAAACTCCTAGAAGGGGGAATGGCCCCAAGCCATATGTACATAAATAGTAGATTGTCATCTGTTCAGGGCAAATGGCTGGCTGAATGCAACCCTAGAGTACAAATTTGGCTTAGTTCACCTGTATTGAACACCCCGAACAAACCTTGGAATACGAAAAAAAAATTGACTTATTTGATCTCGCTATTGGGAATCCTAGTTAACTCTCAGTATTAAAATGGCAAATGGGCCATGAAAAATCTTGAAACCCAACGAAAGCAATACTAGGGTTGTCAATGCAGGCTGATACGTTTCTCTGCATACAATGTGCATTATCTCCTACAGCAAGGATGCATTTCAGGTCCAGCTGACATCCAATGTTCAATCAGTCACTTCTAATCGAGGGAATCCGGCGGTGTAATCTCTTTCTATTTCCATTGCAAATTCAATAATTGGGTTATCTATAGGTGTGGAAACGAACTCCATAAATACGGCTCCATACTCCAGAAATGAAGAGGTTAATATACACATCGAAATATTCTATTCATCACATTCCTGCAGTACTGTCTCTTCTGTACTGTTTCAATAGCCACGAAGATTGGATTCATACGTAGCTATGTGCATGTCCTTGTCTATATTTGAGTATTATTATTCATGAAATGTCTCAATCCACGCCACGCCAGTTAGTGTTAATACTCTCAACCTGGTTTTGGGCCTGGAAGGGGTGCTCTACCATCCAGAATTTGCTCAAGCGAAACTAGCCACTCACACGTACTCTGTATCGGCGAGAAGGCTTGTGTCTACATCGACATGGATGGCCTTTGAGTGTGGAAAGCTCTCAGAGGAAGAATGCCACCAACAACTAGCGGATCACTATGGCTTCGAGGCAGATGAACTTGTAATGGCCATAAGCAAAGGCCGTGCAGCTGCCATTTATGATGAAAGTCTAGTGGCAAGTCTCTGGGACTTCAAAAAGGCTATGGCGGGCAAGGTGGTGTTCATTCTTCCATCGAACATTTCCAGTCCAGATTACATGATCCTTCGACAGCTATGGGGAGAGGAATTTTGGTCCCTTTTTGACCACTGTTTTCCTTCATGCGTGGTAGGCACCCGTGAACCGAGTATGCGGTTCTACCCCCGCATGCTCTCGGGTAGTGGTGCTGTACCGCGAGATACCATTTTCGTGGATGACCAGCCGGATCATGTGCTAGCAGCCTCTGCTCTAGGTATCAAAGGGATTTTGTTCACTGATGGCGAGAATCTCTTGCAGAGTCTCATGAATATGACTGGTGATCCGGTAGAGCGAGGCCAGGCATTTCTTCATGCCAATGCTGGTCAGCACCACTCGATCACAGACCGAGGAGAGGAGGTAGAAGAAAACTACTCTCGACTTTTGATACTGGATATTACACACGACTGGTATGTGTTGATTCCGGGATTAAGATCATAGCAATAGAGTTAACCAGACTCTATTGAGCAGCTCACTGGTGTCATTAACTCGTCCCCCTAAATTTTGGAACTTTTTTGAGGGTGAGTTGCCATTATCTAAAGTGAGTAAAACATAAGCATTCTCAGGCTAACCATCGCTCTGTAGGCCCCGCGAAGTTCACCACCGAGACCTTCCCAGACGAGTTTGATACTACCGCTTTGGCATTGGTATCGATGCCCTACGAACCCTCGGTGGTGCATTCCATGATGGATGAAATGCTGAATAATGTTGACGAGGATGGCTTGATACAGGTCGGAGAGCCATCACATATAGTGAATGCCGTAATATATAATTCGTTTTTACTAATGAAATTGGTCTTTAGTTTTACCTTGATGACTCGCGCCCCAGAGTCGATGCAGTGATTTGTCTCAACATTCTCACGCTTTTCTGCACGTACAACAGAGGATACCAGCTGTCAAAGACCATGAGCTGGATCAACGACATTCTGCTCAATCGAGCCTATATGAATGGCACTCGATACTACCCTACTCCGGAGTGGTTCTTGTATTACATGGACCGACTACTCTCACGATCTAATGATCAGATCTTAAGGGACCGATTCGAGTGTCTTCTCCGAACGCGGATTATTGAGCGAATTGGTGCCGGCGGAGATGCACTATGTTTGGCCATGCGTCTGTGTGTATGCAACTCGCTTGGAATTGCAAATCGCCCTGATTTTGATACTTTGACTGCTTTACAGTGTAAAGACGGAGACTGGGAGCCTTCGTTCATGTATCTCTTTCCGGGGTCGGGTAGGAGACTTGGAAGTAGAGGCGTGACGACAGCACTCGCAGTGAAGGCACTCCAGAGCGCCGTTACTCAAGGTATATTAATGTGACCTAAATGTCGGTTATAGTACTAAGTACATAAATAGATGGAGGATTACATTTCTAATATCAACCTTTTAGGGATGCAAATAGCTATCATACCATCTCTATTTATTCCTCCCTTCTATAATGCGTTCCCTGAACATTTCAATTTTTTTGTGCGTCTTTAGAGAGAGCTACAATGTATTATATCCACATTGAGGCATACCTTTATCGCCCTTAATGGTGACCCAGCGTGGTCGTGTGGCACTTGGCCACCCCCTATGTATGTAGCTGGGAGTATAGCTGATTATATCGTGTTTTTATTCATGGACCTCTCCTCTAAGCACCAGATTGGTAGCATGTCAAGGTTTGCCCCCGGAAAGGATCTGAGCAGAGGTGGCATACTCTGTAGTCTGCCCAAAAGGACAAGGCCTAATCAATGCCCAGACGCTAACTGGGCAGCCATGCAACCCTGGACTAGGGCTTACTCTGACTGCAGTCGTTCCCCTCTCTTCTATTCAATTTATCAGAAAGATGCAACCTAGAAAGAAATATTGTCAGCGCATCCCTGGATACGGAGTATAAACAGCTCAATCCTTCCGATGATATCCAATTCATTGAGATAATCATAATCTCGGCACAATCCATTCTACAGGAGTAGTCGCTTTGAATTAAATCATTCTCGTGTTCGACTTGATTCCATATTCAAATTCCGAACCCCCATTATGAGTCCACCTACCCAAGCCGCATCTTCACCCTTAGACACAATCATCCCATTCCATTTCTGGGATGACGTTCCTCAAAATAGAGAATTATGCATGAATGTCACTCTCCGATTCGACCGAAAACTCGATTCCGAGCGACTTTACAATTCTCTGACCCGTCTACTCGAGATCGACAACTGGCGAAAACTCGGAGCTCGTCTAAGACTGGACGTAAGTGTCCAAGAGAAAGTAACAAAGTCCCCAATAACTAAATCCATAAACCAGAACTCGGGCAAATTAGTTTATCACCTCCCATCAAAATTCACCGAAGACCGACCTGGGTTCATATTCACAACCAAGAAACATGATGGCAGTATCAAAGCCCATCCTCTAGCATCACAAATGCCATCTTCTACGCTGTTAAACAAACCCACCAAAGTATGCATACTAGACGGCATGACCAGATACTCTGCTCTCGTCCGCCACAAATCAGCGCCAAGCAGTATAGAGGATTGGCTACAAACAGACATTCCGCAGCTGGTCATCCATACAGTCCTCTTCAACGACGCAACGCTTCTTACAATAACATTCCAGCACACCCTCATGGACGCAATGGGCCTATCTTCATTTCTGCGTGCATGGACGGCGGTTTTATCAAACTGCGAAGAAGACATTCCCCCGTTCCTCGGGTTCGATGAGGATATCATAGAATCACATATCGAGCCCGTGTCCACTGAAAAGCAAGTAATGGTGGGACAGACAATGGCAGGAATTTTATTCGGACAGATTTCGCTTCTGCTTTTCGCTCTCGCGGGGTGGTGGGAGATGTTCTGGTTTCCGCGCGTCGAGGATAGAGTTCTTCTTATTCCTGGGGAATATGTGCGCGAGTTGAGAGAGAGGACATTACAGGAGCTGAATGAAGATTATAAGAAAAATACAAACACAAGTATCCAGAATGATGGGCAGGTCAAAGATAAAGACAAACCTCGCCCATTCGTCAGCGAAAGCGATGTTCTTCTTGCTTGGCTCTCAACACTCCTCGTCACAGCACACAATCCCAACCCAAGCACTCCAGTTCAGATTTCGAATATCTTTGACATTCGCTCTGCGCTTGCTCTTCCGTCTCCGGGCGTGTACATCGGGAACGCGATAATGCCATCGTATGGAGAGTTCCAGGCACGCGAGTTTGGAGTCCGGAATCACAGCACGGGTTTAGATTACCGGTTAGGCTCTGTCGCTATGAAGATCCGCCAGGCACTAGAGACACAGCGCATGAAGGAGCAGGTTTTTGCACGTACAGCGTTGCGGAAGAAGATACTTCGCGAGATGGGGTCTTTGCCGCTTATTAGCCACGCTGGTCAGCTTGGTATTTGCTGTACGAATTGGCAGAGGGCTGGGTTTTTTGGTGTTGATTTTGGGGGCGCGGTTGTTGGAGACCAGGTTGGGAAGGGGTTTATACCCTGTAGGCCCTCTTATGTTAATACAGCGGGGGCAGGACCGTTGGATGGACATGGACCGCGGAATATGATGATTGTTACTGGCAAGGATGGGATGGGGAATTGGTGGGTGCAGATTTTTGCCAGGGAGGAGGTTTGGGGGAAGATCGGGGAATGGACGAGAGAGCAGGATGTGCAGGATATGAGTTTATAGAATACGGTGATACTGGAATAAGAAACGGAAGAAATAGGTCGAAGATGAATCCAAAATCTCCGTTAAAACGGACATGCTAAATATGAAACAGAGACAGTAGATATCAGTACAAAAGTGCCGGGATTCTAAATCAGCAGAAATCCAGACCCAGTTTTTCACTCCCAAGATTCGTTTATCGTATATCCTTTAAAATTTCCTTTCTAGGTGATTCTAAATTTAACCGGTAACCTTGAAGATGGACTCGGCGAGTCTCTCGACGTTGGCGGAGGTGATACCAGCGACGGAGATACGGCCATCCTTGGTAGCATAGACGGAGTGCTAGAAAAATTGTTAGGAATCAGGTCTGAAGAGGTATGCGAATGTAAATCTTACCTCCTTAGCAAGGACGTCCATCTGCTCGGGCTTCAGGCCAGTGTAGGCGAACATGCCGATCTAGATATTATGTCAGTCATTTGGATCAGACCTAGAGAATCAAGTTTTAGATCTCACCTGGCTGGTGATGTGGGACCAGTCGTGCTTGCTGCCAAGCTTCTCGAGGTTGGTGCGGAGGAGAGAGCGCATCTCGATGATGCGGCTAGCCATGCCCTCGACCTCACCGAGCCACTGCTTGTTAAGAACAGGGTCGTTCATGATAGTGGAGGCGATGCGGGCACCGTGGACGGGGGGTTAGAGTAGAAGGGACGAATGAGAATCTTGATCTGCGAGTCGACACGCTTCTTCTCCTCGGCGTTCTCGCAAACAAGGGAGAAAGCACCGACACGCTCGCCGTAAAGACCCATGTTCTTGGCGAAGCTCTGGCAAAGAGCGATGTTGTGGCCCTGCTCGACGAAGTGGCGGGGAGCAAAGGCATCCTGGTCAGCGTTACCGCTGGCAAAGCCCTGGTAGGCCATGTCAAAGAAGGCGAAGTGGCCCTTCTGCTTCATGACATCGCTGATCTGGCGCCACTGGGCCTGGGTGGGATCGACACCGGTGGGGTTGTGAGCGCAAGCGTGGAGCAGGATGATGCTGCCCTCGGGGGCGGCCTTGATATCGGCAATCAGACCCTCGAAGTCGAGGCCAATGGTCTCCTTGTTGTAGTAGCTGTACTGGGCGACCTCGAGACCGGAGTCGGAGAAGACAGCCTTGTGGTTAGCCCAGCTGGGGTTGGGGAGGTAGATCTTCTTCGCGCCGGGGTAGAACTGCTTGAGGAAAGCACCGCCAATGCGCAGGGCACCGGTACCGGAGATGGTCTGGGTGATAACGAGACGGTTGTCCTTGATGGCGGAGGAGTCGGCGCCGTAGGCGAGCTCGGCGGCGGCGGTGGTGAAGGCAGGAATACCGGTGATTCCAGCGTACTCCTTGTCCAAGCGGGATGCGACGACCTTGTCCTCAGCGGTGCGGACGGAAGGCAGAACGTAAGGCTTGCCCTTGTCGTCACCTGAAACAACGGGGATGACTCGTCAGCAACCTAATATCCAATCCATTGCGCAATACGGTGATTGTTTGGGGTAAGGCTTACGGTAGGCACCCACACCCAGGTTGATCTTCTCCTTGAAGGAATCGGCCTTGAAAGCTTCGGTGATGCCGAGAATGGCGTCCTATTGACCGAGTTATGTTAGAATTGGCCCTTCAACACACCATTGTGATGATGGCAAGCTCATTAATGTAGCTTACAGGAGGACCCTGGGGAACATTGGCCCAAGCGGAGGCGTGTCTAGCTCCGATCACAACGGTGCGCATGTTGACCTCGCGGGAGGCAGCCGACCGGCTGGCAACTCTGAGAGTGGAAAGCATAATGGCAGAGATGAAGAAAAAATTAAAAGAACAACACCTGGATCTCCTAGATTTGGGAATTGGAAGCGGAAAGAGAAGAACCGGAGGAGAGAAAGAATATAAAAGGATCGGAGACGTGGTCCCGATGTTTTTCGCGCCTGACTCATGTGATAGTGGTACCAGGTACCTTCAACATGGCGTGCTACTCCGCCCTGACCGAGGTACCAGGTACAATCACCCCGGCGAGATGTGCGAATGGGATTGGCTGCATGTTCCGGCTAAATTACAGGGATCAATTGCTGTTTTTTTTACCAGGATGTAGTTACTGGATTTTGTGAATTGTGGTTGATTATTTGAGTATATCATTCACAAGTTGAATTCACTTTAGAACGTAGAAGTGATACAGCAAAACATTCCATATATTCATTTGATATGTTAACATATACACCTATACAACAACACATCAGCCCATCTCCAAATGATTTTCTCGGCAATTCCAATCCCCGGTGAACTGATCAAGGCTATCTTCTCCACACTGCCCAGGAGTTTCCCCTCACGGTTGGAGTAAACATCGAATCCTCCTATTATTTCCCCATGCCGGAGAGCGAAGGGCCCTGACACACCTTAATTCCTCGGTTAAATATGTATTCTAATATCCGTCTCTCCACATGTACAGCATTGTTATACAAACGTATGATATCTCAATATAATTATGTAGGCTTGGGACTTTTGAGCTGGACTTTTGAGATAGATAGGACTTTTGACATAGACTTTGCATATCGTAAAATTGGTATTTGGCTACAAAAACAAAAAATGTATCAGCCCAGGCGAACACCGGCTTGGCGATTCTTACGTGCAGCAGTGCCCATAACAGTGTTCATGCCGGTTTGCTGGCTACCATCCAACGTGGGCATAGCCTCGCGCTTTTTCTCTTCTTCAACCTTCTTGAGACGCTTCTCGGTCTTCCCCTTTCCACTGCCCTTGCCGTGGAACTGGTGACTGAGTTGCTTAAAGGCTTCTTTTTGGTTCATGTTGCGACCAAACTCATCCACATACCGCAACTGGACGTCGGGCTTGTATTCGCGGTTGAACACGTCGGCCATATGACGTGCTTCCTGCTGGTCACGCTGCTTGTTCTCCCAGCGTGCGTGCTCCTCGCGCTCACGAGCTGACATGCGCTCAAGCTTGCCGGAAGTACGGTCTCGCTCACGCTGCTGCCGGGCGCGTCGCTCGGTTTCTGATTCGCGGCTCGTCTTTTCTGCCAAGAAGCGTTGGCGATCGCGCATTAGTGCATTTTTGCTGCTGCCGTCGTTGTCCTTGACTAGGCCACGCGATTTCAACATTGATAGAGTAGCGGCCAGACCCTGGTCCAAAGTTGATTCCTCTTCTAGACCTGTGACGGTGAGCTGTTGTGGCTCGGCCGCAGATGCTTCTGCCTGTGCTTCATCGTGCTTGATGCGTGCGGCTAGCTCCTCTTCGTCTTCGATATCGCCGTAACGGTCCATATCAATCTCGAGGTCTTTTCCTTCGGGCTCTGTATTAGGACTTTCAGGTTCCTTAGCTGCAGCTATGGCGTGTTTGTGTTTTTCTTCCTGTGCAAGGAGTGTAGGCTTGTGTAGATTTGACACAAACTCTGATGTTTCGTCAATAACAAGGCCAGGCTCCTCATTATCTGAATTTTCAATGTCCATTGGGGTCTGAGTTTCCTCTTCTCGAAGCTGCTTGGCAAGTTCCTCGGGGCTTATCTTCTTGCGCTTCTTGAACGCTGCCCGTCGCTGTAACGCAAGAGAGGCTTGAAGGTCATCGTCATCCACGAAAGAAACATCTTCATTGGTGGGCTTGCGGGTAGCTGGAACAGGGACTCCATCCTTTGAATCAATGTCCATGGCTGAGGATCCCTGCGCATCGGTCGAATCCGTAGCTGGAGCAACCTCGTCGTCATCCATGAAGGCCCTTTTTTTTGTAGCTTTGGTCTTCTTCTTCTTAGGCTTCTTAATTTTCACTTCGCTGATGTCCATGTAATCGGAGGACGGCACCTCCGGCTCAAAGTCGAGGCTGATAATGTTCTTCCGCAACTGGTTAGAAACTTCCTGTCGCTTTGCTTCGCGTTCCTCGGTCGAGCCTTGGGCGTCGAGGGTAAACCTCTTCCGCTTTTTGCCTTCGATCTCCTCGTCGTATTGTGAAAGGATGCCCTGGTTTTCTGCCGTAGGGTCGTAGACGGGCTTTTTCTTCTTGAGCTCCAGCTTCTCTTCGGTTCTTTCTTTCTCGACCAAATCGAGGTTTTGGAGCTCATCGTCTTCCTCCTCATCGTCCACCGCAGCGTCCTTCAGTGTCAGGATATGATCTTCACCGTCCTCGAAAGCACCCGCAGAGTGTCCGACCTTGATACCAGCCAGATCCGCTGCAGTGTACTCGGCCGCTGCAAGACGCTCCCGCTCTTCGAGTTCCTTGGCCAGTCTCTGGGCACGTTCCTTCTCGATCTTCTTTTGGCGTTTTTTCGACTGTGCTAGCCAGGCTTTGGTGTCGAGTTCAACGTCATTTCCCTCGCCTAGTGTGGATCCCTGGAGTTGCAGATTCCTTTGGGCGATGTCACGCGCCCGCTTGATGGCCGCGTTCTTTTCGTCTCGTTTTCGTTTCGCCTCGGCGGCATCTTGAACTTTCTTCCAGTTGTCGTAACTTTCTGCCTGTCGCGACTCCACAGTGCTGGCTGCCTCTTCTTCCTCGCCGGACTCGCTGTCATCGTCTCTGAATTCTGGGCCAGCGCCGGGAACGGGGAGTGGCTTGAGGCCAAGAGCCACTCGGATTTTGTTATTTTGCTCAATGGATAGAGCGTCCGCCATTTTGACGGTGTGTAGAGAAGGAGAGGAAGAGATGGAAAGGTAATGAATGGCCTTCGGCGCGACGCCTTCTGGTTTCCCTGATAACTGCTATCGGGTCACATGATGTGGCCACCATAGCACTATCCTTATTTAGGATTAGTGTCATAAAATCTTAGCGGCCCCACATGCGACATAAATAAGAGTCTTTCCGCTTTTCCTTTCCTCTTTTCTTCTTCACCATAACCGGATCTGTGTCCAGATTTCCTGCCCATGGACTCCAGTCTGACTGGTTTCTGTGTGGTGGTTGAGAGCTGGGCATTTCGACGAGCTTGGAGCCATCTTTTTTTTGTGTGGATGGCCTTTACGGTTTCCGGTCGACAGATCTCAGATCAATTGTCTGCGCCTTGTGACGCGGGTCTTGAGCTCCCACTGGTGAGCTCGGCTTGATAGCTTGGTGTCGGACGGCGTCATATTTCATATCTCTTTGCCGATTGGCCGTTGGCCGCTGAGGTTAGGGAATAACCATGACTTGCCAACATCTCTTATATAGAACTCGTATCTTGTAAAAAGAAAGCTCCGGCTGAAAGAGTCGCAGTTCCTGCGGAATTATGTCGCCTAGGAAACCTGCTATACGGATCGTATCTACGCGCATGTAATGCACTGAACGTGATGGATTCAGTAATGTTGGAAGCTGTTCGTCGACGTCATGATCAAGCCTATCTAAATGCAACAAAAACAAAAACACCTATATGATGTGTAATTTACAGCAGCTTCAAGTGTCCTGTCACACCATCGACCACGCTCTTAGGGCCCAAAACTCCCAGCACGGTCTTGCTGCCACTTGCGATCTGAGTGCGCCCAGCATCCTGGATAACGCGCGCGCAAAGCCCAAGGCTAATAGCCTGAGCCTGCATGAGCAGCAGCTCCTCCTCAGACTTGACCTGCAATGCGATTTTGGCCTGGCCGCCGCGCTCCCATTTCTTGAGGATAGGCGAGTTGGGCGCGTATTCGAGGAAGTATTTGTAGCAAGCGAGGGTAGCGTGACCACATTGGGCAGCGATTTTGCCTAGAAGAAAAAGATTGTAAGCGCTTGCGACACAAATGCGAAGAATTGAATCATTGTTCGTAGAGCGCATACCTTTGGTCATGCCCAAGTCCATGCGAACGACGAGCACCAGCTTCACCTCCTCGCTGTTGTCCTTGAAGCTGGACAGCTCTTCGCCGTTGCCCTCATCTTCCTCGTCGGTCTCTTCTTCTTCGGAGTCTGATTCGTCCTCGTCGGAGGAGTGGCTGTGGACCTTCACATTGTAGCTGTTTGGCCACCCTTCTTTCTTCTCTTTGAAGAGGCTGAGCGAGGAGCCTTGGCCGATGAAGTATCCCGTCACACCTGCAATGATGGCCGTTGCGATCACATAGGCAGCCGTTGTGGGAGGTAGGCGGTCTAATGGTACGGGGGCGGCCATTTTGAGTTGGTTGGTTGGTGGTTGGAGATCTTGGCCTTGCAAAATAAAAATTTGAGGGAAGCTCGACCGCCTTGGATATCTTCAGGTTTTGTTCCACTGCGCTCACCTTGGATTCACCTTTTTTTCTTTTCTAGGTCGACAAATTTCAAATCAAATGCATTATTAGAAACTTGGTATATCTTTTGATTTCATATTTTTTGAACATTGCGAGTTGTGCGACTTGGTTGAGCTAGTTCTGGTTATATCTTACTCCTACATATATATCAAGAAATTTTCCCGCAACTCCTTTAACTGGTCAGCAAAGAATATGAATAGAGTGAACAACCTATAGCTCTTTGTTATACTCATTCATGAGATCCAACATCTGGGACAGCAATGCATAACTATTCATGATTGAGATATGTTTAAAGCCGATATCAACAACCTTTCAGAGTGACATGACCGCATGTTTTTGCCACTAGAATTTAGCATTCATGTGCGAGTAACAACTCATTTATGATTTAGGGAGCATGTTCGTTTCACCCACCCTGCAGTTCGTCTGTTCTCCAACTTCTCCGTCTCGGGAATTGGAGCTATATACATCGAGGCCTCAATTCTCGTTTTTATTATCAGGCTGCCAGTTCTCATTCCCACCCAAGTACCGGAATACGACCCGTGAGTCCAAATCCTTGCATCGCTCATCCTCACTGGCCTCTGTGTATGTCTGCAACCCCACACTTCCCAGCACATTAGTCGATCCTACGCGACGGGCCATGTCCAAAGCCAACGAAATATCCTTCTTCATAAGATGGACCTTGAAACCATTCTGATACCCGTTCGAGGACGGCGCATCAGGATAAATACCGGGTACCGGGTTGAAACGATCACATATGGTGTTTTGAGCAGTGCCAGCTGCATAAACCTGAGCCAGGACTCGTGGGTCTAGTCCGGACTTCATTCCCATGTCCATGGCCTCCGAGGCAGCAATGCCGATGATACCGGAAAGATAGTTATTGGAAAGTTTGGCTGCGATTCCGAGAGACGGACCACCGCATGGGATGACTTTGTTACCCATCAGGCTGAACAATTCCCTGAGCTCTTGGATATCCTTGCTGTTGTCTTCAGCACACCCAAGGAAGAATGCAATTGTTCCTCGCTCTGCTCCGATAACACCACCACTCACTGGGGCGTCGTAGAATGAGGCGCAGGGAAATACCTTCGTAACGTGGTCCTTGACCTCCAAAAAGCTTGCGGTGTCGATGGTCGAGCAGTCGATTAGAAGCTTCTGTCCGATGTCGCTGGAGCAGATTCCATTAGGTCCAATGTAAACTGCCTTGACGTGCTTTCCTTCGGGTAGCATGGTAATTATGATATCCTAGTAGATATTGCATCGAGTTAGTATCTTTTGTTTTTCGAAAGCTACAAAATGTGAACATTTTCAAGGATGCTTACCGATTTGTCGGCAACATCCTTAGGACTAGAGCATCCTATGATGCTCTCCGGATGTTTCGCGCAGATATCATCCACGAGAGTTTGAACGATATCAAACACATGAACTTTGGAATTGACTGGAAGCTTTTTGGCCAAGTTGATCGCCATCCAGAACCCCATGTTTCCGAGACCAATGAACCCTACGGCCTTTGCATCCATAATATTGAGATTCTGATGAGTGCAAGATTGAACGAAAAGAGCAGATAAAAGGACGAACAGCCAAGACCTAGAGGGGAGGAAGAGGAGAGGAGAGAGGTAGGAAGAATGAACAAGATGTAACACGAAGGAGCTCATAATTATATCGACATCTCGATTTCCATATGCAATTGACTTGGCAGTTGACTCGTTCTTATTTACTCCAATATTGGGGTATACTTCACTCTTTTCTACTTATCCCCAACTCATTCATTTCCCCACACCAGAGGTAATAAGAACCCTACCAAATCAATGTCCTTGCAATCGGACTTAGTGGTGCATTTTTATTAGCAATTCACACTCAATATTGCATTCATGTCTGTTGATAACGAACCATCCGTGGAAGTGCATGCCCTTCGGGCCGGTCGCTTCACGCTGCCAGAGCGATTCTTCGTACACCCTGCTTCAGAAAATGCAAAGCGAACAGTGCCCTCATTATCCTTTTTGATTCAACATGTCAACCGAGCAAGCATAACTACACGAATTGTTTTCGATCTTGGTCTACGACATCCATCGACCAATTATCCGATCCCAATTCAACGTCATCTCGAGACCCGGCAACCTATGACCACTGAACCTGACATTGTACAGAGCTTAGCAGCTGGTGGATTATCGACAGATGATATTGACTATGTGATATACTCACACGTATGTATCTGGCGCGTTTATCATGGCGTGAACCCACCCAGCTGAAATCTCCAAAGGTTCATTGGGATCATATCGGCGAGCCAAAAGCATTCGGTAAAAGCACATTCGTTGTTGGCCCTGGTACATCGTCTCTACTAGAAAACAGTTCGTCCCTTCGTGGAAGTCATTCTTTTTTCGAGCCTAATCTGCTGCCCGCGTCGCGAACCATCGAGCTAGCCCCTGTAATAGGTGCCTCGGAAAAAGTGACTTTTACCGATATGTCTACCAAGAATGAAGTTATGCCAGATTTCACCCAATCATGGGTACCATATGGGTCCCTTCCTCGGGTGATGGATATATTTCGGGACGGGAGTGTCTTGATAGTCGATGCACCAGGCCATCTCCCCGGACATATCAATCTTCTCATTCGCACAGGTGCAAGTAAGTATACTTATCTAGCTGGGGATGCGTGCCATGATCGACGTATCATGAGAAGAGAGAGGGAGATTGGAGAATGGCATGATAAACATGGTCATGTTTGCTGCATTCATACAGACAAGAAGCAGGCCGAAAAAACGATTGAGCTGATTTTGCAGCTTGAGTCTCAAGGCGTCGAGGTTATATTGGCCCATGATGTCGAGTGGGAAGAGAAGCCAGAGAATCAAGCTCGCTTTTTCGGGGCTAGTTACCAGACTCCCATCGAGAGAAGTTTCTAAGAGGAAGCATAGGAAATGTTCCAATTATAATTACACATGTATGTACGTAATTAATTCTGCGGATATTCATATGAATTAAGCATCAAATCAGAATGTAGAAATTCATATCTAGGGCTATCATCTCACTTCCCCGGTCCAGAACCAAAGAATTCGCCGTAGTGTTTATAGATGGCTAGGAGCAATCAATATGTATTTGCGCTTGGGAAATAACCCAAGATTATGTGAAATTCTCCGAAATCAAGCAAATTTCTCTCAATAGTACTGAAGCAGTCTGTTCCCCAATTTCCCCAATATTGGAGAAGAGTAAGATATGCGGGGAACATGAAGCATTTCCCCGACATCAAAAATACTGAAATAGCCAGTAAGAAATATGTTCAAGTAACTCCAGGATTCATAATTATAAGCTACATTTTCATTTTCCTTGAAGCCAGCCAGCTATTTTAATACCATTTTGCATTCCTTCACTTAACTCCGAAAACACTAACTGAATTTCTCTCTTCTTTCAGCGGAAAACCCATTATGTCGGCACAGAACAAAGTCAACAATCTGCACAAGCAACTCTTCGAAGAAGGTCTCAAAGTCCGACGCGAAGTTGTGGGAGACACATATGTCGATCGGGCTCTCGCGAACGGGTCAACTGAATTCTCCCGTCCCGGCCAAGAACTAGTCACTGAATGGTGCTGGGGATATGCCTGGACTCGACCCGGTCTGGAGAGACGGGATCGCAGTTTACTCAACATCGGCATGTTGATGGCTTTGAATCGTGCGCCAGAGCTGGCGGTGCATATCCGAGGTGCTCGCAACAACGGTCTGAGCGAGGTTGAAATCCGGGAAGCTATTCTTCATGCGACGACATACTGTGGTGTTCCAGCTGGTGTTGATGCTATGAAAATTGCCGAGAGGACGTTAAACGAGATGGCGGATAATGGGGAGAAGGAGCGGGAATTGGGAGCTAAGGCTCAATTCTGAGACTTGGTAGATCACGGAAAACGAAAGACTTGACAGTGAAATTTTGCAATGCCTTGATTTAAGCAAAGATTCCATATTGTGTTGGTGTCATGTAAGTCTTTCAAAGCATGCCGTGGATGTATTGTCGTTCTTTTTCGTGCCATTTCGACGCTAATAGTGCATCCTCAGGATTCATGAATAAGTGCTAGATCCCTCAAGACAACACCATTACTCTTGGCTCCACTGTGCTTATTGTGAATGGACACAATCTTAGGCTTAGAAATTCCAGACCTTTGTGCCAGAGCTGAGCACTTGTGTGGAGGTAGCTGAATGTGTCAGATCGATGTTGAACGAGAAATAAGCGATAAGAGACATGAGCTTCTCACTAGAAATCGAGTGTTTGAGTGTTTCGTGGTGCCAGTCTAGCATGCCTTGGTGGGAACGTTTGATATAATTGATATTTGGTCGGTGATAGAAAGCATAGTGGAAATTATATTTATGCAAGGCCAAATTTGATAAGCCTTGTAGATCTAGAGAAATACTGCGCAGGGAAAATACGAAGGTTTTATTTATGTAAGTTGGTAAATAAATGAGAGATCTCGAGGCTTTAGTACAGAGTAGAATAGATTGACCAGTTGGCGATTATAGTGAGGGATACAACAACGACCACTAGCTAATTCACACGTTTTCAACCAAATCCGCACAAAGCTCCAGTGAAACTCGCACAATATCAACTATAGCCCAGACCTGTGCAGGGCCATGGAACACCTTTGCCCAAACTCGCAAAACATTGGCAGACAGCAACTTCATTTCGGCTGGTGACCCGACAGTGAAAGTTAAAGGAACAGCAAAGTCCGTTTCATCCAACATAGTCTTTACTAGCATCACCATTCTATGCTCATCAGGTGTGATAGTCTGAATTGCTGCAGGTGATGATAGTGCTTCGAGCCATTTACTTAATAAGAAGGCACATTCAAGAGTAGCCAGGGAATGCTGGATAGACCATCTGAAAGTCTGCGTCTGTGCGACAAGATGAACACCAATACGAATAGGAATACTCAACGCATGCGCAGCATGCAGCACAGCGCGTAGAAGCCTTGGTGTCCTCGAGATTATCTGAGCATTGAGAAATGCGTTGGAAACCTGTATCGGGTCGCGCGTGTGAAGTGCACGACCGGGTCCGATATCTGCATGGATACGGATATATGCTATCCGTAAGAGTGCAGTCGAGTTGAAGGACACAGGGCCTGCAGGGTTCGAAGGGTCAATGCTAGAATCTGGAGTGTGTTTCCACATAGATTTCCAATTTCGCAAGGCAAGCTCAATGCATGCAATATCTTCTTCTGGTATGTCTCGTCGGCGATGGCGGTAGACTTCGCGGACGAGGTAGATGTGCTGGATCAATGCGTGCGCGAGGATATAGTTACCGAGGGTAGAGTTTGGCGCAGTGTGAGTAGTGGTGAAATTTTCCTGAAACAGCTGAGAGAATGCATCCTTGAACCAGATTCGATATTCGTTCTCCTTCAAGTTTCGCCATTTGTCTTCGGATGTTGCTCGGAAACTTGCAATATGGCAAGGCAATAGCATTCCATCGACATCCGAACTAAGAATCGGAGATGGAATGTTATAGACAATGGTGTGCAAATTAAAGAAGCAGAATACTATCCACTTCGTTCTCTTGGTACTCTCATATGTAGCCCAACTCTCCCAACTAACATTGTTTGGTAGCGGTGTAGTTTTGAGGCCATCATCGCGAACGAGAGTTGCTAGAATACTCTGAATGGCTAGGGCTTCACGCATAATTGTCCGATGGTTTGACCATGTTGCCTCAGCCATAAGGAGCAAGAGAGCTTGTGCAGTTTGGATCGTGTTCTCTTTATATTGTATAATACAATTTTCGTGACAGGAGCCCCTTCTAGACACCTGATCATGATCTGAATGAGATACTGATATAGCATCTTGTCTCCTGATGCGCTCTCTTGCAATAAGGTGACTTATTTGGAACAGTTGGACTGTTTTTTCTGGCTCAAAGCAATACTGTCCTCCGATTGAGGCAATGGCTAGTACAAGTTCGATATAGCATCCCTCCGCTGACATAGTGGGAATGTGAAGAAAAGGCATGTGCTCGTGGAACCCCTTAACATAAGCTGTCAAGTAACGAGACATGGCTAGCCTGGAAGGCATTTGAAATGATTCAGGCACCACCGCAGCAAATTCTTCCACCTTGGAAATCAGCACGTCGCGAGTCTGCGTGCTCATTCCTTCAAATAAATTTACTGTGCGAATCATTTGAGGAACTCGTTGTATATCTTCCTCTGGCTGTAAGGACGGTAATCGCGACCCAAGTCTTGAGAATGTGTCCATCTCTGTCAGTTGCTGTGTCTTTACCGTCCTCAAATCAGACCCCAAAGCCGGGGTTGTACATCCAGTATCGTTGTATTGGTTTGCCAAAGCAAAATCGAGCCCCTGTGTTGGTGAGATGAATGAAGCGAAATCACCTGAAAATGGGGTATGGTTATCCATGAATGCTGCCAAGTCTTGAAAAGAATCACCTAATAGAGTTTCTGTTAATTCTGCCTGGAATTGGGTAGAGAAACTCGGAGAGAGGATATTGGCATCATTGAGCTGCTGTTCGTGGGAACTGTCTTGATTCAAGGTCTGAGATGACCCATCAATTTCTTCCAAAGTGGTCCCAGTGGTTTCACTTGAGTCCGCGTAAATCGGTTCAAGAGAATGATCAGCAGTTTCTTCCACGGACGCAATTTCAACCAAGGGCTGTGGTTCACAAACGCTAGCATCTAGGTCTTGGCCATTCAGTGCTTGGTTTTGTGTATGTATTGAACGTCGCGGCTGTTTTGATGGGCGTGCACCTCTTTTCGCGGCCTGTTCTTTGGATCCTGGGTGACTGAGTCTCTCATGGCGGACCAGTAAGTCACTTCGAAGCGTTAGCATTGGTCTATTCGAGTCGTATTCAGATATGATCACCTTCTAGAAAAGTCACGCTCACATTGGGAGCATCTGAAAGGCTTTTCATGTGTATCTACTAGGTGTTAGTAATTGAGTTCATCATTTGTATGTAAGGACGCACGAGTTCTCTCATGTCGTTGCTGGTGTTCTAGTCGAGCAAATTGCCGATCACAGTGCCCGCATTGAAACCGCTTTGTTTTATTCGCAGCATGGCTAGATCTAACCTTCGAGGATGAGGAGCTTGTGCTAGAAACCATAATTGCTGGATCAATAACCCAAAAATCTGGCGGCTGGGAATGGCGATGTTGCAACAGAACAATTTATTAGATAAAACTGTATTATGTTCTTCTGACGGGTGATTCCTATCTTGACTTCTTGACTTCAAGGGACCGTGAGTTGAAAGATAAATATTCCAAGGGAGCTCGGGAGTAACGGGACTAGGTACCTATGTAGGGATGTATGCTGTGCGGGGACAATCCGGGGTAGACCCATGGTACCAAGGACAGTTAAAATTTGTTTATTTCGTCCGCTGCAAAGTCAGGTTATCCGAGTTCTCCCCTTGAAGAAAAGAGACAATGTGCAGATCTAGTAGCTCCTCAGTCTCTTTGGGGGACCCTCAATTGGGTGATGACAGCAAGCGCGCCATGGAGAAAAGCCGCGGCATAAATCGGCTAACGTTAGGAGGTTATTAAAAATAGTGTCCTTGCCAGAGGCAAAGCTTGCTGTCAAAGAGTTACTAATGCATTCGGTGAATCTAGTACAAAATCCCAATAGATAGCTAGGATACGTTGATTAAAAAGGTAGCTGAAAAAAAAGGCCCAAGATCGAAGAGGCTCCATCCTAACAGATGTCTGCAACTAAGAACACAAGCCAACCCAAGCATATTGGACGCATCACAATACGCTACCACTGATTATATACAACCCAAAACACCAATATAGACCCAAAGAGGCTACTTAGTTTGCGCTACCAGCGGGGGCGGCAGCACGTGGAGCGCCTCCAGTAGGCACGCGACGGTTCCTAATTCCGGCATTAGACTGATAGCAAACGACAAGCACAGGTCAATTTCAACTTACATCATGGTACGGCTGAAGAAACTGATGCCAATCATGAACATCCAGCTGGGGACAGCACCGAGACCCCAAATAACGTAGCCCATGGGAATGCTGAGCTGGTACTTAGCGACCCAGCCGTCAACGGGGTGGAGAGCACCCTCATAGGCGGGAATCTTCTCGTAGGTCTTCTTGGCGTGGATCTCGTAGATGGTCGCGGGGGTGACGGTGGTGGAGTTTAGGTAGATGTTGTGGAGAGGAGTCGGGGCACGCTCCTGGCCAACAGCAGGCTCCTGGGGGATCTGGTAGTACTGGACGGAAGGAGCGCTGGCGGACCAGGCGGCACACAGGACCTGGTTGGCCTCACAGTCCAAGTATCCAAGGTGAGGCGAGGTGGGGTCGGCAGAGAACAGCAGAACGGATTCCTGGGAATTGCGAACACGATGTTAGAATTTTAGACTTGGAAAAAACGCGTCGGGAGCGAAACATCAACTCACCTTGAATGCCTTATCGGCAGTTCCACAGCGACCGAAGCAGGTCTTGTTGCCACCAGTGATAAAGATCAGCCAGTCCTCTGCCTGGGGTCCCGGGGAAAGGATGGATTGCCAGTTGTCCAGGGACACGTGGGTGACGCTCTTCTCGGTAACCTGCTCGGCGAGCTTCTCGATCGGGGCAACCGGGGCTGCTGTGGGCACATAGGACTTGACCTGGTTGAACCATCCCTGCACGCGGTCTGCGAGAGGAACCTGCTCCTGGGCCAAAGCCAGAGCAGGGAGGAGGGTGACGAGTGAGGTGAAACGCATCTTGACGGCTGAGGCGCGGAACAAGTTAGTGAGACCAGTCTCGGGAATGAATCAAGTTAAATAACAAGATGAAACAATATCTGGATACTTACCAACGACTGAGAGGATAAGGATTGACAGTCAGAGACAAGAGGAAGAATGGTATTCAGAAGGAGGCCAGTTGGGACGACAGCTGGCCTGAGCGCTAGCCAACCACACACGGCTTAATTTTACTCCCGCGCCTCCTTTCTCTGCACCAATGGCGCCATTCCTATGCAATTAATTCAGAGAATGTTCTAGATTTATTCAAGATCCCTTTTTTTGGACTATCTTTCTTATATTGCTATTAGATCTTTTTATCTTTTAGATCTTTGCTTGTGGATTATGGCTTGCATAAAGCTCCCGCCCCCACAACTTAGGTGATGTCAATTAGTGTCATGGATGTAAACAACATACAAAAAGCTTGAGTTTTCGAGTCTCTCGCACATTACTTATGAATTACATCGATGCTGAACATTACATATCTTCCAACCTTGAAGATGGATGGTCTATTGTATTTATCGAATTGGGATTCTTGCAAGTGGTCTACTTTGTATAGGATTGATGTTATAAAAGCGTTTGATCTCTCCATCCTGAAACATGAACCCATATTTATGGACCATTTCTCACCTCTATAGATAAGCTCTCTTTCTCTATGGGAAGACGTAGAATCAAAACATTATTTGATGTTCGAACTGGGTGCTGATTTCAAAGAATTGAAGAAATGTAAACAACACTATTATTGCACGTGGCGATCTTCAATTGAAATAAGTCGAATTGCAGTTTGGGATGCCTGCCCTTGTGCTGCTGATTTCATTGACTCTGTAAGAATCTTGAGATATAGGTGGTTAAAGAATGTTTAAATCATGCGAGTCTTGAATGTTCAGTGCCTCGAGGAAGAAATAGTGTAGAACCTCAAGTTTGTGCTAGCTGCTGTACGGCTATAGTATAGATGTAAATAGTGGATGGCAACCTGTCCACTAATAGACGAGACTTTTATAAACAAACAGGAAATGGGTCAGTCCATTCAGATGTGATCGATCGACACAATGTTTAGTGAACGTGTCCTCGTAGGAGTGGCAACTTTAATCGTGGGAAAAGCCTGCCTATTATATATATATATATATCGATATTATTTGAATGCACAAACCTGGAGTAATTCCTGCAATACACCCAGTGCTCTACAGCATGTTAAGAGTGAATTATTTCAATGTGTGCGTGAATCTACAAAGTACATTTTCACTTGAGATCTATGCAGATCATTTCCCTCTCACGCTAGCCAACTAGAATATTGATAATTATGATGACATCACTACCCCGTTCTCATAGAACGGATAGTAAGTATCAATTGTTTTGAGCTTTCCCTTTTTGAAGAGAAATCTAATAATCAGTTATAGAACAGCTCTGTATATTAGAGAATATTTACTATCAGTTATATCAGTTAAAGTTGCCCAGGTGAGGTGAAGTTATGAGTCAGACCCCACGGGTGCGGTCCGATGTCGGTTCCGCGGCATTGAAGTAAAATGCACACATATGGCTGTTTCAATCAGAAATTTCGTGGAAGAGGGAAATTGGAGGTAATGGACAATTGAGTCATAGTGCAAATGATGTGAATGAATGCAGGGTACCTAAAATATACCAGGATCAGGATCAAGATCCTATCATACTCCTCCAAAATAGGTACTTCCCCCACCTCTCCACAATCAAAATTTTCTTTTTTTGCCGCCCGAGGGAGGGGGCGTCCATTATTACGGAGCTCACCGCCCACTACTTCGGCGTTATGAATTTATGACTCTTTCCGTCTCTTTTTTTCAAGGTTTCTACTTCAAAGATCTTAAGTACCGCTCGACTTTCCTTTTAATCTCGATCTTGAATTATTCTCAACTTCCGGGCTTCACATTGTCCAACACATCTCTACTCTACATATTCAACCATCTGCACCATGTGTACCGGTGCCGACTCCGAGCCCAATGGGCAAGCTAATGGTGCCAATGGCACTGCTGCTGCCAGTATGTCAATTGAACGCTGTTACACCAGAATTGTCCACTGACATCTATCTAGACGGCGATCACGCTGGTTTTGTTGGCATTGAAACTCGCCAGAACCCCCACCCCTCCGCATCCCGCAACCCATACGGCCACGACGCTGGCGTCACCGATTTCCTTAGCAATGTCTCCCGTTTCAAGATTATTGAGTCTACTTTGCGTGAGGGAGAGCAGTTCGCCAACGCTTTCTTCGATACTGCCAAGAAAATTGAGATTGCCAAGGCTCTCGATGACTTCGGTGTGGACTACGTGAGTCGCCGGACAGACGAAGAAGAGTTTATGAATATAAAAATAGAGACTAACGATAGTTACGTTATAGATCGAGCTCACCAGTCCCTGTGCTTCTGAGCAGTCCCGCGCGGATTGCGAGGCCATTTGTAAGCTTGGTCTGAAGGCCAAGGTACGTTAGGGTTTTGCCCGGGTCTCGTGACTATTGGTGTCTAATAATGTCTTCAGATTCTCACTCACATTCGCTGCCATATGGATGATGCCCGTATTGCTGTCGAGACCGGTGTTGATGGAGTGTGAGTCATGAATCGTGTCCTTATTTGTTGACTCAGAACTGACTCTCTCCAGTGATGTTGTTATCGGTACTTCTTCTTACCTTCGTGAGCACTCTCACGGCAAGGACATGACCTACATCAAGAACGCCGCCATCGAAGTTATCGAGTTCGTTAAGTCTAAGGGTATTGAGATTCGTTTCTCCAGTGAGGACTCTTTCCGTTCCGACCTGGTTGACCTTCTGTCCATCTACTCCGCTGTGGACAAGGTTGGCGTGAACCGTGTCGGTATTGCCGACACCGTTGGCTGCGCTTCTCCCCGCCAGGTCTACGAGCTCGTCCGCGTTCTGCGCGGTGTTGTTGGCTGTGACATCGAGACTCACTTCCACAACGACACTGGCTGTGCCATTGCCAATGCCTTCTGTGCCCTCGAGGCCGGTGCCACTCACATTGATACCTCCGTTCTCGGTATCGGCGAGCGTAACGGTATCACCCCTCTCGGTGGTCTGATGGCCCGCATGATGGTCGCCGACCGCGAGTACGTCAAGGGCAAGTACAAGCTCGAGAAGCTCAAGGAGATTGAGGATCTCGTTGCCGAGGCCGTTGAGGTCAACATTCCTTTCAACAACTACATCACCGGTTTCTGTGCCTTCACCCACAAGGCTGGTATCCACGCTAAGGCCATCCTCAACAACCCCAGCACCTACGAGATTATCAACCCTGCCGACTTCGGCATGACCCGCTACGTCCACTTCGCCTCCCGTTTGACCGGCTGGAACGCCATCAAGTCGCGTGCCCAGCAGCTCAAGCTTGAGATGACTGATGCTCAATACAAGGAGTGCACTGCTAAGATCAAGGCCATGGCTGATATTCGTCCCATTGCCGTTGATGATGCCGACAGCATTATCCGTGCCTACCACCGCAACCTGAAGTCCGGCGAGAACAAGCCCCTCCTTGACCTGACCGCTGAGGAGCAGGCCGCATTCGCCGCCAAGGAGAAGGAGCTCCTTGCGGCTCAGGCTGCCGGTCTTGCCGTATAGGCGATTTCCTTTCACCAATACACATATTGTATCATGCTATCTCACAGTGGCTTGTGCAAAAATTCGGGCGTGGCGAAATACCTGATGATTTGATGCTTTTTCATTTGTTTTGACATTTTTTTTTCATATATGGGTGTGAAAAGTCTTCCTATTTTTTTTTCTTTTTTCTTTTGGGACCAAAAACACATTTGTGTTAAAAAGAAGAGAGTTCTCCTTTGTTTGTACATTTAGCGCAGAAGAGGTAGTAACTTATTCTTAACTTCAGACTGTTCTCTATGCTGTACTATGTAGAAGTTGAGGTTCCGAGGTTGTACCTACCTAGGTAGTCTGGACTAATTACGTCAGTGGAGAAAGAAGCCTTCTAAGGCTGGAGCCCTTTAACCCTGGAGAACATACTTATACAACAGTATAAGATGTAAACTATGTGTTGAGCAAAATATAGGAGAACAATCCTGGAGGGTAACGATAGACCTAATTTCGAAATAATGCAAGCATGGAACCTTGAAATTATAGAATAATAGTATATAAGAGAAAGAGACGTATGTATTCGTAAATCTATATATGTACCAGCCTAGCGATCCCGATATCTTTAGATGGGATGCTCAATCACAAACTTTTGCATGCTAGCCTTCCCAGCGGAAACATCAAGCATGGCACGTACTCCTTCCTCTCCGCCTTTCACCACAACGACATTTGGCATACAATAACCATTTCCATAGTTTGAAATAGCCCAGCTGGTAGCCTGGTCGATTTTGGCTTGCATAGACTGATCAGCCTCATGTTTGAGCACCGTCCCGTTTGGAAGTTTGAAGTTGATGTCAACATTTCTGCAGGCAAAAATACGATTCCAGTGCTGCTTCGCATCACTCGTAGGAGGAAGCGGACAGGTAAACAAAGCATCGCTTGGGTCGTCCACGCAAGCCTCGCAAAGGCTGATTGACGAGGGCTGCCCGCGAGACACAACGGAATCCACCACCCGCTTCAGCGGTTTGGTAGTGTATTTCTTGAGAGCAGATTGAATGTTCTGCACAACGTTAGGGTCACGATAATCAAAACATTCCGTTGCACCAATCTCTAGGAGCTTTGCATGATTCTTAGGGGATGCGGTGGTAAGGATTGGGTAACATCCTGCCTTTTTGGCCAGTTGAATGATAGCACATCCAACCGCACTCGAGCCACCCCATACCAAAAGAGGCTGGATCTCATTTTCGAAGGAGAGCTGAAGCTGGTTGAACAATGCGTCGGCAGCAGTATGGGTTACAACCATTAGCGAACCAGCATCTTCCATAGGCATGGAAGGGGGAACGTGGTAGATGAAGTGTCTGGCGCAATGGTATTCCTGGTGCACGCCATACTGCTTTGGCTTATCCGAGGCAGGTGCAGCAAATCCAAGGACGCGGTCACCGGGTTGGAATTGATTGCTTTTGGAGGTGCCTGCTTTGATGACAGTTCCAGAGAAGTCGTACCCTGCGACAGTGTTGTTGAGTCCAAGAAACCTGGCGTGACCAAGGTCGGCAGGGTTGATTCCAGAGAATTCAACTTTGACAAGAACCTCAGTTGGGAGCGGCTCGTAGACTTCGTCGATTTTGCCAATATATGGCTCGCCACTCCGGTCGGTAAATATCGCACGGGTTGCTGCTTGCATGATGAAAGTGCTTGAAAGTAAAGTATTCTGGATTGGGATGATGAGGTGAGATACCAGACTAGATTAAATATAAAATTTATTAAGATATATTATAGACAGCAGAATCCTCGCGTGTGAAAGAAGCGTATTCCGTTTTTCCGTTCCAAAAAATGTGTATATCATCGACATCGGCCCCATCGGAACTCTGCAAATGATATATGACATGATACTTCATGGACTTCTGGGCTATAGCGATTAAAATACTGCGACTTTGTCACTTATATCTTAGTTCCACGAGCTAATTGCGTGTATATGAGTCAAGCTAAGCTATTGGTTGGCGAGGTTGAATTTATGAGGCTCAGGAACAGGCCTTCATCTACCTACACAGGGGGTAGCAAGAATCCCTGTAATGCTCCACAGTGCATGATCTGGTTTTGCGGGGCCGGCGGAGCCGACGGCTGCGTCGGATGGCGACCACGCGCGGTTTGAGTGCAGAGCGGATCATTTGCGTGTCGGCACTTATTGAAATTCTTTTTCATATCTAGCGCTCTCGCTGTGAGCTAGTGCTGGAGGTAATGGCCCAAAGACTGGGATCAAATTGATGGATCATGATGAAAATAGAGAGGGTTCTATGTCAAGATCGTTATTATCCCAGTGTGGCCGGTATTTGGAGGGTGCAACGCTTGATTTCAGACAATCAAAGACATAGATTAATGGATACTAGTTAGCAGTAGGAACATTTTGGAGGAAGTTGGGTTTCGCGTCCAATAAAGCCGTTATGACGGGCATTGTGCGAGAAAAGCACAATGAAAAGGTGAAGCAGCACAGAGAAGGGCGTTTGTTCTCCTGAAAAATGACAGTGGCATTCTTTCGCTTCGAGCAAGTTTATTTAGGCGAGAGAGCTATGTCCAAGGCGTGACTAGTCATCTGCAGGGCAAGGGACTTTCCCTTAAACTCCATTGACGAAGCAGACATCGCCATCATGGGATTTCAGCGCCCATTTGAACACCACCCTCGTAGTATTGAGTCTCATTCCCACACCAGATCCTTGGGGTTTTCTGAGAATGAGGAGGCTAGCTAGGGGGAAGTACGGAAGTGATTGATCAAGATGCCCGCTTTGACGGTAAGCTATGGTAGTAGTGAAAATGCTTTCCCCATGCCATTCTAGGATCCGACGGGGCAAAGCCGAAATATAATGCTCTTTTCGACTTCCCTAGTGGTATAGAAGCAGTGAAAAGATCAAGGAAGATCAACCCTATGACACAGAACTTCCACTCTTTGAACCTGGACAGGGCCTAGGATATATCTTGAGGCACAAAGTCTGCAACTATGATGTGTCCCATCATGCTGCGTTGTCTCGGATCTTTTTGGTTATATTTCCTTGCACGGGACGTAGAATTTGTGTAGCTAGTTTCATTAGACTTTTTGTTGCGGCAAATTTGCAATTTCAAACCTATGATTATGGAATACATGTCGACGTTAAATGGAAGGAATCGAGGAGGACGACGACGACGAACCGACAGGCCTTGCGGCAATAGAGCTAGGTGTGGAAGACGATGGGTATTAGCCAATGACGAAAACGAAGCTGGGAAACGAGAAGCTCAGCCAGAGTCGACAAACATGCCAGGTGACTGGCCATGAATAATACACCACCAATTGCAACTGGAGCGGGGAAGATACAGGGGGGGGGGGAGAGAGAGAGGGATAGGAGGCGGAAGGCGGAGGGTGCACTCCGCCGCATTCATATGATATTTTTACTATGTATGGGTTTGTGGGTTTACAGCATGCAGGAATGGGGTGATTCCACAATCTTTACAAATCAGCCTCTGTATTTACTCTTGGGAGGGATCCCGACTCGGCGTTTGGCTTCGAGTTCTTGCTTCAGCTGGATGAAGCACCTGCATAGTCATACGCAACTAGTTAGACTGCAACATGTTAATTAAACTTTGATTGATTGATATGGAAGGAATGTATACCAAAGAGGAGGAAACGCGGTAATCCTATGTACGAATCAAGAATGAATCTCAGGGAGATGGCTTGCAAAAGATTTCCTTCATATATAAAATACCGAAATGTACAATTGAATTCTCCGACCTTCTAGGTACGCATTATCCTACACCCTGCTATACGTAAACCTTTTGTGTCAATCCTTGACTAAGCGTCATATTTAGAAAATCTTTCTTGCCAATCCGGCGATTCATCGCTCAGCCGTTGAAATCATTTATAATAGCAGGATAAGCGGCGAAAATTCGGTTAAAAGTCAAGGTCCTTCGCAAAGACTCTAGTTTCCTTTCCTGTGACACTAATAGTGAGCTGGGGGTCGAACGACGAGGGCAGGCTTTGAAGAGCTTGCACACGAGCTGGGTCTGCAAAGAAGTCAACGGCTGAGTTTTCGTCGCGAAACCAGTACTGCTCCATAGCGCCCATGGTACCCCAGTCTCCACCCTTGAACGGAGTATCTTTGAAGAACTCTGCTGGGTTTGAGGGGGTGACATCGCGATTCAGGACATAGCGCAGCAATCCCGTCCCCGAACCCAGCTCTTTCAGTACGTCACTCCTGCTCTGGAGATCAGCATCGGAGACAGTTTGCTTGGAAGCCTTGCCCAAGCAGACAATGACCTCAAAGGAATCCTGGCGGGCCTTGAAAAGAACGGGATCGAACACTATATCCGCGAAGGCCTGACTAAGTGACCCGACAAGTTTTGGATCCGCGAAGATATGCTGTCCAGCAGTTGCTTTGTAGCTTGGGTGCTTGAAGGAGCCTCCCAGCTTTGACAGGCTAGACCACGCCAAAATGCTCGCAATCTCAAAGCGTGACTGCTCGGTGCAGAAGGTCTTCACAGCGGTTCTTGGAACTCCCGCGACTTGTGTATAGGCTCTCAGGAAGGGGACCATGTGAGATAATTGTTCTGTCATACCGCCATGAGCTTTAAGATATTCCCCCAGGAATTTTTCGTCAGTCCATCCTTTGATGCGATTGGCGAGTATAATCATCTTGATAGATTTTCCATGACTTAATGAGGATCCTGCCACAGGAGGAATGCGAGGTAATTGCAAAAAGCTATCATACTTTCCGCCAAAGTGAATCACATGAGCTCCTTGATTGACGGTCCGTTCATGACGGGGCAAGGGAATCTCGGAAGGGTATTTCCCATAATCATGTCCGGAAATGCTCACTTGCAAGGTATCGCCCGCACGCAGTCGGCACGAGGATGGCTGAATTTCTATATCCACGGGGACCACTTGCCCAGGTTCGAGGAGGAGGTCCCTCTGATGGCTGTGGTAGGGCTGGAATTCTGTTGATTTGGATTCATCCAACTCGCGTCGAGAAACTCGAAGAAAGCCGAAAGCAACAGGACCAGTTTCAATAATAGTAAGCCACGGGAAGTGAACCTCATTGCCTGCAGCATCTTTCTTCTTCAGAACAATGAAAAGATCCATGTTGTCAGCCCCACGCGCTTCAACCCAGAGACGCAATTTTCCGTGGCCAGCGAACTCGAAGGATTCACTGAAAGGGATATCAAAAGTAACCTCGCCTGTTTGAGCATCATACAAAACACTCTGCTCTAAAGGTTGGGCGACTTGCGATAAACCACCAGCGGATGTGGGGTAGAACTTTGCATACTCAGTATTCGGGAAGGGGAATGTGGTAGCATAGCGCCACTCCGAATTATAGAAGCTTTGACGCATGGTCCATCTGACAGGAGGCCAAAACTTGACCTCGGTTTCTTTCTCATGCAAGAATGTATCAAAGAAGGCCCTTTGCCGGGTAAGAGATTCTTCGGTAAGAGCAAATTCCCACCTAGACACTAGTCAGCAACGCTTCATAGGAGAAAATGTGCACAGTGGCATCTGTGAGGATATATAAGAGAGGCTAGGTCATACTTTTGATAGGGGTGGATCTCCAGATACTTTGTTGAAGAACCAATCTGTTTCCATCCATTCAACGTGCCGCGAGTGTGAATCCCTTGATCTCCCCAGCAACAGACCACATAAGCCGGACACTTGATCTGATGAAGGCGAGGAATTTTGCTGCGCCAGTAATCATCAAAGAATGGATGATCGAAATGAGCATTTTCACTGTTTTGCACCAGACCTCTACCCCAGTTATATTGTTGCGGGTACCTGGAAAGAGAGTGCCATAAGTAAGATGTATCTTCAAAAGAAACAACGGAAAGCTTACACGGCCATGAACTGAGTCTCGGGAATACCGCCCTTCCGGGCCATCTCTCGGTAGATATCTGTCATACCATCGAAAGGCAAGATTGCCTACTCCACAAGAAAACAACATATTAACTCACGCGTTCACAACGGGGGATCTCAATAGGCTTACCGCAAGCGATGGGGGATTTTCTGCTGCGACAATCCACTGCAGCATGGCAAATGCACTGGCGCCGTACATTCCGACCTTTCCGCTTGCCCATTCCTGAACAGCAAGCCATTCGATGATATCGTAACCTAATTTTGAAAAAGGCTTGATGTTAACACGGACAGGCCTTGAAGTTCTCAATCTATATGTTTCTTACCATCAAGAGCAACATCGCGAGAGTAATAGCTCTTGTCACCTTCTGACTGAAAAGAGCCACGTGTATCCACATAAGCAACAATGTATCCCCTCTGGGTCCACCAAGGTGCATCACACGCTTCAAACTGGTAGTATGGCGTATAGTGACTGTTGTCTAGTCCGCTACTTCTAGGGAACATACAGGCCTCCAGAGCCATATCTTTCCCGTAAACGCTGTAGTTGAGTAGAACCGGAAGCTTCTCATCGGTTTTGTCTGGGCGATAGATATTACCCCGGAGCTTGGTTCCGTCTCGAGTTGGAATAACAACATCCGTATAAATGATCATGCCATCTCGGTGATCTGTTCTCTCGCATGGAGGCAAAACTCCCAGAATTGCTGGATCATTAGCTGTAAGAGTGTAGGTGTTAGCGAACCAAATCTGATTGACATTGCAAAATCCTGCCTCAAAAGTGCCCATATACCTTTTATAAAGCTGCCCAACTTTTTGGCTTTCTCCAGCTCTTGGACTGTCTGTTCGATGAATTGATTTGCAGAATGCATATTTTCGAAAAGAATCTAGGGGAAGATTACTGGCCAAGCCTGCTGTAGATGTTTTGGTTCTTCGGGGTCTCATAAGGGCTCTTATAACTGCTCTTATAAGGCGCCATTCTCCGTGCCACCTACATCGCTGCCTTCCGCCTCAAAGGTTACCCCGCATTTAGTGAATACTCAAAAACTGCCCTGGTATAAGCGTTGTGCTGGAAAATAGTTCCAATTCTATGTAAAGACCTATGATGCAGTCATCAGGGCCCGATGCGGATTATCCCTCGTCGGCTCCGCATTATCGGCTCCGCACCGGCGGCATCTCGTAAAGGTTTAGCCACAGCAATAGGCGGAAAATGCAACAATATTCTTTCCAGGCGGGTTTTGGTTGGTGTTAATCGGTGTTAATCAATTGTCTAAGGCCGAGAGACGGAACGAAAATTGCGGAAAGCTACTATTGTGGAGAAAATGTAACGAGCCTTCTACACAGCCGCTAGGTATTTGATGGGTACTGGTGCAGTTAGGAACCCACCTTCATACCAAGTGACTAGAAATGGCCTTGGAGTGAACATAGAGTAAACCCGCTTAGGTATGTACCGCATTTCATCTGCGATCACCTTCATGCATCAAGCGGCTAAGAGGCCTTATATTGATTTAGCTCAACATGAAAGAAGTACGGCCAACAAAACCTCCGATTGACCCATATCTCGAATGGTATTCATCACTCGACTTCGGCCGGAAATGATGGAGTACCCCCTAACAGAATTTGATGCAATCCGTGTTTGATGGCATTCGCCTGTCTTGACCAAGCCTTCTCATGGCCCAAGATCCTCATTGATTCCCTGAAAATGCGTGGCACGCTATCCTGACCATTGAGCACCCCAATCCCACTGATATGAAGCTGCTTGGGCATTTCAAATGTGCCTGCAATCCACTTCTCCTGTAAATCCTCGTTCATATTTTGATCAATTCGAAGAATCTCCTCGGCGTCTCTACCAGAAGGGAATTGTAGTTTGTCTGACATCACGAATCTATCGTAGTTCCAGATGTATAGGATGGCCATAAGAAGGATGAAGGCGTCGTAGGGGTCAAATTGGCGCTGTGAACGGATTATTCGGAACAACTGAGCAGCATGCATGAGACTCTGACGAGCCTGTCTGGGTTCCGCTTTAAGTAGCTGTGCAATATGTTGAGCCGCAGCATCAACCTCATGATGCTGTGCCATCCATCCCGAAGAAATATACAAAGGACGGTATTGGACGAAGCGAAGTAGTCTAAGAATAAGAGAGAATTTCGTCACAATGAGAAGGAGAGGTGATTCTGGGCGGTGTCGCGTGATAGCTTGCTGTAGACTTCCAAGTATGGTATCGACGGGATCCTTATCATGCTCAAGGGGAACAATTCCCTCCGCAGAAGCTAGGTTCCGGCGGTCTGAGATATTTTGCATGCTAGGATACGGGTTGAACGATTGCTGTTGAGTAGTGTGCCTTTTCGCAAGATATACCGCAAATACCGATATCCAAAGTGCCGAATTACTTAATGAGCGGATGTGCTCTTGATCAATGACTTTCAACTTGAGCAAAGAAGTAACACTGATAGATTCTACTGGGTTAGGTTAGATAAGAAACTTGTATCAACTCGGATAGATGGCATAAATTACCTCTCTGCAGGCCTTTAGCTCCCTCCCAGTCATGGAAGCTGGAGGACTGCCATAGTTCGTCATGACAGGGCATGCTGAGATGCATGTCGTCAACTGTAATAAGAGTGGGCAGATCGAATAGGATTAATTGAAAGCATTCGTTCACTTTGAAAGTTTGAAGTCAGCAAAGAGGCAGCAGACATAAAGAACGTGGTAAAAAACGAAGATTTTGCTTACACCAAGTAAAGTACACTAATCTTTTCCACGACTCCATCATGATCCATCGAGTCCAATCTCTGGTCGGCACACTCGCATTTGCTAACAGGCCACACTTCGCGAAGAGGGCACCAGGAACGAGGAGGGGGCGACACATCGTGACCAGTAAGTTTCGTTGGTATTGCAAATGCATTAAACCCTCGCGTGTTCCGCCGAAAAGAAGAGCAAAATTGAATAACAGTGTTGCCTGGGAAAGCTCAAGATTTCTTTGAAGTGACAAAGTGGAGCTGAGCTAATGTACCATATTAGACTAACAGTGACCGAAAGTAACTGTATAGGGCTTTAATTAGACATACCATTCGAAGCAAAGCTATTCGGACGGTTTTCATAAGGTCAAAGAATATTCTAGTCCGGCCTGAGAGCCGAGAATACTGGCTTCCCACGGCAGCGACGGCAATATAAAGGAGCCACGACGAGCCTCGAGCTTCAAAGGTACTTTGGTGAAGAATGGGGAACCCTTGGTGAAAATTCTCGAAGTACAGCTGGGTACATACATGTAGAATATCCGATGAATATAGGCTTCGACGTAGAACTTCCGGTGAAAACCGACTCACTTCCGCATAGTGAGCACGGATTGTTTCATAGGTTGATATAGAAGGCCTGGGAACATGTCCGTAATCCTCGGAAATTAGAATATCGCGGTCTTCCTCAGTGAGGGCGGTTTCTGACACATAGTTGTCTGACTGGCCATTGGAGGATTTAGGAGCCTCCTCGGCATGTCTTGAATGATTCTGCTGAAGATTCGAAAGCTCCACCGGAAAATCACCTCCAAGTGCTATATTTTTCGGTTGATTGACGGTCCCTGCTACACCAGAAGATGTTTGAAGACCTGAGGGGTCACTTGAAGCCATATCAAAATGCGGAAAGGCATCGTCCAGAGGCCAAAGAAGGAATGATTCGAAGACCGAAGTGGCCTCGTTGTATTGTGATATGTCTCGAGCCTGACCTGAGAAAGGAATATCTGCACATGGTTCACCAATAAGGTTAACACTGTCTGAACCACTAGGGTACGAGTGGATGGCGCTTATCGGGGATAACCCGCACGCAAGAGATGGCTCAGGAGGATGATTTTGTTCTAAATTCTGATTTGTTTGATTACTTGTCCTTCGTTCAGTTGCATTTGGAAAGGTCTCCTGCTCTTGCGGCGTCACTTCCTTGGAGCCCTTGGTAAACTGACAAGGCCAATCTTTTCGATTGCAGCGATCACATGGATGGGACCCAGAACAGCGCTGTTTTGACTTGACACAGTTGAGACAGGCACGGGATGCCCTCGGAAGCGTCCTTTGCACTTTTCTAAGTACCTTCCCGTGAAGTGCTGAATGGCGTTGCAATGTATCCCTAGGAGAAGTGTAAGTTTATCTGCATAGTAGCCAATGCCCCCTGGGCGCTTACCTCCGAGCAAAGCTTTTGTCACAAAATTCACATATGAAGTCCTTGCTTTTAGAATGACCTCTAATATGACGCTCAAAGTGCTCACGTCGCTGGAAGGATGTGGAGCAGATGCTACAATTGTACTTTTTCGGCGGAGAGGAGAGCTCGTTCAGAGTTGGAGCCGAGTGAATGTAAGGGACATTATGTTGGTATGATAGTGAAGACTCAGAGAGATTTTCCATCATGAAGGTACGGAGCAGGACATGTTCATTGGTTGATGTAGTCCAGAGCTCCCTGAACTATGTATGTAGGTAGGAGCCCGAAAAGCCCTGAAGCGTGGCAATTCTGAGTCAGCGGAAGCTTACCCCGGGCCCGGATATTCATGGATGACCGAAAGCGGGGAAATGAGGTCAAGTTCTGCATTACTACCCTCTTTATATGCCTTCACCTCTGCCAAGAATAGCTATTTTAAAAAATCCATAGCATCGACTATCATTGCACTTGTTTCAAGTTTTCATAAACTATTTTTCATGTAATTCACCTTTGTTTCCGTTGAGAGAGAGAGCCTCGGGGTTTCGACTCCCACGTAGTTCAGTATAGACTTAGCTTCCAGGGATATTTCCTTCCTAAATACACACATGCCACTGATTTTTCTATATTCTGTCGTCTCACCAGTCTTGGTTGCAGTTCAGAGGAACCATTGATCACATTACTTCTGTGGATACAGATGGCGGCATGTGTCTAGACTAAGACCATGAGCCAACCAGCAAATACATCAAACCTAACAATTTCAAATGACAATCTTCACCAAGTCTATGGTATGCATCTAAGCCAAAATAAAATTCGAGAGGGCTTGATTCTTGCACAGGTAGATATTTGCAGATTCGTTTTTGTTGCGGGTCCACGAGTAACTTCGCGTCGCAGTTATTTCTGCCTTATAGTGAAACCAAGTCATGAAAACATGTCACACCTGGCGGCGAAGATTGAGATAGCCCGTAAAGGCTTGTCGGATACTTCGAATATAATCCTTTTCATCGACGAGGTTTGAAAACAACAGGCAATCCCGGCTTTTCGTACTGTAAGGTAAAGCGATCAAACCCTTTCGGTGCCACATGTCCGTTGGGAAGGCTCAGCTCGTAATTGCGGAACAAGTAAGCAAATGCGAGGGTCATCTCAACTGGCGCAACACTGCAACGGTATAGATATGAGCAAATATATAAGGGCACATAGTACGGATTTGAAAGGCTGTTGGTTGGTTTAGGTATCGAGACTTACGTTTGCCCTAAGCACATTCTTGCACCTTTGGAAAATGTGCATAGCCACTGTTCCAAATCCTTGGACGAGGGCCCGATCCAACGATCAGGGTTGAACTCATGGGCATCTGATCCCCATGCATCGACAGAATTATTCATGGTGTACGCTGACATTCCAACGATTGTCTGAAGATCACCGTTAGCATCTCCACTCTGGATTGACGTGCGATTTCTCAAGAAGAATAAAACGTACACCTGGGGGGACCACCTTTCCTTCAACAACAAAAGGATCTCCATTGGGGACGACACGAGGGAGACGCCCAGGTACAGCTACACCAACCCTGATTGATTCTTTCACACATGCCGTCTATTGAAATGTTAGTAGTTTGAGGTAAGCAAATGGTCTTTCAAGTTGTCTGTTATCAAACTTTGTCTGTAAAATCTTCACATACCAAGTATTCCACTTTCTGCAAAGATTGGAGTGACGTTAGTGATCCGGGCTCTGGTATGGCCTTGTCGACTGCCCGCACAAGGCGTTCCTTCAACTTTGGATTGGAGAGAATGTGATAAAACCCAGTTGTCAAGGTAGATGCCGTTGTATCAGCACCGGCGATAAGAATATCCATAGCCTCAGAAACTTTAGCGTAGTCTGAAATTGAGTGAAGGCTGTCGAAGATAACAGGATGAGAAGAGCTCTCCGACGACTTCCGCCAATTCCTAATACAATCTCCCGCATACTTAAATGTTCATTTGTCAGTATTAGTGGTTCAATCACCCGGATATACTCAATATACCTTTTGCAGATTAATAATATTGGCAAGCTTGGGGTTCAGAAGTTTGCTAATACCAACGGGAAGTACTTCCATGACGAGTTTTCGAAGAAGTGCCCTGTACTGTAAATCGACCACACTCTGGGAGCCAATGTCGAAAGCATCAAGGAACCATGAATCCATTTCATCACTCTTCTCCTCAATGAGGTCTGGTGATTTGGCGAAGGCAAATTCTGTGATAATCTCTGTCGTCAGGAGGCTGTCACGGAAAGGTTAGAAAATTGCAAACTTCAGGTCAAGTACCACGGACTTACCGAACTGCATTATACATATCAATCTCCTTAGAGCCACAGAGGCGATTGATCTTGGATGACAGTCTGTATATCTTCTCATGGATTAGGGGTTCTAACTTGTAAACTCCGGCCTTTGAGAACAAAGGGCTTAGCATGCGTCGACGCTCTGTATGCAGGTCAGGATCAAGTTCCGCAAACACAGCGTGGGGTATGTTGAATCCGTTATAGAATGGGCCGTGCTTGAGGAATGGCTTGGACTGATTGTAGATCACTTTGTACAGCTCAATATCGGTAATATGAAGCTCGTTTGGTCCGATGCGGAGGGCCTTCGTGTCTTTAGAGCAAGATAAACCATCAGTAGCATTTCTGGTAGCCGCTAGAATACGTGTTTACTCTGCAGCGAGCTAGTTTGATTCATACTGTACTTTTGATGAAGAGCTTCAAATGTTTGTTCAGCAGCGCCGCTCTTCGTGACCTTATATAGCCAGTCCTCCGAAACGCATGCCTCTGGGAGACCCTTGAAAGATTTCAGGGGATGCATGTGTATGCGGTATGTCCGTAGGGCCAGCTTAGGAATGACCGTCAAAACAACGAGCAGAGCTAGAGTAGTGGCCATTCCAAAAGTTTGCACACTGGATATGCCCCAGAGGGATGTTGAAAATGAGTGATCTGACATTTCCTTGCACTATACTCTGGATAGAGACCGTTTTGGAAGAAAGAGAAGGCCAAAATGGTGGAAATCCCGCTTTTATATTGCGACGATTTAGGCAGCCTATTGTGAATTACAAAAGTCCTTTGATTAGTCGTACACTATATGCTTCAGGGCTGTACTGCCTCAACTATACCGGTATGAAAACCCCCACATGAAAACAGAAACTTGAAAATCCTCCGATCTACGAATCCACCCAAATACGGAAAACTAGAGACCTCGGTCGGCTCCACCGCAGCTCCGCTTCCGATGCTACCCTCATTGTATCATCAGGTTCCCCTGGACATGATTGAATGGAAAAGTCCAAACTGATTTATCGGCGCATTGTTCAAGGATACACCGGCTGCTGAAACCAGTGAAGGTGGGAACTTGCACGCGGGTCAACCCGCAGCCTACAACTTGAAGAATACAAATCAAACATTGCAGGTCTATAGGTAATCGGTTGAAAGTGACAGTCGCACAAAGTGCATTGAAGTCTCTAATATATTCATTCATATGGAGGCCGTCGCGGAATGTTCTCGGTATGCATAAAGTGCTGTTTAGGCAAGTCACCCCTTGTTTAGACGATATTTCACTACAAAAAATCAGAGGTAGCTGTGAGACTTAACTAGTTACAGGATAACGCGTGAATTTGATCTCCTCTATCAATTTAGTGCATGATCCGATGAAAGATCGAAAGAAGGAGTACGTCTAGGCCAGAAATAGGATACTCATCTCATACTACCAAATTGTACCTCGTGTAGATTCATACAGAACAGTTTTCGAATAGGATTCAGCTGGAATCTAGCATGTGGGGATCCAATAGAGTAGCGGGGAAAGCGGGAAAAGCGGGGAGGCGGGTGTCCCGACGGGGGGTAGCTTCAAGGGGTCCGTCCGATATATGGGGGAGTTCCGTCGAGCACCTATGTGGGCAGTCGAGCCATAGACCAAATACCATTGCAACAAATCAAAGCACAAATCGGTTACTCCAGGCCAGAAGCTTATACTATAAATTATACTGGAGGTAGGTGAGGTTGAATCTTTAGTTTTTCTTTTCCCACAAATCTTTATTCTATAAAGTTTTGGTTTGGTCAATTCAACGCACACCTAGTCGGATCGTTTGATTTCGCCAGAGCATAGACATCTAAGAAGAGACGAGTATCTTCGCCATCATGTCTAAAAGCCTCAGAGTTGCAGTCTTGGGGCCTAAGGGGCAGTGTGGATCATGTGTCGTGGATGAGCTTCTGTCCCGAGGTCACAGTGTGGTCGGCATTTCCCGTACGCCTCCTAAGACGTGGCCAAAATCTGGAGAGTATGGTGGCATTCCATGTGACTGCAGCGACATCAAAGGCTTCAGTAATGTCCAATCTGATGGAGATTTCGATGCCGTCGTATCTGCCTTTGGTCCCCCTTTGGTTGACCTGAAGTCCGTGTACAGTGTGGGTGTGGAAGGCCATGGCAATATTAAAATGGCAATCCTCAAATCGACTTTCCGCGGTCCTTTCATTATCATTGGTAACACAACCTAAGCACACATAACCCACCATCTATGTCGTGTTTTAACTCTAATATTCAGGTGGTGCCGGATCACTATTTTACAAGCACGGCGTCCAATTGTGTGACGATGAGGACTTTGCTTTCAAGCACTGGTGAGTACTAAGAAAATACGGACTGTATTGCATTGTTCAAAATGTTCACCAATTTCAGGTACGCATGGCCAAATGTTCATCTAAATTACATGTCAACTCGTATGTTTGATCATGGTCAACAAGCGTTGGGTAGATTTATCCGTCTATTTAAATGGGCAAGAGCGAATCGTGAGAATCCCGGCTGTAAGTGATATGTTCCCTCATTAATTCCTGAACGAATGCTGACAGATTCATGCTGACAGGGTTTTCGTGGCTTTCGTGGCTTTCGAGGCCTTTCGCCAACTGGTGCTTGCGGTCTTCTAAAAAGAACTTGACAAATCCGGACACTATTGGACTTATTCTGTGCTCTCGGGTAGCTCTGACCATGTGGGAAGGGGTCAAGGACAGAAATTGGAGCTTCTTGTCACCCCCATGGCAGCTGCGCGATAAGGGTAATCTTATATTTTGCATTAAGTGGCCTTACCAATGCTAATCCTCCCGACTTACTAGGAATTCGCACTGGGAAGTACGAGGTCCATGTAGATGATTCTGCGGGTTCTGCGGAGCAGGGAATTGATAACGGAATTTACAACGAGGACATGGCGGTGGCTATAGTGGATGAGGTTGAGAATAACAAGCTGAACCACAAGCATTGGACATGTACTGGGCCAATTGGGTTGAAGGAGTGGTAGTTCTCGTTTGGCTAGTGGTCCATTTGTTTCAGATCATTTGTTCTACGAGGTTGTTTTCTTCCATAGATTTAAATCGAACAGTCAAGCACTTTGTACCAGATAGGGAAGCTTTAAGCGATTCATTTGCATTCCGCTGATCTAGATCAGGCTTTAAGGATATAGATATTGGGAGGACTCTACTCATTCATAATCTGCCATGCTTGCGGTTGTTACAAATAGAGCGATAATGTGATAATTGCAGCGCCGTCCTAACCTTGAGCTCTAGTTATATATATATATATACAAGTGCACTTTGTTAGAATATTATAAAGTCTCTTTAGACCTAGAAAACTTCAGTCCTTTTATATAAGGACTATACGATACTCGTTCACTTTCAAATACGTGTTTTAAATGAACATGGTTACAGTGCTATACTATTATGATATTCAGATTTATCGGAATTCCTAGATGAGTGCTTTCCAAGTTGTTTTACTTGATGAGTAAAAAGCGGCCAGGGTGTCCAAGCACCAACGCCGAAAACGAAGGCCTTGTCGCGCGGTTTAAGATCCGATGTATATGTAGTAAAGGATCGCTAGGGCAAAACTCGCTTAGAAATTATTACAATTATGAGTACTATCTAAAATAGATCAATACCGAATTTCTAAATTATCCGATGCATATGTATGCACACGTTGAGAGGCAGTTTCATGTGGCAGCCGAGGCCCGCTAGACTCAACTAGTCAAAACGTACTACATGACGGAATGCAACCTCCCCATCGCCACTCCCATTCATCATTATTGCAAGACTATTCCTACAGGGCAAAATGAGCTCTTCAATGCTGCCAGTTGCCCTGCAGAACAAGCTAATCGGCTATAGCCGGGTGTCCAGCGCACACCTATCTGCCCTGAACCTTCCAGACCTGTACGTTGAGTAATTCCCCGTTCCCCGCGGAACCGAGGCCAGAAACAAAGGCAATCACCACTGACTCATTTTGCTCTCAACGCAGTGTAAGGAACATTGTGTTTATTTTGTTCATCCTTCGATATACGCGGAAGACTTTCTACTCCGTTCGCGGCTACGGCATTTTCGGCAGCATCCGCAACCTCTACATCTCGCTCCGCCTGTTCTGCTATGGCATCTTCCTGCGCATCCCTGGTGTGCGCGGCCAGGTCGATAAGCAAGTGAGCGCTGCTATCACGAAACTCGAGGGGAAGCTGGTAAACTCCGGGCCGGATGTTACACGGTATCTTACACTGCCCAAGGAGGGTTGGTCGCCGGAGCAGGTCCGCGCGGAACTTGATAAGTTGGCTGGGCTTGAACATACTCGCTGGGAAGATGGTCGCGTTAGCGGCGCCGTTTATCATGGAGGCGCGGATTTGTTAAAACTGCAGGCTGAGGCTTTTGGGCAGTTTGGTGTTGCGAACCCGATCCACCCGGATGTTTTCCCTGGTGTTCGGAAGATGGAGGCTGAGGTAGTTGCTATGGTATGTTATTTCTATATCCGGAGTACGGCCTTGAAGGCGCATCCCGGCTAATCTCTACTCTAGGTTCTCGCTCTCTTTAATTCCCCCTCGGATGGTGCCGGTGTAACCACCAGTGGCGGCACGGAGTCTATCCTTATGGCTTGCTTAGCTGCTCGACAAAAGGCTTTCTTGGAGCGCGGTGTCACTGACCCTGAGATGTAAGTTGGCAGTCGAATATTATGTATTTACCAGTAGTACTGATCAATCATCACAGGATTATTCCCGATACGGCACACGCGGCATTTATTAAGGCTTGCAATTACTTCAAGATCAAGCTGCACCGAGTGCCTTGCCCGGAGCCCGAGTTCAAGGTCGACGTGCACGCTGTTCGCCGTTTAATTAATCCCAATACCGTCCTTCTTGTCGGATCAGCACCCAACTTCCCCCACGGCATTGTTGATGATATCCCCGCTTTATCTCGCCTGGCCACCAAGTACAAAATCCCTCTCCACGTTGACTGCTGCTTGGGATCTTTTGTCGTTGCACACCTCAAGAAGGCCGGCTTTCCCTCCCCCTACGAGGAAGAGGGTGGCTTTGACTTCCGCCAACCCGGTGTGACCAGCATCAGTGTCGACACCCACAAGTACGGGTTTGCGCCCAAGGGTAACTCGGTCTTGATATACCGCAATAAATCATACCGAAACAATCAGTACTTCATCTACCCGGATTGGTCTGGCGGTGTTTATGCCTCTCCATCCGTGGCAGGCTCCCGCCCTGGCGCTTTGATCGCCGGTTGTTGGGCTAGTCTGATGAGCGTCGGCGAAGCTGGATATATCAGCAGTTGCACCGATATCATGAACGCCGCACGGAAGTTCGAGACTGCCGTTCGGACTGATGCGACCATCTCACTGCACATGGAGGTCATTGGTAACCCCATCGTCAGTGTGGTCGCCTTCCGCAGCAAGAACGGCGCCATTGACATTTATGATATTGCCGATGACCTGTCCGGTAAAGGCTGGCACCTCAATGCCTTGCAGTCTCCCCCGGCTATCCACTGTGCCTTCACTATTCCCACTGCCAAGGCTGTCGACCAGCTCATTGCTGATCTGACTGAAGTCATCGGCAAAGAGCTTGAGAAAGCCGAGCAGCGCAAGCGCGAGGGAAAATCGTATATCCTCAATCGTGGCGAAACCTCTGCTCTGTACGGCGTAGCTGGCAGCATTCCCGATAAGAGTATTGTCAGTCGTCTGGCAGAAGGGTTCCTGGACACTTTGTACAAAGCATGAGTATTGGAATGAAATTATTGGTTTTCCATGTTTGTGTCTTCTTTGCTCGGCTTGTCCGGACTGCCCTGGACGAATTGTCGTGGTGTTTCCTAGCTGTCCTTACCTCAACTGCTGGTGCAGTGGCGTTATCATTATCCAGGTCTTTTCAAATTGCACATATTTGTTTCAAGTGTTGGATTCCACTAGACGGTAATAATGCATATAATACAAGAGTTTGCCAGAAAGACATCTGCCCGGTAGATGTGGACGTAGAGTACATGACCAAAAGAAAAAAAAAGCAACCCGCTCCATGCAAGCAAAGCCAAAACATAAACAAAAGAGGACGCGATTGACTAATCAATCGTCTAATCGAGTGAAAGTATCTCAAAAGACCCAGATCCTATCTCAGGCTTCAAGACCGGTGACAAAAAGCGTAGTCTGAAAAGCACCCCATTCCGCGTGAAGCTCAACGAAAACAATCACTGACCACTGAGATCCCCCCGCTGCTCACTGCAGCTCTTCTCAGTATAATATCCAGGATCAGGCTTGCGCTCGAGATGCACCTCCTGCTTCGTGAGGCGGTATTGGCACTCCTCGACCTGGACAAGTTCCTTGACTTTCATGATTTGACCCGCGACGGAGGGTGAGACGCTGTGGAAGACTGTTGCCATACGCTTCTTCAAGCCGAGCGCCTTGAGGACGTCTGTTGAACGGCGCGGCAGACCAATTGCGGAGCGGACGAGGGTGATGCGGAAGTAGGACATGTTGGATTGTGGAAATCGAGAGGATCTGATATTCAGCTTGATCTTTTGATGGTATGGTTTGGAGGTTGTCCGGATTCGTGGAATCGGTCTCGTGATAGGTGGAACAGAACGCGGTGGTTGTAGAATTCACCGGAGTATCGGTGGACGAGAATTTGCAGCCGTATCTGCAACGCAATTGATCTTGTGATCTGGTGGAGAAATATCGCGAACTTGGAGATGATCGCGATCCCGCAAATTCAATTAGAAGGCGGTAGATCACGTGTGTATTCTGCCGGAGTCCGATGACAGCAGCGACGACAGTCTATCGGCTTGTGATAACTGGTATAGTACTTCACGTTTTCAAGGTTGAACTATGGGCTGCGCTATTTCCGGCGCAACAATACCTGGATTTATATCATAGTTCGCTGCTGCGTACTAGCTTCCCGCAAGCAACGCCACATGCCGCATTGTTGACACCTTCACCCTTCGACCTAGCTTCGAGCAATTGAGCCAGAACAACGACACTACTAGAGACCCTATACCACACTACAACCATGGCGCAAGCCAGCAACATTGATACTACGGTCTCGCTGCCGCGACTTGAAGACCTTCTACGGCACCCGGAGGATCTAGACAAGATCAGCGGGCTTAAAGCGGAATACCTACGGAAGAAGGCGGCAGTCGATTCACGGTTGCGTGAAGGTCTGAGAGACCAGCTGGAGGCTGTGCAACGCAGCATTGGTGCTTTGACTGAGGGTCAGCGGCAAGTCTCGAAAACAAAAGACGAGCTTCAGGGCATTGACAAGCTGTGCGCCGAGTCGCAGCATAGCGTGGAGGACTTCGCACAGATTGATCGACTTGCGCGGATCCAACGACATTTTGATGCCACGCTTATGATGAAACGGGGACTAGAAAACTTCGGCGCAGACATCCAGGAAGTGGAAGATTTGCTCAAAGATGATGATGATGATATGGAGAACCAGCCTAATCTTCTGCGGGCTCATATGCAGATATCACGGTTAAGAGATTTCCGCGATGAAGCTATGGATCAGATTCGTAAGGCGGAGGATCGGAGCTCCGAAGAAGCCCTAACAGCGTACTTTGAGGGTTTGGATTCTGTTATTGAGTGGTTCGATGATCACCTTGGAACGGCATGCATGAACCTCATTCCGTTGGTGCAGTCGGACAACAAGAGTATGGTTGTGCGACTTGCTGTCGTTGTCTTGAACGAGGAGAAAAATGATGACACAGTCCGAGCGTTGCAAGAGGCCCAGAAAGACCACAAGGACCTTGCAAGTCGTTTCAAATCTATGAACATTGGTCCCAAGACTGTGCGAGGTTACAAGGACAAATTCATCCAAGCTATCGAGCTTTACGCCCAGGGCCAATTTGAAGAGACCCTCGAAAGCTTCCTTGGAGATCCAGAAAATCTGGAAAAGAAGTTCCGCTGGTACTTCAATGATCTATTTACGGTCAAGCAAGGCATGCAGAGCCTTGTCCCGAAGAAATGGAAGATATTCAAAACATACACTGATATCTATCATCAAATGATGCATGACTTCCTGCTCAGCTTGATCGACGACGCCGAGCTCCCGGCCGATAATCTGCTCAGTATCATCCACTGGAGCGACAAGTATTACAAGAAAATGAAGAAGCTTGGCTGGACACCAGCAGATCTCCAACCCAACATTCTCGATGACCGCGAGCCAGAACTAGTCCGAAAATGGCAGAGCGTCATCGTCAACGCCGTCGAAGAATGGATGGACCGTATTTTCAACGCAGACAAGAAGTCTCTTGTGGAACGTGTCCCAGATGCCCTAGACAACAACGCAGAAGGTCACTTCCGCACCAAGACACTAGCCGACATGTGGCGCATGCTTCACGAACAAGTCATGGCATCAGGGGCATCGGACCGCGCAGACCTGATAGAGGGCGTCATTGACGCCATGTTCCGGGCCTTGAAGAGCCGCCAGACCGCGTGGCAGACACTCATTGACGAAGAATGCGCAAAGCACCAAGTCGAAGGCGCAGACCAAGAAGGCGTACAGCTGTTGCAAGACTGGCTGATCGGCATAGCCAACGACCAGATCTCTTGCATCGACGACAATGAGGAGGGCAACCAGTTTGGCTATTTGACACGATTCAAGGCCGATTTCGAGCCCATGGTCACACCCAAGTATATGGGCACCACAGCGACTATCGAGCTGGATGCACTGCGCGATGGCTACGTGGATTTGAGCACGCACTGCCTGGCGCAGTTCGTGAGCCTTGTCTTCTGGGTCGATCTGGACACTGTCCTGCCAGACTTCTACACGTCCCGCTGGTACGGCGAATTCGCCATGAAGCGTATTACCTCCACCTTTGAAGACTACATGGCGGACTACAACTCCGTGCTGCACCCATCTCTGGCCGAAATCCTAGTCGAGGAACTGTCAGACGAGTTGCTGGTACGATACCTGTCCTCAGTGCGCAACAAGGGTGTTAAGTTCCGTCGCCACGCCGACCCCTTCACAGACAAGTTCAAGGACGATGTCCTCACTGTCTTTGCGTTTTTCGAGAAGTACCCGGACTCATTTGAGGGTACTATCAAGCAGAAATGGCGGCTGGTTGACTGGCTTGTTCGCCTCCTTTCCACTGACAAGGGCCCCGCCCTTGTGGAGGTTTATGAAGCGTTCAAGCTTGAGTACTGGGATCTGCAGCTTTCGTGGGTCGAGGCTGTGCTGCGTACCCGTGATGACTTCGAGCGCAGCATGCTCACCGCCATCAAGGCTAAGGCTGCGGAGTTGTCTGTTGAGCGGGGACAGGAGACCATCATGAGTCGGTTGAGATGATTTCGTGGCACTTAGTTGTGGGACATCCTTTCAGCCGCGCTCATGTTCCCTTTTTTCATCTCAACTCTTTATGCAGTTTACCGCGCTCGGCCTCGTTCATTGAACTTCCACGGGACTCGGGTCGATGTACCAGCCAGATGGTCTGGCTTTCAATGTTCCATTTAACCCTCGCGGCCTTATCTCAAGAAGAGATCATAGAATCTCTCTTCGTTGCTCAGCCGACGCCGAGCGGCACTCTAGTACTCTAACGCAACTCACTTCATGATAAGCAACTCCCATTACATGTGCCATCCGCAACCCAAGCAGGCTTGGGATCTAGTCTACTCATTAATATCACTAGCAATACAACAATGGAACCAAAGATCTTCAACAACTTGATTTGCTCATAAATATGACCAAGATAGGAATTTGGTTTCCATAAATCATCCTCAATTGATCATTTGGTGTGGGCTGTTATACCGGGGCGACTCAGACTCCGCTCTGCAATGACTGTATATTCTTCGCCGAGGCGTTCATTTAACCCATGACCGTCGTTCACACCAGGACGTAATTTCTTGGCACCCATTTCGCAGATGCAGATAGTATCCAAAGGAATTTCCTTTGCCCAAATGAAAGGATAGCCCCGCGACGGTGGAAGAGAAGGGGCCGAATGGCTTTTATCTTTGGATGAAATGACGTTCCCCTCGGAGATAGGTGCAGATTTTGCACGGCGGGTACCATTCTTGGTCTCTACAGAGGATCCAGCAGGTGTTGGTGCTCGGTGTGCGATAGTTTGATTGTGATCGGAATAGTAATTACGATATTGTGAAATCAGATTGCGAGCATCAAATGTGAGGCGTTTGGGCGGATTGTTGCCCTTGTCATCTTTGCTTTGGCCCTGCCGTCCACGAACGTAAATCGTATTGACAAGAGTCGCGTGCAGGAGGAGTGGTCGCTGTTTTGGTTGGGTTAAAGACACATCATTAGAAACAGTAGCTGGCTCTGAGGCCTGAGGCATATCTTGGACAAAGCGAATTGGGGCGTTATGTTTTCCTGCTGGTCTTCTGTCGGGCTCACTTTGGATGAAGCCAGCCTCGATGAATTTGTCACGTAGCTTTACGCAAAATGGAAGCAAGCGACCCGTAGGATCGACCGGGGAAGCATGTAGGATAGTGGCTGATCTTCCTTGTGGCAGAGCATGTAGTGACTCAAGAGAAAAAGTTAGGGGCGATGATTGGCGAAGGGCGACTTTCTGTTGTGTGTGAGCGGTGACTCGCTCCACCTCGTTCATTATGTCTGCCAGGTCGAGGGATTGGAAAAAAGCGATAGCCTGATCAAAACGTTCTTTGGTGCTGAGGCTCATTACTCCAAGGGTAAGGTGAAGTGTGCCCAGTGGGCGAAAGGCTGTGCTAGGAAGACCCAGGCGGGATGGGTTCCCAAGGCCCTGAGAGGACGGTTGAGAAGCTGGCCCAGGTTCGGTGAGATGAGCTGTTTTGAAGGCTGCGAGCGATGATTCCAGCTGCGGCAGCGATTTATTGTTTACCAGAGGGACACAGAGGAAATGTGTCAATTGCGGCCGCTTTTGCCGCTGTTCTTGACGTGGTTTGCGTGGCTGATGTTTTGATATACCTGCGGTGTCCGTCATGATGCACCTGGATATCCACGAACGTAACGGTAGCATTAAAGTAAGCAAATGCTTGCATAAGCCAGCCACCGAAATCGTCGCTGGATAGTTGCTGCCAGGAAGGAGCCAGCTCGGGAGAAGTCAGAAGTCGGAAGTAAGCCGAGACGCACGGACCGGGATCCACAACTTTGTATCAACTACATCGGAAGTTATATTTCTCTTCGCCATTGCTGGGCTCAAGGCCACACGAAGGGGGATATCTAATACTTCCAGCATGGCTCCCCTGTTGACAAGCATATCTGCTATGTATTTCCCCCTATATCTGACAAAAGCCAGTAGCAGAGGCGAAAAAATACCAAAACCACACATCCCTGGAACGTCCCACTCTGGTGATACTCTCGGATATTTAACTGTCATGTATCTATCTTCTCATGTAGGTTCCGCCAAAAAAAAAAAAGGCTTAAAGCACATAAATAGAACGGCTATCCCATTTTGATTATTCTGAACTGTATCAAAATACTCGATATCCTCTGTAGGTCTATTTCCTCAAATATCTATCCCTTGACCCATGAACATATCTCGCTAACTAGATTAGCCACGGTTTGTGTGAGCATCAGCGCTAGCTCATCATATTCACAATGATGTTTTTCTCAATAACCATCGTCTCGACTCTGGCTTCTTTAACAATCTCCAGTCCATTAAGTTATGCAACTTACGAAGCAAGCTTTGACACTGTCCCTTCATCTGGTTCCAACAAATGTGCTGGGCCAGCCCCTCCTACTGAACCATATCCACCGAGTCCACCGGTAGTCGCTCCCGACGATACAAGAAGGAATACTTGATCTTTCAAGAATGCCTACCTTTTGTGTGCTCCGATTTGGTTCGTATCCTTTGCGTATGCCACTATAATTTGAGTGCAAATATATTAAAATAACGAATTTAATAATATTAGGCCGCCTACTGGGTCGAATTACTGTCCAAAAGCCTAATTGGTCTCGGTAGCTGCAATGATCTTGTAAACTCTAGCCTAGCTGGCTTGAACATGTGTTATCCTGAGCAGCTTTCCCTGGATATGGATGGCGAATAATTATCTCACAGTGCCTACTTGATATAAGGACAACAACCATCAGCCTTACAGGTTGATAATAGTAGCCTTTATTTCACTGACAGGAGCCATTATCCACAATATCCTAGCTAGAACAAAAGGTCTGGCCAATATTGCGTGTGTCACTACTATAATTATAGAATTTGCTTACTCGGCCTCGAAAGAAACAACTACAGGCTGAACCCTTGTAGTTCTTGGTCGGGACAAGACCATATGTCCAATAAAATATTGTAGAAGAGGACAAGCTTGAGTTACAGTCAGGCTTGAAAATCCCTTAGTTGAGGGCATTCTTATGGAATATAGCTCTGAATTTGTGGCTATTATCATGGGTTAGCACTCCGATCACTTTGTCACTCTCTAATTGCAGAGACAAACAGCTCGGTCAACGGACAGCAATACCCTTTCACAGTATCTGGATCATAGTCATCCCCGCGGGTCTAATTATCCTCATAAACATCGGACCAACGATTCTGTTTCACAGAGACTTGTCACTACTTATGGAATCCTTTTTTTTCTCATACATCACTGCTCCCATATCAAAGTTTGAGGGGGTATTTTGGAGCAATAACAGAACTCAACAAAGGGCCTCGCCTGAGGTTCTTTCCAGATTATAGAATTTTTGTGGACATTGAATAGCATCTTTGCGCTGGTTTTTGCAGGCGCCATGGTGATGCTTGGGTCCTGGCCTGCGGAAACCCATCCGATGCTCTCTAAGATGAATTAGAGTATCGCGATTTTTGATGGAGCGATAATTTTTGCAATGAGGTGTTACTTTAGATGGGCATAGAGATAATCGTACTACATATATTTTGTGACCAGTATACTCTATCTTCTTTCTTTCTTTTTCTTCTAAAGTTCTCAACCATGGCAACCACGGATTTTGAAGTTCGAGAAATCATAAAGAAAGACGAATTTTGCACTTGAATGACATCCTATGGACTGCCAACTTCCATCCATAGGAGTTTGGTATGCCTTCCGGGACTGAGGCTGCCACTGTGGAAACGCGGGAGTAGGCTGCGTTTTTACGTTCTTAATATGTTTCATGATTGGTGAAGATGATAAGAGGTAGAAAGAGCGGTAGAAAGCGGTAGAACCCCAAGCTTAGTATAAACAAAATCCATGGGTGCTATCTCAGTTGATGACGACCACCAACGTAAATAGACATATTTCACTTCATTTCTCATATCACTTCTTACATATTTTACTTACATCTTTTACTTACATCTTTTGGAATATCCGTTATGGGTCGCCATGAATTTCCGCTCCGCACAAAGTTGAAATCCATATTTCAACGGTATCAGCGAACCCATCAACAGCAGACCCAACAGAAGCTTCTGCCAGTCGATCATTTTCAAAGGGTTCCACCTGAAATATTGGAAATACTCTTCACATGCCTCTGGGTCTCCGACCAAGTTTGCGTTGCGGTAACTTGCAAATATATGTTCGCTTGTTACCAGGAATTTCTTCGGGTGCGTAAAACGGGGGTTTATGACCTCATGCGGCGTGAAGCTTTTTCGGAATTACATCTAGTTCGTCAACTTCAGAATGACCGTTGGCAATACTGCTGGTGGTGTTACAAACTCCACCCGTACTCTAGGCGTCGTGCATTTCTGTATATGTGGGGATACACAACAAAGTGCCGTCCTGTTCGTGACTTGGTCGGCTTTTCGATATCCGATATTTGATGGACAATGCACTGAATACCTACATTCTATTGGTCTAACTACCACGCTGGTATTCTGGGTGCATCATCCCCTGCGGTACCACGTGTTTCCCGCAGAAGGCTCATAGGATGGGAATTGGCGTAAGTGTTTTACTTTAATGACTAGGGACACTAATTAGGCTTAATCTGATAATTATATTGAAGCAGAGGAGACGGGTAGAAATCGGTGATGTGAACAGTGAGCGAAGAATATACCTGCGCAGAAATTGCGGTTGATTGAAGGACGAATAAAGGCAGCCAACATCGTCTACAAGTAGAATTATGTCTACACCTGAGAGAGTATGCGAGATGGCCCAAGGGATTCTACGTTCCTTTTGCTGTTTCCTAGTTTTGCAAGTGAGAATAGATTATCAGTTTCGTTATTTTGCTCGTTACCTCGGAGGGCAGTCATTAGTAGTAAATCTACATGCTCGGTTCTTTGAAGGACAATTTTTTGTATCATGTTCAATTTCGATTCTTTCGCATTGGCTTATAAATGCCCTAGATCTACCTTTGTGACTTGGCTGACTATCACCACTAGATCATTCATCACATTCGCTAATTCCCTCGGTGAGCGAGAGGAGTTCGCTCATTGCCTTGTCACCCTGTGAAGCATTGATGCTGCTCAAATAAATAGCCTCCTGAATCTCCGGTACGAGTATGTTACCCATGAGTATGACAATTTTCGCAAATATACTATGTTGGAGACTGTGCTAGCTCCTTCTTTCCTTTTATTTCTAGGATGGTATTTTGGGTTGAAAGTGTGGTTGTTGTTGTCCGCTTATGCTGCATTGCAGTTTTGAGTTTGAAGGCGAATTGATGGTTTCTCCCATAGCAAACAGTGTTATTAGAAGCGCAATTCACAGTTCACTGCCGATGAATTCCACATGTTGCTGTCATCAAACCTTTGAATGAAGATCACGGTCATGTCCCAGAAGAATTCCCGAAATTCATAGACATTGAAGGAATTATCACCGTCACTGATAGTTTGTCCTCGGCTGCATCGAGCTGATTAGAACGCTGACTTTGCGTATCCAAATCATGCATTGCAATCTTTACTGGAGCCAAGAACATGTTGTCAGGGAAGGGATCCGCACAGTCCCCATACTGACCACCCACCCCGTCTCAAGGACAATCTTGCAGGCGATCGAGATAAGCACCACCCATCCAGCCAGCCAACCTCGGGAGCTCACTTCATTGCGCTTGTAGGTTATCCTCAAGATGGATAGGCCCAGCAAAATGAAACTGGTCTCAGGAACTTGGCCGTGGTTTCCATCCTGTGGCTTAAGTAGAGACAACATGGAATATCCGCCACAAGATCACTGTGATCTAGCAGCAAACAGGAACAAAGTAGGAGAGGATCAACGTCAATTTTTGGCTGCAGCCAGAGCACCGAGTGAGTCTCAAGTGTTGTGGGGGGAGAGTCAAAGATCCTCAGAAAATAGGGATCTGATCATAATTAGCCCATTGTACGGTGTTGAAGGTGCAGGAAAGGTGGAACTCACATTAAAAAGATTGAGCAGATGCCATTGAGTAGAAATCATGGCCAAGTGGCAAGCAAATTAAAAATAACGGAGAGATTTCGCCGGGCTGGCTGTTGGTATGGACCTGGAAACTCAACAAGCGCCAGCAAAAGCTGGTAACGCCCATATTCGTAGAGATCTACCTAGCTATCTAAAGAGGTTGTCAGTTTTGAGTTGTATCCAACCTCCTTTCCATGTGTTTTCCGCTCAGGGACCTTACCTGAAGATGGAGGAATGTGCGGTTGTCCTAGGGTTGTATGTTGAAAGGAGTAACACGCGGTATGGCAAGCAATTTGGAGTTCGTCGTCTGGATGTCGGGATGCCTGGTAAACCAACAAGTGTCAGCAAAGCTGGTGAGATCCATTCCAGAACTCTATCTAACTATCGATAGAGGTTGGCGTGGTATAGCCAGCCTCCTTTTTTATCTATTTCTGGTCAGGAACCTCACCTGAATATGCAATGCATTGATTTCCGGTGTATGCGTGCTGAAGGTATGCCGCACCGAGAATCCACTTGGGAGAGGGGTTCAAGTTTGTAGGCCTCGCCAAGTCAGATTTCGACATGGATATTATGGAGATTCCTGGTAAAACAAACAAGCATCCTGGTAAAAACCAACAAGCGTCAGCAAATGCTGGTGAGATCCCATCCCAGAACTCTATCTAACTATCTATGGAGGTTGGCGTGCAGCCAAGCTCCTATCCACATGTGTCCAGTCAGGAACCTCACCTAAATGTGCAGTTTGCGGGTAGTCGGTGCATGGGTACTCGAGAACCTGCGCTGAGAATTGGCTTGGGGCGGTCCTGGTAGAAGTTGATCGATGGCTGTTTGGATTGAGATGTTGAGATGGATCAAGCAGCTCTAGATATCAACTTGGAATAACCAAGCTGGTACCTTTTGTGGGTATAGGGGAACCTAGTAAAAACCAACAAGCGTCAGCAAAAGCTGGTGAGATCCCATCCCAGAACTCTATCTAACTATCTACGGACGCTGGCGTGCAGCCAGCTCCCTATTCACGTGTGTCCGGTTAGGAACCTCACCTGTTTTTTGCAGTGTGTGTGTATTCTGCGTATGGATGCTCGAGGTGCCCTGCACTGAAAATTCATTCAGAGTGGATTTGAGGAGAATTGGCTGTGTCAGCTGTTGGAATGGATCAAGTTGGAGGGATCAAGTTGGCAGCTTTTGTGGGTATATGGGAACCTGGTTAAAACCAACAAGCGTCAGCAAATGCTGGTGAGATCCCATCCCAGAACTCTATCTAACTATCTACGGAGGCCGGCGTCCAGCCAACCTCCTATCCATATGTCCGGTCAGGAACCTCACCTGAATTTGTAGTCTGCAGATGTAGTATTGGCTTGCTAGAGGACTGCAGTTTGCAATGTGGTGAAGAAACCGTGGACGCTCGGGCTGACCAGTTTTGTTGATTTTCCTTGTAGTATCGACAAGGGGTGCCTGGTAAGCGAAAATAACCGTCAGCGAAAGCTGGTGTGAGATCCCATCGCAGAGCCCTATCTAACTACCTACGGAGGCTGGCGCAGGTGCATTCAACCTCCTTTCCATTTGTATCCGCTAGGAGACCTCACCTGAATGATCAGTGTGCAGATAAAAGCTTGAGTCTTTGCTTTCAATGGTGACGAGGGGGTAGAGGTGTCATAGCCTGTATATCCTGAGTTGCAGGATGTGTTTTTCCTTCATGACGGCAGATGCCGTTCCCACAAATGGGGCAAAAAAATGCATAGATCCCTAAAGGCAGAGGAAGAAAAAGTTTCCCTGCGTCAGCCAATGGACTGGTGAGGTCTTCCACTCGATGTTGGATCCAAAAGTGAGTTCTCACCTGGTATGAACGGTCATCATAACATTTCCTCCCAAGACGCATTCATGAACATAAAGGTCATATCAAGCCAATTCAACATGCATGGCAAGCATGAACTGGGATTCTGGTCTCTTCAGGGCTGCAATATATTAGCTGGGTAACAGGAAAGCAAACTCATTGCTGCGGACCATGAGTTGATGACAAGGGTAGACGCATGATAAGAGTATCAAGAGACAGACATGATGCCATGGAGTTATGGAACCACGACAATACCAAGAAGTGCTGGGATCGGAGATGGAGGGGTTGGGAAGGAACAAGAGTGGAAGGAACAAGAGTGGAAGGAACAAGAGTGGAAGGAACAAGAGTGGAAGGAACAAGAGTGGAAGGAACAAGAGTGGAAGGAACAAGAGTGGAAGGAACAAGAGTGGAAGGAACAAGAGTGGAAGGAACAAGAGTGGAAGGAACAAGAGTGGAAGGAACAAGAGTGGAAGGAACAAGAGTGGAAGGAACAAGAGTGGAAGGAACAAGAGTGGAAGGAACAAGAGTGGAAGGAACAAGAGTGGAAGGAACAAGAGTGGAAGGAACAAGAGTGGAAGGAACAAGAGTGGAAGGAACAAGAGTGGAAGGAACAAGAGTGGAAGGAACAAGAGTGGAAGGAACAAGAGTGGAAGGAACAAGAGTGGAAGGAACAAGAGTGGAAAGGCACTTACTTGCCAATCAAAATGGTCGAGTCGACGTGACCAGCTGGGAGTCACCAAGATGATCATAATATAGACGCGTAGTAGAGATGCAGAAAAAGAGAGGATGGTGGAGAGATGATGACCGTGAAGCCATAAATGATAAACAAAAGTACAAAATCCCAATGGGAGGCTGGAAAATTGATGGAAGATAGATGGGAAGATGGAGAGAAGAGGGATGTAGGAGGAAAAAAAAAAAAGGAGGAGAAGAAAGGAAATGGGGGTATTTATATGTTGAGGCCGGGGACTGAAGCTGGGGGTTCCTCCCGTTTTGAGGGAAATAGCTCTGTCTCAACTAGGGAAAGTGCCACCGTTAAGTTAACATGACCCATGTCTCGATACATCTTATAGAGACAACCTTCGTGAGGAGATACGACAACGCGGTCCAGGAATCGGTCTAGAGAGTCCAGAATCTCGCATGATATCTACCTAGGCCGATTGATACATATTTTGTAGATTGGTATAGAGATATGATCCATTTATCGCCATCTATAAAGGCGAGATACAACAGCTTCTGAAGACGGAGACTCAGCCTTAACTAAGAATCCATGGACCTGTCAACCAGGTAGACTTCAGTCCAGGACCCATCTCCCACATGTCCGATGCCGAAATTATCGACGGAGTACATTGAGACACACAAGCAGTACTTCGATGCAGCTGTCCGCAGCAGTTTCTAGCAGACAATACCGTCAAATAGAATACTAGAAACATCATCGGAGTACTTTGTTATATGTAATGTCTCCGCCGAACGTCATCCCTATCAAATGAACTGGTTATTCAGAGTGACAGGGTCCTGCATCGTCAAAGTAAAAGGCCGAATGAACGGTTGGGTACTTGCGTATAAATATGTGGAGTACACATGTATGGATATGACATGCCATGTAGTCTCCATTACATTCAGGGATGGATATACAGAAAAGAACAAAAAGGAATGATACAACAGGTTGTAAACACTGGTTTGATGAATTTGGTAGACAAGTAGACAAAGCATAACATATCAGGGTATAAAATAGCTTCAAATTTCAATTTCATAGTAGAAAGTACACAGAAAGTCCAAGACATAGCATCGGTAGCAATGACACTCATGAAGCCTCCTTCTTGCGACCCTCGACAACACGCATAATATCCGAGACACTGTCTTTGTCACCCTTCCTCTTCTTGGGCCCACGCTTTCTCTTTTTCCCGCCTCGCTCGTCGTCATCAAAATCGAGCAGGGGACCATCGTCCTCCTCTTCTCCGTCTTCGTTGCGACTTCCTCCGAAACCCATATCCATATCTGCGGCATCCATGGCCTCTTGGCGGCGTGCCTCTTCAATGAAGCGCTTATGGCGAAGCACTGTCTCAGAAGACTGATCTGGTTCGCCCTCTGCCGAGGGAGAGCTCTGTCGGAGGGCTGCTGCTCGCTTGAGGGCAGCAAGAATGGTTGGATCTTTAGTGAGGGGGTTGGATCGATCAACGGGCTCCTCCTCTGCTGCAGTCGAGGGCCCAGTAGCAAAGTAATTCTTGGGTTTCCCAGGTGCTGTTTCGGGGGCGGTAGGTTTTTTCTCCTCTTCGGTGACAGAAGCCTTTTCAGGTTTGCGAATAGTCGAATCTGCAACTTCACCATCTTCATCAGATGATGAGCCGTCTTCAATTCCGGCGAGAGGATTGTAATCATCACCGACACCGGCAAAGATATCGTCATCGTCATCCTCGGGTGTCACTTGTGCAGCAACACGGGCAGCAATATCAGCTGGAACTTCCATACCGAGTGGTGCGAGACTCTTATCGGGCATCATAAGGTCTCCCGTGGCAGGCATAGACGCTTCAATCGGCTTATCAAGCCATCTAGTCTTCCTCTTCGTATTTCCTTGCGCATCAGTAATGAGGAGCACTTCGCGTCGACGGCCGGTCTCATCACGTTCCACAAACCGCTTCTTCTCGGGCTTCCCATCGCTCAGCTTCTTGAATTTTGAGCCGAGTATGGACTCTGGCGGCGGAGCAGGCGCGGCAGCGGCAGCATGGCTCGCCCTCAACTCCCGCAGAATTTCATCGCGGGTCTTGGGCCTAGCAGGCGGCGGTGCCATGGTCCCCTTCTTCTTTTCTTTATGTTCCTTTGGTGCAGCAGCAAGCTCTTCCAGACTCTTTTGTTGGCCCTTCTCTTCCATCAGACGCTCAAATTCCTCGTCTACGTCTTCTTTTTCGGGGGTGGCGCCGGTTTCTCAGCCGATTGCGACACATCCTCGCCAGCCCTGATCCTTCTTAGCAAATCCATATCCAGTCCTTTGACCATGTGTGTGCTTTCAAGATCACCTCCAACCCCGAGGTCTCGGCGGAGTTTGTCGAAGGTAGCCTGGTCGATTTGTCCCAACTTAACCATATCCTCTAATGCCTTGATGCGCGCCTCCAGGCCTGTGCTGCTCTCATCCTCTGCATTGCGTAATTTTGCACGATCCTGATATCCAGTTGGTAGCGAGGTACCCTTGGGCGCGGCGGAGGACTTGAATCGCTTGGAAGGTCGATCGCCCTCGCGGCGTTGCTCGAAGAGCTGGCGAGCGAAATCCACACCAACTGAACGTCTAGAGTAATACCACCGCTGTTAGCTTCATCCGAAATGATAGCAATCTACAAATCAAGCGACGTACGGGGTCATGGGAATACTGGACCGCATTCGCGATCCCAGGGACCCACCTGGGGTTGCGCCGCCACGCGATGCATCCCGACCAGGCGCTGGGCTCTGGCCCGCGGGTTTTGACGATGACTGGTCGGCTATTAGCCGGCGAAATTGTTCGTTATTCATGATTCGCGAGCGTAAACTGCTAGAGTTGAAGTCGAGAAAGGCTCATGTCAAGAGGTGAAGATCCCGCTTGGCACTGATAAGATAAGACTATCTCTAGTTTGGAGCATTAGGGAAATTTACCCTAAGACAACCTTGGAAGACAGGCAATCTAGCATCATTTCCCTAACAAGTGATACTTTTTAGTATAAGCAAATGGATGGACCTGGCCACGGTTGTCGTTGGCGACATTGGTGCTCTGCCTCTTGGATCTTCATCTACCCTTAGCTTGAGTGCCGTGTGATCTCAAGCTGCTAGATCGCCTACGAGCGATGACTTTATTATTATTATTATTATTATTATTATTATTTTCAATTAATACTCATGCTTCATTCAACGAAACAAGCTGGGCAACATGGAGTTGTTGAATAGATGCTGCCAGTCAGTGTCCCCTGGGGGGGGGTTAATGATACTCATCAGATTCCTGCCTAGGTGAGGCCTGCTTTGATAGTTTGATTGATTATAGACTATAAGTGGACGCGACTTATGGTGAGCCTTCGGGATATAGAAAGTGTATTGGGTATTAATATATATTCTATACATGTATTCCTGTAGACGAGGGATAAACAGAAATATATTTTCTAGGTACACCGTTCCGCCCAACTAAAATTTGTGAATATTTCTAGCAATTACAACATTTCGCCGCTATTATAGAACAACAGAAACTGCGAGTGCCAACTGCTCATTGGAAGAGATATAAAAGAGGAAAATATGTAACTGCCTGGATATACATAGAAAAGCCCTGCATGGTTTACGCCTTCCCGTCTTTTTCTGTCGCCCGGTTATGAAACCGAGAAGGGACCTCGAGAAAATATATCCAAAAAGAATATTTCGTAAGACTACTAGAAGACTGCCAGAAAGACATCACAACGCCGTATAAGCAGTCGGCGGCTATTCTTGTAATAATACATTCACAAATTCAACCGAAATTTGGGTTGAATGTAGCCTGATATTTTTTTATCATAACTACCAAATGAACCCATTGATATAAAAGCATGTCCGATATACAGTAAGAATGAGACAAAAACATAGTAGAAATGCATAGACGAAAGGAAATGAAAAAAGCGGCTAAACACACAATCACGATCGTTTCCAATTGGCCATCAAAAATTCAGAACGTCAGAAATCTAAGCGCACGCACAACGATCGCAAAAAGAAACCGGAGTTCTGTGTTCATTAAATAGTCTCCCAGCCTCCGTTGTTAATCTCTGACTCCAGCTTGCGGCTGATAGTCGCAGGGATCGAATGCGAGAGCCAGACATCGCGTAGTAGCCGGTCGTACCGCTTCTGATTGAGGATAAGCTGGCGGTTGCGGCGGAGGCCGGGGTCGACTTCGCCGTGGCGGTCGAGGTAGGGCGCGTAATGCCAGGATCCGTTCGTATTGTGTAGGTAGAGAACAGTGCATTTGCGAATATTAATGAAAAGACCGATGTTTTTACCGCATCTATTATAAAAACTTGGTTAGTTAAAGAGTACTTGTAAACAAAGTATGAGGGAATACTGACTTTTGAAGATGCTGGTTGCAGCCGCCAAGCTTGTTTGTCATGCAGCAGACTGCCTGTGAGCAAAATATTTCGCCGCAGAATAGACAGATACTGGGATCAGTGAGCTCCTTCTTGGAATTTGGGCAACGGCGACGGTTTGCCTCTTCGATGAGACTATCGAAGTACTTGGGCAAGCCAACAAGCTCAAAGATAGCAGGGTGCGACAGACTAGGCCAGAGACGGTGGTCTTCGAAACGGATGCCTGAGCGTGAGGCGTTCCAGTGGAAGATCCATCCTGAAATGACTGCATCGAAGGGGCTGTTTGACTTGCGTGCGGGCTTGACAGACATGAGAATCTCATCAATGGAAGGCAGCTGAAGTGCTTTGGTCAGGCGCTCAAGTTCAGAGGACTCCACATCAGTGAATCCAGTGTTAGGGAACTCCACGCCGTGCTGAACATGAAGAAGGATAACTGCCTTGCGCAGGAATGCTAGTCCATAGCTCGTAACAAGTCGTCGGACGGCAAGAATGACGCTAGGAGTGGCAGTTTCCTCTCCGTCTTTGACGTAGCCACTCTCAGCGGGGAAGGAGGAGCCCTCGGCCCGGCCGACAGAGTTCGCCTTGAGTTCAGCAACGATCGAATCGAAGAACTGCTTGGTCACTCCGAATTGCTCTTCAGATACATCAGCAACCATAAAATCGTCCTCGGGGTGGGTGGCAAGTTCCTCCTTCAATCCCAATGGCCAAAGAATGAAAGTGACAGCGACCTTAACAATTTCAGCCACGAAGCACATCCGCACAAGATGCCTGATATCAATATCAAGGACTGGAAGCAGAGACAACGATGATTCTGCGAGGAACACAAAGGTATCCACAGCGAGCAGAGGCTCAATATTACGGACATCATTGAGCAAAGCTGTACCGCTCAAGCAAGGGTGCCCGACAAGTAGCTGGCAGATCTTTTGACGATGCATCTCCTGGAACTCATTTGTTGGAGGGCTTTTTGATGATCCCGCCGAGTGAAGACACCCAACCGCAGCATATGTCAACACAGTCTCTGATAGAACACGCAGATGGGTAAGCGTCAGTGAAGGAATTGTGTCCAGTAAAGTTGAGCCAGGCTCTGACTCGACACCACGCTGCGCGATCTCCACGGCAGCAATGCTGAAACCAAAGCTGCGAATTAGAGAATCAGTGTGTACAAGATCTTCATTGATGTTCGCTTCAGAAGTGTTGTTAAACATCGAATTGACATGGTTCGTCTTGAGTGTCTTCTTGAGCCGTCTGTAGATCTGAAGTAGTTCCGACATAGGGCTTTCTGGGGGACTCAAGACCTGTTGAGGTGGGCTAGAAGGGGAGAGGTCTTCGGCGGGAGGGAAAACACCTGGCATTGGCATGCGCGCTGGTGTGATGTATTGTGAAGGAGCAGTTGCTGGGAAAGGCAAGACCCTCAGCTGATCGATATCACTAGAAAGCGGAGGTACTAGAGTCTTAGACAAGTAATCAATAAATATGTCGGTGTATGGTTGAGGAGAGGCCTTCTCCTTCTCCATAAGGACTGGGAAGTTTTGCTGTTGGTTCAAGGTGTGCTTGAGGCCCGATTGAATCCACTGGTCGAATGATTCAGAGGGGCTGAGTGGAACAAGGGGAGACTCTTCCTTGCCCTTCCAAGTGATGGGGAGGAATGCATTTCCGAGAGCTTTGCAGAGAGGGCAAACAAACTCCATGAGGTTGGTGTTCTCGGGATGGTTACGCGCAATTTGCTGGGTGTGTCGTCGGTGCGTCGCCGTATAGTACTGTTCAAAGCAAGAGTAATGCATTATATGCCCACAGCCAGTAGTCACAGCCCCACGAAGAGTACTCTTTGCATTGAACCCTTTACTTAGTCCAATCTTTTCGCTGATGACTTCACCACCGGAAGAATCAAGACGCTTGATGGTAGTATGGTTCTCTCCGGATACGCCAAATGGCCGCACGTCTTCAGCGGACCTATCCAGACTGGTGGGTGTTCTGAGCACCTCACGAATTCTATCGGGGTCCCTGATATCGGTCTGTCGGAGAATCGTGCTGTCTTGAACCAAGGCAAATGTACCATAGAGCCTTGAGTCGCTGGTCTCTTCCTGACACAAGATACATGTTCCGCTAGGATACTTCCATAGCTTCTTTTCTGGGGTAGCGCCTGTATCAGACTCAAGATCGCTGAAATCTTCTTCGCCCCAATCGATGTTACCCTGGCTGTTCAAGAATTGCTGCTGCTGCTGCTGGAACTGCGCCATGACCTTGGCTTGCCTCTCCAGTGCTTGCTTCTTCTTGACCTCCTTGTCGTTATCTGCATCAATCGCAGGAGAGTTTGTGTCGATTCGATCGAAGGGGAATTTGAGGGATGCAGTGGCCGATGAATACGTGCGAGGGCGCTTTTGCCACAGTCGTTTGAGTATGTGTCTGATTTTAGGGCCAGATGTGGCGAATTCCGGCGTGACGGAAATTCTCTCCAATAAACCAACAATGGTTAAATGGCCAGCCTTGATCTCTCGGGTCTTTGACAAAGCATTCCAGTTAAATGAATTGGAATGCTCTTCTACCATATCAGTCTCTTCGGAATTATCTTCCAAGACTGCTGCAAGGATAAGATGCAGAATCACTTGAAGGAAAGTCTCAATACGTGTCGGTGGGATGGTTGGTGTGCACTCTTTCGATGAGATAACATATTCCAAACATTGGTGAACAATCTGTGCAAACAGCATCGTTCCGGCGAATCGGGGGAGATCTGAGAACACGCCGAAGCTGATAGGTCGAAGTTTGGGCTCAAATACAATGTCAGAGGCGTTCTTGCCTGTCTTTTTCGCCATCCATTCCTTGTAAATGTTCTCTGCTTCGTCTCTTTGATTCTTGGTATAGTGCGCGCTGTATGGATCAATAAGGTCGAGATTTTCCGGCTTCAATTCAAAAGTACCAGAGTCACTCATGCCCTCAGGTGGGCGGAAGTTGGCAACTTCTTCCAGCACATCTTGGAACATGTCCGAGTCCAGAAGCTTGTCGCTAAGTCGGGTCGAGAGATCGGAGAAAGACAGGGGCTTGAAGCACAAGACATGAGCGATGTCACGCTTGATGTTTTCGTGGGTGAGATGATTGCTGTCATCGATGGCGGTCAAAGATGTTCGGTCCGTCAGTAGGATCACCAGGAGATGAACAAATTCCTCTGCCACATCTACAATCTGGGTATCTTCGTATCCAGGACGGGATACATAGTTCCGAGCCATCCATTCAACCATACCAAAACGGTGTGCAATGGAAGCAAGAACTCTGCTAGGATCACAGGTGACCAGGGCAGTCTGGAGAAGGAAAATATCTCTATAGTACGCAAAGTCGCGAGAAGAGACGCCACGGTACTGCGACATTTGATGCCGAAGACTGAGACCATTGCGAACCCACATACCAGCCTTCATTTGTGCCAGCCAAGCACAGACTCGAAGTGGATAGTCAAACATGGCTAGAAGCAAGTCTTCCGGCCCAAGTGTAAGCAAAACATCATCAACTTTACTAGGGTCGGCAGCCTTGGCAGCATGGATCTGAATCCTCGCCGTATTGGCAGCGTCAAATAGAACGTCGCGCATAGTCTCACTGCTTATGTCTCGTCCGCATTCAATAAGCCACGACAATGTGTAGTGAAGGGCGTGGTGGAAACTGATGGATCCACGTTCCACCACGAATTCAACCACCCGATGGCAGGGGACTTGGCCAGAAGGACCGACCTCAAAATCGAAAGGTGGCAGCAGCTTGAATCTTAATTCATCCTTTATTTCTGCCTGGTCGAATCGCTTGCGTTCTATACCGGCTGAATGGAGAATCGTGGTAGTAGTGGTAGTCTCGATTGCCCTCAAAAGGTTGTCACCGTTGTCCTTTTCAGGGTCGCGGAAAGACTCGCAGAATTGGCGGCAAAGTCGGTTGATCTCCCGCATGAGAATTGATGCACTGATCCAAGCGTCGGTTTCGTATTCAACGTGTTCACCAACAGCGCGGACATTAGGGCAAATACCCTGCGACAGCTTGACAAGATCAAGGAATTGAGGAAGATATTGCTCCTCGGTCCGCACACGGTGCTGGACATATTCGGATTGGAGAAGGTATCGGAGATCAAGGAAGAAGTGATAGAGACGTCTGTTTGTAACCGAGCCAGCATCAAATGCCAGCGTAGCGTTGGGGTCAACGGATTGTGGTTCACCAACTTGTCTTGTAGTTAAGAAGGTATATAGAATAGACATCACCTTCGTGAGGAAGTTGCCTCGCACAACAATCTCTTCGGTAATAGAAGGCGTCGTGAGAAGCTGTAATGAAAGGTTGACAATCGAGTGGTCCGGCTCTCGGTCCGCGATGAGGTATAGTTGAGCGAGAGCTGTGTACAACGCAGACAAACGAAGGCCCATAATGCGCTTAAACTGAGGGACATTGACAACGGTGCTGATGTAAAGATCACGCAAGTCGGTTCGTGTCTTCTTCCACAACCTCAGGTCATAGAGCACCAGCCAATCTAGGCGAGTACGCTGCCATAGGTCTTCATACGGAGGTACTTTTTCACCTGGGGCGGGAACGGCTGGCTGGACTTGCCAGTGACTGTCTGTGTTCGAAGGTCTTTGACGGCTCGAACCAGGAGTCTTAGGAATGGGGATATAGCCAGTAGGGGTGGATTCGGGGCTAGGGCTTTGAGATGCAGACGGGCCTCGTTCGGCGGAGGACCGATCTGCGGTTTGAGTTGGTGCTGGTCGAGGAGGTGGTGGCTGGGTGCCAGCAAGTCCGGCGAGAATACGCTCCGCTAGAGCAAGTTCTTCATCTGCACCCGCCAAGATCATATCTTCGTCATCTTCCTGATCACGAGTGAGTTCGATGTCCATTTCATCATCATCTTCATCATCAGCGTCATGTGCCTCGACATAGTCTTCGTCTTCGTCTTCTTCTTCTATAACGTCGTCGTCAAGCATATCATCTTCGTCATCATCCGTGGTTAAGAGGACCTGACCATGATTAGGCAAATTGATCATGAGCGTGCGACCTGGAAGGTTCTCAGTCCGCTGATGATCATCAATGCCCTTCATGCCGATATCTTCGTTATATCCACCACTGCCCTTTTTCCAAGGTGAAAGCATTTCCTCGCAGATGATTTGTCTGAAAATTTCATTGTCTTCGAGGATTTCACAGCCGGCAATATCAGACAGCCACTCCACTATCGTTGCGCACATTTGTTCGCGGAAAGTATCACGTGCAGAGCGCACCGTGACAGTGACCTTGATCTCCTCAATTATCTTAGAAACACCTAAGAGTCTGTTCAGGTCCTTCGAATATTTAATCACACTGCGGCCAATATCGTTTGTTTCATGGGCCCGCGCAACGCCAAAGCTATCTCGTTCACGACAAGCACGTGTGACCTGATGAGACACATCGCGAATGGTATGCTTCTCGTCATTCCACAGCATGACCGCAAATTCAGGTTCTTCCTCCTCTTCATCGCCAGCACCATACCAGTCCGGACGCAACCGAGAGGATTCCTCATCTTGTCTGATGCCCTCGGCAGTCTTTGGCAGCCGCAATTGCTCCGGGGAACAAGAGATGACATCACAGAAGTAATCGAGCGCACGGGATATAGTCAAGCGGATCGAGGCCACAAGCTCAGAAGGCAATACCCGCTGCGCCCGTTCCTTGCCCTTGGTATTGCCACTATCGGTATGAATGGCGCAGAACAGTGGAAGGCGCCATGCTTCGTCGTCACCGCAGTCACAGCAGCCACAGTTTCCAGATGAGAGCGAAATCTGATATTGGTGTCCGGTGTGATCCGAGGAATCGAAGCATCGACTGCACAATACGCACGTATCATCTGCAGCACAGGTCACGCATCGGTATGTGGCTTCCCCAGCACGGAAAATATGACCGCAGCGCTTGCCCCGCGCTGACTCGCTGTACTCGGCCCCTTCCCGGGCACCTTGAGCCTCCGCCAGTTTCCATGGACCAGTAGGAGTTCCTTCTGGGAACAGCTGTTGTACTAGATCGTCGTTGTGTCCGACAAGCGATCGGAAGAGAAGCTCTAGCAGGTCTCTCTCGGCAGCAGGGCCATAGCGGAAGTTGTGTTTCTTGGGTAAACGGAGAAGACCATCACCGAGCAGCTTCTCACATTCCCCTAGCATGAGCATGATTTATCGTTGTGGCCGGGCTATCGTAGCGGCCGCTCGGGCTATCACAAGTGAGTGATGGAACGGATGGCCGTTGTCGCGACAATGCGCTGAAGGTAGTAATGGTCCGACGCAGGTGATTTCTCCACGGGTATGCAGGCAAAAAAGGAAATTTTCAAGTGAAGATTTCAAGAGTCAGCCGGATCAAGCAGGGTTCTCAGATGTAGTCCAAGTTGCTCACACACTGATACTTTGTGGTGGGGGGAAGAAGGTAAGAGCAACGGGTGAGTGGACCAATACAGGCGAGCAGATCAGCACAGATACGGTGAAGTCATACGCAAATTCGAATGTGGAGCTTAACATTCGACGGTCTTAAGGTCAAAACACAAGAAGAAATCAAACTGTTTGTTGAGATCGGAAGGTAGCATTTTTCACTATGACATCGATGGAACCGGCCTCTCTCAGCAAACGCCAAACGCCACAACCATGCTATACGGCCTAACCACCACTTACAACACGCCACCATTTGAGAACATTTGAAGATTTAAAACAAAGATTGAAAGTCAAAATACAGATTTCCATCTATCGCATACAAGCCCACATATGGGATGAGAAATAACAGGCACTAGCTTCGCTTCAGGGCTGGCTTTTCCATGCCCCTTTACCCGCGGTAAGATATACCCAACATCACTTTCGGCAAGTCCATCTACTCATCATCCTCCTCCTCCTTAACCATATAGCGGTGCTTGATGTCCTTCCATTGGCGCTGTAAGGTGAGAAAAATGGTCAGCGTGTGTCCTAGCCTCGGGTATTGTAGTCCATCAGGAAAAGAGGTTCACATACGCCCTGGTTCCAGCTATCCCAGACCTTGTTGGAGGTGATATCGAAGGCACTGTGTTGGTATTGCTTGGTCAGTGTTCTGTATAAGATGTATAGCATGTCTTGACATGTTCGGAGACTGGATGTAACCCACAGCTCAAAAGCGAAGGCGCCGGCAAAAGCAGTGGTCAGAAGGACAGTGTTCTTGCGGATGAAGGTCCTAAACACAGCGAAGAGTGCCTCGGTTAGATTTCAATTGGACGAATTTCATCGCGATCGTAGGACCTAGGAAGGGGAGACATGCGAGTAGATAACGTTTGCGAGCTGTCATGCGAGAGGTAAGTCAGTAATGGACATGACAGTGCAAATAGGAACACTGGGGGAGGGAATATAGACATACGCCAGCCATTGTGAGAGATTGGGGTGTTTTCACACGACCTAAATTAGAGGATCTGACAGGAGGATGGGGTCAACGAGAGTTGAAGTTGTGAGGTTGAAGTTGCGAAAGGCTGAATCTGCGGGAATTGCCGGTCCGCTGATTGGCCGGGCCTCCGGCCTTCCGCACTCAACTTTCAATGTTCGCGTTATTTTTCTCTTTTAATCTTCAAAAGATATTGATCTTTACCTTGGAGCTTGACTCTGTCAAGTTGGTGTCATATATCTATTATTTTACCAACTTCATTTCACAAATTAGACCCTACACACCACCCACCTCACCATGTCCTCCAACGTCGCTAGGTCCGGCATCACCACCGACGCCCAAACCGGCGAACGATACATTCCCTCCTCAGTCCGTGCCGACGGTTCTAGGCGCAAGGAGATCCGCGTGCGCCCCGGCTACAAGCCACCCGAGGATGTCGAACTATACAAGAACCGGGCTGCGGCAGCATGGAAAACCCGCGCAAAAGGCGGGGTGCCCGGTGCGGAAGGATTGAGCAGCGAAGACGACAAGACCAAGACCGCAACAAAACCTACAACCGCTGCCACCACTGCCACCACTGCTGCCAGTAACAAGAACGCTAAGCGCCGCGAGGCCAAGCGAAATGCGAAGCAAACTGACGAAGCCGGTCCCACCACTGAGGGCAAGGGCGTGGAGTCAAACAACTGGCGTGCCGCCGCACCTGCACCCGCACCCGCACCTGCAGAAGAAAAGCCTGCCGAAGAGCTTGTTGATCTTGAAGCCGAGAAGGAGAAGAAAGCCCGCAATCTGAAGAAGAAGCTACGCCAGGCACGGGATCTTCACGATAAGAAGCAGCAGGGAGAGGCGCTGTTGCCTGAACAGTTGGAGAAGGTTATAAAAATTCAGGAACTGGTCCGGCAGCTAGATGTTTTGGGCTTCGATTCTAATGGGGACAAGAAAAATGGGGACACCAATGAGAATGCTTGAATGGCTTTTTGAACCTTCTGACACGGTGTCAGATTAAATTCAATATCCCATATCCATGTGTCGAGTATATGCCAATATACATAAATTTGTCATCAGGGTTCTTGCAAGCACCCTGTGACATCTGTCGGGGGCCCCCAGACTCTCCTACATCATTGCGCCAAGTGATCGGAAGTGGGATGTGAGAAATATTACCTTGCCTATATGGCAGGACACATTGCAACCAATCGGTTACAGCCTTCCACGCGCCAGTCGCTTCACCTGTGAGGGATTCCGGATGCTGCCACATCTCTGCCATTCTCTCGATCGAAGGCCCGGGGGCTCTCGCCCTTGACCCTGACAGGATCAGAAGAACATATTTCACAGATGGATCAAATCCATCGTTTGGTTGATCGACTATGGGCTGGCAGTGAATTAGGCATTATACATAGAGCATTTTATATCCGGCCAGTGCCGTCGATTTCCAACTTATAACGAGAAAAAAAAGCTATTATTACAAAGATACATACATATACTATACATGGCTTGGACCTTCCCTTGTGTACATCCCCAAGCGCAAATAGCAAAACCACCCCAATCAGTCATATAACATCAGATTTTGGAGTCGAACAGTCGAACAGGAGGCATCACAATGCCACCCTTGAGGTTCCAGCGTTTATGTTCAAAGGAAGTCCACGGACGCCATGGACTGGGCTCACTGTTGAGCAAGTTTCTTCCAATGCCATAGGTGGCAGATAGAATACCCTGCTTGACACAGTCTCCCACACTTACGCCATTATACCAATTTCCTGCGAGAATGAGCCGTCCCTTGTACTCACTACGAACTGTGTTCGAGAGCTTATACATGCGGTCCAGGTGGCCGACTGTATACTGGGGAATGGCATCCTTCTGAAGACGACTCCGAGCGACAGTTGGGGTATCAGTGATATTCATGTGTCTTTTGAGCATGTCGCGGGCCATTTTCACTGCGGTGTCGTGGTCTGGATACTCTTCGAAGCCATCCCAGTAATGTCCGCCTAGCATGACAGTGAGTTTCGTTCCAGGGGCAGAATCTTGGCTGACTTCAGTTGACGAAGGATCCGGTCCGTTCCCTACACTAGACGACGAGGCGAAAATGACGCCAAGTCCACATTCTGGATTCTGCTCGTATGGTATCGATCGTGGTATGAGGTATCCAAAGCCATCCTCCACAGGCAGAAGGTTAGGATTTGGGTAATAGAGATTGACGACCATTACAGTCACGGCGTAATTCTGTTTGTGTAGTAGAGATTTGGCCAGTGCACCCTCCGTTTTGGGCAGGGCCTTCGCAAGTGCAACTGGAGGAATAGTGGAGATGACATATTCATAACGCAACCCCTTGATTTCACCGGACGTAGGTGACCGATGTGCCATCTATTGACAGTCAGCGTCATTGCCGGGGCCCAGGGAGCTCAGGGATAGAGCATGGTAGTACAGAAGAATTCACATACCGCAATAATGCTTTGCTTGTTCCATAGACCCAAATCAGTGATCTCCGTGTTAATTTGGAAGCGCACTTTACCGGATGCTTCCAACGAAGCGATCAGTGCTCCAATAAGCTGACCAACTCCCCTCTTAAAGGTGAAAGTACTAGCTCCAGCCGCGAGGACTTCTAAATCATGCTGACGACGTACTAATTCGGGGCCTGCAGGCATAACATCTATGGCCATAAAATCATCCATATTCCGGGTCTTTGTTTTGGAGAACGACCTGGAGATAAGAGATGCCGTAACTCCACCAGAAACAACCCCACCGACGCCCCCGACGCCTCCCTCAAGGTTGCGGACGGCACCCAACAGTGTTTGGGCACTCAATCGATTGATATCACCAGCATAAATTCCATGGTATACAGCTGAGACTAGATTATCCGCAACATTGGGACCAAAACGACGTCCGATGAAGTCTGCAACAGACTCATCCTTCGCCCATTCAGTTGGGTGTCGGGGTGGAGCGAAGATATCCTTCACTATCCCTGAAGGAAATTTGCTAAATAGCGGCTCCTTCAAAGTATTCACGAAACTGTCAAAGTTCTCCGCAAAAGAAAGCTCAGGCTTCGGCGCCGGCATGCGAACAAGATGGTCCGGGTAGTAGATGTAGCGATTCTGGGCCGCGGGGCTCGTGTTCGGGGTAATAATGAGATCTTTGTACAAGCCTAGATTTGTAGCCTTTCAAAATAAGTCAATATATCAAGCTATTTCAATTCTAAACATGTTCACGCGAGCAATGCTCACCAGGTAAAGCAGAGGGAGTGACCCTGGCAGCGAGCTTCTCAACGTCCGCGGCCCATACTCGAACACGATGTTGCCACCATCGACAGGGATTGTTTCAGAGCCGATCCAACCTCCGAGCCGGTCTGTCTTTTCAAAAAGATTGATTGATTCGCATGTGGGGTCTTGCGCGAGTTGCCAGGCGGCTGTGAGCCCTGTGATGCCACCGCCAAGCACGGCGGCATGATACGTGCGATTTTGACCATTGAGGAGAGAATTCAATTGCCGTTGTCCCAGTCTTAATGTTCTAGAGGCATATGGTAGCCGCATTTCTGCTGATGAGAGTAACCTTCGATTTGCGGTTGGTCAGAGAACTCAAGCTAAATGCGAAGGTCCTCGGAAGCTTCCGTTCTTACTTAAGCTACGCGGGGAACCTTGGAACCCCTGGAGCTGCACTGGAGCCCCCACGCCCAGGCCATCATTCTACTACAATAATCCTATAAGTTTGCACAATGATTCATGAGACATTCGCGAATTTGTTCTTCGCTTCGGTATTATTCTTTTGAAGATCAACGGGGGAATCTATGAACAGGACAGATAATAGTATCTGAAACAAAAGCAAATGCATAAAGAGTATCAACGCCCTTCCCTCCAGCCATTCCTCGTTCATTGATCAAGATCGGGTTGTACATGGTATTCTTCGCTTCGGAAACAGACTGTTGTGGGATGCTTGTTTTTTCTGGGTTTGTTTGTTTGGTTTCTTTTTATTTTGGAACAGTGATTTTTCTTCATTTCAGTCATGTCAGGCGGAGTCACGCGGTCACCTCATTGCTCTGGGTGTTCTCCTCGGTCTCTGGCTTAATCAACTCTTGGGGTCCATCCACATCCGTAACAAACTTTCGCTCGCTGACATGCTCTCCAGAGCGTGGAGTCCACACCTTGTCGGTGAAAGCACCGCGTTGGCCCTCTGCGTGCTTGTAGGTGCACTTGGGGTTCAGGCAGGGGTTAAACTTGCAGGCAGTCTCAACATGTGTAAACTTGCATCCTTCGGTCTTGCAGTCGGCTCCATTGCGGCAGACTGGCATACTGGGGTGCTTAAAATGACATGTGGGGTTGGTGCAGTGAGGGAAGAACCGGCACATGGCCTCTGCCTGATGGGCGGATCGCACTGCTGGTGAAGGGTGGCGTCCAGTGCATTTCTTGTTCTTGCAAGCTGCGCCGAATGAACAAGTATCAGAAGGGTCGATTGAAGTACCTTCAGGGGCAGCAGGTGATTGATGGGCGAACGGGCAATCCTGTCGCGAGCACCGTTGGTTGAAGCGACAAACACTGTTGGGGTTGGTTTCATCCTGTTCACCACCCGCTGTGCTGTCCATATCCACATCTGCTCCTTCTGCCGCTCTCGGCTTATTGTAACCGCCGCCACGCTTTCCTCCACGCTGGCCACCTCGCTCGACCCGATTGAAGAGTGAACGACCTTGAGGATTGTTCTGGGAACCAGTTTGAAAAGCGGGGTTAACAGCAGGTGGCATGAAGCCAGGCATGAATTGAGACATCATCCGGGCCTGTTCTTCCAACATCGACATAAGTTGCATCTGGTTTTCGGGGGTCATCTGCATCATGGGGCTGCCTGGCATTCCCATGGTACGGCCACCACGACCATTTTGCTGTCCACTGCCTCTCATTTGACCCCGGCCATTGTTACCAATGCGCCCATTTCCTTGTCCGCGCACACGATGTAGGGCTGCATCCGAGCCACGATCCAGGTTTCGATTGATTTGGTTCAACATTCTTCCCTTACCGCCTCGAGCGTTGCGCATCGCTTTCGGTCCGGTGGGGCTATTAAGGAGCACTGTCAGCATGTTGTAAATATTAGTAGAAAGGCATGGTAAAAACCTACATCTCGTTCCCGGCCTCACTCATCTCGGCATCTTGGCCGTTGCCCTCACCAAATGGATGGGGCATCGCTTGGGCTGAGTTGTCAAAATCCATTGCTGAAGGGTTCAACTGTCCCATGCTAGCATCGGTTGAGACTGGAGCAACCCCATTGATCTGTTGGTTCAATGTCTCGACTTGGGTAAACAGCCATTGTGAAAACTCGAGTGCAGCAGTGTCACCCTCTTGGAGGCCAAGGAAATCATTTGAAAGTTCGGTGGCGATTTGCTCTTCGGTTTTGCCGTTGACCAGCATGAGAACGATATATTCGATCAGTGGTGACTCTTGGCCGTCACTCCAGCCCATCTCCACTAATTTCGGCTGGATGACATTTGCAACTGCTTGTGCAAGAGGTGTGCCCAAGATAATTTGAGGAAGCATGCTGAAGGCGGTTGCGAAGTTAGGGAAAAGTGACAGGTGGGTGAGAAATTCACAAAGAGAGCAGTGCTGATAAAAGAACTTGCGCCACCCGATAAAGGCGTGTCGAATCTGATCAGCGCAACTAACAATGAGGGGCGAGGATGTGATGAAAACGGTATGTAGTAGTGGTTAGGGTTGGAGGAGAGATAAGTTGATGGGCCAGTAACAGGTTCTGGTAGAGAAAGCAAGACTTTAGCAAGCAGATTGGAGTGAAGCTAAAGACCCGATGACCAAAACGGATGTTTGATCACGTGGCTGTGTCTGTCCGGCGGTGAAGTGGGGCAGTACATGCACATGTCCCGTCAAGGTCGATTTTAGTATCTTGGAATGGTATTAATCAAAAACAAGAAATTTCGCTTCTAATGAATCATTACTTAATAGCCAGATGGAAGAGATAGAAAGGGTGAACTGTTGAAAGAAATAAGTAGGAATAAAATTTGCGTCTACGAAAGCACAGGTTTATATATTCACAATGACTATTGTTCCACTACAAGTCAATACGAGCTTTGTTATGAATGTATGAACAGGGTTAAATGGTTTCTACACACAAAGAGAAGCATTCAGACAGAGAATTCATGGTCAAGTGATGTCCAAGAAAGGAATAGCAATTGTCTCAAGGTTTCTATGTATAGTGGCCTGAGGCATGAAGATATTAGGCCCGATATATCAGGCCTTGAAAAGATTTTTGCACAATATGCACAACAATACTCCGTATGCAGTGCAGGGACGTTTAAGTGGCTGCAGGCTACAAAGCGCCGTCGATCTCCCCTCTCGGAATCATATGCCATAATCAACCCATGTCTACCGAGGTGCCATGTCTTCACCATTCATCTTCCCCAGATCGTCGGGTATCCCCACAATATACATACAGCGTGAAACCGGGATAACAGACCCTGGTGGGGATCCGTGCCTATCCCAACCCCATATTGCAATACCTGATATATAGATTACCGAAATATCAAAGCAATAAACGGGATCAATGAACGAAGCATGGAGTCACATAATGCGGGGTTCGCAAGCACGGCTCCTTTAGGCCATCCTCCTACACCTGTTTGGGATAAAGGGAACACATATAATTGGACATCGGAAACTGAGGTGGTTGTGCCCCCAGATTGATTGATACATGCTTTAACCCGTATGGTCCACACCGTTTGACAAGTTCGTGTTCATAAACCAGCCTTCCCTGTGATATATTAGGTAACATATCAGTTATTTTTCTTCATAATCTGAACGTGCCTCTTCGAAGCCAGAAGCGAAACTAAATTCAGTTTGATCTAGTCCAACGACACCATGATTGAAGACCTCCTCGCAGGGACGACACTCAGTCTGGCCTCCCTGTGGCTTCTGGGAGTATTCGTTGCATTTTGCGTATTCCGCAAGCTTCAAGCCTCAGCACAAATCGCCCGTCTCGGTGTCAGAGCTCCCAAAATCAGGTTCCGTCTCCCATACGCTCTCGACTTCATCTTCGAAGGCTATCAAGCCAATCAAGTGTACCGCGACTTAGAATTCTGGGATACAAAAGTCAGGCACGCAGGAGGCCTAACAAATGCGAAGACAGCCGAGCTCGATGCTGGGATTTCCACCCGCATGGTCCTCACCAAGGACCCAGAGAATATCAAGGCACTGCTCACTGGACAGTTTGCCGACTACGGTAAGGGTGAGTCTTTCCATCGGGATTGGAAAGAGTTCCTAGGCGACAGCATCTTTGCTACCGACGGAGAACTATGGTCTCGCTCCCGCCAACTCATCCGTCCCATGTTCGTGCGTGACCGCATCGTCGACACAGAAATATTCGAGAAACATGTTCAGAAACTCATCCCGCTTCTCGGCGGCAGCGATTCACCCAGCAGCAGCAAGGTAGTGGACGTCGGACCACTCTTCTTCCGGTATACCCTCGATGCAGCAACAGACTACCTGCTCGGCAAGGGTACAGAGAGTCTAGATAACCCCGCAACACGGTTTGCCGAAGCATTCAGATATGTGCAACAGCGTCAATCGGAATATTTCCGTTTCGGGTAAGTTATACTAGATCCTGTGCAACGCAAGCACAATCTGTAATTGAAGCCTCGCAGAGCCTACTCTAACATTCAACCCCGAAATAGAGTCTTTAGTCGTGTCATGTCACGCACCGAATTTCGCAAGAACCTCAAGATAATGGACGAGTTCCTCCAGCCCTACATCCAAACTGTCCTCGCCCACTCAGCCGACGATGAGAAGTTTGCAAAGCAGGAAACCTTCCTTGATGCTCTAGCCAAGTTCACCCGCGACCCCCGTATCCTCCGTGACCAACTCGTCGCCGTCCTCCTCGCAGGCCGTGACACCACAGCCGCGACACTATCTTTCTGCCTCTTCGAGCTATCACGAAACCCAGAAGTCGTCGTTAAGCTGCGCGACGAGATCCGCGATAGACTCGGCGTCAGCGCTAATGCCCAGAAACCCAGCTACACCGATCTCAAGGAAATGAAGTATCTCAACGCAGTGCTACACGAGACAATGCGTTTATATCCAGTCGTGCCATTCAATGTCCGCTACTCTCTACACGATACAACGCTCCCACGCGGCGGTGGGCCAGACGGGTTAGCGCCTGTGGGTGTACGCGCAAACTCGCGGGTCATCTACTCGACGATGCTGATGCAGCGAGATCCTGATCTGTATGATGGCCCAGGATCGGAGAACTACTTCAATCCTGGGGAGTGGATTCCTGAGCGATGGGTTTCCGGCTGGCAGCCTAAGCCGTGGCATTTTATTCCGTTTAATGGTGGACCGCGGATTTGTATCGGGCAGCAGTTTGCTACTATTGAGATGGGGTATACTGTTATTCGGATATTGCAGGCTTATGAGCGCATTATTGCGCTGCCTATTGGCGGGAAAGATGAAGTTGAAGATCCGGTGCTTCGGTTTGAAGTAACCCTCAGCCCTGGCTCCGAGTTGAATTGCGTTTTCCTCAGGGAGGGTGAAGAGCCTGCGCGCAGCACCGCCAAGGCAGCTTGAGCTATGATTGATTTCTTCGAACTATAGTATGATATTACAACACGAATCTATTTCCTGCCTTTAGCTTTTGGAATGAAGTGGAATCTATATTGCTTTTCGATTTTTAGCAGTAGGAAGATCTCAGGGGAAAGGTATCCTTCATAAAACCTGTTCTATGATCACCATACAGGCTCCACTTCCAATTACACCATTATGTTCTTCTTCCAACTCCATTCAAAAGGCCTAAACATTCCCGATACAGCCGAGCGCGACGCGGCCCAGAAGACAAAAATTGCACTAATCTTTTACCGCGTACCTAGGTAGCTATACTTACTCGATTTCCTCTGCCGGGTGGAGTTTTCACATCTTAGCTGCCGCCGCTTTTATGGGGGCGCTCAGAGTCAGGCTCACTGATTGCTCACTGATTGCTCATTTATTGTTCACTGATTACTTAGAGACTTCTTACCTACCTGCATATGTAGGTAGTCTGCACTCAGACTATGCCCAAAGAAGCACTTTGCCCCACAGTGATATTTATACTTGCAACTGCTTTGCTCGAACTTTTCTCTCTTCTTTTACTCTCTGTACTTAGTATTCTAGTTGAAATGCACTTTTTTTAATCAAAGAACTGGTAACATTTCCTATAGCTTTCATTCATCATGGGCTTCGCCCTCAGTAAAACCGCATGCTTTGCGGTATTCCAGGCCACTGGACAGCTAATAATATATAAAAAATACAACTCGTAAGGGGTATGTAAAAGATAGACAAACTAAAGCTAGCGGCAAGTCTCCCGAAGGTGCTAAAGCATCCGGCGATAATAGCTCAAAATTCCACATTCACACCAATTCCCATCCCTCGGCCACCAGATCATCAAGGACAGCACTATAAGCAAAGACCCCATCGCTCAGATGAAAGAAGCCGGATACTCCACCTGATTCAATGTCAACGATTGGGGCGCCGCACACACCATCAGAGATAGCTTCATCAACATTCCCAAAAAGAAAATTCACCGATCTGGTATCCCATTCTGCAAATTCGAGTTCGGGATGGCCAGCTGGACGTTTCGGTTGCATGGTTTGGGTGCCGATATTCATCATGCTAAAGAGCCCTGAACTCATGCCGTCAACTTCACACCATGAGCCTTGGGAGATTTGGGACATCTCTAAGAGGCGAGTGGGTGGTTTGGCTTGAAAGTAGCAGGAATTAGTGAAGCTAGACTCAGCAGCGGGTGTTAGCTTGACGAGAGCGATGTCAAGCTTAGGTCGGACATCGATGACCTCGCCAATAAGATCTCCTCCATTCACAAATGGGTGGTATACTTCCTCTGATGAGAGAAAACCATGATTGGCGACTGTCAGCATTTCTTCGCCCCCGAGATTGCGAATTCTGATACCACACGTGGTTGCAGCGTTTGCCAATTTGGTTGGGGCACTTGGTAGCCCAAAACCACTCTCGATTCTACATCCTGGTGTAAGAACCGACCGCCGAAGGTAGTTTGAGTCATCTTGTGGTGCAGCACTAGCAGCCGATACCTGGGATGGGTCAATGAAGCGAGGGCGGGTAAGGCTGCTCATGGTGCTAGAAAACGATTCATCTCCATGGTGGTAGAGTGCTGTTCGGCCTGCCACAACTCCGGGAAGTGATTGCTTTTCGTAGCTCCGGCCATCTCCAAACTCAAGTTCGAAGATAGTCCAAGCTGGGAGAAAAATAGCAGCTCTCACACGAGCAAGTGGCGCGATGGCAGTAAGCACAGCCACTGTTTGAAGCTTAGTCGGATTAGTCAATTTGGGCCACCGGACAGTAGGACAGGGATCGGCGATACGAGGATTCGAATATCCAGACAAGGGGATCGGTTCCCTAAACATCTCACCGGGGCGCACGAATATGACAGGCATCGTTCCAAGGGTCAGTGGTATTGGCTGGGGTGGAGAGGCTGTCTCCATACAAATAAGCCACCCGGAGATGTGCACTAGTCCCTCCCCAAACTTGCTACGGATCCAGGTCCAGTCCTGACGTGAGGGGTGGCGGAACTTGTGGTTTTGCTCGTCCCAAAGCGTGAACGGCGCCATGTCATTCAAGTGACGTGCACCCCAGCCGCCGGGATTTTCCCAGCGTTTTTGTTCTGGATGGGAATGGGGGACCATATCCCGTAAGTCTTGGGTGTTTTCTCGGGCATGAAGCGGACTAACAGGCGCATTCTCATATATGTTGGTGTAGGGTGAGCTTTGTTGGATACACTGAACTTGTGGGGATAGGCGGATCGGAGATGCCATCGGAGTTTCTATCATGCTGATTGCTGAGAAGTTGATTAATGATCACTGCTGCTCGACGACAAAGATTCAGAGTGGCGTAGCTTCCAAGGTTTCGATCTTGAGCCGTGATGAGCTAACCTTAGCCTGTTTACCGCCTTAGGTAGGCAGGCACAGGTCAGGGGGTCCTACTAACTTTGCGTGCAAGTATCCTTTGTATGGAATTGCCATATGAAAGATACTTAGATACTTAATTTGGCAGTTTGTGATCCGGTGAGAATTTGTTATCGGCTGGGGACCACCAACACCTACCCGGTATTGGTGAGCTTGCGCTCCTTGATACTAGGAACCAATTTGACAGGTCGAGCCTCCTTGATGGATGAAGTCTCGATAGGGATATGCTACGTAGTGCTGAATCCAAGGCTATCCATTACACGATTGATTTGAGGGATGCCAAGAGTGGCGGCGTCAGCCAAATCTGCAGACCCCTGCAACAGAATCCGTGGCACGAACCCCGCGTGGGATATTGGGAGGATTTGACTAGATCGTTTGAGGCAAAGTCCAATTTTCCGTAAATTAAGATCTTCCGTACATTATGTTCATTTATCTTCATTCATAAGGATTTCATGAAGTATTAGGTTCCGACAATTCCGTGGCCATATTGGGACAACACAACAAATCATCAAATCCAATACTAATACAATTAGTAGCAATTCGACTGTCGCTTCTGTAGCTTCCTAAGTCTCTGCAAAATCTCCACTTTCCGTAGCTCCAAGAACAGATCCTCTTCGTCTGCATCATCCAAATCACCCAAAACACTCCCTATTGCCGTTCGTACAGGTGAAGGTGGAACTTTGATCTCCTTTATCGAGACCCGAGCCCTTCCATTAACAGTCGTGTTGTATGTAGAGCTCTTAATCATATCTGAGATCAAGAAATTATCCGAGAAGTGCGTTGCCTTGCGCGGAGGGAGATCCTGAATCTTCGCCTGTGCATATGTCTCGCCGTTCGTATCAATAGCTCCGCCTTGCTCGGTCCTCTTAGATCCCACCCAGCCTCTACTCATTTGCACAGCTTTTTCCCATTGTCCAAATTTGGTAGCACTCTCTTGTCGCGGGACTTGGGGCTCAAAGACAGCACCGCCGGAACGATTGATATCGCGTAGCTCAGCGAAGTTGCGCCAGAGTCCAACAGCGAGACCGGCTGCAATTGCTGCACCGAGAGCTGTAGTCTCGCGCATCTTGGGGCGGTAGACGGGGATGGATATCAGATCTGCTTGGGTCTATATTTGACGTTAAATTAGTCATTATTCAAATGACCATCGAAGTATAAGACAGTATAATTTCTTACCTGCATTGCCAAGTCTGAGTTACTCATACCCCCATCGACAGCCAATTCAGAGAGTGTATGGCCACTGTCCTTCTCCATTGCGTCTAGAATTGCTTTAGTCTGGAAGCAGGTTGCCTCCAGTGTAGCGCGTGCGATATGGCCCTTTTGGGTGTACTGAGTGATTCCAACTATACACTGTCAGATAAAGTATAATAGTCGGGTGATAGCAGACTCACAGATTGTTCCTTTTGCATCATCAATCCAATAAGGGGCAAATAATCCACTGAAGGCAGTGACAAAGACACATCCGCCATTATCTTCCACTGAGTAGGCAAGGTCATTGACCTCCTTAGACTCCTGGAAGAAATTCAAGTTATTCTGCAAGAATTTGATTCCAGACCCAGCAACAGCAATGCTCCCCTCAAGCGCATAGACAGGCTTCCCTCCAAAGTGGTAAGCTACTGTAGCCAGCAATCCATGTGTCGAGAACACCGGCTTGTCGCCAACATTGTATAAGAGAAAGCACCCAGTGCCATAAGTGTTCTTGGCCATTCCAGGCGAGAACCCTTTTTGCCCAACTAATGCCGCAGACTGGTCTCCCAGACAGCCCATAATCGGAACCTGTGCCAAAGCCCCCGAAGCAACAACCCCGTATCCCATCGCATCGGATGAGGGCACAATTCTAGGCAAATGAACCTTTCCCCTGATCCCAAAAAAGTCCAGAAGCCTCTCATCATACCGCAACGTCTCCAAGTTTACAAACATAGTCCGCGAAGCGTTTGTCGAATCCGAGACAAAGACGTTGGCAGCCACGCCACCGTTCAAACGGTATACCAGCCAAGCATCAACGGTACCAAACGCCAGTGTGCCGCGGTCAAATGCATCCTTCACTCTTGGGACATGCGCCAGCATCCAGAGCAGCTTTGTAGCCGACGAGTAGGTTGACAACGGCAGACCACAGAGTTTCTGAAGCTGCGCTGCCCCTGGTTTCTGTTTCAGCTCTGCGACGATCGCCTGAGATCGTGTGTCCGTCCACACAATGGCATTGTACAGGGGCTCCCCAGTCTCTTGATCCCAGACTATGGTTGTTTCGCGCTGGTTGGTTATTCCGATGCTTTGGATGCTGCTCCGGGTGTGGCCCTGCTCCTCGAACTTCTGGACGGCTTCTTCGATGCAGGTCTCTACTGAGGTTACGATTTCGAGGGGGTCATGCTCGTGCCAGCTAAATAGAATTAGTTTGGTTCCATGTCGGGCTTTTGCTTTAGCTATCAGATTGGACTGGAACTTACCCCGGGCTCGGGTAGATTTGGGTGAACTCGACTTGATGCGATGCTACTGGCTCGCCTTCGCGGTTGAATATCAAGAACCTGGTGCTTGTCGTGCCTTGATCGATTGATCCCACAAAATTGTCCGAGGGCTGCATGGTTATGGAGAGTTATAGAGTAATCTACGAGGGAGGACAAATAAATCGTCTATTTGCGCATGACACGAGACGTTGAAGCTTGGGATACAAAGAAGCGCGGAAAAATTTGAGTTACAGCAGGGGACCCCAAATAGATAAACAAAATTCTTGTACAAAAGAGCTTCACAGTCATACAGCGGGGATATTGATTCAAGTAATGAGGGGGGGAAACCGAGAGAAGGGATTGGTGGAATTACCCCTGGTCAGGTGTGAGATGAGAAGTGAGAACGGGCTGTGCGACAACATGTATTGGCTCTTCGTATAGATTCTTATTCTTGGAATCGTTCTTGGAACTGAATTGTTAAATTAGCCAAGTGTCAATGCAATGTGGACTCATTAAGGAAAAGATAGCCTCAGGAAACGGGTTATCTCATTCCGACTTTTCCCTATACCCTGCCAACATGACCTTCCTGCATACTGTGGAGAGAGATCAGCAGACGATTGACGACTCGGTTCATTTGACGAAGTGTCAGATCCAAATCTGGGGGGCAATTGCGCATTGACTCGGTCTTATTCCATTGTCATATACGCACCACCAGCAGGGCAACCAGAAATATTCCCAATAGATGGTCCAAATTGCAACTACTAAACACGTCGGAATTTCAATATTTTCTGCACATCTAAATTGGCGATATTTTACCTCGGTGAAGACTGCATTAACCACTGAAGGACAAGGCATCATTTCTACCACACCCACAGAGTCAAACCCGGACAACCTCGGTTTCGATGATGCCACCTCCAAGCATATGGTCACACAGCCAGCGGTCAGTTGTGCCACTACCGATGACAGCCGAAGAGCGAAGAGCGATGAAATACTACCCTCAGCATCGTCATGGGGACTGATCTCTTCCCGCTATTATCGCTTCCCTTTGAGGAAGCCTGCCGCCTCAATGTGACACAGTCTGGACTTTCCAGAAAATTGTAATTGGGCCTGCGTGAGGTCCGGCATCCGACGAGTTGATGATGAGTAACAGAAGACACAGAAGCTTCTCCTACAGTCAGGGCAGTCATGGCAAATATCGGTAAGCTGGAACTATACACAGCATTGCGGTGTCCAAGAATTACCCAAAGGAGAGGAAAACAACCCAACCGGGATCGGACAGTGACTTCCGGCTACCCAGACCAAACGGCCCTTCCTACAAACGACCCCTGAAATAGACTATGAGCAAAGATGCGCTGTCAGAAAATTCTGCTTCTACTCTGTGTGGAGAAGCAACAAAAAGAACACGGCAACAAAAAGGACAATGGCCGGCCCATCCAATTCAATAAAAAGGATATATGCGCTTGATGATTCCGAGTCTGTCCGGATTTGACTTCAGCTGATATCTTTCTTCCCTGCAAGCTTACACACCCTCTGGAGCTTGGGACCAGGAGGACAAGGCACACAGACACACTCTCTCTTCCAAGACAAGACCCTGCATCAGCCAATCGAACCACCGTATTGTACGAGTGACAGCACAGATTGAGCGCGAAATTGTTGGTTACACGGTCATCCCTGGTTCTACGCCGTTGATATACCGGAAGAACCATCATATCGTTTTTATGTGGTTGGCAAGATTCCCCCCGGTTGGTCGTACTATATCAACTCAAAGTCCCAACCCAACCATGGCTCCTAGAGCTTGGGACCTCCTTTCGATGGCTACCTGGAAAGAGCTCGAGCTTGATCCAATGTCAAAAGTCCACCATGAAACTCTTTCCTCTGCTAGCCACGACAGTGGCTGTGGGTCGCTGTGTCTGGCTGATAAGAACGAAACGGCTATCCATCATATCAATCCAGAAGTTGAAAGCCCTTATACTCGCCCCTTGCTCTGGTTTAAACTGAGGGAGTACTGCCGTGATGCGTTCTTGGAGTTTTTTGGGACTATGATCCTGATTTTATTTGGGGATGGAGTCGTTGCTCAAGTGCTACTCAGTCATGGCGAGAAGGGTAACTACCAATCTATCTCCTGGGGATGGGGGTAAGGCTCTTCTTTTTCTATAATATCATATAATAGACTCTTCTAACCAGCCTCTTTTAACAGACTAGGTGTCATGCTCGGAGTGTACACCAGCGGGGCATCAGGGGGTCATATTAATCCCGCTGTGACATTTGCAAATTGCGTCCTCCGCGGATTCCCCTGGCGCAAATTCCCCGTGTACGCACTAGCCCAGATTCTCGGTGCAATGTGCGGTTCTGCCATTGTGTACGGCAACTATAAGTCGGCCATCAACGTCTACGAGGGCGGGCCAAATATCCGGACAGTCCCCGGCTACTCAAAGACAGCAACAGCCGGCATCTTCTGCACCTACCCAGCAGAGTTCATGACAAAGACGGGGCAATTCTTCTCTGAGTTCCTTGCCAGCGCGATCTTGATGTTCATGATATTCGCTCTGAAAGACAACGGCAATCTAGGCGCTGGGCCACTGACACCTCTGGCCCTATTCTTCGTCATCTTTGGCATTGGCGCGTGCTTTGGGTGGGAGACTGGATATGCTATCAACCTGGCACGGGACTTTGGGCCTCGGCTGACATCCTACATGATTGGATATGGGCATGAAGTATGGGCTGCGGGAGACTATTACTTCTGGGTATGCGCTATTTGGACATAATGTCAACCTTTGTGGAGTTTCCCGGCTTACGCATGTTTCTTTCTCAGGTTCCTATGGTTGCACCTATATTAGGTTGCACCTTCGGAGGATGGATCTACGATGTATTCCTATATACTGGGATGGATAGTCCAATCAACACACCCTGGATGGGAATTAAGAAGCTGTTTGGACCCCTTAATCAAAGGCGAGTCACGCTGCAGAGTCCAGTCTGAAATAATGCTGTCCTCACACATAACATCCCAAATTTAGGCATGGGGTCGTGAGTACTGCACTGGACTTGTTTTATTTTATTTTATTCATGATCTGTTGATGACAATATCGTGTGTAAAAAGGGGTGGAAGTTAACTATGGTTGTTATGGTTTGTATTTTTCACTATTTAGCCAGTTTTTGCAGCATTTGTTTCAGCCTCATGCAATCTACTTTTAAGTTGTCAAAAAAATCCATGGCTTTTGACGTTTTCTCTCCTGCCTAAGCCGTATATTTTAGTCGGGGTCAAGTATGCATCGTATCGATCATAGGGTTTACATGGATATCTCAGAGAGCTATACTCCGTACGTCTGGTTATAAGTACAATAATCGTATTATGCTCATTATTTTACTCAATAGACACATCTAATGCATACATAGGATCATGACTCTCTATCTTGGCTGCATAATTCCAGAAGATAACACAACAGATGCAGCTGCAGTGCTTTCAACTGACACCTGATGTAGGGATGTTTGTTGATTGTTGTGGCCATAATAAGCTTAGGGAATATCTATTTTCAAAGACAGTATGCAGTAAGCTAGACTTGACAAAAATTATTTTCATACATTGTAATTTAGCTTGTAATGGGAGACATAAGATGGTGAGGCTGTACATACCCTAAGCACATAGGTCCTTGCCCCTTGCCATTCTCGTCGACCACCGCCACCCCTTTTCTCTTTATCTAATTTAGTTCTCTTATATCACCATGACACTTTTTCAAATCACTTTGGGCAGGTAGGCTTAATTAAGACTATGATAATTCACTTGTGAAGGCGGTCGAGATAGAACGAACTCCTCTCGGCATTATTATTCACCCCAACCTGACCATCGTCAATGTTCTTGTTCTCACGATGGCGGCTAACGCTAACCCAAAGCCTTTTCGTGATCTCGTCGACCATCATCGCGATCTTTTTGTAGACCCACTCCTATGGACATATCGTCACCTCGATCTAGTGGGCTGTCGATTCGAAGACGTCGACACTACCATCACAGAATCGACTCAAGACGACTGCAGAACCGATGATGATCAAAGACCGTCCCAGAAGTTACCCAGTAATACAGAGCAACTTGCAACAAATCCCTTCCCTACCGTAAAGTATCGCTGCCTCGTCAACCTTCTCGTGGGCGAGGGACGCGCATTTGCAAAAATTCGGTAAGAGACGGGATTGAAGTACAATGTCTAACAAGTATATAAAAGTGACTGACAATTTTGCCGATAAGCAAAGGGACTCATTTTTTCTTTGCAGACCAACCTGTCCATCGGCCCCACTATACTGTTTTTTATCGCCAAGATCAGCCTGACGAACATGTTCGCAAAAGCTCCCCTCCGTTGGTAGGCTACCTGCACTATACAAATGTCAACGGGGATCGCAGAAGGAAGTTTGAGCCTTGTCCAGGCCCAAATGGAAGTCTCAATTTCATCGGTGCGCGTATTCTCAAGATACGACTGGCTCAGATCGCCCCGAAGGAATGGACGAAAGATCCATATTTCGTGTGTATCCTGCTGGCTCTTGCGCAGCTGCAAGAGCGCAAGCTTGAGTCATCGAAACCAATAACTTACACGGTATGGCTCCATTCAATCAAATTTGCTCTTCTTGGTCTCTGGGACTCTAATTCGGCATCTAGTCACGTCTTCTTGTGACAAACATATCTGACCGTGAATACATCCATTTTTACGAGGCTAAAATCTCTGCTGAACTTCTAGGGGTACTCAGAGGCCCCAGGACTACCACGGAATATACAAAATGGCCTACTATTCAGCAAAGGAAACTCCCATTCAAGCCATACGACACTTTTGGAGACCGAATTATGGCTGAACTAGTGGCTCCTAGTCTATGTTTCCATGAAACATCAACTATGTCTTATGATCTGAACGGTGTCGTTGAATGCGGCATTAAAAGACCATACGAGCAAGAAAACAACAAATCACACAAGATGAAACGAATAATATAAACCATATATAATATAGCGTCCCTTTGAACTTCTTCCCAAACACTTTAATACACGATTTTCAGTCTCCGTCCTCAGTATATCGTCAGCATATCAGTCCAATCAGCCCCATTTTCTAACAGTAGCTGCTGTACAGCAGGTGAGGCATACTTCCAAGCCCAGTAAAGTGGTGTTTGCCTCTGCCTAGCCCTAGCATTCACATCCGCGCCACGTCGGATGAGACACTTCACGATTTCTTCTGTAGTGCTGCGCTCATCTCTTCTGCGCCGACAATACGCTGCGACATGCAGTGGACTAGATCGCTTTGGAAATAAAGAAACCCTTGAATTCGCAGAAAGGCCGCATATTGTCCTTGTTTTGAACGGAGGTTCCCGGCACACAGCGCGGTGCAAAATAGTGCACCCATTGGAATCCCTCCCATTCAGATCGAATCCGTGATCGATAAGCAGTTCAAGTATGTCGCAATTCCTAGATCGTACAGCGCACACTACGGATTCAAACTCAATCCGAGCTCCATAATCTAGAAGCAGGCGAACTGTCTCGACAGTACATTTGTTTATAGCAAAATTGAACAGGCTCTCATGATAGCTGACTCCACGCTTCAGGAGCAAATGGAGTGTTTCGATGGTTCCGTAGCCAATTGCTTCACGTAGTAAATGTCCTTTGTCATCGTCGACCAAGGCAATGTCCGCTCCATTGTCAAGGAGCACCTCCACCATAGATGCATAGTTTGGTATTCTGCGCACTGCCCAATTCAACGGATATACTCCGTTGACTTCGATGTTTAGATCAACGCCGAATTTGATGAGAAGCTTCAGCATTGGCATTTGACCGGAAGCCACTGCACAATTGATCAACCCTCCGAATAAGAGGTTAGGCCCTTCTGTCTGAGCCCCCCATTCCAGAAGTAGGGCGAGGGTACTCTCATGGCCCGCAAGAAGAGCACTGACCGCGGGATAGTCTAATTGCGACCACTTTTGTTGTTCCTCGCTGTCGTCTAACTTAGCTCCGTGATTCAGGAGTAGCGCTACTATAGCATCATGTCCAGCACCCACAGCCACCCCCAAGGGTGTCCGTCTTGATGTTTGTAGCATATACGGTAAGACACCAAGCCAAGCCCCAGGTAGGCTCCACGCTCTTTGCCCCCGACGCGAGAACATAGATTGGACATCCACATAGGCTCCCCAGTAGAGAAAATGACGTACGCCTCTTTCATTCCCATCAGCAGCACATTTGAGCAAGCCCTGGCATCTCGAAGTCTTCACATTTTGTTGGTAGAGACGGGGAAGAAGAAGGGTGTATAGGCGATGGTTCACCTGTAGTAGGTGTGAGAGGTCCTCGCCGTATGTCAATTTCGTACTTATCAGGAGTAACAACTCGTTTGATAATTGCAGTAACGAAATCATAGCTGACGTTGATGGGCGATCGACATATGGGAGCCTAGTCCTAGCCTTCAAATAACACGTCAAATTAAAGGCGATTCCACTAGCGCAAGACATCCATGCAACATTGTGGCTGTCAACTGGTCGGTCGTCTTATGTAAGCTATTGGGGGCCGAATTTGAAGAATGAACCCAAATCGCATTAGATGTGATATATGGCGGAGGGCAATCGGATGGATTTTAATTCTGAATGAAAGGCGACACACATATACATTCAGGTATTTAGAGTTTGATTTTACTTCGAATTGAGAAAGACGATAGATTCTAGAAGGTAACTTGGACTTGTAAAGTTACCCTTTAAAATGCCAGGCCACCGGAACAGTGCTGAACTAGCTTCATATGCTTGTAGGCTACAGATATTGCTACAAGACAGGTGACTCTACGTGCTTCCAAAAACATGCACAATTCAGAACCGATACCAATGCTACTGGGAGTATGATGCTAATACACAGGCACGGCGAAGGCACGCAACGAACATGACAGGTATCTCACATAAATAGAAACAACAGATCTAGCTCAGGTAGCTAGCAAGGCTGGGAGAAAATCCCTCAGACAAAAAAGCTTATGCATACCATTAGCGCTTGCCCTTCTTGCGGGGAGCGACAACCTTGAACGCAGAGCTGGCAGCCTCTTCCTCACGCTGAGCAGCAGCCGCAACAGTAGCAGCAGAGCCCTTCTTGGCAACCTCGCTCCAGCCACCGCCGTTCTTCTGCTCACCGAAAGCACTGGGTGAGACGGGGTCGACAATGCCCTTATCGGCAAGCTTACGGCGACGGATAAATTCCTCCGCAAAGCGGCGGCCGTCCAGAGTCTGGGAGTTGGCATAGACGGAGTCAGAGATAATCTCAGCGTCGGCGGGCAGGAAGAGCAATTGCTGGACGAAATCGTCAACTAGAGATGTGATGTTAGTACGGAGACCATTTGAATCAATTAAAGAGAACAGAACTCACCATTGATGCTGCTGTTCAACCCCTTGCTCAGGGCCAGAGTAGCCCACTTGGTGAACTCCTCAACGGCCTGGTTAGGGTTGGACTGGGAGGTGCTGCCGCTTGTCACAGTACGGGTGGTGGTTGTAGTCGCGGGGCGGGGCTTAGCAATAAGGGGCGAGATCGGGACAGTTCCACTGGCTGTGCGGGGTCCTAGGGGCGGCGCAGTTGGCACACCCTTGACCTTGCCGCTAGCACCAACGGTGGTCCAGGCACTAGAGCCCTGGCCAACGGGGGAGGCGGGAGCAGGGCCCTTGCTAGCAAGATCGGCATAACGCTTGCCGACGGACGAGGGAACGGGAGGGCTTGGGGTCGCGGCCATAGCAGCGGCAGCAGCAGCAGCCGCGCGGTTCTTGCGGGCCTCCTCCTCCTTCTGGATCTGTGCGAGAGTCTTCTTAGCGGTAGTGGCGGTGGGTGCGGGCTGGGTCTTGGTAGCCCAAGGGGAGCCAGCCGAGGCAGGGGTGGCCGGAGATCCAGTGCTAGCCCAGTTGGCCGACGAGGGAAGGCCAGGGGCTGCCTGTGCCTGGGCTTGGCTAAGACGCTCTTGTTCCGCAAGGAATTGGGCACGGCGTGCCGCAGCGGCGACTTCCTCGCGTTGGGCGGCAGTACGAGCCTCGGCTTCCTGGATTTCCTTGAGAGAGGGACCCTTGGGCAAGTCATTTGCCTCCTTGGCCCATGGTGCGACAGAGGTAGGTGCAGCGTCAGGAGTCTGGGTCTGGGAGCGGGACCCGGTGGCCAGAGACTCGGCGACGTTTTGGCGGTTACGTTGGGCTGTAGGTGCAGGGAGAGGCGACGCGGAGGGTGGGGGAGGGAAAGGTTGGGGCATGGCATGGTCAACCTTGCTTCCCCAGACTGATTCAGTAGGGCCATGGATATGGTCATGTTCCTGCTGCTGCTGCTGCTGCTGTTGCTGCTGGCGTTGAGCAGAAGCAGCCTTGTGAACTTGCTGGGAAAGAGTAAGAGTCTCGGTGCCAGTCACTGAGTCGGTCAGCTGTTGAGCTGCCTCCTCCATCTCGGCCGCAACCTCTGCTTCAAGTTGCTGAGAGACAGCGGCAGGGTGGGTAGGGAGGCCTTCGGCCGTACGCATGCCCATCTCGCCCTCCTGGGCCCGAAGAGCATGGAACTGGCGAAGACGCTCCTCGCGAGCGTGTTGATCAAATGGATCGTCTTCATGGGCCTTATCAAAGTCTTCCTGTTCCTGCTGAAGGTGAGCACGATCCTGAAGCATTTGATTAACTTGCTGAGACTGCAGGAAGTTATCGGGCTGGCGGCCAGAGAATGAACCAGCACTGCCAAACGCAAATGGATCCTGGCGGCCGACGTTCAAGCGATCAAGTAGAGCGGGAAGTTGATCCTGGCTGCCGAAATCTGTTCCCAGCATTCCAGGTCCCACGTTCAAACCGCCCTGTCTCGGTGCAACACCATCGAAGAATCCAGGGACGCCTTGGGACTGCTGCTGCATGGGAGCCTGGATCGGGGATGGCTGGTAGCCAACGGGCGAAGTGATGCTTGAGAAGCTAGGCTGGCTTTGAAGGCTGTGTGCACTAGACTGGTGTTGTAGTGGAGGGTTCATGGAAGATGAGGGAGCACCAGGAGGAGCCATCTGTTTCATAATGGCCTGCTGCTGAGCCAAGTGCTCCTTCTGTCGAGCCATTAAGTACTGCTCTTCCTGCTTGCGTCGTTCAAGCGCATTTTGCTGCTCGGCAGTCAAGGTAGTGCCAAAGCTTGGGAAACTACCTGGGAAGGGGGGCTGAGCAGATCCGGCGGTCGTGTTGGTCCACTGGGCAACAGTGGGTTCTGGGCCATGAGGAAGGCCAATCTGGGGCACAAGGAACGGCTCGCGAGAGTTCCCAATGCGCCTCACTAGCTGAGCTAGCGGCTCAAATTCAGTGTCCTCAAGTTTCTTGATTTGCAGGTCTGGGCTGAAGAAGCCCGCCTTGAACCAATCATGCATCTCAAGCCCAGTCCACGGGCCTTGGATGTTGCCTTGCGGATCCCGATAGATCCAACGCATCCTATCCGGCATAACCATGGTACGCTGCTGAGAAGCGGGGATGCCTGCACCAGGAGTTTGACTGGAAGGAATATCATGACCAGCCAGGTTGGGAATAGAGCCAACGGCCGAGACGGGGGTTTGCGAAGCAGGCGTTGAGCCAGGATGGCTTACCTGACCCGCCTTGTCGCCTTGCGAGGGGTCAAGTCCATCTAGGCCCACAGAGTCGGGCCTTCCTTGCTCGTCCTGCATGGAAGAAAAGAGAGCACCGAGTTTACTTGATCGGCCGATGCTTCCAGTGCCAGTCATACCGGCGTGGGGGCTAAATAGACCGCCTCCGCCGAGGGTTGACAAGCTAGGAGACTGAAGATCGCCCATAGTACCAAAGATGGGGTCACCGAAACCACCACCAAATGCAGACCGCTCACGAGTGGGCGTGCCGACAGCAGCACCAGATGACCAAGTCGAGGCTCCACCCAGGGAAGACAGACCACCCAAACCACCCAAACCAGAGAAAGTGCGGTTGGCATTGACACTGGAGTTCTGGCTACGATCCACGGTAGGAAGATCGATTCCTGATCCAACCCGTCTCATCGAGCCGAAGGGGTTGGAGGGGTCCCGAAGTCCGCTGACTCCGGGATGCTGGGCCTGCTGGATATCCGATCCGTCAGTGTCGACATCTTCGGGTTCCACACGTTCGCCGTGGCGGTCACCATGAGGGCTCTGGTAAGGATTAGTGTTGGTCGGACTGGTTGGCTCGTGACCCTGGAGCAGGCTGGGAGTTGGGTTCCGCGAGTTCTCCTGGCTTTGCATCAACTCCCGGAATCCAGGAATGCTCGAGGTCATGCCGAATGCGCCAAATCCGAGATCAGGTTGAGGGGGACCTTCAACATCCTGAGACCCGCCAAGAGCGGCGCTGCCACTACGAGGCTCGTCGAACGGATTAGTTTCGCTTCGGTTGACACGAGTCTTGACGGAATCTCCCCAAGGCGACTGTGAACGCCCATCACTGTCGTTTTCAGCAAGACGTTCAAGGTTACCCATGGGCTTTTCCTTAGCGGAGCCGGCAATATCTTCAGAGCTATCCTTAGACAGCAAACCTTTGAACCTGCTTTCTCCGCGGAGACTTCCGTATCCCGGTTTTTTTTCGGTCGTGGGAGTGCCGGAGGCGGAACCGGAACCAAGAGAGAAAGCACCAAAGGCACCCATCGGAGAGAAATTGGCGTTATGGGAGGCGGAACTCCAGGGAGAGTTCGGTCCACCGACGCCCGTATTGATAGGATTGGTGGAGCTGCGCTTTAGAGAGCCAAAGGGAGAGGCAGGCTCCTCCCTGCTATCCTTGGCCTTCTCATCCACCTTCGGGTTAGGTTCTCGGAAATCTGTTTTGCGACGCAACAGGGCTGGAGGAGGGGTAGAAGTATTGGCCTCATCGCGGAAAAATCGGGAGTTAGAACCGGTAGGAGACATGGGGTTGCCAGTCGATTCTCCCGTTTCCCGGCGTCGGGGACCCGGGCGACCGGCGGTTGGGGAGGAGGTGGTGTAGGTATTGATATGGCCCTGAGGATAGGAGATCGAAGACTTGCGACCTCCAGTTCCCGGGATGACGTTTTCCTTCGCGGCGTTTGTTGGGGGTGGCTTCAGAGGAGAATTGACAGAAGCGGCGAACATCTATTAAGCTTTTTAGTAAGAACACTCACCCAAACCCAAAAAATACAACACAACACGAACCTCTCTCTCGTCCTCTGTCATACCCGTGATTCCGAGGGGCTCGACCTGGCCGCCGTGATCCCAACAAATCTCGGGCCCCGCAGAGTTGTTCTTGTGGTCGTCCCGCTTCCCCCACGCTCCATTCACAGGAGCAGACACAGTGTGGGGATCCCAGTCGGCCACGAAGTATTCCTCCACGTTCTTACTCAAAGCACCTTCCTCCCGCTGCAATTTATACAGCTCTAGAAGTTGATCCTTGGAGTACCGGGCGTCCCCATTCCGTGCAATGCTGGAAGTATTTGAGCTCAGGTGTGGGGGGATATACGCGCCGCCGGCCGTGGGTGTCGAAGCAGATGCAGGCTGGCTACTATCCCGGTGTTGGGAGGGGGTGGTAGCAACAGAAGGGCGGCGGAAGGTCTGCGTAGCTCCATTCATGCGGTTTCGAGACCTGGTAGACATCGAAAAGTTAGCATCGGATATCTGAAGCTCAAAACATTGGCGGTCACAGCAGTAAGCAACGATCTTGGACCGACTCTGTTAAAGAACAGCTAGTGGAGGGGTTTTGAAAAGGTGAAACAGTGTCTGCATGCATACCATTCTCCGCTAGTCGAACCGTCCCCCCTCCGGCTGGGGTCCTGGGTGTTGCCGGCAGCGGCCGAAGCGAAACTCGATGGAAGTGGTGTAGGCATTGTGGTAAAGAGGCTTGTATGGTCGGATGTTGATCCCCCACGTAAAAACCGATTCTGAGATAGTTATCGCGAAACCTGTGGCGGGCTTGCAAATGAATGTGTGATGCGAATGGATAGGTCGCAAGACACGAGATTGGAAAATTGGGTTGAGTTGGAGGATGACAGCTAGGAGCTAGTCAATCGAAGAAGTGGAGAGCTGTAAGAGAGGTAAATGCAGATATGCGAGCGCCAGACTAACAAGGTCGAGAAAGAGGAGATCGAGTTTCGATTTCGCTTGGGAAGTTTCCTGGAGCAAAAATGATTTTAAGCGGTGGCCGTGGCAATACGCGTGCCTTGTTGTAAATACCGGGTACAGGATTGCTAGTGGTCGCGTGATTTGCCGCCTAATAGTGGAGAATATAGCGTATTTGGCGGAATCACAATTACATACCGCCAAGACCAGGTATCCGATACACGCACAACACTGTGTCTTCATACTCTGCCCAATGTACCTTGTACCTTATTTGACATTATTCTGCCCAATCCTGTCTAGCAAACAGAAAAGACATCATATGAAAGATGAGAATAGATTCCCCAAATAATCAAGGTTGGTTTTAAGCCTGATTTCTTTCTTTTTCCTTACCAAAAAGACTATAGATAGCAAATACGTATCCAGTTAGGTGGCTTGACGCAAGCAGAAAGATGTGGAAGCAACAGGATAGATCTGTATTCCCCACAAAGGCCACGCTCATCTTTTGATTGGGAGTTCAACTGCTTGAAAGCAGTTGACAAGTTAGGGATTGGATTGGGCTTTGTCTAAGAAAGAATACAAAGGAGAACGTTTGAAGGTTCCACAAAATGCAATAGAAGGGGCAGAAATGCATATACTATCCCTTTTTTACCCAACCTTCGCAATGCTGGGCAAACATGTCCTGTCTTAAAAAGATTCAACGGTCTTATGCCTCTTTAAATTCGGGCTGGAATCCGGTTGGATTAAGAATCCCATTATCCGTTGTGCCTGTCAATAGGGCTGGATCATTGTGTCGCCCTTTGTAGACCTCTACTCCACCCTATTTGTCCCTTTGATGCTTCATTATACACCTACAATGCTTTCTAAGATCTGCTCGCTCTATGAGTAACACAGACACAAAATGAAACGACACAATGAATGTCTCGGTCCAAATTGATATGATGGGCTCAGTCTTAGGGCTTCATAGATGTTATCAAGACTCTATAAAAGTGACGTCCCCTTTCCGGCAATTCCCTCTTCACGGTTCTTTCGTTCCAAGGCAATCCGGTCAGGTCTCTATGAACTATAAGCTTTCTTGCACAACAAAGGTCAATTTCTCTCTCTTGTCTTCCGGTATTCAAGCTCTCGTCGCCTGTGATCAAAGAACATGAGGCGGTCCAGAATCAGCGGCAGATCTAAATCCAACAATACAGGATTCGACTGGTACTTCGCCGGCGAGCCAATGGACAAACGACACTCTCGAAGCAGCCGAATCAGGCTAGTTCGCTACGTGCCTGAGGGGGAAACTTGTGCCCACAGCCGATGCCCGTCGCCATCTCCCAGCCCAGAAACGGCACCTTGCTCCTGCGGCAATGAATGCGAGGTTCATTCCCATGGAACACGCTCCCCGTCCCCAAGCAAGGCTGACTCCTCTGGTTGTGAGGCAGTCATGACATGCTGCGGAGGATGCCATGCCATCAAACGCGAGTCCGGGTCCTCTGGACAGGAGAAAGCCACTTGCTCCTGCAACAATCGGTGTGAACGCCACTCGCGCGCAACGCGCCCTATCACGCCGAGCAGCAGTGAACACTCTAGCTTTGAATCAGCCACAAACCGCTATGGTGGTCGTCACTCAAGACAGGAGCGTCGGTCCAACAACACACATCCCACCACGCCGAACAGCAACGATTTTTCAGACTACGAACCGCCCAGAAGACGCCGCCACGGCCATCGCTTCTTCCCAACCCGCGAACCAGAGCACCATCTGCAGGTGGAGAAATGCCAATGTGAATCCCACGCACGCCCTGCCAGCACACCTGCCATGCCAAGCCAGAGGTACAGCTCCCCGCGTGCGACATTCGCGACAGCGCCGCCACGCTCTGGTCCAATGTTCCAAACCCATCAGTGTCGCAAGGCATCCTGGTGCGAAAGTCACCCGGAGGCCTGCCGAGCTTCGATGCCTGCGCCTTCGCCGGTGCCGATATCAACGCCAACTCCGTCACGTCACAGCTCGCGTGTCAAATCAGACCCAAAATGCACTTGCAGACGGTCTGCTTCTCCTCCCAAGCAGGTGCCTCCCCCAAAGCCAGTGTCTTCTAGGCATACATCTCCCGCGCCTAACGTCCAGCGTTGTAGCTGTCTTCTCGATGGGTACCATGCCGATGACTCTGGCTACTATTATGACGATGACTCTGGGTCCGATAACTCTATTCAGGCCATGCCTGATAACGACAGGGATGTGGATGAGACATTTTGTATTTATCATCACCGTTGTCGTCCGAGATTTGAGTGTGGTCTTGGCTGGGTGTGCGGGAGGGACTAAACAAGATGTGCTGTGTTTAGCTTCAATAGATGGGTGATTGTTGTTGTTTTCCCTTGCTGCTTTTCTTTTTTCTGGTCTGTGTTCTCTTTGGGTTTTGAGGCATCAATCTGAGATATGGGGATGTTTGTTAGAATGACTCTCAGTTCCGTGTCAGAGGTCGAGAAAAACTCCCTCCCTATTCTCCTTTTTCGTGTGTCTAAATAACGGTCTTGATTTATTGCGACACTCCTTCAATCTAGATCAACAAAAGAAATCATATGGTATGATGAACGCTACAAATCCGATACTTCCTTTGGCATTATTGTAGCCTCTGCTTTATGGTCGAGGTGTAAGCCCACCCATTTATGTGCTCAATATCTTCATCCAGGATGCCACAGTTTTGGTGGTCGCTTCTGGTAGTGCATGGATGGTCACCACGTGCTATCCTCGAGTATGGCATGGCATCAGTTAGCTTGCCTCGAATTTTTACTTGCTCTCATGACAGGTGTTCCATATTACTCTATCCATTAAGTATACGCTACCAAGCAACCTACATTATACCTGATAGATTACGAGATCCCAAGCGAATTAGGCCAATGTCACCAAGCGTTATTGCGATATCGCATACCTCCAAGGTTATGGGAAAAGAAGTTTCACATCACACCCTTTACTTTCGTTTTATCTTCACTGAAGTTGTTTGGAATGTTCATTTCATTTTCAATATTCATAGAAGGTCTTGTTGTGGTATGGGAGAACAAAGTACAATCAAAAAAGTAACGTCTCCTCAGGACGCTCCACAAACAGAGACACAAAAAACAAGTCATTGAGGTGCTTACTCCGCATCCTCTTCATTCTTGACAGCCTCGGCATCCTCACTCTCCTCAGCCTCCTTAGTATCCTTGCAGTCGTCAATATCCTCCATGGTGGTCTCAGGATCGGCTGGACCAGCGACGGCGGCGGTAGCAACGGTGGCGGTAGTGACGGTAGCGGCAGCAACATTGGCGTCAGTCTCCTTTCCGCTTGTCTTATCGAAGCCCTCAAGTTTGGCTTTCAGGCGGAGCCAGCGCATGCGACAGGCACCCACGGTAAGGTTGAGCTCCTGAGCTAGAGCTGCGATGCTGATCTATAAGCAATGTGAATTGAGTATGAGGCATCAATCATTCAAACCGAGATGGGATGATATTACTTCTTTGTCAGTCAGCTTGAACACCTTCCAGAGGAGCATCATCTCTTCGTCTTTGAAGCTGGAGCTAGCAGCCTGGCGCTTGCGAGGGGAAGCACGAGGGGCAGCGCGAGACTTGACGACAGCATTGACTGGAGTCATGGTAGATGAGAAGGATGAGGATTGATGGAGAAGATTAAAACGGTTTTTTTTTGAGTTTTCTCGGAGTCAGGTAGTGAACAGGATGAAAGTGTGAAGAGGAAAAAAGACCAAAGGGTGCCGTGGTACGTTTATATAGTGCGTTCGCTGAGTCGTTGTGTTTGATAAGCTGCGCAGCTGAGTCGTCAGATAATGCTTAATCGTTGATTTTGATACGATTTGATTGCAATACCGGTGTTTGGCCATGAAAAGGGCCAAATGCGGTAGTCACGAAAGGTGCTACTCAAAGGTGCCCTCAAATATTCTTGATATTTCATTGCCAACCGCATCTTGTGTAGTGCTCGATAGCAGAAAGGGCTGTTCTCGCTGTAATAATTAGTTCTAGTCGTGCCATCACGCGAGTGAGATGATAGTCTCTTCCTCATAGAGCCATGTCGGTTTGCCGTTCAAAGTTATAATATATATTCCCGGAGCTAGGTATAGATCTACTCTATGTAGATTAGTCATTGTAAGCTAGCCACCTGGGCAGCCTTAGAATAATATCCCATTGCGCCCGTATGTTTCCCTCAAAGGCCCCAACCCGCGCAATATTATTGATTATCTCCTTAGCATCTGTCACTCCATCTCAAGCAGAGGACAAATTGTCTTCGAGCTCATCCCCCCAGACAACCGCCTCCCGAGTCTTCATTCGAAATGTCAATTTCAACTGTTTCAAACGAATTATTGCTCCTAATTGCGCAGCAATCACAATCACAAAATGATCTCAACGCGCTGATACAAGCCAACTACCACTTCTATCGTCTGCTAAAGCCCACGTTGTATCGATACAACCTTTGCCATCAGAACGGGGATGGTATCCTTCGGGCAGCTAAGTTAGGATCTATCACTGCGGTAGCTCAGTTCATCAAAGAGGGGTATATTGTGAAAGGCCGACCCGTCCATGACAAAGAACACGTGCTAGACAGATTTGGACAACAGGTCCCATGTTCGTGTCATTTAGAGCACCCGATACTGTATGCCGCGGAACATGGGCATTCGGCGCTTGTCGCATATCTTCTGAGTGTGGGCTCAGAACCAGATCTCAAGAATAGCCTAGGTCAAACTCCTATGCATCGAGCGGCGAAAAACGGGTGTCTCTCTGTTGTCAAGGTCCTTCTAAGCGCGTGGAAATTTCCTATAGATGGCGACGACACATTCACCTTGACTCCTATCAAAGAGGCTGCATTAAGAGGACAAACGCAGATGGTCGAATGTTTTTTATCCTCTTGTCTAAGCCCCAGCAACTATGCTTCTTCATCTCTTCCATTTGCCGCTGTATCCGGTGATATGGCGTTGGTATCGATGATCCTTGGCTATGGAGCAGATATCAACCACAAGTATATTGAACGGCATGTCCCTAGGAAGCCTATAAATCCATATGGAGGGAAAGGGCACGAAGCAACAGCACTATCAGTGGCAGCCACATACGGCCATTTGACTCTTGTGAAATTTCTGCTTAACAACGGCTCCGACATTAACCTCAAAACGGGGTTCCCGTACCCCACTCTGTGGAAGACCCCTTTGCACCTAGCAATTGAGAAAGGCCATGAGGAGGTTATCAAGGTGCTTTTGGCCCACAGTGCCGATATCGATGATGAACATTTACGTGAGGCTGTTTTACAAAACAACAAGAAACCGGTAGAAATGCTACTCGCCAAATACGGAGCTGAGAATTGTCGGTCCAATCTTTTAAGGCTTGCAGGAAAGGTTGGTGACGTGGAGATTTGCCAGATGCTATTGGATAAAGGCTTTGATCAAGAAGAGGCTGTCGTGAAAGCAATTGAATTTGGTCAAGACGCAGTCGTCACCCTTCTCCTGGCACATGGATTGGATAGTGACTTACCAACCCTCTGCGAGAGTGCTATCGGCCTAGCAATTATTCATCGGCAAAGCGGCATCATGGAAATCTTATTGAGCCACGGCGCCCATATCTACCCGGAAACTCTGAAATCCGCGGGTCTCTTTGCCCCTGAGCACATAGGAGCGTTAGCAAAACAGTTCCCTGTGCATTCCCTCAGAAAAAAAGAGATGTATCCCTCTGTGTATGCCCGGACGCCTGGCCCTCAACCTCGAATTTCTGGTGCTGATTACGGTTCCACCCAAAGGAGGCTTTGGTAGAAGGAACTGAGAGCTGTATAGAATCGTGACACCTCTGTTGTAAAAGGATGACATATTGAATTGAGATCATAAATATAAAAGGAGAAATAGAGGAAAGAGAGAAAAGAAATTGTTAAGAGAATCACCTTTATATAACGATAGTACTCTAGACTTTCTTAAGGTGTCCCAGTAATCGTTTCTTGTCCTAGTGTTCCCCATCAGAACCCCCAGGGCGCTGAGGGCCTCGGTGCCTTGGTAACTGGGGGACTGAGGTCCTGAAACCATGTCGCGCGACCTAAAATCCGGTGCATACACAATGTATGAAACAGCAGCTAACCCGAAAACACACTTTACATTCTACCGTTCGACGAACATAGCTACATACTATGAATCTGGTTGCTTTTAGTTGCAGTTTGTTTCAATTCGAGCTTTGCATTCTGAGTTAGATCCAGTATATATAAATACTGCTTTCCAATCCCCTTCAACAGTTCAACATGTGGTGCCGGACATTCGGCCCCAGAGGTGCAATTAAGAACCTTGGAAACCCCGGGGCCTCGGCTATTGATTACAGTATTGATAAGCATTTAAGCATCCCCGCACGACCATCACGGGCGCCCTAACTTCCATCAAAGCTCAATTTATATTAGTATCTTCATCTAGCACATTCAAAATGTCCAAAGCAATTTACATATCCCCAATCGACGGCAAGCCCGGCAAGCCAGGGCAGGTCTACTATCCGCTCTCCCTACGCACCTTGCCCAAACCTTCCCCGCAAGGGGGTGAGCTATTGATAAAACTAACAGCTGCGGCGCTCAATCACCGCGACCTCTTCCTTCGCCAACACCTCTACCCTGGCTTGACATTCGATGTGCCCCTGCTCGCAGATGGAGTCGGTACCGTCGTCGGTGCTGGCCCGAATGTCCCCAGCCCAGAACAATGGCAAGGCAAGCGGGTGATCCTGAGCCCCGGTGCTGGCTGGAAGGATTCACTAGATGGCCCAGAAGACCCCGCCGGATACCGAATTATGGGAGGCACCAAGCTTTTGAACAATGGGACGTTGCAGGAATATCTTACTATCGAATACTCCGAGGTCGAGGAGGCCCCTGAGCATCTCTCTGATGCCGAGGCTGCAGCTCTGCCCCTGACAGGCTTGACAGGCTGGAGAGCTCTTGTTACCAAGGCTGGTGAGAAGAACTCTGGGGATGGTGCTGCTGTATTGGTTACTGGAATTGGTGGCGGTGTCGCTCTGATGGTGCTGCGGTTTGCTGTTGCCAGAGGTGCGCATGTCTTTGTGACAAGCTCGAGCGAGGAGAAGATCCAGAAGGCTGTTGAGCTAGGTGCAGCCGGCGGTGTTAGCTATAAGGAAGAGGGGTGGGAAAAGAAGCTGTTGGGTATGCTCCCAGCTGGAAAGAGGAACTTCGATGCCATTATTGATGGTGCCGGTGGTGACTCCATTGAGAAATCTGTTAAATTGCTAAAGGTGAGTGCAACAATGGAATATTCGTTCAATTACAGATGAAAATACTCACATTTCCAGGCCGGCGGTGTCCTCTCTATCTATGGAATGACTGTGTCTCCTAAGATGCCATTTACAATGTCTGCTGTCCTCAAGAACATCGACGTCCGCGGTTCCACGATGGGCTCCCGAAAGGAGTTCAAGGAGATGATTGAGTTCGTCAATGAGAAGAAGATCCGCCCTGTAGTGTCGCGGGTTCTGCAGACTGAGCTAGATGACCTGTCCGCAATTGACGGGCTGTTCGAAGAGATGAAGAATGGCACGCAGTTCGGAAAATTGGTGATTGAATTTGGCAAGTCTACGGGCAGCAAGCTGTGAACACATTCTTGTTACGATTCCCATGGAATCATGATGCCGGTAATAGCTTTGTATACACCTATGATACTAGCTAGGTATTACACATCAATTGAGATACTTCGGAGCAACTACGAGTCTTCTTCGTACCTTCCTCCTCGGCCGCCTCACTTCACGCATCACCACATCACCACATCACGATATCTGTGAATTTTCAACATGTCATCGTCACTTTTATCTTCCATCATCTCTTATATAAATCCAACCGAGTAATCAAATCTCGAATTCGCTCATTGTATAACAGATTCTTCCATTCATTTCCGATTCCATCCCAACTATGAACTCCAAGAGGGATCGCGCCTCCGTCCGACAAGTGTCTCGCTCCGTTTCTCGCGGAAATGACCATGTGCGTCGTGTGTCGGACTCTCGCCGTGTCGTAGAAGATCCGTGGGATGAAGGTAGTTTTCAGGTATTGGCACATCGAGGAAACGTTGATCTATGAAACGCTCTGTTGATACTGACAGTCAGTACAGTCCTTTGACGCCACTCACTATGCCCTGCAAACTCTCAACAAGCACATCGAACGAAGGCTCGCAAAGCTGCATGCCAATACAATCCGTCTGAAGCGTGAACTGTGGCTGCTCCAGCGACACATCAAAGAATTCCACCATCCTCTTTTCGAGAACTGGGAAGCCGACATGCTCACCCGCCTTATCGAGGTTGCTCATGCCCATCAGTACAAGAAGCTACCAGGTGGTGTCGTGATCGGAGAGTCCTCATTTGCCGAACGAGAAAATCTCAATCAGGCATACAGCATCGCGGCAAAGGGTATTCGCATGCCGACTCTTCGAAGGCTTGGTCTGTCGGAGAAGTATCATGAAGCTCTGCAACGATATTCAGAGGTGAGTTACATATCGCCGTGGTCTTGATTAGACATATCTAGGCCTGGCCCTGCTCTAACATGGATCAGGTCGTTCCTTATCGAAGCCCGAACCCCTTCCAAACCGAGTTTGCATTCGCCAAATGGCTGGTCGAGGTGCAGGATGACAGACCGGAACTGTATGCATTCTGGTCCAAGCTTTTCCCCGTCTGCTATGACCGCAGCGTCCAGGAGAGCGCTTCTATCTTCTAGAGGATTCCGAGGGATTGCCTCATCATCCTGTCTCGCCACTCTTCCTTTCTTTCGCTATTCGGGGCAAAGCATCCCAAAGAGTATGTTTAGTGGGTACAATATTGCTTCGCTGTTTAGGGATATTCTCTTTCCAGAAGTCTGTGGGTCACTGCTCTGTGTTCCAGCTTTGTTCTGCCGCGTGCGGTTGTGATCATCGTGTCTCATATCAGCTTTCCACATAGGTACCAAGGCTATTATTATCACCGCATGTCAGAATTCAGTGGCTGCTTTTTGGTCATATGCTCTGGATGCACGGCATCATCTTAGCTCTCCAAGTAGGTACCAATCCTATTCTTATCGTTGACAGGTCAGAATGGAATGCCTGCTTTTGGTCATATGCTCCCAAGCACAGCAAGGTGTTAACAAATAACCCTAATCGATCCATGAACTAATAAATAATGTTTCAGCCTCCTTCTTAGATCGCCGGCGTACGTTCAACTCATTGGGCAACAAACTACCACCGTTGCATCAAATCGTAAGCCACGTACATAACGACAGCGAGTATTCACCGGTCACTCTGATCCACAAAGCAACCCGGCTAAACGGCCAACGGCCCGTCATTCTGGTCGAACAGCTGAACGACCCAACGGTCAAATACTAAGCAATATGCAATAAATCCCCACGTCCACGATCCGTATTCCGGCAAATCATCCCGCTCGCTGCATGACGCAGTCCGTGTCGAATTTCAGTAGCAGTCACACAATAAAGTTTCCACTCGCTAATAATAGCTCTTTTTTCTTACGTAGGGCAATATAGTATGCTTGATGCTAAATGCTTAGTGCGAACTAAAGAGTGAGACAGCCCTAAGAGATATAATATACTATGTACTACTCTTCTACCGCTTATACGGAAGATAGGGCTTGGCGAGCCAGCGCAACGCTCTCAGTGGCTGGCTGCTTGATCAACCTCGTGGACCGCTTTTCAGGGTCTATTATCTCCCCCCGATTTTGCCCCCGACTCGGCTATACTCCGAGGGTCTTACTGTGGGTTAGCTTGATTTTTTGGGGGTATTTTTTCTTGTCTTGGTGTGTTTTGTTTTACTTAGGTTAGGCTTAGGTTTGTTCGGTCGCACTGCTACTGTACCGTTTCAATTTCCGCCATGTTCTGGTCTAGGGTAGATAAGTTTATTTTAACCGATTCTATATGGATGCTTCCAAGGTTTAGTGCGACGGATTACTATTCTTAGGTCTTTTTTTAACTTTTGCGCATTTTGTCTAATCCAGTGGATACACGTCAATGGAGTAAAACTACTATATTCCAAAAGACTATGTACTATGTATATGGTAGATTATACATAATGTACCATAGAAATGTCGCTACCAATATAGATTAACGTTAGCAAGGGTTAGTAATGATTTTATAAGCGCAGCCGGGCTTTGGACCTCGGGACACCGGCAAACACTGACCAAAATGGTTGTTGCCTAGCTTGGCAACAGGCAAAACTTTTTGTTACTCCATAATGGGACAATAATATGTACATAAAAATGATCCATTGGAAATGCAAAAAAGTGGAAAGCTATTACATTACTGTGCACACGTTACTAAGTCATAAATCTGATTATCGGACCCGACATAACCGGATGGGGTAGGGTCCGACATGTGACCAAAGAGGAGCGGTTAACTGGAGCTATCACCGGCAAACCTGATTCGGTACTCTGTGCTCCGTATGCCAGAATGCTAAGTGCTAGTAAAAGGATATTGTCGGAAGGGGATGGGTCCCGACGTCCCGAGAGTGAAATATATTTTCTGCTGCTCTGATTGGCAGGTTTTTGGGCTTTTACGCTGATCCACCTTCAGATATTTTAGCGATATACAACTAGTACTAGCACTGAGTATATTATAGAGCCGTACGGAGTACAACATACGACTGTGAATGTTTTTTTTCTACTTAGAGTTTGGGTTGAAACATTGAGATAACTTTGTCGATGAAACTTGGAAAATATATTGTGTTTTATAGGTTCACTACGGAGTACAAAGTACAGGTGTGGAAAATCAGGGTTCCATCAACTTGAAACCGTACTTTGACTTCGATCGTTTCGATCTATGAACTTGATTGGGGGCTCGGTTTGATCGATTTTTAATGATTATCAATACATATACGGAGTACAAAGCATTGTATCTTTTTTGATGTAGTCAAATACATAGTCGAGTAATTTTTTTTTTCATCGTGGTGTGGTGATATATATGTAGGCACGAGTAGTACCCTACAACATAACCGACATACAACAATATTCTACAAAGTACAACTACAATTAATACCAGCCCCTTTTTTTAATTGAAAACTATCGTTGAAACCAATTCGATGTATTATCATTTCCCATTCAGCAGACATATACACTATCGCGTATACCAAAATGCTATGATCTTATCTCCAATACTATCCGATCCCAGATTCCGCCCAAGTCTTTTTTTATCCGAATCAAATCGTCATGGAGATCTGTCAGCAGCCCCTGATACACCCAAATAGCTACGTTACAAGATAGGTCATTTCTAGACTGCTAAAAAAAAAGTCTAGTATCGACATTGTTTTGTCTAAATATTTTGGTACAGGGGAAAGATAACCGAAAAAAAGCAAAATTCAATGGGCACGGGATCTCGCGTCAAACCCACGAGAGCTAAGATACACATTTAAAGCGCCGCAGGTACTCCGAATATATGATTATCCTACACACAGCGAACCTGAATGCAACGGAGAACGACCTAAGTGGGTACAAGATCAGCATGGTTAGAGTTGCGTGGTTTCCTCCCTGGTCATGTTGAAGACATTCTGCAACAAAAAAGCCCCCACGAAAGTGATGAGACAAGCTTAGCGACCCATTTCCTTCTCTCCACACTGAAACATTGAGCTCGAGATGACTGGTTTCGATTCAGATACTGCGGAAAGAAGCATAGACGATCCTGCCATATGGCGATGTCCATTATCCTCTCTTTCTTTCCCTGCACAAGCGCAAAAGAGTGAGCGTGACAAATCCCGATATCAAAGGAGACCCCGATTCCCCGCTGTCAGTTTTGACCGCAAGTCGATCCGACCCGACCATCTTGTTTCTCATCCACTGGTGTTTCATTATCAAGGCTACTGCCGGACGGAGGACAGTGCGGGCAAATACGGAGTGCCGCTGACAGCATTAGCGCTACCGTCCAGTCGGAACAGTGCGCCATCGCTGTTAACTATTCGCCCCGTGGCTGAAACTGTTAACCTTGTTTTTCATCTATCGTGACATAGTCACTAAGGACTTTGAAAGGAAGGCACCAAACCATATTAGCGTTCATACCCTGGAAGCGCGGGCGATCGTGCTCCGTATGTTGTATAACATACGGAGTCTCTTCTACTGACCACTTGATCCTTAAGAGCCAAGAAAGGAGCTAGCACCGACGGTTTCCACAGCTATATGATTCCCTACTCGTGAGTGGCCAGCGAGGACGGAGCTAATCATAAGGAGCTCACATATCCCGCTAGAAGGATCATCGACGAATGAGCCTGCTTAATGAGAGAGGGTCTTTGTTGCAGGGGGGCGGAAAAAAAAGCACAGGCATCGAAGACATGCAGTTGATACCCAGTCGTGATTCGTGATTTTTGGTCAGCCATTCATCATGAATAGACAGACGGTGACACCTGCTCCCGCTCTATCGTCCAACACCAAGCACGATATACGACCCTAACATCGAGATCTGGATCCCTTCTCTTCACTCAGAGTAAATATACCCGACACCGACCTTTCGCTCTTCTCCGAACAGGCAGACGTAGGTGATCAGCTAAATCACGCCCAAGACACAAAGCGGGTCCGCCTCACATTCCTCCGGGTTGTGGTGCAGACCAAGAACAAGATTAAGCCAGTGATCTTCCAACTCTCATCGACGAGTCCCAAAAAATCAAGGATCGTTGCCTGCTCCCCCTTCGTGAACAGAACCAGGAGAAGCTGAGATAAAGATGTAAGGGTGGTGACCCAGGGCAAAAAAGATAGAGAGAGAGGGAGAGCCGTCAGTGTCTCTGACGATGTTTCACTCCGAGTATTCGTTTCCCCATGACCCGCGTACCAATCCCATCCTACCATGCAGCAAGGTCTTCACTGAGCCTTATCTTTTTCTCCTTGAACTTCTCCCTCGGAAGGGATTGACAACGAAGACAAAAAAAAATCCCTACCCAATAATCCAATAATCCTCCTCAACCCGTGCTCGGTATGCACTGTTCGCCCCCACACACGCAAGCCAGGCACACAGACACATACAGGCACGAGTGGCGAGATCACGTACATAATATTGACGGATGAGTAGACACGCAGGCAATAGTTCACTTGTACCTGCATATTCTAAATGGTTAGTACCTAGAAAGGGTACGTTGGCCAAGCCAACCCTGCAACCCTTCCGTATACAGACAAGGGGACCAAGGTTGAACGTGGATGCAAAGCATAGCACGTCGTGCACGTAATATTTTTAAATCAATAATTAACGGCACGGGGTTTTTGCCAATAGACAAAATGATAAAACATAAAAGATGAAAAAAAAAGTATTGTACCTGCATACAGCATGGGTAGGAACCGGAAGCCCTAGTGGACGCTCACCACAATGTAATGGATATATGGAACCCTCGCCAATAGTAATGTCGCGTATTGACGGAGCAGGCTTCAAACAAGGTTGCAGGTCCGAAGCCCTGAGGGATACGGTGATCCGCTTTTTTGGAAGCTTGGAAGGATGAGGATCCCTTGATATGAAAATTATTGGCTTGAAACACTAGTTGGAAGATGTGATTACTGGTTTTTTAATGGATTTTTCTTATTCGCGTTTCTTTTTCCTATTTGGTGTTTTGTGGGGACTTCACGTTCCTCCCGAAGATTGGCCGATCAAAGGTACAAACGCCAATTGGGGGGAAATTCCCTTACAAACCAATAAGATTATCTGGCGGTTTGGGATTTCTTAAGGGGTAATGTAGGACTTTGATATAGATTGGTCCCTTGGATGAGTTG